GAGATCATCCCTATAAAACGTTTGGAAGAAACTATGAAGGTAACTGATTGACCCAAAGTATTTTTATGACAGAATATAGTGTTCAGTGCCAAAATAGGATTATAAGTTGTTTACAAATTACAAAAACTGGTTAAATGTCATTGTAAAATATACCATATTTAAAACATGCAACCAAAAAGTATTGTGAAAACAGCACAATTAAAACAAGAGATTAAAACAACAGAGGACGTACACACCCAAAAAATCTGTTTGGTCAGATGCTCTGGATACATATTGCACAACCATCAATGAGTTCCCTCAAGAGTAACAAGTTAATGTTAAATAACTTCTCGACATGTACCTACGAAGCACTTGTTCCTGTAGTTTCACACCTATCTAAAGTTTGGTGGAGAGTAAAAAGCTGTATTTAGAAAATGTTCACATGATCACAAAGCATCCTGGTCAGTCTGAATTCTGAGCGTGTATGTGCAGTTTCTTGTTGTACGTTTCAAGCCAGAAAATAACTTATGGGGCAAACAGCACTCGGTTCGTAATATGAGTATTATGAGCTGAACAAATTTGTGATCTGAGGCAGGGAATTATAAACTCCAGAAACAAATCTGATATGATCCGGTTCCCTGCATGTGCCCTTATCTTGGCTCCTAGATAAAAAGACATTGGGTCCCATTCTATCTCACTGTAACTATCTTACTAAAGAAATGGCATTTCCAGCTTCTAAGGATATTTTCATTTTCAGAAGCTAAGGAAGATACACACTTGTTCGTTATTCCCTTCCCCAAGTCACGGTATAGAAAAAAAGGTACCTGTGTAGATCAGACTTGTATTTTCAAGTTTAAAATTGTAACAATGCAGTCTAACATATAGCACTAAGAAAAGATGCCAGTTATTCACAGGCCTGAAATTTCAGTACCAAATTGAAAGCTGCCGTTCAGATGGCATGACCATGACTTTGATGGGGGGAAATCGCTCTATGGTGCAAACCCTAATGGCAAATCAAACTGCTTTGGGAATGGGACTCTTTGGGATAACTAGCCTGTCAAGGCTATTCTCCTCTCCTTCCAGATTGAAAAAGGGGAGCTAAGAGAGTAACAATTTTTATTTCTCATGTCGCTTTCACCCAACCAGAAAAAGGACCAACACAGTAATGACTTGTCCCACATTCAGTGAATGTGATAAAGGGTGCTTCCAGACAAGGACTTAATATTCTAAATGGGTATCACAAATGGGTTATTGGCAACACGATATAGTTGTTCAACTTACTTGATTTTCCTCAGAAAAAAGGAAATTTGGATTAAATAGAGTAAAATACAGGTTGGCATTTTGATGAAAACAATGTGTGGACACTGCACAAAACTTGCTAGCATTAGATGCTGGTAGACTTTCTCATTTGAGACACCTTAAAAAGGAAACTGTTAAATCTGTGCTACCAAAAAGCATTCATTTGCTATCCCCTACTCCCAAAGTGCCATGGCCAAGTGTCAGGAAGCAGTTCATCTTAAATAGCTTTAGCCTTGGCATCTCTGCTGAGTTTTAAAGCAAAATGCCTGTTGTTGTTGTTTTTAAAAAAGACCTATTTACTATCTATATTTCCTTGGAGGACCTCCAGATTCATTTAATGCACCATGACAAAACAAAATAAATAGGGTATGGGTCTAAACTAAATACACATGTCGGAAGGCTGTGGTGCCCTAAATTGCTTGTGCAAATGAAGAAATAATTCCCACAGATGTTTTCTAGGATTTATTTTGGTCTATAGTAGCAGAAAACCAGAATATTTTTTGCCACTTTTAAAGAACTAGCTTATTGTTTCACATAGGTTTCCCCAGGCAATAGCCTGTTGCATCAAGTGCATGATGCACTGAGGAAATCCATACTTTCTACACTGATCTGAAGTGCACTGGGGTCTAAATCAAGATGACAAGGTGTGAACTGAAAGGAACAGGAGTGCTAAAGGGAGCTGATACCTGGAGAGCCAACCATGCATACAATGGAAATGTTTGCTTAAACACCGGAGCATGAATTCTAAACAAATAAGAGGCACTTGCCTTTTGTAACACACCGTTCTTATAACTCCACCCAATTCCAAGAAAAGCTATTTTGTTAATGAATTCCAGTTTTGCAGTCTCTCGCTAAAACTGTTCCTATGTAATGGCCTTAAGGTCAGGCAGCCATCCTTGCCCCCAATATTGTAATGCTCTAATTTTTACATGGTATGTTCTCTTTTGTTAAGGGCAGTTTGTGTTCAGCTGATGTAAAAAGAGAGAACAAAATGAAAAGTCACACTTTTTTATCATAAACCATTCCATTCCACTTTATTTACTCAGATATAAGCCCCACTGAGTCACATTTACACATGTAAAAATACATACTACTACAAATTCTGTACAGTCTACATCTGGATTGGAATTCCTTTTAGTTGCTTAATTTTTTAAATTGTGTTCTTGCTGTCCTGGGCTCCTTTCGAAGGAAGAGGGGGAAATAGAAATATAAACAAATACATTCATATTGTTGCAGGCCGCCGCAATCTCTGAGTGAAGCGAGATTCCAGGGGTTTACCTAGGATTTATGTTTCCTTTTGGGAATGAGGCGGCGCAGAGAATGTGGCGCCTTTATGATATCTGGCTTATTTGTACCTATAGAATCACAGATTCATAGAATTGTAGAGTTGGAAGGGACCCTAGTCCAATCCTTTGCAAAACAGGAATATGCAGCTGAATTGAACCTGCGACCTTGGTGTTATTGGCACCACACTCTAAACAACTGAGCCTACAGTGGAGGGGTCCACAGCATTAGCACCCTAAAACGGTTTTGTTTCTTCCATAGTCACAACCTTGGAGCCAAACGGAAATCAGTCATTGTGCTCTGACCCTCTTTCCAGTTTCTTGCCTTTTCTGACCTGCAACCTTTTCTCCCTTAGGTCACATTGCAGCCAGCTCTCAACTCTACTTCAAACTCGGGCTTTGTCTTCTAACTGACTCTATAAATGGGAGGAGAGGCCCTAGCCAGTCTGGCACAGAGCCCCTTCTCCTTGGCTTTCTTTATGGCTCATCTCGCAGGTAGTTACTTCATCAGGAAGCTGGCCTGGCTTATATTTTGAGCCCTGCTGGAGCCAGGGGTTCAGGAGGCTTGATGAAATTCTAGCACTTACTGGAGCCAGGAATTTAGGGGAACCTGGCACCCTTGAACTCCTAACAATTAAACGCTTGGGAAAATCAGAAAATCATATGAAGTTCCAACTTATTATTGGGGTTTCAAGAACCACATTCACATTGATATTTATATGATGATTCTCACTATATTTACTTTCAGCTGATTTTAATGGCGCTTCCAGTAACAATACTTTGGATTGCTGTCTTAATTTTAAAATATAAAAAGTGTGTGAGCTCCTACGGTTAGGCCAAAAAGATCCCCAACTCTGTGTTTAGACACTGAGGCCCCTCTAACCACAAAAGTTGCACAAGAAGACATCCTGGCCTAACTTGTGTTGCCGCTCCAGTTCGAAAAAGGAAGGGGCCCGCAGCCGCTTAGCATGAGGAAGAACTCAGTATATTTTGAAATTTTGCATCCTCCCTTTCACCACTGCTGGGTCTCCTACATGAACAGATTTGCTTTATCCAATTGGTCCAAGAAGGTAGAAACTCTCTAGACCCTAATTCAAAATCACATATATTAATACTCCTCTGCATTTGTAAGAAATACATATCTTTTAGTGTGGCAGCATCCAAACTTTGAAACTCTTGTCTATTGACATCAGCCTTCACTGTACTCTTTTCACCACCTGCTACAAACATTTCTGTTCAGGCAAGCCTATGCAGATATATAGAACATTGGTGTTTTAATCTGTTTTTCTAATTATTGTTTTAAATAGTTTTTTTCAACTCTTTTTCCTTATAATAGTTTTATTCTTTTATTAAATGATTTTGAAGGGGTTACCCCCTCCAATTATTTATTTACTTAATTTGTATCCCACCTTTTTCTCCAAGGAGCTCAAGGTTCTCCTGATGTTCGTTTCATCTGCACAACCCTGTGAGGGAGGTTAGGCTGAGACAGGCAGCGACTGGCTCACTGTCACCCAGTATACTGTATTTTTTGCCCCATAGGACGCACCGCCCTATAGGACGCACCTAGTTTTTTTGGTGGGGAAATAAAGAAAAAAAAATTATTTCCCCCTCCCCAGGCACGGAGCTGGGGCGGGGGAAGCCCGAGCTTCCGCCGACCCCAGCCCCCAGAACAGGCAGCTCTGGGAGCTTGCAGGGCTGGGGGAGGGGGAAGCCCGAGCTTCCCCCTCCCCCAGAACGGACCCCAGGAGGGCAGGCAGCTCTCCGTGACCCTCCGGAGGCCGGCGCGGCTTGGCGCTGGGCTCCAGAGGGTTGCGCAGAGCTTCCTGAAGCCTGGACAGCGAGAGGCTCTCGCTTTCCAAGCTTCAGCGAAAGCCTGTATTCGCCCCATAGGACGCGCCCACATTTCCCCTTCATTTTTGGAGGGGAAAAAGTGTGTCCTATAGGGCGAAAAATACGGTACTTCATGGCCTAGTGGGGATTTGAACCTTTGTGATTTTATATTGTATTTTTTTTAATGTTGTGAACTGTCCTGAGATATGTGGATGAAGGGCAGTAAACAGATTTAATTAATTTAATAATAATAATAATAATAATAAACTCTGCTCTCCTAGGTTCTAGTCTGACACTTAACTACTACATGCTGGATCGAGCACTATATAAATGTTATGAAATCAATCAATCAATCAATCAAATTATATGGGAATCCAAGAGATCCATTTCTAAAACCTTTGTTCTTACATGGAAGCAGTTACACACTGGCAGAAAAAGTTCCGTTTCTTTTGAGTGACACTAATAGCTTTGTGACACATAAAGTGGCTCTTTATGCACTCGCTGCAAAAAAGATTAGAATGAGTTAGATTATATTGCCATAAATTGTTTTAGAGATTTGGAGGTTTAATCTGAAGCTGAGCTGGCTTGGAGCTTGCTGATGCTAATTCTGTTTTTCCTTCCCTCCTACTGCTGATGTCCAATTTACATGATGGAGGGATGTTCTGTACTATGTAATAATAATAATAAAAGTAATAATAATAATTTATTTATACCCTGCCCATCTGGCTGGGTTTCCCCAGCTACAGTGGTGCCTCGCAAGATGAAATTAATTCGTTCCACGATTTTTTTCATCTTGTGATTTTTTTCGTCTTGCGAAGCATGGTGTCGGGAAAGTTTTGGAAAAGCTTCAAAAATCACCAAAATCTTTAAAAACCTCAAAAAAGGCTACCACACCGCGTTCTATAAGTTGCTCCTCGAAGTCAAGTCGCAACTGTATTAACGGTGTTAAGAAAAAGGAAACAAACTTGCAAGACGTTTCTGTCTTGCGAAGCAAGCCCATAGCGAAAATCGTCTTGCGAAGCAGCTCAAAAAACAAAAAACCCTTTCGTCTAGCGAGTTTTTTTGTCTTGCGAGGCATTCGTCTTGCGAGGTACCACTGTACTCTGAGCAGCTTCCAACAAAATATTAAAATACAATAGTCTGTCAAACATGAAAAGCTTCCCTAAACAGGGCTGCCTTCAGATGTCTTCTAAAATGTATCAGTACATTTATAGTTTATTTTATTTAATAACATTTGCACACCGCTTGATTGTAAAAAAGCAGACACCTCACAGCAGTTTGCAGAATAACAGCAAAACCAAGAAAAATTCACAACTGTTCTTTAAAACATTGCTGTTGACAATCTCTCTGTCTCAGGAGACAGAGTGTGTATGCCTTGGGGGGGGGGGGTGAAGTCCAACCATTGGAGGGTTACAGCGCCTGCTGCGGCATAAAATACTAAAACAGATAAAGATGACCGCAACTTTCTAAGCAGTGAAATTGCATAGCTAGCTCAGCTGCTTAGAGTGCCGTGCTGATAATGCCAAGGTTGCAGGTTCAATCCTCGTATGGGGCAGTTTCATATTCCTGGCTTTGCAAGGGGTTGAGCTTGATGATCCTCAGGGCCCCTTCCAACTCTACAATTCTATAATACACATACTGAATTGAAGTATATAAATGAACGAACGAAGCGGAATAAATAAATAATTCGAAGAACGAACAAAGAAATAAAAATCGGGCAACCGCGTGAAAGTTCGCGCCAAGGAGAGAGAAACGCAACTGGCGCACCGTCAGCCCAGGAAGGCCTGCTCGGCGCAGCAAAGAAAGGATGGTTGGGACAGAGAAGGAAGAGGGCGAAGGCAGCAGCATCCCTGACCTATCCTCCCCACGAGGAGGGAGGCTGGCGGGGGCTGCCGGAGAGGATGTTCATTGGAAAGTGAACGGATGGGTGGCCGGAGGAGCGTCCTGCCCACTTCCCCTCCTCTCCCTCCCCTCCCCGCGGAGCCTGCGACGCCCGCCGCGTGCGATCGGACAGCCCCGGCCGCCTCTTGTATACAACGGGGAGGGAAGAGGGAGGGAGCGAGGGACGGGTCCGGCCTGCCCCTGGGGCGGGGCGGCGTTTGCAAGACAACAGCCCGAGCCCGACACAAGGAACCGCTCGCTGCTGCTGGAGGGAGCCGCGCGGAGTCGCCAGCGCCAAGCAGCTTAGTAAGTGCCGCCGGCCGGGTCTTGGGGAAGCCCAGCCGCGCTCGCTCGCTCGCCACCCCGCCCCCGCCGCCGCCTCACCCCACCCTCCCCACGCCGCTTGCAACCCCCGAGGGGATGACATTTCTCTCCGATCCGAGGCTGGTGGGCGAGGGAAGCCTCTGGAGATTTCCCCCTACCCCCCAAATGGATTGGAAGGTTTTGCGGGCGCCTCTGGGAACTTGTAGCTGGTTGGGGTGTTTGGAGAGAGAGAGAGCGCAGCGCAAAGGCGCGCGCCGCTTGGGTTCTTTCTCGCGCGGAATTGTAGTAAATCCACCGATTAATAGAAAATCCTTCCGTCTAAGAAATGGGAACTTCATTCATCTTGGAGGGGAGCATCCTGGTTGGCCTTTTCTTTTTTTGCGGGGGAGGGCATGTGGTGTGTTTTTTGTTTCGTTTTTTAAAAAAGAAATATTATTTCTTTTAAAGCTCGTTCCAGTCCCTGTTTGCAAACTCTTATAAAGGGTGCTCTGTGCGCCGGCTGCTCAACCGGCGCGCGCGGGTATGTTTGTGTACGCATGTATTGAAATCGACGGGACAACTCCAGCGCAGGGAATCAATGAATCACTTTCTTCCAGTCCATAAATGCACTTACCCAGGAATGCCCCATGAGAACCAAACGGCGCTGCAAAGGGGGCGGGTGAATCTCTCCTTACAGTCGTCAAGACATGTCGTTTGGGAGCAATTCTGTGGATTTTAGTGGAGCGACTGTGCGGCTACTCTGGAGTAAGTCGCGTATTAATTCAAGATCTCCGTCCCCAGAAAAAAAGTGCTTTCAAAATAATATTTGCAGTGAGTCCCCTGCTTCCCTAATATGCCCCAGAAGGGAAGGGGTTAAAGTATCATTTGCGCCCTCGCACCCTCTCTCCCCCCTCCCGAAATAAAACCAGACCATCAGGTTTTCTGCACCGTCTCCCATGGTTTTCTGTTCAGTGTGGCTTTCTCTGTTCGCGGACAGGGACCGTATAAGATTTTGCTTCTCGCCATATATGCATTTAGGTAGAGCTAACTTAATCATATAGGTCAGGACTGGAGATCGTTTCAAGGAGAATCAGCTACTTTCTCCTCTTCCCATTTCCTGCTTTCTATCTCTCTCTCTCCCCCTCGCATCTCCTGGCCAAAACAAAACAGCATATTTATAACTGACTAGGGGCACTGTCTCGCCAGCCAGTCTGTGGGGTTCTGTAACACAATGATTTCATAGTCAATGGGTGATAGGCAGGGTGATGCTCTTACAGTTGTAGGCACCAGCAGAGGTCACCAAGCATGTTATAAAATAAGCAGCCAGACACCATCCAGCTAAAAGGTTAATTCTCACTTACAAAGAGGAGCTGGCAGGACTATAACCTTAACCTGAATTTTCCTCCCTAGTTGTTTTGTTTTGTTTGCTTTCTCAAACAATGTGTTGTTTTATGTAGATCACTCTCAAGTTCCTTTATCATAGAATCGTGGAATTGTAGAGTTGGAATGGTGATTTGTAGCATGTTCATAATTGTTGATTGCTTATAAATAAGAGTCTCCCCCCTCCTACATTTTGGAGATAGCACAGCCTGTTTCTGGATCTCCTCTTTTACTGCCCTTTGTGTAGCACTGTTATTCTGCATGATAGGATACTTCTGTGGTGTTGGGGTAGGCAATGCTTTAACAATAACAATAACAAATCATATTCTTATTGTTTTTCTACTATGTCCACAGTATTTTGTCTCTAATTTGAGTATATGGAATGGGAGTGCAGTGACCAGAGTGTGTGGGTGGGTGTGCATTATGTAACTTATCTGACAAACCTGATGGCTGCCCGAGGTGCATTTAAAGGGGAGGGTGGAGAGGGCCTTTGCATGTGCGTGGCACAGAAACCAAGATAATCCAGTTGCTTTCAGCCCTTCTCCAAGTGCGGAGGGAGACAGTCACTCAGCATTTAGCATCAGCTTCAAAACGAGTGAAGAACATTTAAGCCTAAATGTTCGCTGCACTTAACTTTGGTTCAACGTGGCCTAATCTTCCCTCCTTTTTCTCCCTTGAAAATCACATCCATAGGACTGGTTCTGTGAAGGCAGTTAGAGGATTGATAATCTGATCCAATAAGAATTGGTGCAAATCTAGTGTAGGGGTAGGAAATCTGCGGTCCTCGACTCTCACTAACCTTGACAATTGGCTGTTATTATTAGGTGTATTTGCACCTGCTTGTAGCTCATGTGAATTGTTTGTGAAATAAATAAGCAGATAATGGAGTAAGATGGAATAAGTAAGATGGAGTGCAAAGATGTGTGTGTAGAAGGGGAACCTGTGGTCCTTCAGATGTTTGTGGGCTACAGTTTCCATCATCCCTGGCCATTGACCGCTTTGGCTGTGTCTGATGTGAGCTAGGTTCCAACACAATGAAGGACCACAAGTTCCCTCTGCCTGGTGTAGGTTGGTGTCCCAATCCTGCTTTTAGTCTTCCCCTGTAATGCATAAGTACAAGAGGGAAACTTTGGTGCAGCATCGCTACTGGTAGCTGAGAAAAGAAGCCACTTCTTTCCGCAGCACATAGTTACAATCATGGAACTTGCTCCCACAAGTGGCATTGATGGCCACTAACCTTTGAAAGAGCATAACAAAACTTCAAGGAGTAGAAGGCTATTGACTGCTAACTGAGACAGCTATGTTCTGCCACCATAGTCGGAGGCAGCAGTGCTTCTGAATACTAGTTGCTGGAAGCTAAATCCTGCTTGCAAGTTTCCCACAGGCATCTGGTTGGCCACTATGAGAACAGGATGTTGGACTAGATGGGCCACTGGCTTGATCCAGCAAGCTCATCTTATGCCCTTACGCTGTGCTTAAGGCAGGTCTGGACTCTGGCAGTGAGGCCTTGCAATGCTGGAGTTTAGACTCTTTCAACTCCTGCTCCTTTTTGCTGCTGTATCCAGGACTATCAAGATGATTCACAAGACACTTGCAAATGCTAAAGTTCACAGAGTGCTAAAGTTCAAAGGGTGAGCGGGTGGGAAAGGATATAATACCAGCAGAGCAGGCTTTCACATGATATCAGAGCAAGGCGTAAATCCTTTGAGCGGAATAGGAAATCCATTGCAAAAGGTGTTTTTGCACATTGCATTTTAAAAGTGTATAGCTGTGGGCTGAGATCTAAAGGATTCATACACATTTCAGGCCTCTGCCTCTGGTGGAAGCTTCTGCCCGCAGAAAAGCTATTCTGCAGGCTGAGGGAAAAGCTTCTGAGCGACATTCCATGATGTATCACAGGCTGCCACTGGAAGGAGAAACTGGCAAACCCCTTGGTCTTTTTGGATACTGACTGTGGTGAAATCAGAGGTATGAATATGATAAACATGGGTTCACAAACTGGTGTGTCGCCTGGTGTGTCAGCATTAGGGAGCTGTGATGGTCTGTAGGAAGTGCACACTTAGGGGCAAACCTAGGTGGGCCTCTACATAATGTGGGAATTGACCCAAAGATTCATCCTCGTTTGGCAGTTTCATATGTCTTAGACTAAGATCCTTTTCTCTGATTAGGACTATTATTTGGAAATATATTTGCCCCCTTCACCCAGTATCACCTGTCATTTATTTGAACGTTTCTCTTTGTAGGAAATTCACAGTTTGGGCTGCTATTAAACATCAGATTAAAAACACCAATGTGGCCTGGTAACATACTTGCAAGTAAAAGATGAAAATGTTTTAATATCCTTTGGCTATTTTTTTCCCTGACAGATTCCTATACAAGTGTGGTTAAGCCAGTAAGAAAGTCAGGGGATCAGGGATGGAGGCGCAGAATCATGATAGGTGTTTTTGTTCTCAACTTTCAGCTAGTGTATTTTTTTTTAAGTACTGTGAACTGTGCTACTTGGAATACACATGTTTGCTGAGAATTCAGTCTGACTTTTTAAAGGATTTGGCCGGAGTGAGTTAGCACCGCTGCTATGCTTGTGACTTGTCCTCCATCCAAATGAATGTAGTTTATCTGGAGGCAATAGGCAAATAGCCTAAGGTTATATGCTGGCACCTGAATTCCAAGCCTTATCTAAGATTGCAGAACAACCTATTGAGGACAGTCTTTGCTTTCTGAAACAAATACTATAACCCAGTTTTGCTCTCCCTGTGGAACAATATCTTTTCTGGCTGCTAACTCCTTTGGATGCCTGCCAGGCTTTAGCACCCTGTGTCAAATAACACGCTTCTGACAAAGGTTGCCCCAGTCAGGTGGGAGAAAATTACTCAATGTTCAGGTGTCCATGTGAGTGTTTTGTTTTGTTTTGTTTTTGCTCTTGGGCATTTTAATTGTCCTAATCTTAGTTTCACCTAATTGGTGTGTGTGCGCGCGCGCCATTGAATTCCACATGATACTCAAAAAAGCACAATAGAAGTAAAATATATAGGGGAATCTCTGCCTATCAGAAGGCTTTATGAATGATACAAGTTTGTCAGAGAAAGAAAGCACCACCACCACATATCCTGCTTCTCTCTCCATCATAACATACACGAAGATTCTCGGTGTGTGATGTGACATCATCACCCAGTGAATTTGTATGCCTCCATTCTCTGTCATTTGCAACATCTGGTCCCACCCTTAATGAACAGAACCTTTTGGATGGTGGAACCACAAGAGTCACTCCTGAGCAATGTCTGCAGGGCTGGCACCAGCACCTGACATTCTTGGGCAGCTGGCAGGGCCCCAACATTCTGGCAGGGCCCAATGCTGTCACTTGTCCTGGGGCCGCATTTTTTTTTGGGGGGGGTGTTATCAAAGCCAGCTGAGTGTAGCTGCTTTTATTTTCCTGCAATGCCCCCAACATATCTTCACTGTGGGGCTTTGTGGGAAATTAAAATGGCTGCTGACGCCACCCCCCCCATGGCTGCTTTGAGGGCTGCTACTGCCCGCCACTACAACCAAGGCTCAGCACCAAAGGAGGGTTGTCGTTGGAGGGCACTTGGTCAGGGGCCTCTCAAACCTGAAGCTGGTCTAGGAAATCCACCTGGCTTATTCTACCTCAGCTCTGGAAGAGCAGTGAAGATGATGTTGTTTGTGAAGGCCTTCGGAGGAAGTTAGCATTATGATTGCTGTTGGATACTGAGATACTTTAAAGGAGGGGTCAGCAACCTTTTTCAGCTGTGGGCCGGTCCACCGTCCCTCGGACCATGTGGTGGGCCGGACTATATATTGGGGGGGGGGGAGGAATGAACGAATTCCTATGCCCCAGAAATAACCCAGCCATGCATTTTAAATAAAAGCACACATTCTACTCATGTAAAAACACGCGGATTCCCAGACCGTCCTTGGGCCGGATTGAGAAGGCTATTGGACCACATCCTGCCCACGGGCCTTAGGTTGCCTATCCCTGCTTTAAAGGCTGTGTTGTTGCTTTCTTATTTTGAATGTTTTTATAGCTGTTGTAAAAAAAGAAATCATGTTGTTTTAAAAAATTGTATGCCATTGTGGGGGGTCCTTTGGGACTGAAAGTTATGAGTATGATGTTATCATTTGCATATGATGCCCGCCAGATTAGTTCCTTTGCAGGAAACTCTTCTAAAGTTCAAGATGATTATGTGCTCACCTCCGCCTCCTTCCAAAATGATATGTTGTCCCTCTCCTAGGCCCTTCCCCAACTAAGCAGAGTGATGGTTCTGTACACAACACATTTGGGGGGACAAATTCGCACATTAAGAGCTCCTCTGGGAAACTAAGGGAGGTATTTCCATGGAAACACTTGTATAGTAGCTCCTTGTGGTACCCATAACATGGCAGTATTCTTGAGGTGTCTGAGATGAGCTTGGTGCTGCTGCTGCTGCTCAGAAGTACTTCCCACAGCTTCCATGGGTCTGTAACATGAGAACTGATAATAGGTATTGGGGCATAAACATGAAACAACCAGACAGTAACCAGCCTCAACTTTGATTTAATACCATGCAAGAAAGTCTAGCAAAACTGGCAGTCATGTTCCTAGTTCTCTTCTGTTTAGGCTGTGGTTTGGATTTTTAAAGAGAGGAAGACGATATGTGGAATTTCTAGGGCTCAGTTGGGCTTTCGTATGATAGCTCAGTTGCATGAAATGGCTATCATCATGGATAGGGCTTTGTAATTTGATGGAAACGGTTCTTGTCAGGGTCAGCAAGCTTATCAATTTGAACACTAGTCCCCCAGGTCCTAGTCCGACACTTTAACCCCTACACCACACTGACTGACCAGTGGGCTTGATGTGGGCTGGGGGATTGTTGAAAAGGACTTCGTTCCATGTGTGTAGTGAGTCAATCACAGCAAGCCTGTTGTTTCAGACAGCTTAATTTCATGTTGCTCCAGGGGTCGCCCAGACAACACTCAAACTTCCAACGTTGTCTTTGGGTTTTGCACAATAGACTTCTTAGAAGAGTGTGTAATACTGATATTAGGGGAAACTGCAAGGCTGAGTGGTGCAGCAATAAAACAGCTAGCGCATTTGTAGTTAAGCAGGGTCTGTTATGGTTTCAGGTTGGATGGGGGACTGTGTGTTGAGATTCCTGCATTACAGGGCATTGGATTAGATGACCCCCGTTGGGGTCCCTTCCAACTCTTATGATTCTATGACTCAGAAAATGGTAATTAGACACAGGATCACTGATTTGAATCTTAATGAAGGGACTAGAGGAGTTGTTGCACCCAAGGCACCAAAATAAGAGGGTGATTGCCATGACAGTATCTGTAGAGAAGGGAGTTGTGTCAGCTGCCCGTTCATTGAAGCAGCAGAGAGTACAAGGGCTCGGTTTGTTCTTCCTCTTCTCTTTCTAAGACACAACCTCCCTTTTCACATCTGCATGTTGAACCGGTATCATTCATTTTGTCACCAGGATCCAAAGAAATGTCTGCATAGTTATACATGTGTCCAAAGGTGCATGTGTTTCTCATAGGACAGTCCTCCTTTGCCACATGGTAAGCAACTTTTGGAATTGGAGGGGAGACTCAAAAGCATTTTGCACTATGACAAAGAGGCAGGGGAAGGGGCCTAAAATATTTCCTTGGAGAGATCAGAGCTCCTTGGGGGAGGCTTAATCTAACTCTTCGGAGCCCAGTCTAACCGGCTGGTAGAGGAAATTTCATGGCATAATGATATGTACACTATTTATGAGTCTCTTGCTACGGCCATAGTTGTCCAAAAGATTCTCCCTGAGGCAAGGAGGAAGATAGGTAGCTTAGAGACATGTAGCAAATAGTCACACTAGAAATTTTTGACCAGTTGCCACCTGACTTGCTAGTTTTCATCCTCTGCAGGCCAGTGAGTCTAGATTTTTGTCCTCCTGGGTCACAAACCGGGAAGGATGTCCGGACACTTTCAGAGCTAGTGTGAAAAGCATGACATTTGCTTCCTGTGTTACTTGCATACAATGGCATATGCTTGGTTTCCACGATATATGCATGTTGTAAATCCCAGCTGCCTCTTGTGTATATCTGTGTTGTACACGAAGCTGAGAATTTCATATGTTGTTCCTGCCTGCACATTCTAAGTGTATGGATAAAATGTTCCATTTGCAAACTGTAAAACATAACGTAATGTGTGACAGGTAGCAAAATGGAGGAGAGGAAGTGCTTTGGGGAGCTAGTGTCTCTAGTATGGAACAACTCTGATTCTGAATGCACGCTGTTTAACTAAAATGATCAGATTTCTGCCCCATACTCCCATCTTGATCCTAAATCAAGGCACATTAATTCCAGTAGGACTCACTCTCCAGTCTGAGAGTGGCTGTCTGAGCCAAAAGGTGAATTCTGAAGAACATCTCTTTGAATACAATGACCCTTTCTGGTAAGTACATGCTTGTAGTGGATGGTGTGGCGAATTAGAGGCACTTATCTGTCACCCCAGCAGCAGTACTAGATTGGCTCAACCTGTGCATTTGCACCATTCTGACCTCACCAGCACCTACTATGTCTCCCTTGCAGTAAGCAGCAGCAGTGCACGCCTCCATTACACCATGCTATGCACTGCTGTGTGTGTGTCTATTTGTAGGGCCTGGAACCGCTTGTTCCTGAGAAACTTGTAAAACCGAACAAAGTGCATATGTTTGGAATCAACAGGATTGAGATGGGACCGGCTGATGATTCTTGCAGAAATTTTTGGAGTCCTTCATTGGCAAATTTGAGTAGGGCCATTGGCCAGGTGTTCAAGTGGAACATGTTATGGGAAGTTTGTGGCAGTCAGATTTGTACGAGACAGAATGCCTGTAATTGTGTGTGTGAGGTGTGTGTGTGTGTGTGTGTGTGTGTATAGGAAGGATGGGAATGTGCAAAGACATCTCGGGGATCCATTGTATCTTTGTGCACAGATAACTACTCACTGCACCCCTTACAGGATACTTGTCTGTGGGAGTTTGTGCACACTACAACACTGACAGCAAATGCGGTACTTATTTTTCTCTCTCTGTAGGAATGAAGGGCAACCATAGGAATATGTACAGGGGTTCATCTGAGAACACCACCAAGGTGGAGCAAACCTACCCCCTGCCCCTGGTGCTCCTGGAGTCTGAGGGGCAGGCTTAGCCCTTTCATCTCAACTGTGTACAGATTGAGTTTCTTGATCATGTTAGCTGGAATGGCGGACACACACACACTCAGTGTTCAGTCTTTGGAAAGGTCACACTGATATTTACAATATTTTATATAAAAGAATTAATAAAGGGAGAAAATAATAGGTCACAGTCATGGCAGGAATCCCAATCTAAATTATCTAGGTGGGGCAGGAAAGTGTGTGTGATGTTGGCATGGGAGGTCAACCTAAAGCAAGAAAACTTAAAAATTGCCCTCTTGGTCCACACAGACCTTACCCCACCTATTCTCATCCCAAATAGCTTCCTTTCTTGTATCACCTCCTCCCTGTAGTTTATGTACACGCCTAAATGAGAAGCTTGTGGCTTATGGAAACCATCCCCTGCTATCTTCGTTGTTTGCAAGGTCACCATTTGCTCAGATCCCTCCATAACCATCAGCATTTGACAAATGAAACATTGCTCCTGGTCCCCATATACACTTAAATGGTTAAAGATGGGGCTGTGGTTCCCAACCTCTTGATCTTTAGAACTATTTGAAGGGGCAAAAGATGGTGGTGTCTTGTTTACCTTGTTCTCTGCCTGACAGATTGCATGTGACAGATGCAAGCTATCTAAGTGCCCAACAACTGGAATAGATGGTTCTTTCACATCACAGCAAATCAATAGCCTCTCTTGACCCTCTTCCCCCACTTTGAAGAGTATCTCACTATCCCCACTGAGCGAAATATGCTCCCCACTATGCATAGAGGAACTACTCTGCTGCTGACTTGGCTGCAAGCTGTGTACACCTCCATCCAGATTGTTTCCTTTGCGCTAATGAGTTTTTAATCATTGGATTCTTGGCTGAGAAGCTGTTGAGTTCAAAGAACTCCTTTCATTTTGTACAGGAGGAAAGTTGGCCTAGCTGGAGGCTGAAACTTTTTGGAAACTTAGCTGTTATTCAAAAACATTTGACTCTTTCCCCACCCCCTGCCCCATTCCCCAACCAACGCACACTCTTCCCCTCCTCCTTAATCCACCTGCTTCAGTGCCATATGTCTAAACCTGGAACAGCTCCAGTCCTGAAACAATGGCCTTTGGTCTGACTTGGGCCTACTAGTAACAGTAATAAAGGCAGACTCTGAAGGGAGAGAAAGAGAATGTCTCTTGCAAACTGCTCGGAGTTTGGGCCAATGGGTGCCTAAGTACCAAAAAAATTCTAGATAGAAGATGGTCATTCTAGCATTGGGAGGATGTTTTTATTGATCCAAAAATTACCATGTGAATGGTGAGCCTGGAGGATGTTTTCTTTCCTTTAGCAATCAGCCTCTCTTGCTTGCTTGAACCATCCTTTTAAAGACCTAACAATGTGGTAGATACATCATTTGTAGCAACTTCAGTTAAATACCCTTCTAAGCTGAAGACTAGCTCCGTTTTAATTTTGTTGAATCAAGAGAGGATTTCCATCTTTTCTCTCCTTTGCCTCCTGCCCCTAATCATATCCTTCCATTCAGGTCCTCCTTTCCAGCCACCTCTGAAAAATGCAAATGGGGATATGTGGATCCAAAATCCTGCCTTTATGCAAGAAAATGCTTCTTTCACTGTCCATTCTTTTCATGTGCCTCATAATCTAGTAGTACCTTTTCAGCCAAGCTGTCCTCTGCTAGCTACTACGTTCTGGAGTCTCATTATGAAATTAAATAGTGTTTTGAATTGCCTTGGGTGGGGGGAAATGGGAAGAATGTTTACTAGTCCCTTTGTGCAATCTACTGGCCTGTAACCTTTTATGATGATCAGCACTGCTTCACTTGCACAGTTGGAAGGGGAGAAAAGCAATTGACTGGGATTTTGCATGCATGGCTGAATGAGGATGATAGCAGTACTTTAGGGTCTGAAATTAGTGTCTGTTTTCATTGAAGGAGATTCTCACCAGGCTATATTTGGGATATATATATATATATATATATATATCCAATTCAAGCCTCCTGTCCTCTCAGACACAAAGGATTCTGCCATCTCTATTATGTTTTTCTGACTGCCTCCCCTTTCCAAATCACCCTAATCTCCAAATACCAAGGAGCAAAACAGGGTTGCTTCATCTATAGAGGACAAATGGATGCCCACCAGAATTTGCAAAGTGTCACATAATGCTATTAGGTTTTTCCCCTCAGTGAATTTGTGGCAAGAGAAACCCATTTTACAATATGAAAAATGCAATGTTTGAAGAGGCCCACTCTCTTCTGTGTATGTACCTTAACAATGCTCTTGTCTTTTATATTGCTTTCTTGCAGATAAGGCAAGGGACTTCTTTTCTTATTTTTTGATGGTAAAACCTGTAAAGTAGTATTCAGCTAAGTTTTACTAAGAGTAGTCCTGTTGAAATTTATGGACTTCTCTTAGTCATGTTCATTAATTTCAGTTGGTCTATTCTGAGTGAAACTTAGTTAAATACCAGAATATATGGACACTCAGGAGCATAGGGTTGGTTAACCATGTGTAGTGTTTCTGTTGATGTTAGCAAGTCTCCTTATCCCCATGTGATGAATGAAGGAGACAGATTCTTCCAGTGCATTGCAAGTGCTCTCTGTGGCAATTGACTATACAGTGGTACCTTGGTTCTCAAACTTAATCAATTCTGGAAGTCCGTTCCAAAACCAAAGCATTCCCAAGCCAGGGCGCGCTTTCCCATAGAAAGTAATGCAAAATGGATTAATCCGCTCCAGACTTTTAAAAACAACCCCTAAAACAGCAATTTAACATGAATTTGACTATCAAACGAGACCATTGATCCATAAAATGAAAGCAATAAACAATGTACTGCAGTCACACAATCAATCAGTAGCTGAACCGGGTTCCACACAGTCACAAAAACAAAACAAAAAGGCACAAAAACAAAAACGCAAAATGAATAGCAAAAACAGACAGAACTCATCGTAACACTCAAAACGGAAGTGTGGCACTCAAATCGGAAGCGTAACACTCAAATTGGAGCACTTTTGGCTTCTGGAAAAAGTTCGCAAAGTGGAACACTTACTTTCAGGTTTGCAGCGTTTGGGTTCCAAGTTGTTAGAGTACCAAGGCGTTTGAGAACCAAGGTACCACGGTACAGGCAACGCTCCCATTTACACAGAGGTTATGGTCCGAGGCATCACAGGCATCAGTGAAATCACATATATTTGAAATACCATCAGAAAAGCCTGCAAACACTCCGTTCCACCCCCTGCCCCTTTTTGTGATGTTTTTGGGTCATTTCTGGATGTGCTTGTGCATGGTCCCACACATACTGAATGTGTGTAAATGAGGGGTTTGCCTGAATTGGACAAAACCTGGTAACCCAAAAAGCAGGGGATGCAAGCAGATGTAAGGCAAGCAAGTAAGCAGCTTTTAAAAATTAAAAATAATGGAATGATAAGAGAGCTTTGTCTCTTTTAAATAAAATTATGTTAACTTCAGTTCAGAATCATGAAAACTGGGCTTTGGGCCATGTTTGTGTTTAAATGATCCCCTTCAGGTTGGATAGATCAGTTTAGCAGCTCAACTGCTGTTATTCAAGGGAAATCTTGTTTACATACAGCTTGGATTATAGCAGTTGAACCTGTATCCATTAACATTTACATCTTTGGTTAGATGTAAACATCCATGGATATAGGCGCAAGTGCTCTAATCCAGGCTGTAAGATTCCCCTTGAATAACAACAGGTGTGAAGTATAGGGAAATTGCTCATCACAGCGCAAGGGTGGTAGCAAAGGGTGAAATCAGTCCTATGCAAACTTATTTGCAATAATAAAAATCTAAACAAAAGAATACTTAGATCTGTCTTACCGTAAGAGATTTTGAGTTTACCCAACAAGCAAAAACATTCCTTTAGAGCAAGCTTTTGATTCTGTTGCTGCTTATTGTATTGTATGTGAGCATGGCTCTTTCCCTTCTTGTTTTCTTTTTGCTTTTTCAATAGCTTTACTTTGATAGTTTAATGGTTGGCTCCTTCCTGTTTTTCTGTTCTGTTTTATATTTGTAAGCCACTTTGACAAATGCCTTTGTGGAATGAAATAATAGGGCGTATATATCAAAATGCTCCTTTAAAAAATCCTAATGCAAAGGGCCCTCCTACCTTCAAATTACTAGCCAACCAGGTGCATTTCAACAGAAGCTCCTATCAAACGAGGGAGGCTAGTGTTAAAGGAACTTGAACACAGTTTTCAAATTACAGCAACCTCCCTAGGTGTATTCAAGCATTTGACTGAACAAGCAAATGTGAATCCATGCAGTGTGAGAAACTGAGATATGAAAGCTAGGAGCTAAATGGCACCTTAATCCTAGGTTATGGGCGCAACAATGGAATGTCTAGGCACGCCTTTTTTATAACCAGAATACAAATCAGAAAATGAATGAACTGCAGCTAAAATATTATGTTCATTTTACACATGGTCTAGTCCAGGGGTGAAGACAGGAGTGCCTGGCGTGCTCTGGTCCATGGGGTCACGAAGAGTTGGACACGACTAAACGACTAAACAACAAACAACAGTCCAGGGGTCAGCAAACTTTTTCGGCAGCGGGCCGGTTCACTGTCCCTCAGACCTTTTGGGGGGCCAGACTATATTGGGAGGGGAATGAACAAATTCCTACGCCCCACAAATAACCCAGAGATGCATTTTAAATGAAAGGACACATTCTACTCATGTAAAAACACACTGATTCCCAGACCCTCTGTGGGCCGGATTTAGAAGGCGATTGGGCTGGATCCGGCCACCAGCCCATAGTTTGCCTACCCATGGCCTAGTCCTTCCCCTGCCCACTCCCTTAATATTCTTAAGAGGGTCTCTTCTCCAGTCTTCAGAAAGTAGCTGGAAGTGGGGAGGCAGAAAAAGGTCCTCCTTTCCTTCCACGCTGCAGTTTTAATCTGAAATCTTAGGCGCAGTACTGCACCTAGAGCTCAGAAACTGCTCACGCTAAAGAATTTCCCTATCGCAAAATGCATCTAGAACAATGGGAGTTTCGAACGCTGAATCCATGGATGGGAATCAGAGAATTGTAGAGTTGGAAGGGACCCTGAGGGTCTAGTTTAATCCCTTACAATGCAGAATTCTCAACTAAAACTTTCGTGACAGATGGCTATCCTCTGCTTAAAAGCAGCAACTATTGTGCAAGCTGCACCCCCAAACCCTGGCAGCTCAGCTCCCCACTTCCCCTCTGTTGAGCAAGGAATGTCTATTGGGGGCTTTTATTCATGTTTGCTTGAACATAGGTAGAGCTCTCCATGTTACTGGGGATCCTGACAAAGCAGGGGCCCTGATTGCATGGGGCGTTCTACTTGCATTCAGCCAAATGCAAAGCTCCTGTAGACCTTCCTTGCTCAGAATGTGATTGAAACAAGGATGTTGTATGCATTCCCTTGCTCTCCTGTGCGCAGTTTTAGCCCATGTGTGCTTAGCAAGGGAGCCTGAGGGAGCCATTTCCAGCAGGAAATGTGGGAAGCAGAGAACCAGTGCAAATTTGCAAGAAGTAATTAAAGTGAGTGGGCAAAATAGTTCCCCAATGATGCAAAAACAGGAGTGGAATCCTATAAGCTGTTCTGAAGAGGTATGAATCTAGTTACTAAACAGCTCAACTTATGTGAAACACTTAGGTTTGGATTCAGACTGTTAAAATTAATTGGACAACGACTCCATTCCCACCTATTTGAATAAAATTAAGTTCAACTAACTATATAAAAAGGTGGAGGAAACAACAGCCACACACTGCCTGGTAACCATGTTGTTGCATGTCCAGATCTTGGGTGGTTGTGCTTTCACCTGATCCAGAGCTCATTTTAGTTTGAAAAGTATAATGAGAGTTTTAACTAAGACTGCAAGCCTATGCACACTTACCTGGGAATAAGCCCCATTGAACACAGTGGAACTTACTTCTGAGTAAACATGCACAGGACTACACAGTGCAACTCGGAACACTCAAGATTTTATGGGAAACTTAAAGAGCGGATTCAGACATTCTAACAGTAACAGTGATTTGCACAAACCCTCTTGGTTGTTTATCTCTAGTGTTGTGAACTCTTTGTCAGGCTCTTCTAGATAACCAAACAAAGCAGGCGCTAAGTACTGTAATTTGTGAGAAAGTGTGTCATACCCTTCTAACAAGGGATTTGCAAAATATTACCAGCTGTGGTATTGACTCTTATGAGAGACCACAGCGTCCAGCTATAGCCTGTGGCAATCTTACTGCCATGTTTCAACTAGGGCAGGGGTCTGCAACCCGCGGCTCTGGAGCCGCATGTGGCTCTTTTACACCTTTGCCGCGGCTCCGGGGTGGATACTAGCAAGGGGAGGAGGCGCATTGTGCGCCCCGACACTCCCCACTGTGGCAGGCGCTGTATTGGCTGTGACGTCGCATGGGGGCGGTGCGTGCGTTAGTCACGCACCGTCCCGACGTCACCTTCCTGCCTGCTGTCAGATCGGAGGGCAGCGGCACGCATGCTTTAAATGTCGCAATGGTTTTGCGGCTCCCAGGTTTTTTTTCTTCGGAAATGGGTCCAAGTGGCTCTTTTTGTCTTAAAGGTTGCAGACCCCTGAACTAGGGAGTTATAGCTCTTCTGATTTACTGTGCTGGAAATGTATGGGTAGCTGATGGTAGAACTAATATGGCTGGAGCTATAAGTAGGGCTTTAGGGTCATAGGAATCCTAGTCTTTCCACACTTTTATGTTTTCAGGGTTTTATATCAATATGCAGATGACGATTTGGATTACTGATTGTTTTGGAATCCAGTCTTGGAACATCTTCACAAGCATTGATGTTTCCAAAACATTTTCTTGGTAGGAAAATATGTTTATCCTGTATTGACTCTAATGAGAGACTCTTAGGTGTGATCAACACATATGTGTCTGTTTTGCCATTGAGCAATGCATAGTGGGAAGTTGTAATGACTGGGGCTTCCTAAAATATGTGCATGCATCCAATTAGACATGTGTACACTCGTTGAACACACATGGTGCACTCATGGCATATTCGTATGGTCACATATGAAGTGGTTCTTGGTTTCAGTGACTTGGGAAGCATATGTGTGAAGCCAAAGAAAGGTGCTGATTTCATCTATTAGCCTATCATCTGGGTCATTTATGTTAATTTTTGTTTTAAATTTGACGTACAGGAGGCAACAGAGGCAGAGGAGAGAAAAAGAATCCAGGATAAACGAGCGAACAATGTGTGTCAATTTCTGTTGCACGTATATGGGCAGAGTTTCATTGACAGGAATGAAGAACCTGTGGTCCTCTAGATATTGATGGACTGCAGTTTGCATCATGCCTGACCATAGCCCATGCTGGCTGGAGTTGATGGGAGTTGGAATCCAACAACATGTAAGTCAGCCAAGAGTGAGTTTCAACCACTTAAAATGCAATATTAGGTAAAGGTAAAGGGACCCCTGGCCATTAGGTCCAGTCGTGACCAACTCTAGGGTTGCGGCGCTCATCTCCCTTTATTGGCCGAGGGAGCCGGCGTATAGCTTCCGGGTCATGTGGCCAGCATGACTAAGCCGCTTCTGGCGAACCAGAGCAGCACACAGAAATGCCGTTTACCTTCCCGCTGGAGTGCTACCTATTTATCTACTTGCACTTTGACGTGCTTTCGAACTGCTAGGTTGGCAGGAGCAGGGACCGAGCGACGGGAGCTCACCCCGTCGCGGGGATTTGAACCACCGACCTTCTGATTGGCAAGTCCTAGGCTCTGTGGTTTAACCCACAGCGCCACCAGCATCCCCAAAATGCAATATTAAAAATAGCTTAAAACAAATTACAGTCACAAGAACAGATTGGGTCTGAATATTATATCTTGGGTGACAAAGGCCAGGGTATAGAGACGTGTCTTTAGTCAAAGAAGAAAGAGACAGCAGGTAATAGTTCAAAGCCAAGGTTTCATATGCCAGGAGAACTAAAATTATGCTCATTGTCTAAAAGGAAAGGTCTTCACAAAACAGCAGGTGGCCATCAAAGAGTGAGGGAAGTGGGACCCGCTCCCCCAGGAAAGGATGTAAAGAGTCCTGGTGTGTGCGACCACAGGAAAGGTCCTCTCCTGCTGTCAACCAAATACATACCTGATACCACAGGAAGGTCCTTTTGTTTCTGAAGGAACTGGGCTACAGCATGCAGATCCAGTTGACACAAGGGTGGCTTGCAGCACCGAAGGCTCCTAAACACAATTTGTAGTGTTCATGTGTTAGACACAAGTGACTGTGCATCCACTTGGAGAAAAAGAAGAGAGCTCACGTCATGGTACCAGGTCATACTGAGAAACCTTTGGCAGGTATTGGGGGGCGGAACACATCACAGCAGGGTAAAAGTCCTTTTAGCCACCTTTCTCACTTGCAAATATAAGCAGCGGTAGAAGAGACACTGAAAATTGCCCTGTCTTTTCAAAAGTCTCAGCATGACCCTGAGCCCAGCAGGGCTGCCGGCAGTAAAAGAGACACCAATCCACAGAAGAGAGCAATCCCAGCTGAGCACTTAAAGTAAGTGTCACCTTTAAGGAATACCATTGCTTTTCATGCTGTGCCAGAAAGAGCCCTTTTTTCTGAATTGGAGTGGGGAGGAGGGTGAGACTGATTAGTGGGGACATGGACAATATGGCTCCTGGTGGTGGAAAGTCCTTAAAGGTTTACAACATTGTTTGCTAGGTGTCCTTGCTTATAACCAAGAAATCCACCCAACTAGGAGACAAAGAGGAGGTTGGGGGCGGAAGAGCAGGAATTTTGTCCTGCTTTGATCTCCAGCACCTTGGGTGCATGGACCTTGTCCCTAAAATGCAGGCCCATTTAGGAGTTACCTCTGCCTTCCATCTTATAGCGCCATGGCTTGAAGCGAAGAGGCTCAAAGCAGCGCCTGTTCAATGCTGGGTGTAGTGCAGAACTTGCCTTCTCGATGTCTGTCTGTGGTTGCTTCTTTAAAGCTTCTAGCCCACATGTTAGCATGAAACAGTTTGTATATACGCAACTGCGTCTTCTTAGTCCCTCAATCTTAAATGGAAGGCAAGTACAGCAAGGGAGAGTATTATCAGATCAATATGTCTAAATACGTAGAGGGAAAACGTTCAAGTTGTGATGTTTGGAAGTAAAAAATACTGACAAGTTATCAAAAAGTCTTTGCAATAGTGGGAATCTTCTTTGGCTCTTTCCCCACAGAGAGCTACAATTCCCAGAGTTCCTTGGGAAGAGGAATTGACTGTTAAACCACTTGGAGTTGTAGCTCTGTGAGGGAAGTAGGGGTCTCCTCACAACTCTTAGAAACGGCAGCTCCCAGGGTTCTTTGGGAGAAGCCGTGACTGTTTAAAGTCGTATGATACTGCTTTCAGGGAGATGGGGTCTGTGTTGTCTGGCTATAGGGCTTTGGTGCGTGCCCTTTGAGCCCCAGAGCCGTCCTTGGCTGTGGCAGCTGTGCATCTTGAGGGGTTTGTCAGCAAAGTGCCAGTTTGCCAGGCCAGCACTGAACACCTCCACTTGCTCTCGCACCTCCCTCTCTTTTCCATGCCCTGTTGCCGTGTGCTCCCCATAACAAATGCTTGACATAAGGGCAGCTCTGTGCCTGCAGAGCAACTGTGCCTTGCCCACATCCCTCTGCTTCGAACCGGGTGCCAGATCAGGGCAGGTGTAGGAAGGGGCTGCCAAAGCTGTTTGCTGGAGAGAACAGACAGCAGGACACGCAGGGATAAAATAAGGGCGCACTGTGAGGAATGGAGTGGTGCGGGGAACAGGTGCCTCAGGAGTCCGAGAGACACAAAGAGCCTCTTGTCTCTTGTCCAGAGCTGGAGAACAAAACAAATGCCATTCTTCCTAAACTTTTAGGGTGGGTCGAGTGTAACTGAATGCCGGCAAACAATGCAGAGGCAAAGTTTCCTCCTCTCTTGAAACTCTCTTGTTTTATTACTCTGCAATAAAAGAAAACTTGTTTTCTGCCCAAATGGCAGAGCCCTTTCTTAGTTATCTCCAAGGCACAAAAATAAAGATGGGGACTTTCCTCAGGATGAACAGATAGGAATGAATTAGGAGCCCGCACCCCCAGCTGGCATTTAGTTACTCTGTTGGCAAACGGGAGGACGGGAAGATATGTAGGACCCTGTATATTTATTTCCAAAATAATGATAATGACTATAGTCTAAACCTTACTCTCTGACCGAGTGGTTCCTGACCTGAGAGCTAGAGAATATGGTTTGTGATACAGTCCAATTAGCTAGTGTTATTAGAGAAGGAAGTATGAGAGATAACTGTTTTATGGGGAAATGGAGCTTATTTCTCAAGTTCTGGAATAACAAAGCTACAAGATGCCACAGAAGCATGTGCTGTATTAAGTGCATTGTAGTTGAGATTCTGAGAATAATTCTGTGAACAACGTAATATCAGTAATCATAATGGTAAATGTAGGTCTTCCATTGCCTTTGTTTTAGCAGAGATCACAGAAATAATTTTTTTTTTAAGATTCCATTCTGATTGTACTATCTTTTATAAATGGGGGAAACCTCAAGTTCAGTAACTTGTTATGTCTTTATTGCTGCAATTAAGTTTTTAAGGACAGTTGGTACGGTACACAAATTATATGCCCCTGATTAAGAGCAAGAATTTAGCATATGTTGGTTTTGATTGTTGTTGTAACCTAACCCTGGGACCTTATGATGAAGGGCAGGAAAGAAAATCCCTGAAGAAATTAATAATTTTGGATCGTAAATTCACAATTGCAGGATTGTTTTGATTTTTGCAGGATGCTTTTGTGTGGTGTCACCATAGTACACTTACACACACACACCCCTCTATTAGTGCCACTGAGCCAACCCCTGTGCTGGGATTTTTTTACATTAGCATTGCAAACTACCTGACACAAAAAAATGGCTTGTGTCTCATATGTGAAAATGTCCTTAGATTAGTATTTGGCTAATCTCACTGGCACCTAAGTGCTAGCAAAGGGCAGTCTCTTCCTCTTGCTCCACCACACCCTGTCCTGTCTGGATGCAGTGTGAAATGGCATCAAACAATTCTGGTTTCAAAGCTTGAAAGTGTTGGACTGAAAGGGGTCAGAGAGTGGAAGCTTCTGGTTGTAGCAGCACATACCCTATTCATCTCCTATCAGACAGACTTCTCAGATCATTAAGATACCCTGTCCAGATGCCAAATGAGGTTTTGTTTTGTTTTGTTTTATCATTTTATTGCTTGTTGTTTGCCACCCTGGACTCCTTTGTGAGGAAGGGTGGGGATATAAATTTCAGAATAAATTAATATTCAGCTGGGAGAGGCACCATGATATTATTGAATGAAAACATGGTGTATTGGCCCTGGGCAGTCCTTAAAAGAGAGCAGTCATCTTAAGCAGTAGCTGACGGGCTATATTCGAACTTTGCAAGGGAGACTGCAATGACACCGAGCAGACTGGGGAAAGCTACTCTGTGCACCCTCAGAGCTGTGCATATCTGTAGGACTGGGACCCCCATCACTTATTTTGGTGAGCCAGGTGCAAAGGACTTACACCTCTGTGAAAATTCAGGCAAGGGGACAAAATAATCTCATCTCTCCTACTGTTTTGCCCATCGTTCTAGGGGTTCTCTGGACCCACTCAAGCAAATTGGAAGATGGCGAGCAGGGTGCAAGGGGGAAGAAGAGAGGAAATTATTTTGCACTCATGGGACTCATTTTTCTGGCTTCGGCTAGTGCAACAACTTAGCTGAATCCAGCCCAGAATGTTTAATTGGAGTACTTAATAACCCCTGCATCCCCCCTCCCCTTGTTTTTTCCAGTTTGATGGCTAGTCACTAGTTGCTGTGAGAAAGGAGGACTGCGATTCCATCTGTGAAACTGATAGAATTTGTGTGAAGGCTGCTACACATATTACACGTATATGAGACTCTTGATAGACTGCATCTGTCAGGAATCCCTGGAACACAATAGCTTCTGGAGATGCTCAGCAATAGGTGGAGCTGTGCGCTCTGATCTTGTCTTGTATTCAGATCCTTTTGATGAGAAGGCTGTTGGAAGACTAATTTTGACCTGAATGCTTAACTTCACAGCATCTTAGGGTGCTTACCTGTGGAGTTGAAAATGGAGCAGGGGCATAAATTGTGGGTCCTCAAAGCAGCAGCCACAGCCAAGCACATATTTCTCAAAAGTTGGAAGGCTTTCAGCTCCTCAGAGAAATGAACTTATTAGACCTAGCAGTTAAAGAACAATTGCCTTGAGTCACCAGTACAAATATGCAACATTTTGGCTCCATTCCTAAAACTATATGGTAACTAGCTCGTGGCAGCGAAAATGCAAACTAATTAAGCTGGTTCATGTTTTGCTGTCTTTCCCCCACTTCCCCCTCCTCTTTTCATATCTATCTTGGACATAGAGTGTGGGAATGTCTTAGAGGAGGCACTGAAAAAGCTGTATAAATATTAATAATCTTAGCTTATATATAATTACATGAGGTTTGGTTGGAGGGGCTGGGAGGGCTGTTTGGTTGCTGTGTTATTTTTGTAACTTTGCAAAAATTGATACAATCTTAATAGAAAAAAGGAGAAAGTAAAGCACTTTGCACACTAAGAGAAAGTCCATGCAATCACATTTGCAGGTGATCTGTTCTCTGAATCAGAGTACTATACATTCTAGTCTGTGGAATAGCAGCAGGATCGATACAACAGAAATGTATTATTATAATAAATGTATTATTTACTTACTTACTTACTTACTTACTTACCCTGTCCATCTGGGCTGGGTTACCCCAGCTACTCTGGGCTCTTCCAACACATATAGAAACCTAATAAAACATCAAATATTAAAAACTTTCTTTTAAAAAAAAAATATATATTTATTACTTTTCCAAAAAATTTAAACACTAAAAGAAAAGAAAGAACACATACAATACAATACATTAAACTGACAAAACAATGCAACAACAATAAAATAAATCAAATTTCATTCAATATCTTATATTTCATTCACTTATTTCCAGCGACTTCCTCACACCTCCCTTTTGTATTCCACTTCTATTATTTGTTTCAGCAATTCCTTTCCATCTTACTCTGTTTTCTGTTCTATAATTATCTTAACACATTCTTACCATACTTTTCCTTTAATTTTCTATTAATCTATTTCTACTTAATTCCTTATGACATTTCTACTAAAGCCATGTAATTTCATTCCAACATTTTTCTAACATTCCTTAATTTTACAATATTTCTATAAATAGTCTTTAAACCTTTTCCAGTCTTCTTCCACCAACTCTTCACCCTGGTCTTGGATCTTGCCAGTCATTTCCGCCAATTCCTTATAGTCCATCAACTTCATCTGCCATTGTCCAACATTTCAGTGTTTTCAAGAAGCAACCATTCTTCAACCAGCAAAAAGCAGATGGTTCACAACAAAGTTTAAAGGTCTGGCAGGGCAGGTCCACCTCCTTCTTTAGCATCCATCAATATCTTAAGCTTAACTCGAGGCTTCCTGCCCTGCCAAACAACTCTAGGAGCATCCCTCTGCCACCTCCTGAGACCCTCCATCCCATCCAGAGCTTGCAATGTTTGAAACAACAGCAACATCCCCAGCAACACAGCAGCCCCCATCCTCGCCACAACAACTCGGCCCAACAGTAACAACTTCTGATTTGTCCATATTTCCAAATTCCCCTTCTCTTCAATCCAACATCCTTCACAGTTGTCCTTAAGCAGATTCACATTTTTGGTGGTCATACTAACCCCCAAATACCTCTCTTTCTCAACCAATGTTAGTCCTGTCACCTCCTGAAACTCTGTCAGGCTTTCCTTCTCCAACTCAGACAGGGCTCTGGTCCCCAAATTCATCCGCTCTTCTTTAAGTTCAATCATAACGAATGTCAGCTTATGTTCATCAAGTTGTCTTTGTATGGATGGGATTCTCCTCTCCAGTTGTACCACCTTAAGTTCAGCAGCAAGGGTTTTTTCCCTGACTTCATCTGCAGTTTGCCGTATCAGAGTAGATTCCTGTATCAGTTTCTGGGTGGTTTCTGAATCGGTATCCAGCTTTTGTCCCAACTTATTTAAACCTTCTGCAATTAAATCAGTCTCAATATTTGCAACATCCAATTTCACATTCCTCGCATCTGTTTTCTTATGGAGTTGTTCCAGCGAATCGTTTATCTTCAATAATGCAGCCACTAAGGCCTCCTCTGTCGACATCCCGTCTGTTTTTTCCCTTCCGTTTGCCATAACACTTAAGAGATTCAAGGTCAATCCAAAGTCTCACACTTTCCTTATCTTGCAGCTGGAAATTCCCCTAGCCCCGCTCCTATAGAGTAACCAATTTCAAAAGCTTCCGCTAGGGGAAAACAGGTTGTATTTGTATCGGTCAATATGTCCTCTTTTAAACACAATTTCAATAATCCGAAGTTAGTTTCAATTTTCAGTTACTTTCCTCCTTTTTTAAAAACAGCCGGAAACAGTAGAAACAATGTATTTCTCTTGCTTAGCTAGCTGTCAATGAACGTTCTAAGCTCTGTCAATGAACATTCCAAAGAAAAGAGGGGAAAAAAATCAGTCTTACTAGCAGCCCGTTTCCAGGGTCAGAGCGGCGGTGGTTTTTTTTTTAAATGATATTTATTAAAAGTTTAAGAATTACAGAAAAAAGAGAAAAAGAAAACAACAAAAAATTTGACAAAGCATACATTACAATACATAAAAAGAAAAGCATAAAAAACAATACAACAATACAGCAAAAACAACAACAATAACATTAAAACACACATCCAATGTTCCATATCTTTATCTTTCATTTACTTGTTTCATCGACCTCCTCACACCTCCCTTTTTGTATTCTAATTTAATTAATTGTTTCAGCAAGTTCTTTCCATCTTTCTCAATTTTTGTTATATAATTTATCTTAACGATCTAAACTTTTAATTAACTCAACAAATCCTTTCCATCTTTCACTATTTTCTGTCATTCAATTTACCTTAATTTATTTAACCTTATCTTACCATAAAAAAAAACCTTAAAACTTAAAACTTAATGTACATAACTCCTTATATCATTTCTACTAAAGCCAAATAGTTTCATTCCAACATTTTTCCTAATACTCGTTAATTTTACACTAATTCTCAAAATAATTTTTTTTAAAACTTTCTTCCAATCTTCATCCAACGTCTCTTCTTCCTGGTCTCGGGTTTTGTCAGTCCTTCTTGTCCATTCCATCTAGTCCATCAACCTGGTGATCTTATGTCCGAGGCTCTTAAGCCTTTTCCATGTCCCTTCTGCAGATCTTCTTCTTGTTTATACCTGCACTTTACTTTGTCTTTTGTTGATCTTTTTCTTAATTTCTTTCCTTTCTCATTGGGGGGTAGGTCTCGGGAGGACCCCAATCCAAAAAAAATCTCCATCTCTCCTCAGCAGATCAGCCCATTCCCCACAGTCCCATTCCCCACAGTCAACACTATAATCCAGGAAGTATTTAAAAGCATGTTTCAAAGTCCTTCCAAAATTAAGAGCCCTCACAACTCCAGACCCCCCTGGTCCACTCCAGATTCAAACTTCAAGAACAGCGGCTTATGCTCCTGCAAGGCCTCGGATCTCTCCATTTGTGTTACTTGAGGTTCAACAGCAACCTCCTCCATTATCTTCTGCACTTGCGCTTGCCCTGTCAAAACAAGTTCCTGGGCTGGTTCCTGAATGGTTTCTATATGGGTATTCGCCGTTTGTCCAAAGTTTTTAACTGCAACAGTCGTCAAATCCATCTTCTCATGCATCTGCTCCAGCAAAGCGCTTGTCTTGCAAAAAGCAAGCACCAAAACTTCTTCTAAACACATTTTTATTCAAGGTCAGAGTCTGGTCTCACGATCCTAATCTTACAGCTGTGAAATCCCCAGATCGACTCCGGCAACAAATTAACAAGCTCCCTCTAGAGGAGACAATTTCTATTTGTATCCATCTTTTGAAAGCAGGACCAACAAAAGAAAATTACTTTCATTTTTCAAATACTTTGTTTCTTTTGAATGCAAGAAGCAACATTGGAGTCAATTTGTTTCACTTTTTTTACTGTCTGTCAAAAGACGTTCCATTCACAGTCGATGAACTTCCCATAAATTTCTGTCTCTGACTCTCGGTTCCGAGGTTTTAGACGGTGGAAATTTATCTTTCTTTACTCTCTCTCCTGCAGGCTTAAACAGTCAAAAATTCCCCCCCTTTTCTCCTGCTTCCAAGAGGGGTTTTGGTGGTAATAATTGAAGGAAATTTAGACCTTTATATACGACTTTCCAGACTTTAGCTTACAAAGTTTTTGCTTCAATCTATTTACAAAAACAGGAGGCGGACTTCCTGTTTAGAGCCTTCCCGCTTCAGTGCCAAATTAAAATGTTTCTTAATCCAATTTTCCGTTCTACTCACGGGTACTTGTTTAGAGTCCAATTGTCCACAGGAAAAAGTCAGCGCTCTCCGGCAACGGCTATGCGGCTTCACTCCGTAAAAGTAGCGGTTGATTCAAAACACCGCGCCACTCACCCCACGTCGCTTCGGATCCCCGAAAAAGGGTTTCCCTGCGAGTAGGGGAGGCGCTCCTGGTGTTAGCCAAATCCCACGTTCCCAGGCTTCCTCCGCCTCGGATTTTTAGAGGGTCTCCACCTTCGCCGCGGCGGCAAGACCCGATTTTCACGGAGCGGGTTCCTCTTGGTCAGAGGAACTCCGCCATTGCCGATGGCGCTAACCCGGAAGTCTCCAGAGCGGCGGTGTTTTAAGCCTCTTCGCTCTCTCCCGCAGGCATACTCATTCCACAACTTCCCCCTCTCTTCTCCTGCCTCCAAGAGGGGGTTTAATGTTCTTTAACGTTGGAAATTTGATCTTTTACAAAAGACCTTCCAAGACTCCAGCTTGCAACTTCATTGCCTCAGTCTATTTACAAAAAGGGAAGGCGGACTTCCTGTTTTGAACCTCCCTGTTACGATACCAAATTAAACTTTTAGAGATCCAATTCTTCCATTTCAGCTCTACTCACAGGTAATTCCTTTAAAGTCAAATTGTCCACAGGAAAAGGTCAGCGCTCTCCGGCAACAGCTGTGCGGCTTCGCTCCGTGGAAGAAGCAGACGATTCGATGCACTGCGCCGCTCATCCCACGTTGCTCCGGAGCCCCAAAAACCGGGGTTCCCCGCGAGTGGGGGAGGCGCAAAAGGTGCCCGCCGAATCCCACATTCACAGGCTTCTCCCGCCTGTGATTTTAACGGGTCTCCACCTTCGCCGTGGCGGCCAGACCCAGATTTCCACGGAGCAGATTCCTCCCGGTCAGAGGAATTCTGCCATTGCTGGAGGCGCCTCCCCCGGAAGTCTCAAATATTAAAAAAATTCTGATACTGAGCTGCATTCAGATGAACTACCATTCCCTGCAACTTATTTAATGAGATACTTCCTTTTGTGTTTGCAGGAAGTATCTTATTAATGCACAATCTTTAATAAATTAGCTTCTAGAATCCAGATTGTAGTGGGCCCTAAGGTGTGTGGTGAAGTGCCACTGGACTAATTTGCTAGATATTGTTTAGACATTGAACTGATATTCTTTTCAGTTCAGTGCATGCACTTCCCGTGATAACAAAGGCAGCTGTTGCTTCAGAACAGTTGCATGTCCTAGGAAGCCACACTTGCTTTCTTACATGGAGGAGAGAGGTTGAGAGGAGTTCATAAACGGCAATGCAAGGGAGAACAGAAAACAGGGAAAACAAAATAGGTCAGCAATTGAGGTGCTGTTCTGAGTACAGTGGTACCTCGGGTTAAGCACTTAATTCGTTCCAGAGGTCCGTTCTTAACCTGAAACTGTTCTTAACCTGAAGCACCACTTTAGTTAATGGGGCCTCCTGCTGCCGCCGCACCGCCAGAGCACGATTTCTGTTCTCATCCTGAAGCAAAGTTCTTAACCTGAGGTAATATTTCTGGGTTAGCGGAGTCTGTAACCTGAAGCGTATGTAACCTGAAGCATATGTAACATGAGGTACCACTGTATATCCAGATAAAAATTCTGAGCAAAATTGGAACTTTTAAGTCAGCTCTGCGATGTTGATAAACAGTGATGTGGTCTTGATACTTAGAATTGGTTGGGAGGCTTCATATTGGCACACATTGATATGATGCTAGAGCACTGATTTCATACAAAGATAAGGAGAGTCGAGATGGTCGTGTCATCAGCTCAAAGAACTGCATTACATCAGTTTTATTTGGAAGATGGAAAAAAAGTGATCTGGGGGATGGGAAGGGAAAGTCTGTTACAAAGGGACTTCCTCGTTGCTTTCCCATACACGTAGATAGGAGCAAGCCAGAGTGATTTGAATGAGAGAGCCATGTAGAGCTCTGGTCTTAAGTTGCTGGTTAGTGATGAGGCTCACTGCGTTGACTGTTCCTCATAAGGATGTTGGGAAGATAAAAGTGGCATAAGCTCAGGTATGTCACCCAGAGCTCCATGGTGGAGTGCTGAGCGGAAAGGACGAATGAAAAGCTTGCAGTAAATATACTAGTGGGGATTTAATTTTAGGTTTTTTTCTTCGGTTTCAGCTGAAGAAATGACAGGAAGCATCTTTTGCTTTGAGTCAGTTCCTGTTGGTCTTCAAATATGTGTGTTTAAATGTGTGTGCGCGTCTATCCTCTGACATTTAATATAACGTGGAGCCGCTTCTGACATTGCTGGTAAGTTATGTTGTTAGATTGTCAAATGGGCACAGCAGCTGGGGCAGTCATTAGTATCAATGCTGAATTTATATTGAGTCAGTTGGAGGGTAGTGGGATGTCGGATTGCAGCTGCTGAGGGCAAGGTTGGTTTTTAGGTTCCTTTTTATCCTTCTCGGCTCCTAGCTAAGCACTTCAATAGAAGAATATTTCTGTTCTTTGCAAAGTGCTTTGCAGTGTTTCTGGTGCCTAAAAAAGGCACAAAGGGATATTGGAGAAATTATTGTAAGTACAAATAAGCATGTGCCTAAAAAATTTTTTTTTAGTAACCTCTCTTAGTCCACATGGAAACACTGTGGTCATCTCTAGATGTGGCAGTGGATCTTTATCCCACTTTATCCCATCTGTCCCTCTCCAGCAGTGATTCATGCTTACATCAAAATTGGTCATTTTGTATTTTCTTGGTCCTACTATAAAATTTATAGAACATCCCTCTATTACTGAATTTAGGGACTAGTAATAATTGACTCAAAGCAAGACTTTTTGTACACAGAAAGTATGGGGTACTTTTGATTGTTCTGTAATTTCTCAACCTCATCGCTCCTTGTAATAGCCAACTCAGGTGGTAGACGCCAACAGGATAGGAGCCAAAATGGAGCCACTGAGAAACCACGGGGAACCCTGGGGTTTGCAGAAGTGTGAAAATATATAATAAAATCCCCTAAAGTGACAGCCCCCACTCCAAATAACACCCCAGTGAGGTTTGAGCATGCCCATTAGCTGTAGACTGTTAAGAGCCAGCTGAAAAAGGAAAGTTTCTCCTGCAAGTTCCAAAGACTTGGAACAACTCAAAGCAGCGAGTTTAATGTGGCTGCCCCTGTTGTGGAATTCCATTCCGATATGACAGGCACCCACTATCTGCAAGTGGGTGACATTTTTGTTCCTGCAGGCTTTCCCCTCTGGGTATATGGGTCTTTGCTGTGAAGGTCTATCTTGTATTGTTTTGATCTTGCTTTAAATGTATCTGCTGTTTGTTGCTTTTAAATATTGTTTTTCTGTTTCTATTGTATATCACCTTGATATTGTGTAGAAGGCAATGAATAAATTGATGATGAAGATGCATTGTGCTATTTGGAAGCAGGTTCCATTTAATACTTTGGAATGTCTGAACCTCACTATATTTTTTCCCTCTGAGAAACTCTCAACTTTCTCTTGCTTCTTTGGAGCTGTCCCAAGCAATTCTCCCATGCATACTGATCACTTGCATCAGCAAGTGTTGATATATGTGTGTGGATGAGCCATCACACATCAAACAGACAGATCTTTCATATCACCTCACAGTGCCTTGCAGTTGAGTCAGTTCACACATTCAGCTGTGAAACATCACATTTTGCATAGTCAAACGTGCTTAAATCAACAAGCCTAGCTCATGATTTGCCCAAATCAGTGTATCTGACATGATCTCTCTCTGTCCTTATTAATTGACTGTACCTATGATTGAGCAACCAGATATTAGAAACAGAAGAAACCCAGAGTATCATCTTTTCTAGAGGGTTGCAGCAAAAACAACCATAAAAGACTAATGTGTGTAGTCTGGCACAAGCATTTGCAACTAGAGTCCACTTCACCAGGAAGCATGACTTGTGATCCTAACTTGGCAATCATATATACATACACATGGTTTGGGGGATGGTAGGAGTGAGGTCAGAAGAAAATGAAATGCATGAAGAACAGATAGTGACAATTACATGTAAGCAAAATATTTACTTTCTTGATTAACAATATTGATGATATCACAAAAATCTTGGACAGTTTGATATTGAAGTAATCATCTCTTCAGGTATCCAGGTCCAAATCTTGCAGGACTTTAAAAGTATGCACCATCACTTTAAATTTTACTTGGCTGGTAACCAGTGAATATGTTTAAAAACAGATACAATACATTCCCATCAAGTGGTTCCAGCCAGCTATATTGTGACTGTATTTTGAACTGGTTGAGGTGTCTGAACAGTCTTCTAAGGCAGTCCCACGTACAACACATTGTAATAATAAATGAACACTCTTATGCAAATGTGCTACCATGATGTGTTCATTTTGCAAGATCACTGTTGTTTGTGTAGAATGTATGTGATGTAGAATATTTTTTAAAGCATAAGAGTGCATACGCCACTGTTAAACTAGCGTATTTGGCACAGGGCTCTGGGAATGAACCAAAATCTCTGTAATTGTCAACCTTCACGGTTGTCCTCTTTGCTATCTCCAGGTTTTCTTGGAGCTGAACGCACAGAGTAGCAGGGCTGTGTTAGTAGATGCGTGGTAAGAATTTCACCTGATGGGTAGCTTCAGGCACCCAAATTCCCACACTCTTGATTAGAAAGACTCTTGCCTACCTTAAGGGGGGATGAAAATCATGCTTAGCGTAATTGCTTTCTTACTGCCATAAGGGGCCTGGGTTCTTAGCTCCTTCATAAACAATAGATTTTCCTATGTCTTTTTTAAAAAAAATGACTGGAATCAGGTAACTTTAAATACAAACTGTTAATTAAAATCTGTTGCAGAGTTAGCAGGAATACCAACTAGTTCTATGCAAGGATGCTAGTACCAAACAGAAGGCAAGCCATATCTATAAAAGGAGGGATTGTATCAACAGCTATTCTCTTAGCTGTTGCACACTGTCATCAAATGATCATCTGCAGAGGGCTAGTGCCATCATGTTCATTTATACGAGTTGGCGATCTGGTCTGTTCATGCATTGATGGTCTGTTTAAGGGGGTATTGCAAATCCAAGGGGAGAAAAATAGAGCACAAAACCCATGTTGGTTTTGTCTGTTGGTTCTTCTGTAGTGCACTCATTCTTGTCAAGGCAAACCTTTATGAACTGAAGCCTCTGTTTACAATATGGACATTGTGAGCAGTCTGCCTTTGTACTACGTTTGGTGTGAATAGAATCCAGTGTATTAAATTTTTTCATATATATGGGCCTAAATATGATTTAGCTATACACTGTGTAGCATAGGGGATTTCTATTCTACTCATATTTTGGCTGTTAACCTTCAAACCATTTACTCCTAATAACCCACCTAAAATTACACCTACATCCGAGGCACAGGAGCCTTGATGAAGCAACGAGTTGGCAACCCCAGGCATCTCTCTTTGTCTTTCAGGATCCATCCCACCCCAGACACTGCCCAATAAACACCCAACACCATGCTACATGTGTCTTTCCCAGCAGTTGGAATACCACTTCAGAACCCTTCCCCAGCTGAATTTGTGTCAGTATGGGCATCTAGAGGATTTTTTTTTCTGCAGAGAGGGGCAAAGTAAAACACTGAAAGTGAGGAATAGGCTAGTTTCTTACTAAGAAAAAACTTAGAAGCAAAAAACTTTGCTTTTGCTTTTTGCTTTTGAATTGTTATTTGTTTTTTCCTTCTTTTTTCTCTTTGTTTTTTTTGTAATCTTAAAATCTTCAATAAATATTATTCAAAAAAAAGAAAAGAAAAAAGAAAAAACTTAGAAGAACAGTGCCTGTACATTTTGCTTCATGTGTCAGGTTCTACAAATGCTTGAGCTTATTCAAATCTAAGCACTCTTGGAAGAATCTGATTTTCTAGATCCATTTCAGATCTGGTTTTGGCACAGATACTACTACTACCACTAATAATAATAATAATAATATGAAGGCTGGGGATCTGTGAATTATAGTTTACTGGTGGGGGCACCCCCCTTCATGGACACCTATGGACTTCATTGTTCTGGCATTACTCATATCCAACGTGCTGCAACACCGCTTGCGTTTTACTCCACCTACTTCTTTTGTGGGTGACAGGCACAATTTCAGGAAGGGACTTGGCCTGGGACACCCCACTGCAAGCCTGAGTGTTCCTTCCTTGTCATGGGACAGCTTCCCTTGCTCAGCCCTTTCCTCTCCCTCAGCTGGAGTGGGAAGGCAGCTGGTATTGAAGCCAAAGAGGCTGGTGAATACTGGACCCAAAGGGTTTTTATTATGGGACGGGCAGTGTAAGATAAGCTGGTCTCTGTGCAGTTGGAGGCACAAAAAGCAAACTGTCCCCTCCCAAAGTGATTCTCCAGTCATGGCCAAATTCATAGAGGAAGGTGGTTTTGCTGCCACTGCTGTTTTTTTTAGAAATAATCCTGTCACAACTTAATCATGCAAAGGAAGGTAGTAATTTTGTGCCCATTCTTCACTGAGAAAACTTTATTGATCTTGTTCCATGCAGATCCATTTGCGGTACCATTAACAGACTTGAAGCCATCAAAATTGGAAGGTACATTGCAATGATACACAATGGCAGCCACCCTGCCTCTTTCGTTTCAGACTTTCAAATCCACACATGGCTATGCCATAGGTTCCTTGAGATTTCACCCTATCCAAGAAGGTGCCATTTCCAGATGTGAGGCCTGCAAATGTTCACATGCTGCCAGTCCCAGGGTGGCTATTTTTTGTTACTGGCACAGGATAAACAGGAGAGATAGATTTTAGCCAGGAAGGGTGGCAGTACAGGGAGGGAGAATAGCAGGATGTGTGCCACAAAGAAATAACAATGGAAGTAGAAAGAAGTTGTGCAGCCGCTGTTGAGAGAGTCTGGCGCCATAGCAAGATTTCAGTTTTTTGGGCTTACAGATAAATTCACCCAGCTTTGATTATTCTCAGTGGTTATTGTATATTCACTCAAAGCCCAAATTTTTATGAGATAACTCTTCCCCCCACCCACCGCCCCATGATGTATAAGTCAGGATGTTAAGAGTAAGATTTAGACGTTTGTGATGACATTACCCTTTCAGTGAAGCATAGACTGATCTCTCTGTAGGGGCTGTTGCTAAGCAGCAGTGAAGCACCCAGGATCCTGAGTCAGCTCAGCATTGTAACTAAAGAAGTGACCAGCATCACACTTCCCGAGTTAGGTTAAGAGATAGCTCAGAGCTGCTTCTGATGGGTCTGTTTATCACATCACAATTAATAGGTCCCTGATAAATTGACACATATGGTCCCGAAAATGCAAGTGAATTTACCTGACTGTTGAATGTGGCCATAATCTGTGTTGACATAACTTCAGAATGCAGCTATGATGCAGTGTCCTCATGTAATTCTCATCTGAACTACACATAGTTATTTCCTAATGTTTAGGAAATCATGTACCTCCTCCTGCCTCAAAGCTAACATACGGTAATTCACTGAACACCAGAGTGCTGCTGTTGAAGACAAGACACTTGGATTTGTTTAGTTGAGGATGCAGTGGTGAACGGGAACATAACTTGGGGACAGAGCATGCGAATACTTGGCCTGCAGGGGACCGTAGGTTCAGATCCTGGCATCTCCCTTTGAAAAGGGTCTCAAGGTGCACAGCTAGCAGAGACCCCCACCTGGGACCTTGAAAGGACAGCTATGGCCAGTTGAGATAGACACTATTGGGTTAGATGAACTAATGGTTTGATTTAGTATAAGGCAGCTTCTTGTAATCAGATGGAGAAGTCACAGACTTCTCTTAAGCCTCACCATCCAGTCTCTGTGAAAAGGGAATGACAAAAAATAATAATAGATCACTTGTCATCAGGATGAAAGAAAAGGTAAGCTTACCCCCAAACATTTTACATGCAAATGCTACATAAACGAGCACCCTTTGGTGAAAAGGTGAGATGCAAATTAACAAATAACAATTGCTTCATAACTTTAAAAAGTCATTGCTTTGTAGGCTTAACTATTTTATCATACGGGGTGTTTCATTACCCGCATCAGTGCCAATCTTTCTTTGAATCTTGCTGAAATTCTTGGCCTCTGCCACATCCCTTCTCTTTGTCTTGTACATTCGAAGACTTCAAGCTTTGCTTAGCCCTCCCACCCAGTGCAAGAAAAGGAAACATTAAAAGGAAAGCCCTATTACAGGAAGACATTTTCCATGTCCCAGGCCAATTGTTCCGGTTCCCATTGTTTGCACTTCAGAGCGCCCTCCCCTTGAGGTAACTACCTGAGACTATTAGAATGGGGAACAGGCCCAGTGCTGGAACAAGCCTTGTAACAAGATAACTGGCTGTATTTTTGTTCAGCAAACCATGTAATAAAAATACAATGGCTCCCTTTTCAAACAGACACCTATTAAAGTAACAGACCCATTTTGAGAGTAAACTTCCAGTGGTACCAAAAGGTTAAGTACAATACGAATCTGACCTGCCGGAGGATTGGAAGTTTCTCTTTGTGTTCTCTTTTAAAATGAATACATTTTCAGCTCGCCACCAACTGATTGTTCTTGATTCCCCCATTGTCCGGATGACAATGCAGCCCTCTTACATGGCTGCATACCAGCCAGCGTGAGAGCGGGATCTGCAACAAGAATATGGCTTTCTTTCCCCCTCGGCATAATGGGGTTATGCATTCAGCATTCTTTCTGAAGTAATAAGGACTGGAACGAAAGCATGGGTTCCTTTCTGCTCAGTTCATTTTCATCTCTGCATATTGCGGGACGGGGTGCCTTGAAAAACCTTTTTTTACGTTTCTTTCGCTCTGACCTTCTGTAGGTTCTTTGAGCACTTCTGCAAAGTGAAATGTATGATAAGTTGGCAAAGATGGTCTTAGGTCCTCCATGTACCATTTACTACAGCGTGAGCTGTTTATGCTACTGACATCCCTTGCATCAGAAATGGAAAATGGAGGACCAACTGCTAAACCTGCCTTTTGTTTTGCGACAAGTATGTTGCAAGCAATAGGAACAGTATGTTTGCAAATGTAGGCCAATGACAGGTTCAGGAACCATAATTTACTGGGAACTTTGGGTCTTTCAAATGTAGAGCACTGTTGCACACATGTCCTGCTTGTGGACTTCTTATAGTCCTCTGGTTGGCCATGTGGAAACAGAGTGCTGGACTAAGTAGGCCTTTGGAGAAGCTGAAGTTTTGAAGCATAGCAGGTAGAAGATACCGCTCCATAAACAAGTAAGGACAGAAATCCAAGCTCAGTCTAGCATTTATATCAGGACTAGCCAGACTGGAAGCTTGATATAGCCTGCCTATGATATTAGTCCAATGAGCCCTTACACAAATATGAGTCCCCAAGCACAAGCAAGTTCATTTTATCCCATCTGGTTTCCACTGGGGATTATCTTCAGCATATCTCCATCCTTCCTGGGTAAGTTAGTTAATATGCACTCCTGCTCAGCATTTGTAAGCATTTAGAAGGAGCAGAGTTTGGTCGCAAAGCACAAAAGGCCACTATTTTTCTGAAGTTAAGCGGGCCTGGATCTGGTCATTGATCACCTGGGAGCCGTCTGTATGCCGCCTGGGGTTTTATGATGGAAGAAAGGCAGGATTGCTTGCTTGCTTATTTATTTAGCTTATATCCTGCCCTTTGTCATAGGACACCAGGGCAGATCACAGCAAATAAAACACATAAAAGCAATCAATAAACACTAAAATGCAATATTCATTCATCAAAGTTAGATAAAACGTCAGCAATCTTGTCAGTTTTCCTTTCTACTGCACAAGCCAGTGTCTCAGCATACACATATAATACATAAAATGGTAAATAAATAAATAAATTTTCTTAAGAGGAATGTGTACCTAAAAGTAAACTCACCTGTATTTAGTTCATATTTATCACTGCATTTTTTGGGGGGGTGGCATGAAATGTTGGCATGGCAAGTTAACTTGCACTGCAGTAAATCCTTTGGGAGGCCATCTTTCTCAGATTCTTCTACTGTGGGCAACTTAGATCACTGGCAGGTTAACACATATCTGTTCAGAAAGAATGTGGTGTTCAACAACACACCCAGCGCTCTTGCATGCTTGCTAAGATCACAGACTGTGGTGCTCTATCATTTCCTTTTGAGGCCTATTGTGCCGCTTATTGAATTGAATGCTCAATCTCTCACCCAATCTAATCTGTCATGGGGCATGCCTAGATGGCAGCTTCCTGCTTTGCTGGTGGTTCTGCAGCTTAGCGCCACACTGGAAGTTTGGCACGCACTGCCTTTTAATAAAGAAACACAGAGTTGCACAGTGGGTTATATAACAGCCCTTCAAGGGCTCCTGCTGTCTGCTGAGAACAGTGTTGCAGAGGTGGTCGGCATAATGCCCTCCAGATGTTTCAGGACAACAGATCCCGTCGTCCCTCACCATTTGCCATGTTGGCTAGATCCAATGGGAGTTGGGAGTCCCAACAATATCTGGCAGGCTACCCTGAGCTATGAACCAAGCAGTCCCTAATTCACACATGACTTCTGCAGTGAACTTTTAAGAAAGTTTCCATGACAGTTCCTCCAGTTCCATCACTATCCACCCCCTTTGCAAAATGTGGAGATAATAATGGCCTATTTTTCAATGCCTCATTTGCAGTCGTACACTGAATCTTAGGAAGTAAACTTAACACACTGAGGTTTCCTTATGAGGAACTGTGTGCAGGATCACCCGGTTGCTGAGACAAAATAGTGTTTGAAATTCCCCAGGCGCCTAGTGCAATTTGCTACTGCCATGGGTCCAATTGCGACTATGCAGAGATTTCTGGGGTGCCAAGTTGGTGGCTGACAGCTCCATTGAGGCACTTGACTCGTGCACAGTAAAAGACGCACTTCTTGTGCTTCTGTGCTGCTGTGGACCCCTTGCTGAGCATCTTAGTCCTCCATCACTCCATCAAGCAAAGTAAGGGCAGGGCTGAGTGCAGATATATTTGGCTGTGCTGTAGCCTTTCCACAAGCCATCCAAATGGAACAGACCGCATGTTATGACTGGAGTTTGGATCCTTGAATAATAGGCAGGGAGGGTTTTAGAATGTAGCATCTGATTGGCCGTTGGGACCGTCCAATCAAGATCCAGAAGGGAAGTTTGAACTAGCCTATCAGGTGTGACCTAGGATGTGAATAAAGGATATATAGCCTGGGGTCTGGGAGGGGCCAGAGGGAGACACACCTGATGACTGACTGTTTTTATCACAACACTGAAATAAACTCCATGAAACCGATGGCTTTTCTCTGAGTATCTTTCACCACACTTTAAAAATCCTCTGTCTTGGTCTATAGTTAATACCATTTCCATTTCCCCTGTGTGTGTCTTTCCTTCTTGCTTTCTGGGACAAGTGAATTGTCGTAAGAGCAAGGTACAGTCAAGCAATGTAGCTGAGATAATAGAATTGTAGCATTGTAGTATTGGAAGGTACCCCAAGGGTTAACTAGATATTCCGTTGTGGTGACCTAGGTTTAAGGCGCCATTTGACGCCTAGCTAGAAACTCCGATCTGTAAGCTAGGTGCCAAATGGCTCCTTAAACCAAGGTTATAGTTGCCAAATTGAATGCCTAGTTGCCATTTTAGGGCTAGACAGCTCAAAAGCTGTATTTTTCAATACAATGTTTTTGTTCCTGAAATTCATTCTGATTGTACAAATAAAATATAATGGATAGTATTCTGCTGGATGCGCTGCCAGTCTGTGAAAACAGTCAAGATCCAAGGATCCCCAGACATGTACCTCCAGATGGTGGAGACTTCAGGCGCCATCTTGGCACTCCCAGGCACCTTTACTTGGTAGCAAGTGTCTGACAGCCAGGTGCAAAATGCGCCTGGAGAATTCTGGACACTGCCACCATAATCAATCAATCAATCAATCAATCAATCAGCCGTGGCAGTTCTCCTGACCCTGCTGATCCTTTGCTCTGCCGTCTGAGCTTGAAGGAGATTGGACACACCTCTGTGGGGGTGGATGCATTCAGCTAGCCTTCATGCCAAACAGAAATTGGAAGTTATTAACTTTTCATTAATTAACTTCTCACCTGGCACTAAGTGGTCGAAGCTGCGGCAACGTGCCTTTGTGCTGTCGAGGAATGCAGAAAACTGCCCAGTGTGAGACTTGGGCACCCCAGCCAAGCTCCTTGAACACGATGTGGAGCAGCCGTAGGAAGCAGAGAGCAAAGGCTCTTTCCTGTGGCAGCAGCGCACCAGTGTCAGAGAGAGAGAGAGAGAGAGAGAGAGACCTGCTTTGTTGCCATCGGACGCGCGAGCCAGAGACTACATAATGCAGTTGGCATGCCTCGCGGGGTGGGGTGGGGGACGAGTTGCTGTCACTTATCAGTGCTCCTCCCCAACACATGGATGGCTTTTGTCTCCAGAAGATGAATCTATTTGGTCTCTGGTGGGCTGCAGCATGGATAGGAACATACCAGGGATGAAAATGGAAGGGCGCAGGCTTCAGTCTGGAATGGCAGTAGGAGCCAAAAACCAAGCGGCGGAGGAAACCCAATAGCCTGAAAAGCACAATGATTTGTTCAGAGAAGGGCAGGGAACCGAGATAAAAAAGCCCTGCTAAGATCAGAAACTCTGGCGTGCACAGTGCCCCATTGTTCAGCTGTCACACTTCCTTTTACTTTATTGCTTTTGTCCAACACCCTATTGTTCCACTTCCTTTTGTCCCCTATTCAGTGTGCTGGCTTTTCATTACCCAGCCAGCCTTGTTGTTTTCATTTCTTTTGTCTGAAGTTCCTGAGAGGAAGGTTTTATTTTCAGCAGTTTGATTAATTCACAGCTTGAGACAGGCTTTGTTTGTTATGTAATTACTGCCCTGCGCTTTTCCAGAGCTCCGAGTGGCAGGGATGGTGGCACTTGGCCAGTTGCAATGGCTGCTTTCGCCCCAAGCCCCCTTTTTGTGCTTCTGCGCCAGGAAATTGCTGTGCGGTTGCATTGCTGTGCTTTTGGTTCTGACGGACCTGGAAAGGGCCAGTTCTCCTGTGGCATTAACATCACTCCTGTGCAAGGAAACACACATACAATGTGTGAATGCGGCTGTGTATATATACCATTTTCACTCTGAGGCTCTGTCTTGTACCCAATTCATGAATTTTCTTTCACGCCAAATTCTGACCATGCCAAGGCATGTTTCTTTGGCAAATCCATCAATGTGATGTTTTCCTACCTTTCCCCCCTCTTTCCCCTCTCCCCACAGGATGTCCATGAGGAGCCCTGCCTCTCCTCAGCTGGAGCTCGATGGAGCCGGGAACATGGTGAACTGCAGCATTAAGATAGAAGAGAAGACTGAGAGCTGCTACCAGTCTACACAGGGGGAGGTGACTGGTGCTCCTCCTGGCTCTGAGAAACCACACAATTCACCATCGCCACTGAGTGAAGTTACTGAGCCCCAAACGCTTCCACAGGTGGGACAAAGTCTATTGGCTTCCATCTTTCCTCCTTGTCTTGAGGCAGGGCACTCCACATTTTCTGCACTCAAAGCGCATAAGCCAGGCCACTAGGATGTATAATTCCACTCAGATCTGGCCCAAGAAACTCAGACAGAGCAGTACATGGTCTCTACATGGACACTCTTACACACAGACCTTCCCCTATTGCATTATTCAATTCAACAATAATAAATTAAATATCTAATAATGGACACCTCAAATCAGATTCCAGAAGTGGCCACCTTACTTTAGCTAATGGTTGAACTGACCAGAGTGAGTTTCCGATATTACATTAGCATCTGTGAATATGGGTATGTGGCCTGCCTCCTGGTGTTTTGGTTTTTACATAGAAGCAGCCAACAGCATTACTGTACAGTATGTAGGATTTCAGTGCCCCGCCCCCCCGCAGTTCTCTCATTTGAAGTTGCTAATTTGCTTTGCTTGGGATACACGCACATGCGCGCGCGTACACACACACTCTATGGGGGGCAAAGAGCAGCTTTGCGGGAAGGAATTCAAAATGTTAAGTTGACACTTAACGAGCTGCCCCTCAACACTACTGCTCAAGTCAAAATAGGAGGCCCTCTTGACTGTTTTGACAGTTGACTGATCCTCTGGGATCGTGGATCTCCTGTAGTTTGAATGTGTAGCAGTAGAAACCCTCATCTAAACGGCTAGGTGTACATTTTTCAAAAAATGGCCTGGCCGTTAAGTTTTTGCTCCCTTAAGACACATGTTGTAAAAAAAGTGGGGGGAAATGCTCAAGACAGTGATTTGGGGATTATTATTATTATTATTTTGTTAATCAAAGTGGAGGGACTATGATACAATAACTGGCATGTCCAGCCTTTTAAATTGTCATTCCTCTCCTGTGGAATCCTCTCCCTAGTGAGGGTTATTAACACCCTTTTGGCACCAGATAAAAACCTATCTCTTCTCCCAGGAATTTGATGGATTGTGATCAGTGTTTTGCTGTTTACTGCAATTTTTTTTTTGCTGCTGAAGTTCTGCAGTTTGGGGGCCATTGTATTGCTTTATTGTAATGTGTAAAATTTATTTTTAATGCTTGGCCTTAAATCTGAACTTTTTGCAAGTTGCTTAGAGACCCTTTTGTAATGAGCAGCCATTAAGTCAAATACCAGATAAATAATTATAGGTGCCTCTTCCTAAGATTTGGGTGAGCCACTACTACTCACAATAGAAGAGTACTGGGCTAGTTTTCCCATCTATGATGTTTTGACATCCGAGCCATAATTAAATGTTTACTTTTCCTTTTTAAATCCACAGTCTTGAAAAAGGTGTAACTTTTCCTAACAGTTCCATAGGTTTTTGTTCTTCCCTCCCTCAGCTACTTTAACGGCTGACCCACATACTATTGCAGCAATTTGATTTTGTCCTTGCTTTGTGAGTTGAAAAGATTTTTGGGTGGGTGCGACACAATCTTCTCATTTTCGAAATGAGCACCCTGATTCACCAGGTGAGTTTGCAGCTCATTGACTCAAGAGGATGCTCGAACACACCCTGCACAGAAGGAAGATTTCATGAGGATCAGCTCTATCTGTTATCCTTTCCTTTTTAATTTCCTGAAGGCTATTGGTGATTCAATGGCTCGCTCTCTTTCAGGAATCTGCATCTCCAGTGGACAAGGCATTAGACCCCAGGAACTCTGCATTTGAGGCGGCAGTGAGCAACCGGGAAAAATTGGATTTCAACAGAAACTTAAAAGAAGGTAGGAAGGGTGCTTTACAACCATTGCGTTCAGTTAAGTCCACCTCCTTCATTCTTGCCGTCTTTTCTAGGAAGAGGCCATAATTGCGTGGCAGAACACAAGCTTTGCATTCACAGGGTACAAGATTCACAGCATCTCTAGTTAAAATCACTTGTGTTGCAAAGTAGGAAAAGAACCTGCTGGAAGGACCTTGTGGAGGTCCTGTCAAGAGGGATGCAGTGAAAGGTAGCTACTCATATCCAGTAGTGGCTGGTGTGGTAGGGCAGAGCTATGGAGCCATCCTCCTGGCACCTGCATTGTTTCAGTTTGCCTGGAAGAGGGGCAGCAAAGGAATAGTGAGGTTGAGGCTGCACAGTTGCAGCAGTGGAGCCAATCTGGTGCTCCTGTCAGCGCATCTTACAGGCCCCACCTCATTGCTGCTGTGCCTCACCCAGATAAGCTGTAGTGACGCCATTGTCAGGAGGATGGCTCTACAGTCCAGCTGCACCATGCTGGCCCCTTCCGCCTGAATCATTTCCTTTTTGGAGTGGCTCCTTTGCTGCAGGTGGATGTAGTTATACTGACAAATGTGCATAATAATTTTAGAATGTTCATACTGGATCAAACAGTTCATCCAGCCAAGTGTCATGACTTAAAGAGTAACTAACACAGTGGTACCTCAGTTGTCGAACGTAATCCGTTCCGGAAGACTGTTCAACTTCTGAAATATTTGACAACCGAGGCGCAATGGGCGATCAGCAAATTCCATTGAAGAAATGAGCCTCGGAAGCCGTTCAACTTCTGAGGCACGTTCGAAAACGGAAGCATTCACTTCTGGGTTTTCGGTGTTCGAAAATTGAAAGGTTCGGCTTCCAAGACACTAAAAAACTGAAGTATTTAGCTATAGAATAATCTGTCCCCTTCCTTCAGTCCCACCTTTCAGCAGTCGGTTTCTTAAAAAGGCCTAATCATCTTGGCCACTGAGGAATCTGTCCTTGGAGATTTGTCCTCCATAAGCTGATCCTGTCATCATTTCTGTTGTTCCATATGATGAATGCATTGTTTAAAATAAACTCTGAAACTTTTCTCCTTTTGAATCAGAAAGCCACCTACATGTTGTACGCTAACATTCTTATTTCTACAGTGATGCCGACCATTGAGAAGTTACTGTCCAGTGACTGGAAAGAGAGACTTCTGGGGAAAAATCCAATGGAATCCAAAGATGTGAAAGGTGAGTATCTGGTCTGGTTTGGCTGGGACTGCTTTAAGGCCCAGACCACAGAGAGCAGGCATAATTTGTTCTATTGGTTAGAGAGTGACAATTGGACCCTTAGCCCCTCTTTCCCCCACATCAGTTAAGTTAAATTACAAAGCCTACTGTCATTGAATTAATATCACCATAGCTCATAAAGCTTTGCCTTATTACGGAGGATACAAAATCAATGAAATAGACATGGCTTCCCATCATTAGCTAGTGTATCATGCAAATGTATGTTCTAATACAAGGGTGGGGAACCTGAGGCCCTCCAAAAGTTGCTGGGTTACTGCTCCCATAATCCCTGACCTTGCAGACTGGGGATGATGGGAGTTGTAGTCCTGCAACACATGGTGCAAGAACCCCTGGTCTTTGGTGAGAATTGTATATATTATTTATAATTCACAAAGCTGATTGCATGTGATGATTTCTCTAGGGCATTTGCTAGGAATAGGTCCCAGAACAAAATCCATATTGGGCTGGTTCATCGCAAGGTGGAACCAAAGTTTGTTTCATCCCATTTCCATTTAGGTTTTCAAAGACAAATCTACATATATAATCTTTAAATCCCACACAGAATACTTTGACATAAGAAATTAAGAAAAAAAAACATAAGGTGGTCCAAACAAGGTGGTCAAAGAGCTACTTGCCTGCCATCTTTTCTCATTTTATTTTTTTTAAATCATCTGCCTAAGAGCATCTAGCTAGCTCAAAAAGCTCCTGCCACTACATGCATTGAAATCAGTGTAGCAAGTAATGGCAGGTCTTGATGATGTGCTGCTGTTCTCTGGAAAATTTTGCATACATTTTGTATTTTACATTGACACCCCCCAGACACACACTTTAAAGTCTTTGTAAAATATGTAAAATACACTTAAAATGTAGGTAGGATAGCAACATTCCCCCCAAGAGTGACAACACATCATTAAAAATGGATCAATCCTAGTGGGATTTGCCACATGGATTTCAGTATGTATAGCAGAAACAGCCCCATGCGCTAGTTAGCTGCTCTTAGGCAACTGGAATTGCTTTTGAAGGAAGACAGGCCGGCCAGCCTTGAACCACCTCGTAAGAAAATTCGTAAGAGATTGGGAATCCAGTCCTGTATGGGTTCCAGAGTGAATCCTTGCCCTGAGCATAACATTTGTCCAGGCAGATGGGATCAGGTCTGTCCACTTTGGAATCATGGCTTGCTGGATTCCTCTTTGATCCTCAGAAATCTTGACTGAGTTTGAATTGATCCGTATAGCAGCTAATCACTAAAATCTGCATTTATCTGCATACAGAACAATAGTTCTGAAGGAGGGGAAAGGCATGCATGTGTCCCAGCAGGAACCATCTTAGAAAAGGCATTTTCTCCTGGGTGGGAGAGTGATGGTGGAATGCCTTATCTAAGAAGGTGCCTCCCCGCTCCCCAATTTTGTGAGTACAGGTACCTGCATTAAAAAGAATTGATTATTATTATTATTATTATTATTTTAAAAAAATCTGCTACCTGATTAATTGCAGCCACCTTTTTAATGAATCAAAAGATATGCAGTCAGCTATGCTTAATTGATTATACATTGCAGACCTAGATTTATCCAACTCTCGGGGGGCAGGGAGCTATGTGTTTAAAGAATGCGTGAAGGCGGTTGTGTGGCTTGATCAGCCAGCCCTGCCTTTCTTGCCCGTGTGTAGCAGTGCCAACCCATGCCATCTGCACATATGCTGATATGTGAAGGGGCTCTACCTGCCCATTGATGTACACAGGTAGAACTTCATGCGAAGGTGGGACCCTGACTGGTGCCTCCCACCAGTTCATGGGGACTTCTGTGTGTGCAGATGAGCATGTGAGTAGATCCCCTTCAAAAATTAACTGAACAGGGAGCCTTAATCCCTGTGCAAATGGTCATCAGGCACAGGGCTAACCTACCTAGTCCCCTTACACTTTCTTTCAATGTGTGTGTGTTGTTCGAACCCCCTTCACTCTCCACAAAGTGCTTAATGAATTAGATGTTGCAGACCTAGATTTACGAACTCTCTTCCTGTCCTTCTTCCTCTTCCTTTTTTCCTTTGGGCTCTTGTTTGTCCCAGGAACCCAAGAAAGCCTGGCAGAGAAGGAGTTGCAGCTGCTGGTCATGATTAACCAGCTGTCCATCCTGCGGGACCAGCTGCTGACTGCCCACTCGGAGCAGAAGAACATGGCAGCTATGCTGTTTGAGAAGCAGCAGCAACAGATGGAACTGGCCAGGCAGCAGCAGGAACAGGTAGAAAGTAGAACACAACTTTGGGGCTGTGTTTGTTCTTCTCAACCTTTGGGATAGGTCTTCAGGAAGTGGCTTGGATGCAGGTTGGCCAGAGCCCATGTGACCTTGGCAAATAATTTTGTCAATTCTGTCCCTGATATAATAGTGCTACAGGAGTTACTGGCACTTTACATATCTCAAGTGATTTAGGGGGGAAACAATTTAGAAGTAGTGTGGCTGGTGTGGGAGTCACAATGAAGTGAGAGTCACTCACACAATCTGTTCTAAAGCACTAAAAGCCTTACTACACAAATCAAATAATGGGTAGGCACCAAGTAAGTTTTACTAGGTACAATTCCATCGAAATTAATCAACATGACTCAGTTAGGACCAGTCAGTGGATTGACTCTGGTTAAAACTGAGTTGAATATCACCCTTATCTGGAATGGGAAAACAGCACTGGTATAAAGTGAACAGGTTCACAAGTCACATATCGTATTATCTTCTGGTGATGCAGGGAGGTAATGCTGGTGGGAATAGGTAGATCTGGACTACTGCATGGTGACAGGGAAGAGTTAAAGGTTTTATTAGCTGTAGCCATACACAGCATAATCCTATGCATATTTAATCTGGTGCAAGCCTCACGAGGATTACAATTGTAGACTTAAAAAATGGAAAACAGTTATAGTTACACAGTATTTGCAATCATGAGAATTTGGGGGTGAGTGGGAGAACCAGCTATTAATGATAGTACCTTTTCCCCATGCATGTAGAATTCAGTTCCACAAACTACTTACAATGAGCTACATGAATTATAAATGTAGTTTGATCAATGTCTATAGAACTGTAACGGTTAAGTGCAATTATGACCACTTTACAGTGATTTGTGAATCACGTTGATTCATCTCTCTGTATATCATTGCCTATTGGAATTCTTAGATCCTCATGATAAAAAAGTGTACAGTTTCCATGGTATGTGTGAATATGGAGGAAAAAATAGGAAAACATAGAGAACCAAAAGGAAGGTTTTTTGAAAAAAACACCAAAACTAAAGAAAACATTCTTGTTTCAACCTTGTGATTTCCAAGTCCATCAATCAAGACTTTTCAAAGGTTCATATCCCCATTTTTAGGTCTATAATGATCAAGCAGTTGTTAACATGGAAGAATAATTGCAACATGCACGTCAGCTGCACTTTGACACCTGTCGTATTTCTGAAATGATAAACCAAGTAGCAGTCATAGTTATGTACAAATTAGTTGCCAGTTTATACTCGTCATAGGACTAAGACAAGTTGACAGCCCCTGTAGGATACAATGGAACCTCGACTTGCATACGCCTCATCTTGCGGGCGTTCCAAGTTGCGTCCACGGCAAATCCGGAAGAAAACACCAGGTTTGCCGTGATTCACGCATGCGTAGAAGCGGCTTCTGCCATCTGTGTGTGCGCAGAAGTGCCTGCCACCGAATTTGCACGCGCACAAGACGCCTCTTCTAGCGTACCATTTTGACCAGCGGACGGACCTCCGGAACTGAACAATTTTAAGAAAATGAGATTCCAGAGGAGTGGACATATTAGTTTGCTGCGGCAAAGTAGATAAAAACTACCTATTTTATTGCCACTTGAGTCTTTTAAGTAAGGACAATCATTTACTTCATCAGGTGTAGTTATGCATTGCAGTGCTACCAAATTTGAGAGACAGGAAGCCTTCATGATTTAGAATTAATCCCAAGATCTTAGATTTTAGGATGAGGTTAAGTATTGGGATACCACTGCCTAACTCCAACTCTGTAGAACCATAAAATGCTATCACTTTTCAGGCCCAGTTCTAATGTAATGCTGTACACATTATATCAGGGGACATGAACCTGTGGTCCTCCAGTTGTTGCTGGATATATGGATGGCTGCAGGTTCCTCACCCTGCATTATATTCTCATTTTCTGCTCTGTAATGTGCAAATCTGATACCAGATTGATTCAAATAATGTGCTCATTCACCTCTTCCTTACAAATACTCAAGCTTGGCTTGTGGAAGGGCTGGGAGGTTCTCCTTTGTAATAAAGATGGAGAAGCGCTTGGGAAAGCTGAATGGGAAGCGTCATGTGTCTTGAGGTTCTCAATGCCTGGTTCATAGGCAGCAACTCTCATGGGCTGCCTGTGTTCATTTGGCCCCTTGGCCCTTCATAGTCTTCTCCTCTTGCAGATTGCCAAACAACAGCAACAGCTGATCCAGCAGCAACACAAGATCAACCTGCTACAGCAGCAAATCCAGGTAAAAGGGGTCTCCTTTCTCCCTGCACATAGCAAGGAAGATAGACTGAAAATCAGGAGACAAAGGTTTGGCACCTGGCTCTGCCAGATGTTCCCTGTGTAACTAGGTTAGATGTGTCACGTGAATTCTTTTTCTAGCTGTCCAGAAATTGACATAGAAGCAGGACAATAGCGAACTGAACATGGATTCAAACCATAAGATAGGTCTGCCAATGGCTGCAAATCTAAACCCCTTATTTAAAAGTAAATCCCATCAAAATCCATGGGTCTCACTTCAAAGTGAATGTGTTTTAGACTGGGGTGTATGTTGTACATCAGGGTTGGTTAATCTGTGGCCCACAGTTCTGATTAGGCTTGCCATGCTTCCCAATTTGGTCTCTGAGGCCACCTGCCTTACACCTGAAGTCATCTATGACATCAGTTATGGGGCAGGTAAAGATTTTTCTTAGCTGTAAAGGGGCTGGTGGCACCTGCAAAGCCCTGTGCTTATTGCCCTGCACAGCTCTTTGCAAGCCTTGGCAATTGTCTGATCGCTGGTGTTTGCAGATAGCTGTGTATATAGTGTTTTAAAGCCCTAACAACCAGCTAATCATCAGGGCTTCAAAGCACCATATGTGGCTCTCTGCAAGGACTCATGAGCAGCTGATTGTTACCCTTTTAGCAGAAGATTCCAGGGACTGAACCCAGGACCTTCCTCATTCAAAGCATGTGCTCTACCGCTAAGCCATAGGCCCTTCACTTTGAAGGCAAATTGATCAAAGCCATTGTGCAGAGGGGAGGTTCTAATTTCCCTCCTGCACTGCAGCCCCTGTCCAAATCGCCCTCCTGCACTGCAAATTCCCACCATCCCTTCTGGCTTCCTTGAGCACAGAAAAGAAAAAAATGGCACTGGATATGCATTTCCCCATCTCATTCTCACTGTAGTTTGACCCTAAGCTTCAGCCTTCCCTCCACTGCAGTATGGAATGGTTGTACCTCCATAGATATGTTGGGAGGGTACAGAAAGGTCGGCGGTTCGAATCCCCGCGACAGGGTGAGCTCCCGTTGCTCGGTCCCTGCTCCTGCCCACCTAGCAGTTCTAAAACACATCAACGTGCAAGTAGATAAGTAGGTAAGGAAGGTAAACGGCGTTTCCGTGCACTGCTCTGGTTTTGTCAGAAGCGGCTTAGTCATGCTGGCCACATGACCTGGAAAAACGGTCCGCGGAAGCGGACAAACACCGGCTCCCTTGACCTGTAAAGTGAGATGAGCGCTATAACCCCAAAGTCCTTCACGACTGGACTTAACTGTAAGGGGTCCCTTTACCTTTACCTAATGGAGTGAAAAGTAAGAAAGCCATAGAGATCTCTCCAGAACTTCGTTCACATGATCTTGGATAAGTCTTTTTGGATAGATTCTGTTGTTCTCTAAAGGCAATGCTTTTTTTTCTAGAGAAACAGGAGCTGGTACTCAACATGAAGTTGTTACAATAAGCATGGACATAGCCAGGATTTTTGTTTGGGGGAGGCAGGCTTGGGGGGGGCAGAACCTCAGATTTGTGTTGATTTTTATTGATTGGGGGGCAGCTGCCCCCCCTGGCTACGCCCATGACAGTAAATGCCACATTTTTAACCAAAACAGAGGTGCCAGTACTATGTACCCTTCAGTACCCCCTAGAAAAAAGCACTGCTTAAAGGTAACTTTGTATTTGGCTCTGTTTGTCTGTCTGTCTGTCTGTCCCCCCTCACTCTTTTCTCTCCAGCAGGTCAACATGCCCTATGTAATGATTCCAGCCTTTCCTCCCAGCCACCAGCCTCTTCCGGTCTCCCCAGATCCTCAAATGGCACTTCCCATCCAGCCAATCCCTTGTAAACCAGGTATGAAGAGGCCAAGAAAAGTGTTGAATTCTGGTTAATGGGACACAGTCTTTCTGGGTGCTTCTGCTCAGTTGTCTTGCATGTCCATGGGACCACACAAGTCTATGCGGTTGGCAAATTAGTATCTTCGATTAAAGCCAAATCAGTCAGGCTTCTTGGATTTAAAGAGCTGGTTCCAGCTAGCCTGTCTTGGCTTTCATTTGAGTCAGCAAAATGTTTGGGGCTAGCCTTGCCTCAGAAAAGGGCCAAGAAACCATCCAGGATTACAGTTAGTGGCCCTGCAGCTGTGGCAGAAAATCCCAAATTGTCTCGGTAGGGTCTTGGAGGAACTGGCAGAGCTTTATGGTCTGGGCCGCACAGTCAAGAGGGAAGGCCTCTGTCCCCCCTCCCCACACCCCGCCAAGTGCTGCATCTGTAGGAACTGTTTTCGGAAAAGCTCATTTGGGCTCCCCTGATCCTCAGAGGAGTCTGTGGTTTAGTTATCAGAGGTGTTTTCTCAGGGTTTAGGGGATAAGATGTAGGCTCCAATGCCAGTGGATTCACATGAGAAGGACCAGTGTGTGGATCTGTCTCCTCCTTGGGGCTGCTGTCATAGGAAGACTCTGCATCAGAGGACCATGACTCCCTCAAATGCACAGAGACACTATTGATTAGCTGTTAAACCGATTTCAATTTTATGCAAGCCTGTTTTGGGTTGCCTAACCCTGAGAGCCCCGTTTGAGTTTCCTAGCTCTTAATGCAGAAAGCTTGCGATTCCTGGCGAGATTTCGCTGGGAGAAAGATTTGAGCAGCTGTTTGATTCGGTAACTAATCTCCGACTGTTCTCTTTCCTGTCCCATCTGCAGTGGAGTACCCCATGCAACTGCTGCACAGCCCCCCTCTGTCCGCACTGAAGAGACCCGCAAGCTCAGGCCACCTACAGATCCAGGTGCAACCCTCAAACTGTTTTCTCTGTGGGCTCCCAAACTCCTCTGCGAATGCACTTCTACTCTCCTTCTCTCCTTCCTTTTCCTTTTCCTTTTCAGGAATCTTCCCAGCCACTGAACTTAACAGCAAAACCCAAAGGCTCCGAGCTCCCCAATTCCTCCAGTTCACCCAGCTTAAAGATCAGCAGCTGCCAGTCCCTCACTCCTAACCATGGGGTCTCTCAGGAGCTGCAGACCAGCCCTCCCAGCCTCCCTTTGGGTAAGTGTTAAGTTGTGGGTGAACATATCAGACGACACAGCGATTCTTCAAACAGCTCTTGTTTACTCACAGGCCAGAACAGAACTGAGCTGAAGGGTTCAGCCAGCCTGTTTATATAGAGCTCTACTACAACACAACAGTAACCACTTTCTGTAACTATCCAATCACTGAACTTCACTTTCAATCCCTTATTTGCATATGTGGACCTGAGTGAAAACTATCTACAGTATCCCCCTGCTGGCCCAGGGTGAGAACTTCAGTACATAACAGTAAGGCTATGGAAATTCCCCCTGATCAGGTTCCGAGCTGGCACAGAAGTGCTTCTGCATTTGGATGACAACTGCAAGCTCATGATTTGTTACCTTGCTCTCTTCATTTGCTGCGGGAAAAGATCTGCACCCATCCCTGGATTTAGGAAGGACTTGAACCTGGCATTCCTCGAGATTCTGTTTGGTATTGTTTTCCTCTGTTGGTCCTGCTGCACCAGTGTTGGAAGGGGAGAGGCTGTAGCTCATTGGTAGAGCATACAGAAAATCTCCCAGGTTCAATCCTGGCATCTCCAGGCAGAACTAAGGAAGACTGGAGAGCTGCTGTCAATCAGTGGAGGCAATGCTCAGTCCTGGTCTAACTCAGTATAACACAACTTCATATCAGTTATATCCACATGCTCTGTTTAAATGTGTTTCATTTAATATATGTTTAATTTTTCAGTAATTTAAAATCCCAAGCCTGCTTGTGTATGGAAGTTTTTTGCTTTGGTTTTGAAAAGGAAGATACCATGAGAAATATACTTTCACTATAGAGTAAGGTTATCAGATGTCCCCATTTCCTGGGGACAGTCTCCGGATTTACAAATCAGTCCCCATACCAAATCCATTGAAATTGAAAAGTGTCCCCAGATTCATTGAAAAAAACTGGTAACCTTACTCTAGAGCAGCCTTTTCAACCAATGTCCTCCAGATGTTTTGAACCAAAGTTTGCATAATCCTTGATCATTGGCAATGCTGGCTGGGACTGATATGTGAGCCTAAACATCTATGGAAAGCACTAGATTAGGAAAGGGCTGCTCTAGAAGCACATATTCAAATTCACTAAAATGTGATTTGTTTCCCATTTAACCACTTTGCTGTGGTCAAATACAGAATCCTTATGAATCTCCATAAGTGGGGACCTGAATCTCCATTCTTTATGGTAAAGGTAAAGGGACCCCAGACCATTAGGTCCAGTCGCAGACGACTCTGGGATTGCGGCGCTCATCTTGCTTTATTGGCCAAGGGAGCTGGCGGACATGTGGCCAACATGACTAAGCCGTTTCTGGCGAACCAGAACAGCGCACAGAAACACTATTTACTTTCCTGTCAGAGCGGTACCTATTTATTTACTTGCACTTTGACATGCTTTCGAACTGCTAGGTTGGCAGGAGCTGGGACCAAGCAATGGGAGCTCACCCTGTCGTGGGGATTTGAACCGCAACCTTCTGATTGGCAAGCTCTGTGGTTTAACCCACAGCGCCACCCGCATCCCAACATTCTTTATGGTACAGTGCTAGTATTTCCAAATAAATAGCTGCAGAGTACCTGGATGTAATATAATGTGTTTTGCATGAGAGGGGCCCACCCTGCAGTTTCATGATAATGGAAGGCACAAGATAACTAAAGCTTTCTCTTTCTGATCTTTTGATGGGTCTGAGGAGAAGATTAATGGGATGCTTTAGAAGACAATGGATCTAAGACTGCTGGAACTGGAACTTAAGTGGCATGCCTTTCTTCCCCAAGTACCTTTCTGAGAATGAGCTCTGTGCAAGGGTACCAGATCTGCTTGATCTTGTGACACTGATTCCATTCCATTTTTAAATTTCAGGGTTCCTGGGGGAGGGAGATGCTATCACCAAAGCAATCCAGGATGCCCGGCAGCTTCTGCACAGCCAAAGCAGAGCGTTGGATGGATCTCCAAATCATCCCTATAGGAAGGTAAGTGGTATTTCTGAGACAGGTTTGGTCTTAAAGAGGGAGAGAGTTGGGATTTCCGTACTGTTTCAGGCACTATACTTATGCATGTGTGTTTGCCTTGTACATTTATGAACAATTATTCTGTATATATAAAACCTTAGATTTCCTATAACACCCTGAAGATGCACTCTCTGTTAAAAGTCAGGTGTGAAAACCATATTTTTGAGGAAGTAGATACGAATAAGTATAATGTGGAATCTGTGGAGGGATAGGCCCATCACCTGTAAGGAATGTGACTGGTACCCAAGTTTTCAAAGTCAACTTTTGTAATAGTGAAGAATGAACTTGCCAAGGCTCAATTAGGAACAGACTCATTTATAATGAGCTAATTGGAACTTGGTTTGGACTTGAATTTAGGTATACATTTTTAAGCTTGAGGCATGCTGAGCTTGTGCTTCTATCGAGGTCATCAGGAATATGAGAAGGCTTGTGAGCTTCTTAGTTGAGCTTCTACCCCAATAGACAGTGTAGTGAGGATTCCATAATTACCTCCACTGTCCCTTCTTTTTGCCCCAAAATATACTCTGCAAAGGCAACAAGAAGGGCTGATGCTGCAGTCTAGATAAGGCATCCCCAACCTTCAGCCCTTCAGATGTTTTGGACTACAATTCCCATCATCCCTGACCACTGGTCCTGTTAGCTAGGGATCAAGGGAGTTGTAGGCCAAAACATCTGGAGGGCTACAGGTTGGGGATGCCTGGTCTAGATGCAGCAACAGCATCCCAGGTACCAGGTTCCCTGGGAATTGCAGTCTCCCAGATCTTCAACTTTCTTATTAAGACACTAGAATCTTTGGGGAATTATATTTCCCAGGACTTCCCATGCTGCTGTAGGACCTAAGCTGTAACAGTATTAGCCCTTTTCATCACCTCCAACACTGCCAGATTGATTCAGTGGGTAAGGGAAGAGGTGTGGCGGTGGAGAGGCTGTTGCTGGAACCAAACAAATTATAATCTGGTTCTGGACCTTGGAGGGTTGGGGGTTGGGTCAGGATTAGCCCAGAAATTCTGAACTGGGAAGCTTGTGCCCCAATTCTGAACTTCAGGAGCATCATTAAATAGAATTCTTGCTCTGTTGTCATAAAGTTACAAGAAGATCTTGCTCCCATGACTTTTGTCTTTAGAGTGATGCTTTTAGAAGTGATCTAGAATGATTGTTGGAAGTTCCAGTCTGGTTTCAATGGGGCTTCCCTCTAAATTGAGGGGATTCTGAAATTTTCCTGCCCTGCTTGCTGAGTTCAAACATGGTGGTGTGTTCTAAACAACCTTTCCAGGCCACTTTGTCTTGCAGATAGTGCTGCATGCTGGTCTTGGGCTGGTCCTTGGCTGTCCAGTCAAGGAGCAGCTTTTAGGCTATGCAGCCCTGCATTTTGGGGCTCCTTATTTCTCAAAAGTCATTTACTTTTGGCTAACAAGAAGTAAAAGCATACAGTCTTTATTTAGCACAAAGTGCATGCCGGTAAATGCTTCAGTTGAAGTTTTCATTCGAGTCACTCCTAACCTTGCTTGCCCTGGTAAAATTCAGTAAACCACCTTCCCATGTGCTTTCAGGACCATGTCAGCTTGGATTCTTCACCTGCAAAAGAACAGGTGGATGAGACTTCTTTGCAGAGACTGGATGAGTCCATGCTAACCTGTGATGGGGATGGTAATGATAGTTGATCATAAAAAATTTATCTATGGTAGAATTGGGTGCCCCCCGTTTCTGTTCCTCATAGGTGCTTCTGCTGCAGTTAACATCTTTCAGGTCTCCAAAGCCCAATAATTGGGGTGGGGGAAAGGCCAAGCTGAAAAATCCCATTTAGTTTGTATAATGAGATTCCTCCCCCATGAATCCATGAAGTTCTCAGCTTCTTTTCAGTTCCACACTCAGCTGATATGCAGAAACCACATTGTGCTATCTATAGCTGGTGTAGGAGACCTTTGGCTCTGCAGACATTGCTGAACTTCAGCTCCCATCAGCCCTAGCGACCATGGTCAATGGTCAGGGAGTTGTAGCTCTGCAATACCTGGAGGGCCAAAGGTTCTCCACACATGGCCTATAGGTAGCACAATGTGGTTTCCACATGTCAGTTGTAAGTGAAACTGCAAAGAAGCTGAGAATTTGTGAAGTCCATGGTTTGGGGAGGGCAGGACTGCTGCCTCTAACTGCAGAGGCAGACTTTACCCACCAATATCTCTCTCCTCTATTAATCTGTCCAATCCTATTTTAAAGCCATCTAGGTTAGTGGTCATCGCTGCCTCTTGTGGAAGCGAGTTCCCTAGTTGAACCACGCACTGCATGAAGAAGTATTTTCTTTTCTAAACTGAGTCTGCTGGTTGCTCCTAAACGTCCTAATTCCTTGCCAGTTCTGTTTGGCTTGGCTTTGCCAGTGTCTCTATAGTGGCTGTTCCTTGGTCTTTCCTTCACAGGCTCACGACATTTCCCCGAATCCAGGAACAACAACCACATAAAGCGTCCCATGAATGCCTTTATGGTGTGGGCCAAGGACGAGAGACGCAAGATCTTGCAGGCCTTCCCAGACATGCACAACTCAAGCATCAGTAAGATTCTAGGTAAGTCTGTGGGCGGGTGTCCTTATTTGTTCTGCTCCCCCCCTTCCCCTCCATGGCTTTTGGGATTCCTGTAAGGCACATTGTTAGCCCCATGCACCCTCAGGCAAGGAATTACTGCTAATCTCATGCAGGTTACCAGCAGGCTGTGCGCTAGGATAAAAGCACAAAAGCAAATCCTCCTCATATTCTCTCTCTTTCTCTCTCAGCTGTCTTGATTCTTTGGCTCTGACACCTGAGCACACAAGCAGATGTGAAAGCAGCACTTTCTATTTTTTAAGGTCTTTTTTTGCATTAGAAAAAGAGAGAGCAAAAACCCACATGTGCAGAGGAAGCCCATTCTCAGGGAGCTATAGATACAGCTGTGGTTGTGGGCCTTTTTTTGTTTTTTGCAACCTAGTGACATAAACTGCTGGCTTTGCACTGACCTAGAGAAGCAGTTCTAGGCCTTCCTTGGCAGCTGTGAAGTCAGCAGGCAGCCAGCTTTTCCCAGTAGCCCTCAGGAGTGAGCCTGTACAGACTTAGCACTTCTTCCATTCAGCAGCAAGCCTATTCTGTCTCTTGTTCTTTAGAGCTTTGCTGCTGGAAGAAGGAACAAAATAAGGCTTCCTTCCAGGAACAGGATTCTGAGCTGTGGGTTGGTGGGAGGCAGTCTGTGGACTGCCGCCAACCCAAGGAACTGGTGCTTGAAAACCTGGAACTTAGAAGAGAGGTTTCCAGTAGGCGATTTTCTCTCTTCACACCAGCATGCAGCTGACCTAAAGATGCCGGGCATGCAAAGTTATTCTGAAATTCACAGCTAGCAGAAATCCTGATCGGTTGCTACTGATGAGTGCTAATTAGGTGGCAATCTACAACATGCCTATATTCATTCTAATCTGCAGGATTACCTGTGGAACCCATGGTGATTGGGCAGAAAGGATGGCTTATCACAAACCAGCCTAAGTGATAAGAGCACTGCAAGTATCTTGCCTTGGACCACAAGGAAGCAAAGGGGGTGTGAATTAAATGAAGCAGTGTAGGAACTGCTCTGAAAGAGTCATGGAAATGATAAGCAACCTGCATTGACTTCTCTAGTGCTTTTATTGGAATCACAATAAATTTTTGGCCATCTAGATTTATCTCTCTTTAAATTATAAATTATTGACCGTCTAGATTTATCTCCCTTTATCACTATTCCCTGTAGACAATATTTTCCCTACCAACAGTGCTACACTAGGCCTTGCCTACTCCTGGATGATCTCTGCCCTCAGCAACACTCATGAAACACATGCTTAAAACAAAGGCCTGTGCATCAGGCCAAATCCCATAGCTTGGAGGTCCATAAAGTGTGGCCTTTGGACCACCAGTTCATTGAGATGGCCCATGGTTTGCCTGTGGATTTATGGTTGAAGATAGGAGATGGCACATCCATTGCAGTGAGTACAGTGGAACCTTGGTTCTCGAACGGCTTAGTTGCCGAACAAATCTGCTCCCGAACGCCACAAACCCAGAAGTGAGTGTTCCTGTTTGACCAACAGTCAAGTTGGTCAACCGATCAATTTTACAGTTTTCTGCCAAAAGTTATAACTATTTTTGTGTCAACAGCAAATATCGTAATCTGTGAAGTATATACAATGGCAAGACACACAACATGTGTACACCTGATAAAATGGATTATTTTGCTTAAAAATGATAATACAAAAGGCAACTCCCAGGTCTCAGTTTCTTACAAAGTATCGCCATGACAACCCACATGAATTGAGAAAGTAGCCCCGGGTTTTTTGCAGTGGCCATAGCAAGCTGAGCCACTTGATGCATACTTTTCATTCCATAGAAAACCCCCTTGTATGGCAATTATCCCTGTTAGCAAGCTTAACAACCACAGGGGCTTGCTTATAAAGGACCAAAATAATAAGTAGATCTACAGCTTTTGTACCTCTGCAGCTTTCCCATCCTGTTTTACAAGCAGTCCAGGTAAACAATTCTAAGGGATTCTAAGGCCTGGCTGGGGAAAACCTGAGGGTGAAGGAACACTTTTGCTCCAGTCACTGTGGCTTGCCCCAACCCCTGCCTGGTCCTCCACAACTTTTCTTAGACCTGGCAGCTGTATGCTGTTGTTCTGCTACATCAGTGTAGATATACATCCATGGTGCTTTAAAGTTTAACTTAAGGAGGGGAAAGACAATGAGCTTCTTGGGACAGGGGCCTGTCAAAAACATTGACAGTGGGGTCAGTAAAGGAAGGGGAATGATGACATGAGAACTCTTCTTAGTTGCAGGGAGTTCTGCTGTATAATATTCCCAGCTGGTGGGTGGTTTCCAGCCTAAACTATTGAGCAAAAATTGGCATATGCTCTGCTGCTAGATTAGAATGAGATTACCTTGTAATCATCAGAGCCAGTAAGCAGGGGACCCAATCGTAAGAACATATACCTCTGAAAACTCAGGTTGTGAGAATATAGTACTTGCTATATAGCTTGCTATATAAGGTATATTTTGAAGACTGTTCCAATAAGCATATTTTGAGAAATCATATGATCACTCATCACCTGAATCTCAACCCAAAATTTAAGTAGAAGATTGTGAACTCTTGGATAATAGCATACACTCAGGGCAATCCATGTATACTCAGAAGTAAATTTCTGTTGAACTCAATGAGGCTTACTGCCAGGTAAGTGGGCATAGGATTTGAGCCTTAAAAGCACAGGGCAGTATTCAATTGCTACATCTACTTGCACAATGGGACTCCCCCACTCTCTGTCATGCACATCCCACACTCTCCCCAAATCTGCTCCAGAAGGTTGCGGGGAGCCCCTAGAAGAGATTTAGAGAGTGCATGGCAGGGAAAAGAGGGAGGAAATGTTCCATTGTGGAAGGAGAAGTCCTTGTGCTGATGGAACACGAATCTTAGTGCTAGGCTGGATTCCACCCTTGCTTTGTGTGACATCCAGCTCCTTGTCTGGTCTTTTTGTACACCACAGGTAGAAGTTAACAGCACAATACCTAATATAGATGTCATGTTTTGTTAATGCTAAACAAAAATAACCCTCACTAGCGGCAGTGCTGTCTCACTCAAGCATGTGTTTCCCATGATGTGGCCTAGTGTTGAGCTGTCGCATAGCCTGGGTGGTTATTTAAAGAGGTTGGTGTGGTTTCTGAAGGAGGTCTCAGTCCACTGGTGCTGGGAGTGAACATGTTATGCTTCAGCATTGGAGGTTTGTGGCTTACTCTCCGCATGTTTAATCTGGGCTTGTGCATTGTTGCTAAAATAAAAGTAAGGGCTCTTTATTTAAAGGAGTGCTCTTAACCCACGTTGACCTTCAGCATCAAGGGGCCTTGTGGTAGACTGCCTTTTTCACCCCGCAACCTACAAATAGCCACTGTGATGGATTTGTGTTACTTAAACATTACTTATTTGAGAGAGCATATCTCAAAGTTTTCATGAGCTAGCTGGGGGAATTTGCACCAGAATCTTTCTGGCATAGTCTGAAGGTGTGCAAATTTGTATCGTGCCCACATGAACTGCAGCAGCTGAATACTTCACAGATATTAATGAATGTAACACTGGTTAGAGCTGCATCAGGAGACAGTAGAATCGACTAGATCTCTTCTGAATGCAGATGAGGATGTTGCCATTTTTTAATGCTCTCAATTTTAATTTTGATTACCTACAAGTAGAAATTGGGAAGAGGGAGCTGCTTCATGGTGTGCCAGTTTCTGCTGCAAAGAGGGGTGTTTCGTGGGTTTTTTGTACTTAGGTAAATATTCATAAATGGCACCCCTGCCTGCAGTCAGAAATGATAATGGTCCATTCTGCCACCTCATTCAGCTGTATTTGCAAATCTGGCCTCAAGACTCATCATTGTTTTGATTTTGAGTTTCTTTAATAGTTAAGGGGTAGTTCAACCCACCTTGCTTTGCTGTAGTTTCCTTCTCCAAGAAGTCTTGACCAAATGAATTTTGTCCAGGCTGAGTTTCTCCTGAATGCTTGCTGTGTTGTTGTTTTTAGTCCTGTCTGCCAAAGTAATCTTGGGCTGATTTTCTTCCTCTGCTTCTTCCCCTGCTTGGACGAAACCTTCCATATCTCTCCAGCCTGCATTCTTCACACACTTTCTGGTGGGAATGACAGTAAAGGTCACCCAGCCCAGGAAATTCGAGTTACAGCGGGGCAGCCTATTTTAGCTGTTGCACCTGCTCACCATACCTTGTGCTGGGAAGAATTCAAAAAGAGCAGCATAGGAAGGTGACAGGAAAGGTCAGCAGGAGGGAGGGGTTCTCATTAGCAATAGGTGGGCTGCCTGTTCACTGTGGTTTGTGGCCTTTTATATGGAAAGGCTGGATTATCGCAGTGGACTCTAGGTGGAGCAAGCCCTCATCTTGGTCTGGAAACTCCAACTGGTGCAAAACACTACCGCTATCCTATTTGTGGGGACAGACTATCGCCAGCACATAACGCCATGGTTTAAACAGTTTGCGCTGGATGCTCATATGTTACCAGTCCAAGTTAAAGGTTCTTGTATTAATTTGCAAAGCCCTTAACAACTGTTAGTGGTCCCCAGTGACTCAGATGCACGACTTGTATCCCCCACAAGCTGTACATTTGGTATTGTGGGCCTGATTCTGAGGCACTTCCTCTTAGCTGAGATCAGGCAGATCCCCTCCCTGTTAGAACTTTGGGCATTTGAAAAGACCTTTCTGTTCCAGCAAGCATTTTAAGGAAGTTCTCTGTTCTGATGTTTAATTTTCATTGATATTATTCACCATATGCTTTTTGTAATTTTTTATGCACACAATTTAGAAACATGAGCAATTAAGTGGCATATAAATAGCTGAAAGAAATAAAATTAATTAAATTCTCACTTGTCTGTTTTGGTATTTGGGCCTTGCAGTCTGGCTCTTTTTACCACCTCTCAAGTAATGCAGTGTTTGAAATGTGCAGTGCATCTCTCTGAAATAATAACATATGTAAACAACCTTTCTGAGTCAGTGTTTGCTGCTTGACAATAGCTAAGAGTTTCAAATGAAAACTTTTCAGCTATATGTGGTCATTACAAGGTGAAGAAGTCTTTATTAAGCACTGCGTCTCCTGGATTTTGGTGGTTTGGTTTGATTTTTGGTGTTCATCCTTTTGCAGTGGTTATCTTGTGCTTGGATAATTTTTTTGTGGATGAGCACTTTCATTATATTTCTTTCGTGTTAATGGATTTCATAGTATATTGTATTTTGTACATTGTCCTTGTGAATAACTTCGTTTCCTTCTGGTAGTGTGAAGCGACATTAACCATGACGTTAGGGTTAGTGTTCACTGAGGACATAAAACATATACCTATTTAAAAATGTGCAAACTGAACACATGGAGGAATCTATGGTCCTTGCTCCTAGCTTAAGTGGATTGAAAATATTTGATGGACACCTGCCTCTGCTCTTCTTCATTTAAAAGGCACATAAGGCATTTTGCAAGGGGATGCAGAGATATAGGATTTGTTTTGTTTTTGAAATGGGTGCTCCATCTGGCATATCCATTGCCTTGATCAAGTCTTGCACAATTTCTAGATGAGCACTATTCCCTATATGGGGAAATTTTTAATGTTTGATGTTTTATTCTGCTTTTATATTTGTTGGAAGCCTCCCAGAGAGATTGGGGCAACCCAGTCAAATGGGCAGGGTACAACTACTTCAACTACTACTACTACTACTACTATGTGATCTACCTGATGCAGCCTGTTTGTTGTAATTTATGGCCTGCTGAACAACCCATTTTTGTTGGGTTCAGACTTCAGACTTGGAAGAGTAATTGCTTGCCTATATTTCTCATCTCCAACATCTGAAATCCATTTATTTTCGTGTCATCCCTCCCCTTCTCCTTTTGTTTTAAGGACATCCTCTCCTGTTTACATTAAAAAGCAGTATTTTGACAGCGCAGAACAGGCTAGCTATATGTGGCTGGAAGCAAGAACAAAGTCAACTGGTTAAACCTCTCCCTCTGCATCTCGTTTCCACTTTGCAGGCTCACGATGGAAATCAATGTCAAATCAGGAGAAGCAGCCCTACTATGAGGAGCAGGCTCGGCTCAGCCGCCAGCACCTGGAGAAGTATCCCAATTACAAGTACAAGCCCCGCCCCAAGCGCACCTGCATCGTGGAAGGGAAGCGGCTCCGTGTCGGCGAATACAAGGCATTGATGAGGAATCGGCGCCAGGACGCCAGGCAGGGCTACCTGATTGCGTGAGGCTCCCTGCCCCTTCTCCCCTCTGTTTGCTCCCGAGCCCAGCCAGGAGCTTCCTGTTGCTCAAATCCGACTTAGGGAGTGGCTGATTTGGGGAGCAAAAGACAGCCCAGCACGTCCCCTGCAAAGTGCCCTTTGCACGAGCAAAACCTCTGACTGTGGCCAGCAAAGGCTTCCTTGGTAGTCGCCACAGAGAGGCATGCACATTCTTAAAAATTATGCCTTGGTGGCAAGGACACAGCTGATTTATACTGACCCAGACAAACACTAAACCGGGGGTCTTAACTTTAATCCTATGGATAGCCTCGCTGACTTTGAAGGGATCACACATGTGATTAAATACTTTGCTGGATCACATCACATCAGCATAGCTGGCACTTCACAGAAGACAGGCAGCCCCGAAAGCCCTTCCCAGGATCTGGAAGCTGGTATCCAGCAAGGGTCGTGGCAGACAGCTCCTCTGTTTCACTTGCATTTCCTAGAGGGCAGCATTGCCCAAATACACTGCAATCTAGGCGGAATCTAGACACATTTAGAAATGCTGTGAAAATGCTTTATAAAAAAAAAGTTTTGAAAAATATATTGAATTTCCCATAAGCTCACTATCGCCATCTAGTGTCATATTTGTATAATGCACTTCAAACGTTATATTTGCAGCTGTACAGCTGAGTCCCTAGTCCCTTGTGGAGAGGTGGGGCATATGTTAATGGCGGAGCAGCAGGGAGGAGGCTATGGTTCTCATGCTGTAATGTCTTTTCTAGACCTCAGGGCAGCCAGATGCCTCCTTCCTCTTCGGATCTTATGTACCAGCGGTCAGTTGGGATGCAGCTGGCTTCACCCCTGATGGACCACTACCTGCCCCGTGGCATGGAAGCAAACATGCCGGTCATCATCAACACCCGTAGCCTGAAGCCAGAGGAAGGGGATGGGGCTGAGGACAGTCATTCAGTGCCCGATGGCGAGATGTACCACTACAGCGAAGAAGAGGATTCGGAGGGCGAGGAGAAGAGCGATGGCGAGCTGGTGGTTCTCACAGACTAAGCCAGTGGTGTGAAGGGGGAGGGAGGTGTGTGGAAACAGGGGACTTCCCCAGCCTTTGTCCTCTTTCCAGCATCAAAATAATTAGCTGACTTTGGAAGAAGGCGGGAGAGGGCCAAGGAAGAGAGAAAATGCCCCCAGGTTCTTCCGCTGTGTGGCTGCAGATTCCCGGGAAGCAGCCAGACCTGTGGGTAGTTGTACCAAGTTGTACCCATGGGCTGTAGCTCAGCGGCATAGGGGGGCACACTCTGCGTGCAGGAGGTCAATCCCTGGCACTTCCAATGAAAAGGTTCTTATTCTGAAGAGCCATTGCCAGTCAAAGTAGACAATACTGGGCTTGATGGACCAATGGTCTGACTCAGTGTTTTCCTAGATGTTTTATATAAAAGACAGACATGGAGCAGAAGAAAGAAAGGATCTGGCCTGTGTGTCATTGGTGTCCATAGTGTTGGTAGGGATTCTTGATCATTCATCATCTTCTCTCTTGAAAGGAAGGAATTTTGGCTCAGGCTTGCTGAATGTGCATGAGGGTCAGGCTCAAAGAGAGGCGCCATTCAAGGAGAGCCTTGGAATGCAGATGACATTGCAACTGCTGAGGGACATCGCTCCTGCCCTCTGGGTGGAGGCGCAGGGCTCTCTCCTCAAGCTGCTGTGAGTTTATATAAGAGGGAACAAAATCCATTATGGACTGGCAAGGGAGTGCATACAACTGGGAATATAACCTGAAGCCGATCCAGGAATGTAAGATCTCCTGAATCCTCCTGAATCCAACACCAATCTTTTTGCTCTTCGGAGCAAATGCAAGACTGGGGAGAAGTTTACTCCTAGTCACAACTGCATGTGTCTTCCATGCAGCATTAAGTTGTGCTGTGGCTTACCAGCAAATCTCTCCTTGTGTCCATTGCTTGCTTGATCTCCTTTCCTTGAAAGCTGGTGTGTGCAGCTGGTTGGACAGAGGCCTCACCTGCTGGCGTTCTGCACCAGCTTTTAGTAGCCACACAGTCACCACCAGTTTATCTGACCTCTCTGGGGCCTTTCAGTTTTGCTCAAACTGGGTGGAACGCTTGTTCCCTGTATGTTCCGGATGCCTGCCAGTTCTGCATCTCCCTCCCCACCCCAACTCCACTTTTGTCCTGTGTTTGTTTCTTTCTGCTCCCACCGGCCCTGCCAGTAAATTCCCATAGAGCCATTTTTAGCTCTGGACTTGAATGAATAACAACAGACATCTCGGAGGGGCCCTCTTCTACCCTTGGCAGCCCTGGCCCAGTTTGTAAAATAAGCCACTGCCCGTTTCCCTCCTGTGCTTGTGTGCTTGCCAGTTCTCAGTATATGCAGCAGCAGGAGACACCCAGCAGCAGCAGCAGCAGCAGCAGGGTTCAAAACTAACTAGATCCTTAGTGGAGATCCCTTGGTCATATCTGTGAGAAGAGGAGAATCCCAACTCAGGCAGAGATTCTTGCGGAGTTAATTCTAGTTATGCCACCCTGGTTATGTGTCTCCATAGCATCAGATACCATTGAGTTAAATGGAGCTTCCTCCCAGGTAAGCGGGTCTAAGATGGCACAGGTAACAGCAGCTGCTTGCCTCGGATGTGGTGACAGATTCTCAGGCCCCCTCTTGGGAACTGAACCCTGGTTCCCCATCACCTGTGGTTGTTACAGTACACAGAGACAGTACCACTGAACATTGATAGGGAGGCATTAGGATGTGCCTCCACTGCCATGGTCTGTGATTACCATGTCGGCCCCATGGAATCGGGGTTCAGTTCCGGCAAGGAAGCCAGAGAAATGGTTAGCACAGCCAAAGAAGGCAGCAGGTGCTTGAGTTCCCCTCTTGTAACCCAGGGAGATTGTGAGGAAAAATTGCAATACGGGACTCATTCAAGGCCCAGTAATTTGAATGAGTACATTTTAAAACCTTTAATGAATTGGTAACTCTAAATAACTGTGGGCCAATCGCACACACCCTGTCAGGTGTGTTTAGATGTATTTAGATGTCCACCCTGTCAACTTTCTCTACCTGCTGTGGTCACAACACAAGCCCTTCCTTGCTTATTACAGTGGTACCTCTGGTTTCAAATGGGATCCATTCCGGAGGCCCGTTCGCAACATGAATAGAACGCAACCTGCAGCGGCACCTCTGCGCACTCACAGGTTGCAATTCGCTGCTTCTGCGCATGCCTGTGATGTCATTTTGTGCATCTGCGCATTTACCAGAGGTGAAGCCCGGAAGTAACCCTTTCTGGTACTTCCGGGTCGCCGTGGGACGCAACCTGAAAAAACGTATCATGAAACAAACGTAACATGAGGTATGACTATATACACAAGTCCTCCTTGGCCCAGTGCTGAAGGGGCTTCTCCTGCATCCTTCTGGCCCAGTTCTACTCCCATTTATTCTTTTGTGGAATTGGTCAAAGCAGCTGCAGTAGTTCTGGTACTGATTCACATTGTCCTTGGCCAATGAGTGGAGAATGCTGAATTTCACCACTTGAAAAGAAGGAAAGAGAAGCAGGGGCATTGAGAGGGAATGTAGAGGGTCATGGTCTTAAAATATATAGATGTATAGTGTGTGTGTGTGTTTGCATACACCCCTTTCCCCCACCTCACCACACCTGATGACCTTCTTAAACTTCTCAGTCTTCTCTGACAATGTTCTAGCAGAAACCAATGGAGAATATAAAAGTAGAGATGCTCCAAAACATGGGAGGCGTTTGCTCTCTACTGGCCAAAGATGGAATGGCATAGAGAAAGCAAAAATAGTAGAAAGACACCATTACTCTGCCTCATCTCAATAGTGAAAATGGATAGTCTCTGGCTTTTGACAGGATGGCCGTCCCAAGTGGGAATCCTCCTCCCTCGTATCTTGGAACAGTGCATGTATACCACATCTTTTTATTCCAGATGTGGAGATGAACAATGAGAGAAAGGAGGATTGAGTTGGAGGTAAAAGCAATTCAGCTCCACTTCTATTTTTAAGAAAAACTCCATGTCATCTGAAAAGTCCTTCCTTCTTTGGGCAAAAGTAATTTACAGTGGTACCTCAGGTTACAAACACCACAGGTTACAGACTCCGCTAACCTGGAAGCAGTACCTCGGGTTCTTACTTTACCTTAGGATGAGAACAGAAATTGTGCGCCGGCGGCAGCGGGAGACCCCATTAGCTAAAGTGGTACCTCAAGTTAAGAACGGTTTCCGGTTAAGAATGGACCTCCGAAAGGAATCAAGTTTGTAACCAGAAGTACCACTGTATTGAAACATCAACCTTTTTTATCCACATGACCCAACCTAAGGGACCAAGATTTCCTTGCTTTCCTTGCATCACAAGCAAAATGGCACTTGCAAGAAGAGTGGCAAGGTGTTCCCCCATTTTTTTTAAAAAAGGTGAAACCTCTAATTAATGCCCTTGCACCTGGACCCTCGTTCACAAAGGTTTATTCCTCTCTGACTGTGTTAAGTCTTTGAGCTATCACACCAGACACTCTGTTCTCTTTGCCACAACAGACGAATGCAGGAATTCCCTCTGGAACCTCCCCTTGTCTATCCGTGTGACCTGTGCTGGCTGCTTTGGCTCCCCTGACTGGCTTTACCTGCACCTCCTTGGTTATTTATTCCTCCCCAACTCTCATTTATGTTAAAGACAGCTTCATGAGAGCAAAGAAAGGCACATGACAGGCTCAATGGAGAGGAAGTGAGACAATTAGCGGGGGAATGGGTAAGGCTTTGCCTCTTGCTGTTTTTTTTATAAACACATCCATCTCCCTACCCGCCCACCCTGGTTTTCTCTAGCAACTGGCTGCTGTTTTTGTTTTGTTTTGTCCCGTCTCCCCCCCACAAAGATATCTGTACATATAGATAGAGCTTTATTTTGTTAATAAGACTAGTAACTTAACCTGTATATTTCAACATACTTGTTTATAATGGGTTTTCTTTTCCGTGGTACAATAAAGAGGATGTTTTTGAGCAGAGGATTGTGCCGAGATCTAGTTTTGTAGAGCTGACGCAACAGCCCCCAGTCCTTTTTACTTTCTGCCTGCAGGTGAAGATTGAGAATACTTCATGGTTACGCTCTTAAATACAGCAGGTACATTGGACAAGACAAACCTGCTCTGGGTTAATATGCAGATGTTGGCACTGACCAGGAAACTGCAGATGTGAGCTATGCAGCCCAGTCCTGTAAGGACCCCTGCAAAACTTGCTTACAAGAGGAAAAAGCCAATTGAATCAGCAGTTGTATTTGAAGTGCATTCAACGCCCCCCCGCCCAATACACCTGCTGTCCTTAGCTTCAGTTGCTTTGTGAAGGTGTCTGCTTTTGATTCCTAGTTCTCGTGTAGCTGAAATGTCCCAAATGCTGGGATTGCCAATCCAGCCTTTAAATCACTACTTGATGTGGGGTGAGATTACCTACTTACCCATGCCATCATTTCTATTCAATTGGAAATAATTGAGCCTGGACTAACCATCCCGCTTCCTTTTCCCCCTTCTAGTTTGTAACCACCCCACTTTGGGCACCACTGTAAATTAAAAAGAATCAGCCTTCCACAGTAGTTTACCTGACCTATCATTGCCACTGCTGTGGTGTGCTACAGGAATGAAGTGGTGATGAGTTTAGTGTGGTGCAAACGCACCAACGGATTGGCTCTGCTGGTATGTTTGAACCATGCCCCTCCTCGTGTGCCAGTGACAGGAGACAAGGGGGGGTCAGGTAAGAAGGTGGCACCTTGTCCATCGCTTCTGCCCTATAAGTAGGGTTGATTTGAATTGCCACTTAAATTAATGATGGAAATTGGGAATCTTGAGACCCAGTTTGCCTTGGTCCCAGCTACAGCATTCCCAGCTCATATTTTATCTGCCCCATGTCACTGGAGAGGACGTGCACATCTAGCAAAATGTTCCATCTTTTCTTTGCTTCATCAAAGGCCAGAAGCAGCTTTTCCTTTGCAACGGCCTCACCAGCCAAACATCACCACCCGCCAAGCAAGCCTTAAGGCTCAACAGCTGAAATGTATGTGGATTTCTTGGCCATGATTTGAATTCTAACCTGCCAGAGAAAGTTGGCTTTGTTCTCCTGAATTGTTAGTGCACAGTTCTTTATGAGAATGTCTGTCTACCATGGAGTGCAAATATGCTACGCAGCGTTGATGTGATGGAATTATTTGCTGGCTGATCTGAAGGATAGTTTGCTGATGGAAATGACCTCGGGCAGGTGAACGATATTTTGAGCCTGTCGGAGGACAAAAGGGGTAGATAGAATTCATGCAGTCTGCCTTGGTGAGACATCCAGCCATGTTGGCCTGTCATTCAGAGATTGGGTTGGTGGCAGTTCCCTCCTCCCCTCTCACCCAAAACCGGCCTATTAAGGGCAAGATGGGTCATTCTACTTTCTGAAAATGCAAACAGCATGGAGTGGCTGGCTACACAATTTGGTGCTCGCTGTGGTGCACACTCGTGTGTCTTGTTTTCTCCAGTGCCTAGCCCAGTTCAAGGAACCGCATAACACTTCTTGGAATTCATTAGTTGCCTTTCAAAATGATGCACACCCAGGGTCTTAATTATCTCTCTTTTTTCATTTTCTTTTTTGCTGAAAAAATATATAAAGAGAGGCACATGTTTCTGCTGTACTTAATATATACTTCCTATTAGGGAAGGATCTCTTAAGCACGTCTGAAAAGACTTGTTTCCTGAATGCATAAAATACCAGCAATCTAATAATAAAGTCACCCTTGCAAAGAACTGCATGACAGCCATGAATATTAGATCGCTCAAGAGGGAGGAGAGCATTTTGACTCGTTTTAATTTTATCACATTGGCTTTATAGATAAAGAGAGACACAGTTGGTGTTAAAAGGGTTCCTTTCTTCCCTTCATTTAGGGAACAAACGTCACTGATTCCATTTGCTCCTGTAAATAACACACAATCGATTTGATAGTGTCAGCAACTACCATAATGAAGAGAAATCTTGCAGTTTTATATACACAGAGCTGAATGCATGGTCGCTACTGATGAGGAAAGTGGTTGGGTCACAACTCAAAGTTCTGTCCACACCTGCAACTTGAGGGAACGCATATAACATGGTTGCATGGGATGGAGAAGCATCAGTAACCAATTAAAGTAGGGATAGCCAATGTCACACCCAGATGTTGCAGGCCATCAGCCCCGGCCAGTACGGTCAATAGGAGCTGAAATCAAACAACATGAAGGCATCATGTTAACTATCCCTGAGTTAAGAGATGCAGTTCCAATTCTTGGTAAACTAGTCTTGCCTCGTCCATTGATTGGTGGCTTTGTACTGGATTGGGAAAGCTTACACATTTTAACAGGGCACACCTTTGTTGGCATGTCCTGCTTTTGCCCAACCAAGTCAAGATAGTGCAAGCTTTAGAGCCCTCAAGAGCTTTAAAAGGGTCATATTTTGAGGACTACTTTCTACACTACACAACAACACAGGGAAACCTGCTCCTTGAGTACACAGTACAACACGTAAGCATCAACAGTTCATTGTACACTTGTTTTGTGTCCAGAAGCCTACTCTGGCCCCAAACAATAATTTTTCCAGGGTTTTTCAAAGCTCTCATGTGGCACAATAGTCAAAATAAAAACAGAATGTTTGATCTTGGTAGCATACAGCTACAAAAAGACAAGAGTTAAGGTAAGATACTCAATAGCGAGCTTACAAAAATAAATTCTTAATATTCTATATGATCAAATACACAGTGCAGACACATGAAGAAGGCACTCCAAAACTGCTTGCTCGTAGGCCAAATTCCAGATAGAAGTGAGTGCTCACTAGCTTTCAGTTGGCATTGGGTCTATAAGCAGAATATTGGAAGTGCATGCTTAGTATGTGTAGTGTATATTTCATCATATGGAATAATAAAAATCCATTTTCATGCTTGTAAATTGATAGTAGTTGATATACCAAAAGGCTACTCGGAATCCTTCATTCTGGAACATGAGTGGTTTGGCTTCTGGTTCTATGAGGGTTCGGACAGACGCATAAAATGTTTTGGGTTTTCTTTCCCCCTGTGGGATGGACCCAGTGCCTGCCTTCACTTTCCAAAGGGCATGTATCTTTAATCCTGGTTTCCCCCCACCAATTTGGTTCCTCCTCTATGCTTCTAGTGGGCTACCTGTGTTTAGAGCATTGCTTATACAAACCCAACCAGCCTGTTTGTTTTAAGCTGCAAAACTCTTCTGGGGAGAGGGGACTTGACCCTCAAGGCAAAATTGGTGCTTGTGGACGAAAGCGCAGCAAGCGTGCATTTCTCAGAGGAGTGGCTCCAGTTTTTATGAAGTCTGGACTGTGCCTGAAGCTCCCACACTGCAGTGGCATCACATTTACTCCAAAAAGAACTTCTGCACACTGTGATCTAGTGGACCAAACACTGAGATGGACACATGGAAATATGTGTGACAGCTAGAAATCACCTCAAATGTTGAAATATTCTAGAATAAGGGAAGGGATTAGAAAAACAGGGGTGGCCAGAAAAACTGTGGCCAGGATGCAGCTTATGGGGTCTCCCCGTTGAGACAGCAGCCTCCACATTGATCCTTTCTCTCTCTGGTATAGGACAGAAATCGCATAGAACTTGATTTTGTGAAGGTCTCATTTCCTAAAGTGCACCAAGCAACCTAGTAGTTAGAAATCACTTCTACATTCACATTTCGGCAGCACACGTGCTGCTGACCAGGGGGTTGGGGTTGGAGACAGAGCAGCTTGGGAAGGCATTGCTCCTTGCTTGTGAAAGTACGTTATTTGCCTAACAGGGTGCATATGGAAGGGCCAGTTTGCATCCCCATTCCATTCATTCATGATTTCTCCCACCTCCAATGTCTCCACTGAAGTCATTCCTGGGACAACAGATATGAAGACAGCAGAATACAGCAAGTGGAAACTCATGAATCTTGCCTATCAGCAAGATTGCTATATTTGCTGCTCATGGATCTGATCGTAGGCAAGATCTTGGAACTGTCTTCTTCACCCGTTGCATTGCAGTCTCTCATATACAAATTCCCATATGGTTGACCTTCTTTAAAAGATCAAGTGCTTGCAAAAGCAAGTAAATGAGAGAAAATTCAAGAATACTAAAACCCACATTCCTAAATGAGAAATTCTGCATGGGTGACAGGGTATTCCGGGAAGCTTCAGTGAAATTTCAATCTTTCCTTGGGGAACCTGGGGTCTTCCAGATGTTGCTGAATTCCCAATTCCCATCAGCCCCAGGCTGCATAGCCAGTGATGGCAGGAATGGCAGGAGTTGTAGTCCCAAATCTGGAAGATCACTGGTTCCCCTCCCCTGCTTAGTGCAAAGGACTGATTTGGAAAGCTTTGGGTTCTCACCAGTGGCCAGTCTTAGACCAAAACTCAGTAGACTTCAGTCCCTACCCTGTTCCCCATAGTTCTGCTTTTGTGACAAATTGGGACTGCCCCCTACTTTGGCAGAGTAGCATCTACAGGGCACTTAATGACCTCCCTTGAAATCGATTCTACCTTAACTATACCAGTGCAGAGAAACCACAGGAAATTGAATCCTAGGAGCAGTAGGCTGTAGGTGAGGAAGTTAATTAAAACAGCACAGCAATTAAAAGACTGCAGGAGGCTGGTTGGTGCTGTCAAAATACATATTCAGTGAAAATCTGATCACTGGGGATATGAAAGTACCTAACTAAGCAGTGAGGACATCATGAGGAAGTGAGGGATCTGTTGTTCCTGATTCTATTAATGGTTCACTAAGCAAAATAGTATCCCAAGGGACAGGGGGTGGCATACAGACAGCTTCTCATGTTTGATAGATTCCTGATTCTCACTCTGCCTCTCCCCATCCATGTTTCTCCATCCTTGGGGCAAAGCCGGAGCCATGTTCCCATTCTGACTGGAGAACCAGTAGGAGGTGTGTACGTAGGTTTGGTCCTCTCGTAAAGGAACCCAAGAGGCCTGCTTGTGAGGCACAGCACCATGTGAGCTGATCACAGTTCATAAGGAATGTTTCAAGTTGGTTCCAGTTTTTCACCATCTAGGGACAATAAGGTATATTGACATATAAAGTAAAACAGGATGCTAAAGGGGTGGTAGAGGAGGCCAGGAAGAGCATTTGAGCATCTCTTGGGCTTGTCTAATCTACACGTTGCCCTACCGCTGAACTGGCACTGCCACTGAGTCAGTCTGTCTTTTATTTGGGCCATTAACAGCACCATGTCTGCACAGAAGTCAGTCCTGTTGAATTCAAAGGAGCATATTCCCAGGCAAATGGGGTTTAGGATTGCAGCCTCAATTGTTTAGTGTAGTGTGTATTCCTCAGGCAGCTTTTGGGGTCAAAAGGTCCATCGTTAGACTTGACTAGTGCAATTGTCTTCTCTGCTGGACTGGCATCGATTTCATTTGCCTGCTTTTGTGATCTAATCTCATGGAGAAGGAACATGTCGTTTCACATTCTCTAAATACTGAATGGCACAAAGTCCTGCTCAAGGGTGATGTCACACAGAACTGACAAACACAGCAGTGGGAGGGAGGCAAAGGCCGAGTATTTGGTAAACCTGGTATATCCATGTTTTTTTTGCCAACATTACTGTGTTTCTGTGTTTCACCATGCTGATACACACTGGCCCTTTTCGAAGCAGTGTAGTTTAAATTGTACATGCATACCCCACCTGACAGATCTTTTCTCTCCAGTAACCTATAGTAAGACTTGCAATGTAGACAACTCATTTGCCAGCTGATGTATCAGGCTGCTGCTGCATTAAAGTTGTACGGTCTGGGGCTTTCCTGCTGCCTCAATATCTTTAAAGAGATCATCGCAGGGCATTGCAAGGTATCTTCCAAACTCTCCCATCTCAATCTCTTGAAAGAAATTGAGGGGTGGGAGGTCTGAGAGGGACTCAAGCTACTCCTATCAGTGTAGTATAGAGATGTTACCACCCCTCTCTTCAAACTTTAGCCCAAGATCAAAATAACAGAATGCCATGGTTTGCTGAGACTGCAATCCTAGACAAACTCACCCGGCACAAGTTCCATTGAACTCAGTGGGGCTTAACCTCTGAGCAGACATGCACAGGACTGAACTGTTAAAAACCCTTTGCCTAGCCATTCGTCCCAGCCAAGGAACAGAGGGGATTCCATCCAGTACAGACCTTCAAGGCTATGCAAGTCTCTAAGCCAACCCCTTCTACCCACCCCTTAAGCCCAGAAGCCCTTGAAGCATTCCTTAATCCCCCAGACTCTGTGAATGCAATCTCTTGCCAGCAGCCATGTCCTAACATCACCTTCTGAAAGCAACACGTGGCAGATAATCCATGGATGGCACAGCCATGTTCCAGGGGCTTGGTTTAATTTTTGGCTTCAAAAAAGGTGTGCTTTCCTTTTCCATCCCCCGTTTCATGATGTCTGACCGCTCAGCATTGAAGCAACTGCAGGAGGAGGAGGAGGACGGGTGGGGGGGCAGGTGCTCTACACCCAGAGAAAATAAGTATGGGATCTTGAGGACCAGAAGACACTTTGGGGCCTTAACCTCACTTGGACATTTTGAAGGATGTCACTGCAGGTTTTGCTTTAAAGTACTGTTTAAATCTTATGTCTGCATACCTGCAGAGAAGGGAAAGAGACAGAGACTTGTTAAAGAAGTTCTAGTTATATGAATCCACTCTAGTTTATCAGTGCCTTATGACTGTTATTTGCGGGTGCTCATAGCACCATGCCTTTACATTTTCTCTCTCTCACTCACTCACACACACACACCACTTGGTCCTCCCCCCGCCATTCACACTGATAAGAATCCCCCTTACATCTCTATTCACACCCTAATATATGGATCTATCTCACCCAGTGCTCACAGTATGGTTATTTTAGGTGCTTTGTACGTTACAGTGACTGTGCTATAGGGAATGTGCCAGACTGGGAGTGGGGGAGATGCAATTCGACCCCACTCAGCCACGAAGATCACATAGTGACCTTGGGTCACTCAACAGCTTATGCCAATATCAAATCAAAATGGAGGACAGATCGTCACTGGCAACTCCCGTGGCACAAAACCACCAATTTTAAAATAGTATATTGCTTCAGAATCATCCTTGCCCCAGGGAGAAATGACACCCACAAGCATCCCTCTTATCTCCCTTAAATTTCCTTTACCAATGCAAATAAATCACACTCACCTGGCAAAATTAAAGTCTATGGTAGAGAACTGGGCTTGAATCAGGCCCCAGCAAGCCCACAGGAAATGGGAGGCCTGTGAAAAAAGAGAATTATCAAGGACACATATTTGGGATTGCCTAAGTGAGAGTGAGTGAAAGTGTGAGTGAAGACAAGCATACAAATTTAAAAGCTGTGAAGGTGATGCGAAAATCCACTCACTGCATTCAGTAGAAGTACATGTGCTTCTGTCTTGGGCCAAGCTACGAAAACTGACCCAGCATGGATAGCTCAGTTGGTTAGAGTGTGGTACTGATAACGCAAAGGTTGCAGGTTTGATCCCCATATGGGACAGCTGCATATTCCTTCCAACTCTACAATTCAATGATTCTAAGACTCTGCAAGTGTAATGTATGGCTTCGTTTGAACCAGGAAAAATCCAGCTGCAAAATGCACATATTGACTTGTTCCTGTGACATCCCCAGCACAATCATCTTCTGCAAACACTAGAGCGATTTTTTCAACAGTTTTTCAAAGAATTCCACTTGTCATTAAAAATATCAGAGCAATTTTGCAACAACAGCACATAAAACCATACAATTAAAACCACACAAAAAGTTTCAGAGAGACAGCAGTTAACCATTGTGGAAAGATGTAGTCTTAATTGCCTGCATTAAGCCTGATGGGGAAAAAATCAGCAGGCGTTTAAATGGAAGAATTCATTGTGGAGGAAACAGACCTTTGGTGGTACAAGAAGATGAAAAAGACTGCAGAGAAAAAATTGTGAAAAGGGAGAGGTGAACCATTAACAGGGAGTGATGCAGCTCTCTTGAGTTGACAAAATGTAAAAGTGGCCCTCAGAGTTATGTGAACTGTGTGTTATCAGTGTCCAGTGTCTGCAATATTCTCTCCCTCTTTCCTTGCACTTTCTTCGTGATGCACATACTCACTAAAGCAAACTGGTTCACTTGCACATAGAGGCTCTCCAGCTCTTCTTCAGACACAGCTCCACTCTCTCCTCTGCTTTTGCTTCCTCCCCCCAGGTCCTCCTGGCCTAGTTTTTTGTAGGCCTGCAGGTAGTGCCTCAACCACTGCAGTTGGATCTCTTTGGAGGGGTACAGGCTGTAGTCCACCTCGTTCAGTCCTGGAGCAGGAGAAGGCAATTGACAGAACATGACATGGGACAGTATGGACAGCTCAGTGGGTTCAGGATGCCTAAAAGCTAAGCCTCAAGAACAATGGTGGCAAGCACAGTGAGGTCACTGGGACACTTTTGAGGGATGCTAAGAGTTGTTTGCACCGCTGGGTCACCTGGCAGTTGAACTGGCTTACATAGTTCCAAGCTGAACTGCTTTTTTAAAAGCTGCAGGTATTAAGGTTAAAATGGAAGAAACAAACATGTTTGGAGAAGGAAATACTAACTCTCCCTATAGCTGTGTTATGTCTTGGCAGAAGTGGTTGGTCCTTGTGCTCTCATTTCCCTCAAGCTTTTGGTGTTGGTGCTGACCTTTAAAGCTCCAAATGGCCTCTGCCCAATATACCTGAAGGAGCGTCTTCACCCCCATTGTTCAGCCTGGACACTGAGGTCCAGTGCCGTGGGCCTTCTGGCGGTTCCCTCCCTGCGAGAAGCAAAGTTACAGGGAACCAGGCAAAGGGCTTTCTTGGCAGTGGTGCCTGCCCTGTGGAACACCCTTCCATCAGATGTCAAAGAAATAAACAACTATATAACATTTAGAAGACATCTGAAGGCAGCCTTGTTTAGGAAAGTTTTTACTGACTGATGTTTTAATGTATTTTTAATCTTTTGTTGGAAGCCACCCAGAGTGGCTGGGGAAACCCAGCCAGATGGGCAGGGTAGAAATAATAACATTATTATTGTTGTTGTTGTTGTTTTCTCCCCTATGCTTGGTATAAACAGTGGTTGAGTATTAAGTGAGTATTTCAATCTGGCTCACATCTGTTTTGTTTTGTAGAAATGCCATCAATGGTGCTCATCATGCCTATCAAATTAATTTTTGTACCTCACCTTTTTGTCTAATGAGCTCAAGGTGGTACACATGGTTCTCTTCCTCATTTTATCCCCACAACAATCCTGTGAGTTAGGTTAGGCTGAGAGGCAATGACTGGCCCTAGATCACTCAGTGAGCTTCATGGCTGAGAGTGGAATTTGAACCCTAGTCTCCCAGGTCCTAGTCTGACACTCTAACCACTAAGCTGCACTGGCTCTCCTGTCTTTGTGGTTGAAAACAGGAAATAGCACAACCACTGCCTTATTATTTATATCCCCCCCATTGAATTCAAATTGTAGTACAATAAAAAATACAGTCGTACCTTGGAAGTCGAATGGAATTGGTTCCAGAAGTCCGTTCGACTTCCAAAACGTTCGAAAACCAAAGCGCGACTTCTGATTGGCTGCAGGAAGCTCCTGCAGCCAATCGGAAGCCGAGTAAGCCCTGTTGGATGTTCAGCTTCCAAAAATAGTTTGCAAACCGGAACAGTCACTTCTGGGTTGGTGGTGTTCCGGAGCCAAAACATTCAAGAACTAAGCTGGTCAAAAACCAAGGTACGACTGTATAAGAAATAAAAGAAGCAATAAACATACAATTGTAAAGTCACAGTGTGTTTAGCATAGCTCATTACAATTGCTATAACAGGCAGAAAAATAATTAATTGGGCCACCAAGACCCTCAGCAATTTTCCCCTGGTTCATGGTGGGAGAAAGTTTGGGAAACACTGATTTACTGTATTTGTAGACAGCCAATACCCTCTGCACAGTGGGCTACAGCACATCAACAAAATACAAGCTTCCAATTCCACAATTTTAAATAGCAGTTAAAAACAACAACTTCAAAATAACAGCCGCATATTATTATTGTCTCTGATTCTTGCTGTCCCCTTCTGAAACTCTTCCAGTTTGACCCTGCTTGACTTTTATGATCCGCGTGGAAACAGAATGCAAGCTGAGATGAGAGCAGATGTAATTAGCCACACAATGATTTCCTGTCTTACATAAAAGCTCAGTTAGCAGAGAATTAATATAGAGACCTGGATAATTACATGCAGGTCCTTCCAAAGGAGCTTGCTTCTAATCCATCCTTTGAATCAGAATTACGGGGTGGGGGTGGGGTGGAAATAATCTTTTAACAATCCAAAAGTACTAATTTTGCCATACGTTAGTACGGCTAGCCTTGTTTGCCAGAGGTTTGCCATTTTTAAAACAGAGGATGCATAACTTTCTAGCACAAAAAGCATCCACATAATATAAGAGAGCATCAGTACTATTCAAGACTGGACTTCCAGAAAGAAAGATGGTGGAGGCAGCTGTGATGTGTTTGTTTTTGCTGGGCAGGTTTTTGTTTCTTTTTCTTTTTCCCTGCCAGCAAATGGTTAACAAATGGCAGCCTCTGATTGGCCGGGGTTCCAGGAGAGAGGGTTGAAAAGGAGAGGATTTTGAGAGACAGTTTATAGGTTGGGAGAATGTTGTTGTTGTTTAGTCGTGTCCGACTCTTCATGACCCCATGGACCAGAGTTGGGAGAATAGGTTGGGAGATAGGGAGTGAGAGGAGAGAGAGTTGGTTCTAGGTAGAAACATCCACTCTGAGGAATATATCACAAGCTAGAGAAAGGAGTTTCTGAACTTAGTGTGAAGGACAGTGTGTGGTGTCCTGTAAGAGTGAAAGGCCAGGAATTAACTGGGAGGCTGAGCCAGGAGAAGTAGAAGCTGTGAAAATACAATCTACTTAGGACTCATTCCAGTCAGGAGGGGAGAGATTCTTCTACATTGAGAAGACTCCCAAACCAGTTAAGAGGGGTGTGGTGATTCCTGGGTCTGTTACCTGGAGTACCTCAGGAGTAGGGTTGTCAAAGGGGTGTGTAACTGACAGGAAGTACCACCTTGTTTAAGAACCAAAGTATTAAGCGGCAACAGCTGTGCAACAACTGAGAAAGAACTGAAGTGGAATAACATTAGAATCTGAAGTATCCTATGTTTTACCCACTTTGTGTCAAAGTATAGGGAGTGGTCAGCCTACCCAAATAACCTGCAGGATTCAGTTAGCAAGCCCTACCGGTGAAAACCCATACAAGGACTTTTGATAGCACAGCGGGGATTTCTCTCTGCCTCCTCCCATCAGGCTCCCCCAAATGGTCTCAGGGTGTGTTGGGGGAACTCCAGAATTGCACACAGGGGAAGGAGAAGGCAGATCTTTGCATCAGGCAAGCAGATATGCTTGCGCTGACAGAGTGATGTGCTTAGCGCTACGCTGAATTCTTCCCTATACTGTCCTGGGAACAATAAAGGTGTAGATTTGCTTTATTTCTTTGACAGCCCTTCTGTAAGATTATGAAAGGAGTTTAAATAAGTGGGTCCCAGTAATTTAATATATTAGACAAAAGCATTAGGCCTTAAAGGAGCAGAGGTAGTTCGTGTTACTATGAAATTAGTAAGAAAACAGATTGTGTGGGAAAGGAATGAACATCTCGATGGCGTAGACCTTTCAGACCTATGGAATGGTAAGATGTTTCTCTTGTTTTCTGGAGGGAAATTTATTGGATCACAGGTAGGCAGGTAGGCAATTCCTTTTCATGCATAAACTTAATTACTAGTGCTTGATAATGTGTGTAATAATACGATTATTTGCAAATCAGTTTTTAAAAAGCTTCAGCTTATGCCTCTGAAGACAGGTAAAAAGGAATTGAATGGCTATTTTCTGCTTCCATGAAGAATAAGAATGAGAAGAGAAAGCGAGATGGAAGAAGGGAGGGAAAGGGGGGGCAGAGACAGCACCAAAGGTGAGTTTAACTCACCTGCAAATTCGTTAAAATGATTCCCAATGTCATATGCTTGATAGTTGTAACCAGTGTATTCATAATCTATGAACCGGACGTGACCTGAAAAAGCAATGAGAGAAATAGTTGGGATTCTTGGGCAGAGTGGGTTGTATCCCACGAAGTTCTACTCAGAGTAGAACCACTGGAATTAATGGACTTAAGGCAGTCGTGTCCATTATTTTCAACAGGTCCAGTGTGAGTAGGATTAACACTGTTAGACCCAGTGTCTCTTCAAAGAAACAGGAGAGCTTCTCTGGTATTTGCATTTTGATATTTTTTCTCGTTATTAGGTCCTGAGTGCTTTGCAAAGCATTAAGTATTTATTACTCCAAAAAATATGTTTTCAGGACCCACTCAATTCCTGTGACTGCAGCTTGTCTTAAGTGTTTTTAATTTCAGAGTTTAAAATAGTTGTGACCCCACCCCCCCAACTCGGTAACCTGCTGATTAGGCAACAAACCTTCTGCCTTGTTGTAGATAATGTTCTTGCTCAAAAGGTCATTGTGGCAAAAGACTATTGGAGATCGAAGCTGGGAGAGATGTTCTTTCATCCACCGAATCTCTTCTTCTAACACCTCTAGGCTGGGAATGTGCACTTCCTGATGGAGACTTAGGAAGGAAAAGAAAAGGAAGCCACTTGCAGATGCTAAACCTTTCTTAGTGCAAGGGATGTGTTTTCTAAAACTGGTAAAACAGGGTTTTCTTATTCTGGAGAAAGATTTTCCTAGGACAGAGACGAAGAACTTGTGGTCCCCTAGATGTTGCTGGACTTCACTCCCATTGGCCCCAGCCAGCATGATGAATAGATCTACTAGAATTGAATCCTGTATTAGGGCCAGTGATCACCAGCAGTAAAACATCAAACCCCCAAATGACCAAAATGAGACTGTATTACTAGTGTAGAGCTTCCTTACTTGGACAAACATTGTTATACGGTCCTGAAACTTTAAACTGATATTACTAACATAAAATCTCTCTGAAGGATCAGATCATCTCCGAAGGGACTCTTTGCAGCTTCTGCATGAAATCCAAGGAGGTTCTCCTTGTAGAAACAGAAAATTATTTTATGAGCTCAACTGCCTTTATTCTACTTCACTCTTTAATTTACTTGCACACTCAAGAGATTGATTATAAGCTCGTGCAGCCTGAAAGCAGCTATTTAGGGCTCTTGATTCACCTTGGTTTCATCATGGTACATGTTACTGCAAACAGGACAATCCATAGAATTCAATGCAAGCCTACAGTGACTTCACACTGTGACACAAGGGTGGACAAGTTTGCATGCCTGAAATACTCTGATTCTGCTTTCTTCCTGCTCACTAAACCCTGTTACCTTTTCAGCTTCCAACACCTCCTCTCTTCTCCCTTTCATTGTCATACTACCACCAATCCCCTGGCTCTGAGCCTTCTTTCCCTAGGGGTTCCGGGGTTCCCCATGGGGGTTCCCCAGCTGGTGCCTCCCACCACTCCTCTGCATCCAGCCAGTCCATGACACCCGCAAAATTTGGAAAACCTGTGGTTTAGCTACTTAGACTCAAACCAAATGATGAATAGGCTTCTGAAGAAGCGGGAGGGTCTCCTCCTGCTGCTGTGACCAGCTCTCCTCCCCATAAGTCTCCCAGAGCCTGCAGAGGTATGAAGAGGGCATAGGAGAGTCAGACAAGGTGTCAGAGTCTCAGATTGCTTAGGAAGGACCAGGGGGAGGAAACGACTTAAAGAGCTTTGGGATAAAGAGTTAATTCTACTGACACCTTGTGCGTTATTGCTGACCTGTTCCTGACAGTGGGTGTTGAATAGGCTGAGTTTTTGAAACCAGGCAGAATTGTCACCCCCTTTATAGTTTATAGCTACAAGAACCATTAGTTGCATCCTTTTGGCTGTGAAGTTTTAGTGGCAAAGTCTAGGATCCATTTATGACTTTGCCACTCTGCTCTGTGTTTGTGTTCTTAAAATTAGTTCCAGTGACTTCTTTCTATTACAGTTCTTGTGTCGTATGCTTGAAATAACTACAACATAGCAGGCCAAAGCTACCGGATAATGAATACCTTTATTAGAGATTAACTCTTGATTTCCTTACCCAGAATTAGATGCCTTTCTTGGAAACTCTGTTTTCACAATGTTAAAGTACTTGTGCAGTCTATGCCATAGGCAAGGCTTGGGGAGGCTTCCATTGGTGTGAATCCTGTGCATTTTAGCCATTTCATGGGCTACTAGCCTAAAATAAATCACAAAAGTAGAGTTGTTCAGTAGCCACACACTGCTTTTAATGGAAGCTATGGCAGCCTCTAGAAAACAGCAAAACCTGGATAAAAACGTGCAGCCAAATACCCACTTAAAATCCAGTCTGGCATGTGAATTCAACTTCACGTAATTTGGTATCTTAACTTTAAAAGTGCTCCATGGTTTTCCCTGCTAGAAATCGAAAATGTTTCTACCGAATCCTCTGTAAATTGGAGCAGCTTCAAACATCATTTACTCCCCTTAACCCACCTTTAATATATATAAGATGGTAGAACATAGTCTACCACAGCCTTACTAAACCTTGTGCCCTCCAGATGTTGCTGGACAACATATGTCATCATCCCTGACCACTGTCTGAGGCTGATGGGAGCTGTGGTCCAAAACATTTGGAAGGCATCAAATTGGCGAAGGCTAGTCTAGTGACTTCTCAGAAACAGAACACTGAGTTGGATCCAGACCTAGTCATGCTGAGAGAAGTGGCGTAGGAAGGGGGATATGGGGGGTGCGGTCTGCCCCATGTGTCATCACTGAGGGGGTGACAAAATGGCCAAAATATGTGCCTGGCATGCCTGGTCCATAGGGTCACGAAGAGTTGGACACGATTAAATGACTAAACAACAACAACGTGTTTTTAAAATAAATTTTTAAAAATTGGGCTCATGACACTTTTTTTAAAAAAACAACTCCCGCACCCACTGTACCCCCCTTCTTATGCCACTGGTAGTTAGGTGAGGTGGGGGGCACTGGGCGCCACACCGTGGGGCCTGCAGCATGCCTGAGCCACGCGTCTCTCCTTAGGGGGAGGCAGTGGGCAGATTGCCTGCAAGCTCCACGTTGCTTTTTTGAGCAGCGGGGGCTTGCGTCTGCCCACCGTCTCAGCTGCCCTACAGCTGAGAGGGAGGCTGCGGAGAGGCTCTATGCAGCGTGCCCTGCCTTGGCTCACCCCGCCCCCATGGATGGCTCACTCTGCCCCCGGCTGCAGGATGCACACGTAGCACCGGGCACCTGAGCAGCTAGCTACGTCACTGGCTGAGAGTAGGCCTATTGAAATCAATGCGTCTTCAGTTAGTTGTGACTATCAACTCCTATTGATTTCCACGGGTCTGCTCTAAGCATGAATAAGCCTGGATCCAACCCACTGTAGCAAAGGGCCACAACAACAAAGATTTCACTTTTCACTTTTTCTTTTTTGCGAAAGAAGAACATCGCTCAAGTTTAGGGTAAGATTTGTAGTTCCATTCCTAGGGAATAATGAACAAAGGGTGCCTTTCACATATTAACAGTTCTCCTCTGGTTAAGCTATCACAGGAATTCTACTGACTGCTTATTCTGATTTCAAACATGTTGCTACCTCTAAGCCTAGATTGTGGGCAACTGAGGCTCTGCGCCATTGGTTTGCTGTCAAACTGGATAATCCATGATACTATTAGACATTACACCACTTACCTACCTATAGGGGATCTGTACAGTGAAAAGTCATACCTCTTGTGGTCTATAAACCATGTGAAATTGCCATTAACATGGCTCAAACTGACAGTAATTTCCCTCATGCCTTCAGTCTTCTTTGCCTGCCAGTGGAGTTGCATTTCTTATTAAATGGAGGCAAAGTGGGAGAATAATTCTTGGTTCCCAAAATGTGCAATTCCCTAGATTTCTGTTGATTCTAAATCTACAAAAGTCCAATCACCTTCTGGATACAAGACTTTGCTGAATGTGTCAAGCAGGGGAAGTTTCTTGCTCTGCTGGCTCTGGCTTACTATACTTCCAGGAAACTCAGCAAGAATATGTAAGTTCCCTTTCACCATTCATTGATGTTCAGCATATCCACACTGTGACAGCTATGTGAGAAAAAACAGGATGCTACTACATCATAGAATTATTATTTCCCCCCGGTCCTCTCCTCTGTCTGTGAGGTCAGCCAAAGGACACAAAACTCATGATGTGTCACAGATTTCTCTCTGGTCAAGGCTACTGCCAGATCTTGTGTTCCTTCAATAGAAAGACCTACCTTTGGCCACAGCTAGTCTGGTCAGTGACCCAGGCTTGTAGTTTAGTTCTCCTAGATGAACTACAAGCTGTAAACCTTAGAATAAACCCTGGTTGCAGCTCATGGTTGGAAAGATAAGCCACAAGACTGGGTTTGGGTAATATGTTAAACCAAACCATGACTCATTACAGCAGCAGAACAACTTGGGAGGAGCCAAGCACCCACAAAACTCTTCGTATGTCCACCAAGTGTAGGAACTCCTTCTGACAGAGAAGCAATAGGCCTCTGTTTAGAGTAGGAAATACACAACCCCCCACCTCCCATTCCACACACACACCTGAATATATTTGGCTGTCGTATATGTTCTGGTCCCAAGGCCTTCCCTGGCATGAACTCGTAGCAATAGCCATTTTCGAAGGTGCAATAGAGACTAGGGGCACAGCTGTGGTCTTGAAGCACTTGGAAATTCCTCAGCTCATTAGCACGGTCCACAATAAGCTCTGTCTTCCTGCCATAGACCCTCACCAGGACTGCATCCCCCATGTTCTCAGCTGTGAAGCAAGCCATGAGCTTGTTGGTGATGCCTTCAGTGAAGAGCTAAGTGAGGAATAGATAGAGAGGAAGTGGTTAGGTCATGGTGTAGCGTCTAGAGGGGTAGCTGTGTTGGTCTATGGCAGCAACAACAACAAAGGGGTGGCACCGTAAAGACTAACCATATTTATTATGACACAATTTTTGGTGGCCCAGAGTCCGTTTCATTACAGCACCAAGCGTAATTCTTAACAAAATAATAAACGAACCCAATCCTGACATTGCAAATGCACTAGCACAAATATTTAGTCGGATACTACCCACCATGAAAAGAAAACCTATTAATAGCCTATAATACTAAATAAAAAGGCCAAGTATTGTTCTTATTTTTATTAAGTATTATTATTTTCTAGGAATAGGAATAAAGCACAGATTCCATGTTTTGTGCAGAATGACACTTGTGTTGGCTTTGCCAAAAGTGCATGGAAAGAATATGTAGCTCTCAGTTTCACATGTCCTTGATATCTAGAAATTGTTTGCGGAGCCACAGATTCTGAAACAAATAATACTACTTGTCAGGGCTGCCTCAAGTCTCAGCTCACAAAAGACCAACGCCTATGTCTTCTTATATACAAAAGAGTTTATTGCAGTTCATTGTTTGCTTGACATCTTAGGCGCGCAGCCCTACGTCTGCTACGCTTAGACCGCTGAAGTCCCCTCTGAATCCGTCCCTCCCTGCACCAATTTAAGAGGCTTGCGCTGCTCCACCTCTTTCTCTCTTTCCTTTTCCGCAGGGTCCTTCTGCCCGCTGGGGTTTCGCCCTCCTGGATTCCTCTGACGCGGAATCAGACTGCTCTTCCCCCTCCTGCGGGCTTTGGGACCTGGCCCCTCCTCCGGGCTCCCTGTACTTCCGCGCGCTCTACATTTGAACTTGCGCGCGCGCCAAACCTCTAACTTTCCTTTTGACAGTTACACTACTCCCTTCACTGCTCCTCCCCTTCCGGGAGGGTGGCTTGCTCTGACCTCCCTCCCTTCTCTGCTGCCGGAGCTGCTTCCCTGATACACTGGAAACTCCACCCCTTCGCTGCACTCTGGTGGGGAGGCTGGTCCTGACGCCCAGCTGCCACTTTGGGATCCTCCGCTGGCCCCCTGCTCCTGACACGTCCCCCTGGGGCTCCCTGGCCTTGACCACCGGCGCCCCGTCTGGGAATCCTCTGATTCGCTGGAAAGACTCATGGAATCTCTTGAGTCATTGTCATCCTCTTCCTCGCTGGCTTGGGATTCATCCCCATCGCTCTCCATCTCCTGCCTACCCTGTGCCTCTCTCCCTGAACCCCTGACACTACTGATCATCTATTTAGAAGTGGGGCATGTGGTACAACAGACCTATCCTTCCAAACACGGCCATTGCTGTTGTTTACGGGGATGGGGCTTGGAATGGAGCAGGACAGTGGTGAGGGTCAGGGCAGTGCAATTGCACCAGCAGAGCCACCACCATCAATGTGGCAGCCCTGCCAAGGCAACTGCGTGGCCACCCCACGACACCAGTCGCTTCTTCAACTTTGCTTGGTTCCACCATTCAAAAGTTCTCCCTGTATGTCTTGTCTTTCCACAATTGTGTGCACTTGATCCTCAAGCTCTGGGTAGATAGAATAAAATTCAAAATGAAGCAATTACCAATTTTCTATGATGTCGTTTCATTAGGTATTTCCTTAAATTTCACTTTCTAAGCAAGTTCACCTCCATATGAAATGAAATAAAATAAAATGCAGTGCAGAACAGTCTTGTGAAATCTCAAACCTGTATGGATAGGTACGGTATTAGGAAGATGATCATATCTTGAAATCATGGCAATATATGCCACAGGAGAGCTCATTTACACTATTCATCAGCAAGCATCTTGTTCAGGTTGTGTGCTGGAAACCAACACAGTGTAATAATGGTTATTAAGAGTTTTGAATTAAGACCAGGGACAGCAAGGTTCAAATCCCCACTCAGCTAGGCAACCTTACACCAGTCTCTCTCTCTCTCCTCTTTCTCTGCTGTACCAAACTCACAGGGTTGTTGTGAGGATAAAATGGGAGAGAGGAAGATAAAAAATAGCTGAATGCAAAGGGTGGTGGGAAGAGAGAAATCAGGTTGGCAGGGCTGAGCCACAGTAAGAGGCATATTTGTGATGTGAACTCTTTGGCATAAGGAATCTATCTTAGATACTTTTTAGTATGCATGAGAGTCAGCAAAGGAGCTGCTGTACAAAAAGGGTAGAAATGAGATGCTGATGTCACATGCTTGAGTAGTGCTGTAGTACCAGATGAAAGAAAAGATGGATTTTAGGATATCGCAGTGAGGAGCAGTTGTATTCTGATGACAACAGAGATGATGCAAGTGTAATTTTAATATTATAACTGGGTGGACCAATTAAAAAATGATAAATAGGTTCAAAAGACTTGTAATCCAGCTTGGTTTTAGAAGGCACCAAGGCTTACTGCATCTGAGCATCAATTTAGATTAAGTTCCTATGCTGGGAAAAGAAAAGTGGATCCACAAAGAAGCCAGATTTCATAACCACTCTGCATATGCCCAGTCACTTTCCCCCCTTGCCCAGGCACTGCATTATGCCAGTGCTGAGTGGGCTGTCCTAACAGCTCACAACAAGTACAAACTGGGACTGTGGACATCTCTGTTTGACCTGCATGAGGGAAATCTCTGCAAAAGCAGAAGTGTGGTCATGAAGGATTATTTTAAACAACCCTTGGGATACAAGCTCCATGAAATCATGGTGGGAAGGCAAAGCTGTGCAATGTAAAGAAAAAAGAAAAAAGTGCCTAAGTTGTGAGGAAAGCATCACTGTAGGGCAGGCAGCCTGGTGTCTTCCAGATGTTCCCAGTCAGCTTGGTCAGGGATGATGGGAGTTGTAGTCTAAAACATTTGGAGGGCAGCAGCTAGGGGAAGGAGAGGGTGGAGAGTAAATCATGTGTGTGTATGCTTTATGGTTTGAATTGATACTGACATTATAAATAAAATAGTTAACAACTATGGAAGCTTTTGTTTGGACCACCTCTGAATTTTATTTCCCTGAAGCACCAAAAGCCATTGGTCAGCAGCTCACCTGGAGCACAGGTGCTCCACCTGGCCACGCTCTCACTGCCCCTGGACAATGTAAAGACTGGTCACAGTCATCTTCCAGGGAATAAGGAGTGTGCAGCCAAACAAAGGACCATCCAACTGCCTTGGACTTTCTTCTACTTATTATTATTTTTAAGTCAAGTGGCACAAAAATTACATTTGATAAATAAACTTCCAACACTCAGGGGACTGCAATAGGATAAAGGTTGATGCGACTTAATAAGATCTGGGGCACTTGGGAAGGATGTGTTTACTACTTAAGAGCCATGCCGAAGAGGGTAGAAGGAGCCCAAGGGTAATTGCATTTGATTTATTTTTATTGCATGCCACCTTGAGGATCATTTTGAATTGAAATGAAAGAATGGATTAACTGGTGGAACACTTGACAGCAGTGCAAATGCCTCCCCAATTCAGAGAAACACCCCTGAATTAGCGCAACAAGTTTGGTACTGAACAACTTAGGACATAAACAAGCTGTGAGATGTGTGGCGTTGGGAGGGCCTGATCAATGGAGATGTCTCTGATGAGGACGCGTCCCTCGTTGCTTTGACGGCTCCTCACAGATGGACAGAGGGTTTTGTTTTGCCTTCTCTCTGGCGCTTGGCTGCCTGCCTCAGCATATGGAATTCTCCCTTTTCCCAGGCTCAAAAAACAAGCTCTTGGACTTGTGTGTGTCCTCTGTGCTCCTTTGTACATGCTCATGAGGTCATTTCTAACAGGGCAGCATTAGATCCTCAGTACCTTCAGCACATCTATACATGCATCTGCTTTGGCCTTAGTGAACTGTGCACAGGGATCTGGGTTCACCTTGATCCAAGCTCATAAAGGTTTGACCTGTTTTCATATCTTTCCTGGGCTCAGTCAGTCCTCAGACACACAATACATGAAAAGTTGCTTGTGTCTTCTGCACATCCCAGGATGCTAAGAAATAGGCAGGGCTTCAGCCAGGAGAAGGGAGCTGGGCTAAGTTGGGAAGACCTTAAGTCTGATCATTATTGGGAAGCAGTGGCAGTTTCCACCTAAAAAGATCAGGGTGGAGGAAGGGGAGAGCAGTTCCTTGCCAAAAGAATGCCTCAAGCAGCCACCTCTCCATATATTTTTGCAACTGTATTTCTATGTTACCTCCATGCTGATGACATGAACTTTGGTTGTGCTTTCAATTTTTATTCTTTATTTTTGCTATAAAGCTTATGAAGGATATTTCCTGTGGACCTTAATAGGATTACTGGCACTTATCCCCACAACACTTTCCTTGCATTCCATGGTGTGAATTTTAGCTGCTTAATGGTTAATCCTCAATAACCCTCTGCAAATAGGATCCACTTCATTGTGTAACTTGCACCCCCCCCCAGTATCTTTAGGGTCCTCGCTGGTGCCATAGCACTGGGCCAGATCTGGAGAAGTGGGCCTAGCATGCTGTACCACCCATGGCAGTGGTATGAGCGATGGCCGGAAGGGCAAGCAAGGGGAGGGACTTTTGCAAACCTGTTCCTCCTCCGAAGCTTGATGAAGCAAGAACTGTGGTCAGTCAGAGATGCAGGTAAGTAGAAGCAGAAATCTGGTTCCACACTGCTTTCCCCAAGATGAGGGAGTGGGCAAAACCCTTTCCCAGCAACCCAAAACTATGGAGCAGCTTGCAGCAGGGGCACTCCTCCAGTCCCTTCAACATATCCTAGGTGTGACGAGGCGAGATCATGGGTAACATCCAATGAACTCTTTCCATCAGCACCAAGATTTACACTTGTGCAATGGAACTTCCGCTCTCCTCCCCCTACATGTGCCTCCTGCCCTCCCCAAATCTGCCACAGAGGGTTTGGGAGCAACCCCAGAACAGATTTAGGGGACATCAAGAGGGGGGAAAGGGGAGAAAGTTCCATTGTGCAAGCATAAATCCTTGTGCTAAGGGAACAAGTTGCCTAGCACTGCTTTGGATGTCAGGATCTGGGTGTGCTATGTATACAGGTATGTCAAGCACAAAGCTCAAATTATGGAGGAAAATACAGGAAATATCCTCAAGCTCCATTTGCTAATTTCAGCCAAAGTAAGGCTCCCTTGTAGTTTTCCAAAACAGTCCCTAAGAGGACTGTCACATAAGGGGGTTGGGCTCCTATGCCCCTTCCCCTATAAACTGAGCAGCCCTATAACATACAGATGGAATCTCTGCCCCAGAGATCTTGCAGCCTCATTTGAAGCCTCATTCTTTCCCGGCTGTTTGCGGATGACCTTTACCATTCATTTCCACACAGCTTTTTCTGTTTGATTACACTTGACAATTTATAAATTTGTAATGATCCTTCTGTCACTGACTCCCCACACTTCCTGGGAATCTGCTTGCTGAAGGCACCCGGCCAAATTGGGCATGCAAACAAATATAACAGATCCGTCTCTCTTCCTTTCAAACCCACGTTACCATTTCCATTTGTGGGAACCCTCCAGACACACATTTGAGGTTACCTTATCCTTTTTGAGGGGCACACAGAGAAGGGAATGGCCTGCACAGATTGCCTTTGAGCCCTTTATGGATGGAATTGGTGCTCATTGCACTCTTTCACCAATACGGGGCTGAATATTAGGCGGCAATGCAACTGTTTGGGGGTCTGAATTGAGAGGAAAATCCCTCTCCCTGCTTCTGCCTGCTCAGCTGGCCTCCCTCCAGCTACTGCTGACAGAGTGATGCCAACCTGCCAAATGGGCAGGAGGGCAGAAAGCGTGTCAGTGGTATTCCTACCAGTGGACACTAGCAAAAGGCCCCCAAATGGACAGGGTGTGACTTAGCCAACCTAAGATTGGTTTGATCCCAAGCTCTCACAGCTTGCACCAACCACCACAGGGCCTGATTACTGTGCCAGTCTGGAGCTGGCACAGGGATCAGGCTCAATCTGCCTGCGCCCCCCTTCTGATGCCATAAGTGGCTGGGGCTGCAGCTGCAGTGCTTCCTCTGCTGCCCTGCAGAGCCTCAGAGGCAGTAATAGTAAATCTGGATGTCTGCACCCATTTGCATCTTGGTGAATTTTCTTTTAATTGGTATTTATTTCCTTCCTTTATTTATACCCCGCTTCTCCTCCAAGGAGCAGAAGGAAGGAGCCACAGCTCCTCCTAGCTCCATTTCCTCCCTCACAACAACTTTGAGAGGTAGGCTAAGCTGAGAGACAGGTTCAAGGTTCCCCCAGTGGATACTACACTGGTTCTCTAATCAGCTCCCTCAACAGTGGTGTAGCAAAGCAGGGATGAAACCTCAGCGCTCATTGCACAGCGTGGATGATGATGTCGCCTCCTGGAGTGCCATTTGCCAATCTTCTGTATGTCAAATATATAAGCTTTTCTCAAACAGAAAGCCACCAAACAAGCCCTCAGCAAAGGGAAAGGTTAGCATGCATGGCAAAGGGTTAAACTGCCTCTTTGGGAGAGAAAAATTCAAATATCTCTTTACTGAGACACAAAATGTGTCAACAAAATAAAATGCTAGCTTCTGAGCCAATCAAAACTCTTCCTTTAGACTGGATATTAAGCAAAGGTGTGTTGGAGGAGAGGAATGAAGGGGGAAAGCAAAGGAGGAAAGCTTGCTTGACACTGAGCCATGATGCCTGCATTAAGTCCATATGCAAACCATAGTCTTAGAATGGGTGGGGCCGTGGGGGCTGCAATGAAGAGCAACTGCATGTCAGAATCTGCCATGAAACCACTAGCAAAATTATGTCAAAAAGGCGGAAGACCAAAAAACACATTACCCAATTTCTTTTTGATATTATATTAGGGCAGGAAGCCAGAGTGATAGTTAAGATCTCTTTCCAGTCAGATGCCAGAAAGTTAGCAGGGACATCCTGGAAGTTTGCAATGACCTGGTCCAGGATATGAAACTGTTCAGATTCAAATGCTCATGTCATTTGCAAAGTGGGCATGATTCACATAAACACACACAATTCTTCTTCAGCTCAGATTACAATATACAAAGGGTGTGTCTCTTCCAGCCCCATGGCATTGTGAATGCAGTAACAACAACAGCCCATGTCCCAAGTATATTGGGAAATGGAGGCCTCTCAGCAAGACTTGCAGCTTATGACTATTGCCACCAGATGGATTGAAAGGGAAGGGCTAGTGGGGCAGAATTCAGGGACTCATGGATTGTGTGTGGGGGGGTGTCTTTACAGTTCTGGAACTGAGCTGGGAAATGCCTCAATTGGCTAGGCACAATTCCAAAGTGAGTTTGCCTGCCACTACTTGAAAGATAGAAAGCAAAGTGCTGAATATAGCTTATTTTATTTATTGCCTTTATATCCCACCTTTCCTCCAAGGAGCTCAGCCTCACAACAACCCTGTAAGGTTGGTTAAGCTGAGAGACAGTGAGTAGCACAAGATAACCCAGTGAGCTTTAGGGCTAAGTGGGGATTTGAAGTTTGGTCCCCCAGGTCCTGGAAACACAATACTCTAACCACTACATGACACTGGCTCTCACTCTTCTGCCTCACCCTCGGGCAGAAACAGTTTGGCAGAAAGATCCTCCCTTACGCTACACAAGGGAATACTGAATAGCTGCTAATTTTCTTCTCAGCAGAAAGGCAAAGCAAAGAGTAACAGAGTTTCTCTGTGCTTCACTGAAGCAGGGGTACAACCATGACATTCAACTACACTTCAGGAATATGGGAATAAACTCCTCTTCTTTTGAAAAGACAGGTGCAAACACACTTTGAAGTACGTAAACTCCTTGCCTAAGAGATTGGGGGATGATCAAAGCCCTCATGAAAGCACACCAGATAATCCAGAGCATGATGTTAGTGAGGTATTGCCCTGCTTCTTCAGAAGGTGTGTCAAATGAAATGAACACAGCTCTCCCATTTTCACCAGAGCAGATTGCCCAGCATCCCAATTTTATTCAGGGAAACACCAGGAAAAGTGATGGGAGTCATTAGGTTCACCTGAACAAAGTTGCACTTCTGGACATGGAGCAAGCATGCACCATTATATCCTTTGAGCCAGGGACTGTGTGTTCCCCTGAACACCAACAGAGCATAAACAGGAAATGGTAGGGTAAATATTTTTTCCACCTGGAAAAAAATACAAAACCAGTGAATGGCTACCTATGAATATTTTTGGAAGCTAAATGTTTGCATTACAATATAGGCTGGCGTGAACTCCAGTGGAATTCCTTCAGGAATTTTATTATTTACAGGCTCTCCTGTTGGGGGGAATCTCAAAGCTGTTAAAGGGCCAGGGGCTTCTTGCAGGAATCCCATTTGAGTTCATCTCAGCCTATATTGTAATGCAAAGGGAAGCTTGCCAAATGTTTATACCTAGCCATGCCCTGGGGCTTTGTAGGATTGTCTTTTCCACCTATGGAGTCATGCCCCACAACTGGGAAACAGGGCAATTCATTCCATTTCTGAATTACAGATGTGAAAACTGAGTCAGAATTTCCTTGGCCTGGGCAGACACAGACAGAGACTGCCAGATCCCTCTGCTCCAAGCACTGGATCACCCACTGCCTCCTGCATGAGCCTCTCACTAAGTGGTCTTCAAGGCTCAAAACAAGAAAGAAATGCTCTGAGTACAGGGCGTGTCACTTGGGGACCAATTCATTACAACCACTCAGAGCATTTTTTGAGGGGCAAGGGAAGTTCCACCTTGTGTTTAGAAACCAGGAAGGACAGAATGACAGATTCAAGACTGCAGCCTTGGGATCCATGTGGATTAAGCGCCTCCTTCAGTACTCCAAACTATTGACAAGGATTCTAATTCTTGCTTGACCCAGAACCATGCACGGAAAGGGTGAGGTGACTATAATAAGGCAGCGTTGGGGTGGTTCTGGCAAGGGCTAACCTCCATCAAATGATCTTGTTACCCATAAGAGAGAACAATGCCGGCTCCATCCTACTACCGAATGGTTCTCATCCCCAAACCAGCCTCGACCTGTTGAATGTTCCAAATTCAGGCTGGGGGCTGAAGTGCCCTTTGTGCCAAGCCTTCCGCCCCAGACGCCCCTCCTGAATGACTCCCCTCCAAACCCAAGCGTCACACCCCCAGCTACCCCGAGGAGAGAGAGTGTTTGGGTTTCTTTCTTTCTTTCTTTCGTTGGCCAGAAAACTCCGTGCTCTTCTGGCGTTCGGTACCTTGGTCTTAACTCGCTCGGTCTCCCATTGTGGTCTCAGCTTTCGGATCAGCTGCAGAGCCCCCGGCAGGACGTTGGTCTCATCCACCGCAATGCCGACACGCTGGATGGCCCGGTAGCTGGTGGAGACGCGCGGCGGTGGTGGTGGCGGCGGCGGCTCCTGCTTCTGCTTCTCGTCCTCGTCCACTCCTTCCTCCATGCCCCGGAGGCAGCCCGGCCACAGCGCGGCTCTCTTCAGGTGCGCGGCGGCGGGCGAGTTGGGAAAGCGGAAGGAAGGCGAGCGCAGCCTGCGCCAGCAACTCCACCCCCTCCGCGACTGGAGGAGGCCGGCGAGGGAGCCCATGTGGAGGGGCTGGGAAGGGGCTGGCCGGGGAGGAGCCGGCCCCGCTCGGAATCCATGAGTCACTCGCCCGCCCGCTCCGCCCCCCGCCCCGGGGTCAGAGTGGAACAGCCGGCGCTGCCCGTATTGTGATGTCACAAGGAGGGGGTCGTTCGCCAGCTCGAGCCGGGGAGAGATGCATTGGCCAGGGCAAGGGAGCAGGAGCGCGCCTCCTCCAAGGATGCTGCTGCGGATGCTGCAATCAGCATCAGCATCCCGCCAGGTAAGGTGCCAGGTGGGGCTCCAGGTTCTGTTGACAGCAGCGAGCAGGCAGCCAGCGCTGGAGACTCTATCGAGTAAACGCGCCGCTCCCCATGGAAGAGTCTCGTGCTGGAAGGCTCTTAGGGGAGGCTGCTGTGATTAAGTCCCCTGGGAGAAAAGGGTCCACACTGGCAGAGGCTCTGAGCCTTTCAGGCTGCAATTTTCAAAGCATGTTTACTTGGAAGTAAGCTCCACTGAACTCTCAGGTTCAGGTAAACATATTTAGAGATCTGGCAGCTAAAGAGGGGCATGGCAGGAAAGAATTCATCAGGAGCAGCTTCCCCCTAGTATGGAGAGGGGGGATGTTATACCTGTCTAATGTGTACTTATTCACACATCAGTTGAAGGCAGCGTGTTTTGGTGAGCAGGGATGCCGGCCCTGTAAAGAATTGTCCCAATTATGTGTGGTGTAGTGGTTAGAGCAGGGATGGGGAAGCTTCTATCAGCTGCAGGCAGCATAGCCAGTGGTCAGGAACAATGGGAGTTGTGATCCAGCAACATCTGGAAGACTAGACTAGAGGTTTCCCATCCCTGGATTTGAGAGGGACTGGTGAGACCCAGTGTCAAAGCCCCACTCAGCTCTGAAACTCACTTGGGCCAGTCAGTCTCAGTCTCACCTACCTCATAGATTGAGGTGATAAAAAACAAGGGGGCCATGTATGCCAGCCACCTTATGGAACATAAATGTGATGGTGATGTTAGCTAATAATTTTGCTTGAATATAACTCAATTTCTTCAGCCAAAAGCATGATCCATAGCTCAGCTATTAGTTTCTTCAACAATTATTAAGGTTTCCAGTTTTGTTCCTGACTGTGGCTATGTGCCTTTAAAGGCAGGTGCATGACAGGCAAAGCTTTAGGCAATTAAGATTTTCTTGACCTGGAGATGCAGTGATTGGAAAGGTGCTCCCTGATATGCTCTATCTGCAACAAGAGTAGCAGCAACCATCATTCTGAAGGGCACGTGTGAAGTGGCGATCCAGTGTATGTCTGTCTCTCAAACCCCACAATGCATTGGTTACTTCAGTCCATGCTAATCCTGAAGGAGAGGTCCTGTTGGAGCCTGCCGTGGCTTTATGACTCCCACAAGGTCCATGCTTAACTCAGCACAGGTGTTCCTGATAATAAGTGAAAAGCAAACACACACTGAAGCATGTTTTCTTTTTTAAAAAAAGCTCCTGGAGTCACAGCACACCATGAGGCTGTTACCTTTTTCACTCAGAAGAGTGAGAAATCATCAAGAGAATCAGCAGCTTGTACTTAATAGAAAACAAATCTGTTAGTTGGCATGCAAAGGCAATAGGGCTCTACATGTATACAGGCTACACAGATAAGGCCTGGCCTGAACTAATAGCTCCTTTGACTAATTCTATTGATGGAGTGCAGTGGTCTGTAGCTGTCATATAAGGAGAGGTGCAGGTGCCAGAGATCCTGCAAGCTGTAATGGGGGCCTAAATGCAACAAGGCAAACTCAAGAGGTAAATGACATGGGATTGGGCTATGTGAGGGTATAACAAAACGTTAGGAGAATGGTCTCCCAGAAATTGGAGAGTGAGAGAGCTTGAAGCAGTGATATCTACATGTTCCAGAGCTGCAGAACTGAAAGGAACTAGCTTAAACTATAGCCCAGAGGACTAAGGACTTCTTGGTTGTTGTGCTGCTGGCTGTCTGGATCAGATGACACTGTGGAGATTATGTAACTTTCAAGAACTGGTACAGTACCTGAATTTGCATGCTCACCTCTACCCTCCTCATTCCTTTCCCATTTTGTATTGTGTTTATTAAATTGTGAGACTGTGACCAGGGGACTAACTTCTGTAATCACTGTATAGCACTTAAAACACAATCCTAACCATGTCTACTCAGAAGTCAGTCCTACTGAATTCAGTGAAGCTTGCTCCCAGATCAGTAGAGCTAAGACAGCAGCCTTGGTAACTGTTATAAGTGAACACCCGCTCTTTGTGAGATCTGGGATTTAACATATTATAGCCCACCCACCCAAAAACTTTGGTGAGCAAAATATTTAAAGTATTTTGATAGGAGATCATTTACATTTGATTGGTTTATTTTTCCCATTGAAATGTGCCAATTTCTAACCAGGAAGAATTGCTTCTTTCTCAAACATCTAGGAAGCAACACAGAGTGATTTTCATTTTCTCATGAAATAGACTGACTCTAATTATTTTAATCAGAATGGCTATAATTGTCCTCCTTGTTGGTTATGTTCTGAAGTGCTAATACCTCCTGGTTGCAGGTCATTAGTGGCTGTCATCTAAAGCCCTATTCCTGTCCTGTACAAAATGGGCAGGCAGGAAATTGTCCTGCCACATTGGCAGAGGTGTTAATAGGCTGAACTAAGGGTCATTCAGATGCATTAGCTGAAGAGTCCCAATGGCAGAAGTATTCACTGGTGATTTAATTCTGGATACAAATTAAATCTTACATTGCTCAGAGTTGTGAAAGGTCCATCTTCCATCTTGGTTGGTGAAGGCTAGCTAGGAACTGCTGCGCCACTTGTTGGTTGGGATCATCCCTCAAGGTAGGTGTCTGGATTGAGGTGGTGATTAGAACCCCCCTGTTTATAGCCCTCTGTAAACTGGGGAAATCCCACAAACTACATAGATTACTGTGTCAGCTCTTCTTCACTGAGGCTACTGAAAATGTGTTGTTCTATTTTGTTGTGAAATTCACTACCAATCAAATGTAAATGTAAACTTAGACAGCTTTGGAAAAGAATTTGAGGAATTTGTGGAGGATAAGGCTGTAATGGCTACAAGGTGTAATGGTAATATTTCACACCTAGGATCAGAGGGGGAGGGCTCTGAGAACACCAGAGCCTATTGGATCAAGCCTGAGGTCCATCTGTTTTCACAGTGGCCAAGCAGATGCCCATGGGGAACCCACAAGCAGCAGCACTCTCCCCACCCATGATTCCCAGCAGCTGCCTTTCAGAGGCATGCGGCTTCTGACTATGAAGTTTGAACATGGCCATCTTAGCCATTGATAGCCTTATCCTCCATGAATTTTTCTAATCTTCTTTTAAAGCCATCCAAGTTGGTGGCCACCACTGCCTCTTCTGGAAGTGAATTCCATAGTTAAACTATGTGCTGTGTGAAGAAGTACTCTCTGTTGCCCGACTGCCCTGACTCTTATTCATTTAGTGTCATTGGATGGCCCTGAATTCTAGTATTGTAGAGAGGAGAAAAACATCTGTATATCCAGAACTGGCCTGCTCATGAAGCAAGGTGAAGCTCTCACTTCAGGTGGTGAAAGCGCAAGAGGCAGTGCTCTGCTTGCCCAACTGTTGCCGTTGATGCCAGAATACCTCCCTCTCACTGGTGAGAGGGAGGCATTCTGTCACATGGCATTGACACTTGTCTTTCTCACCCCTGAGGTGGAGCAGATGAGCAGCAATGGCATGCAAAAGCCCTGACTCCTTCTGGATTTGGCGAGAGCTAGGGTGTTCCTGCATCCCACGTTGTTGCTTGGTTTCCCTGAGCCTGAGAGGAGAAGTCGAGTGGCAATGCTTTGTGGAATGCCCAAGCTATCATCAAGTTCCATGAGAGCCAGGGTGTTCTAGTGGTGGCAGGGGTGGGATGCGGGGTGCAGAAGCGGCAGTAGTTGGTGGGATCGTGGTGTGCTGTCAGACAGGAGATAGCAATTCCTGTTTCACCTCAGGTGGCAAAACTGGACGGGCTGTCCCTGTCTATATCCACTTTCTCTACCCTATGCATTGTTTTAATGCACTTGCTATTGACTTCAAAAAGTTGACGACATCCTAAGTCGATACCTTCAACAGTTAGGCCATGGACAAAATTAGAACGTTAGCTTGATTTCTAACGGAATGGTCTGAGGGCTGATGGTAAGCAGGTTAGGTCAGTGTAGAGCAGGGGTAGTCAACCTTTTTATACCTTCTGCCCACTAATACAAATTTCCTTACCTCCCACCAGTGCTCAATGGAAGGAGGATTCCACTTGTGCTGTAGAACCCCCTACCACCCACCTAGAATCCTGAAACGCCCACTAGTGGGCGGTAGGGACCAGGTTGACAACCCCTGGTGTAGAGAGTCTAGCAAGTATCTGGGTGGAAAATGCCTGGAAATGCGACAGGAGCCAACATGGCGCCGAGGTAAGACGCGCTTACCGGTGCTCTTCGGACTTCTTTTAATCTTTTTTAATCTTTTATACTTTTATCTCAACTGACTCAGTCAGTTTTTGAAGTATTTTATAATTGCTGCAGCCGCATACCTTGGAAACTCTTTGAGAGATTTGGCCCTGCTCCAGACTGCTGCAAGCCGCTCTTTGTTTCTCTCATATCAGCGGGCTGGCTTTAGCTGCTAAAGGAGTTGAGAACGCCATTATCTTAATTGCGTGTTAAGTGTTATGTTATTTTAAGAATCGTATAATCTCTGGCCTGAGGAAAGCATGGGTCAGAAAAACGCTTGAGAGACTTTGACGAGCCCCTATCATCCCCTAAACCAAAACTATCAAGGTTGGTGCCACACCGGAATGGAGGAGGGAGTGACCATGCCGAGCAATGCTTTGCAGTGGAAACCCAAAATCGCTTCCAACCTCTAATTGATTTAGAAGCTACTCCGATTCCGATGACTCAAAATGTTTCAAATGTAAAGCCTGTAAAGGAGAATACGAAAGAAAAACTCTCATCGCAGGAAGATGGTTTGGCATCTGTTATGGGGGAGTTCCCCAGTTGTGAGCAGTTACACTTAGTAATTAAGACCCTTCACTGTATTTTTAAAAGGCTGGACGAGGTATCTTCACAATTATCCAATATCCTGCTGAAAATCGGAAAACTTGAATCAACAACACAATCCTCAGTTTGTGAGGTCAAAAACTTATTGCCTCACCCCCATTCAGATAAAATACTGGAGACTAAAACTAAATATGTCTTAAATTCCCAATTGAACAATCAGATATTAACTTTGCAACCCAAGAAAAGTTGCCTTTCTGTCAGGTCGGAAATAGGAAGATGGTCAACGCTAGAAGGAGCTAAAGACTGCTTAAGCAAACTTTTAAAAATTAAGAAATATCAGATTGACCTATATGCTGTAATGCCCCTTCCCCGGCAGACCAACTTCTTGAAGGTGATACTTGCGTTCCACTCTGAAAAGATACCATCTATTATTGTTAGGAGGAAAACGCTTTTGTCCATGGCCGACATTGTAGCAACGAGGGTTTTTACAGACAGCAAGATCAAACCCCTTCTAAATAGGTGCCCTGGCGGTGAGGACATTAGGACAAGAGACTCTGCCTTACCTCAAAATACTGTCAGGCCCAATCGCGATGACTCTGCAGCGTGCCATCCGCGACCAAACTCGATACCCTCTCAAACTGCTATATATGAGGATGATAATCTGCAGACTGCCCTCGACGAAAGGGAACTTATTGATTCATTCAGAGCCCTTCCTCCGAAAGAACAGTCGGTGATGATGCAAAGATTTGACACGCTTAAATCTCAGCTTTTGCAAGTCCAACATAGAGGGGAAGATACTAACGATGTCTCAAATAATCCCACTTGGGCCCACCGGACAGAAGTGGTTGACCTTCTTCAGCTCAGTCCCACTCTGAATTCAAAAACCATCCGACAAGACTCAAATCTTCAAGTTGCTTCTGCAGCGTGCGCTACATCACGAGACGACCAGGCTCTGCCATCCTCACTGAACCTTCATCTATATTCATCAACCAACATATCTAAGGACGAAATTCTGATTTCCCTGCTTGACTCAAATCCCTCTTTAACTCACTCATCTATGCCAGAGCTAGAATCTTCTCCGGTTTCGTCCAGATATAGAAGTAGTCCACAAGTGATGCCCCTGAGAGAGTCTTCCGCAATTTCCACCTCCGTGATGCCCCCTCAATTACCTCCTTCAAAGGAAACTGCGAATGTTACACCTCGGGACCCGCCGTCAGAAATGATTGAAGACCCGATGGGACGCATCAATAAAATAATCCGAATGTCGGATGACAAATCTGCGAGAGGGTTTACCCCGACGGACTCAATTTCCCCCTACCTGGGTATTTCTCTGTCAAGTTGTACCAAGAATTTCGAAATGAAGAGACTTCCTGTTCAGAGACCTACTTTCAGTGGATCATCCACGGTGTGCCAACAGTCGAACCAAATTGTTAAAAACTTTAATTTGCAGGGCGCCTCACAGTTACCATCCTCCCAAAGTAAAATAACTGACTTTTTTGTTACATCTTCTGTCTCTAACAGAGAGTCTGCCCCCCCTCCATTTTGACTGTTAAAAGAACAACATAGAAGTCCCCAGCTAGCAGTCCTAAGTTGGAACATTGCTGGCTGGAAAAGGAAAAGATTAGATCCCGAATTTCTGTCCTATATAAACTCTTTCCAGATAATCCTTTTGCAAGAAACATGGGAAGAAGATAAAATAGATATAAATGGCTTTGAACTGATATCACTTCCAGCTATCCCCTCCCAGAAAGGTGGCCGGTCCAGAGGCGGTCTTGCAATCGCCATATCGCTTAAAATGAGAGCTAAACTCTCGCTAGTTCATACCTTTCCTCCTTTTGCTTTTACTGGTCTGATTTCAAGTGAAAAATTCTCACTATTAATCACCAATGTTTATCTTCCTCCAGGTGGTCTGATATCAGACCTTCATTATAGATGGGATTCTCTGGAAGATCATTTATTGGCATGCTATGTTAAGTACCCTAATATTCCATCGATAATGGGTGGTGACTTCAATGCACGTACAGCTGCCAACTGGAATGGGATAATTAAGGCCAAGTGGTGGGTATCTCCCCCCTACCCAAAATCTGATTTAATCTCTTTCACATCAAGAAGATCTAAGGACAACAGAGTGAATGAGGCGGGAGTCCTTCTTTATCAATTGGCCATTCGTATGAATTTGAACATTCTAAATGGCAACTGCCCTCCGGACGTGCCAGGTGAATTCACTCATTTGGGCACAAAATCAAATAGTGTCCTAGATTATCTTCTAGTCTCAGAAGACCTATTTTCAAATTTCTTTTATCTCAAAGTAGATAATGTACAATCCAGTGATCACCTACCTCTAGCGGCCAAGCTAACGCTTGACTGGCACCCGGTTAGCGGAACACACCCAATTCATGTAGGTTTAAATGCCACAGCTCAAGTAAGAGGCATTAAATGGTCCATGAAACAGGCCCAAAAATATGCAGAATTCTTCCAGAGGAATAGCTCCGAATCCCTTATTGTTTCATTGGCGGAGCTGTCTGAACCAAATAGGATACTGGAGTGGTTCTCCCACTTCTCTGCAGATTTAACTAGTTTCTTTACGATGCCGGCTCACCTCGCTAACCGTGATCAACCCAGGTTCGGTGCACCTTGGTTTGATGCCAAATGTAAGCAAGCTAGACTCTCTCTCTGTTGTATCTACAACAGATATAAAGCCTCTGGAGCTGAAACTCTCCCCCCAGAGTACTTGCAGGCCAAAATTGCTTACAAACAGGCTCAGAAGTCAGCCAAGCACGAGTGGCAGCTAAGACGTTGGCAAGCGCTGATTGCTGCCTCTAAGCTTCGCAGCTCTCGCGGTTTTTGGAATTTAATCAACAAAAGATCGAGGAAATACCCATTGACGGTTATCCCAGCCCCGACATGGGAACAATTTCTAAGAAAATATTTCTCCCAGACAGACATCTCTAACATCCAATCTGATACTCTCTCAAGTCACTTGCCCATATGGCCAGATACTGACCCGGAGGAAATAGTAGATTTAATTGCCAAACTGAAAACTGATAAAGCCCCAGGGCCCGATCTGATCCCGGCGGAAGCTATTAAACAACATCCAATATGGTGGGCTAAAATTCTTGCAAAAATCTTTGATGCAATCAATGCCACGGGCCAGATACCTACATCATGGAAGGAGTCCATCATAATTCCTATATATACAAAACGACCACCAGAGGACCCAGGAAACTATCGTAATATCAGTTTATTATCAATCATCGGAAAAATCTACACTCGCTTCTTGCTAACCAGACTAACCCAATGGGCCGAAGATTCCAATCTGATAGGCCATGAACAGGTCGGGTTTAGACCAAATCGCGCTTCTATTGACCATGCTATAATTCTATATCATTTGGCGCGGAAATATTCTTCCCCTACTCATGGTCTTCTATGTGCCGCTTTTATAGACCTGAAGGCGGCTTTTGACAGTATCTCTAGAGAGCTGTTATGGGAAAAACTGGCAAAGTGGGGCATAGAAAAAGGCTGTTGTGGCTATTGATTAAATTACATGAAGGGACGGCTGCTAGGGTGAGGTTAACACCTGAGGGCGATCTAACAAACTCAGTTCCAATAAACAAGGGAGTACGACAAGGGTGTATCCTTGCCCCTATCTTTTAACCTCTATATTAGTGACATGAGGACGCCCCTAGCTGAGGCCCAAACCTCCATTCATGCACCCAGGCTTGCAGACTATCGCTGCCCCTTATTATTGTACGCTGACGATGCGGTGATCCTCTCTTATTCTCGAATCGGTTTGAGGAGGGCCCTTAAGATTTTTGCATCATATTGCCAAACAAATTTACTCACTATTAACCATTCCAAATCTAAAGTCCTAATTTTTTCCAGGAGTCGTAAACTGTATAGATGGGAACTTGAGGGAAGCCAATTGAACAAGTTTACAAATTTCAATATCTAGGAATTTACTTCCAGTATAATATGGGATGGAAAGCGCATATCACATATTTACAAAACAAGGTGAAAGCCCTTATCTACGCTATACTACGCTTCTTCTTTACTGAGGGGGCTATGCATGTTCCATCCGCCTTAAAAGTTTATAGTGCAAAAGTGGTTGCAACTATGGCCTATGCGGTCCCTTTATGGGGCGTCTTTGTAAACCTCTTGCCTCTGGTGACATTGCAAAATCTTTTTCTAAGACGCCTTTTGAAACTACCCTCCTGTGTAAGCAACTCTGCCATTCGCTTAGAACTTAAGACCCCCTCCCTTGAGATTCTGATGTGGAGACATGCCTTTAATTATTGGCTGTCCCTTTGGCATAAATTGCCAAACTACCATCTTATTCAGTGCCTTTGGAGAGATGAATTCACCAGCCCATGGGCAACAAAAATCCATTCCAAACTGTTGTCTTATGGAATCTCTCCCTCCGATATACTTAATTTAGATCTAATTACAGCTAAAAAGGTCATCAAACAAAGATTGGAGGATGTAGATTTACAACAAAATCTTACCACAGGTGGAGGTACATGTTCCCCGATATATCAGGGCATTACATCTATGTCCCAGATACCTCGATATCTGTCTACTTTATCGGCTGCGTCGCATAGATTCGCATTTGTTAGAGCCAGATTTAATGTGTTCCCCTCAAATGTGCTGAGCAATAGATTTTCTAACGGTAAAATCTCTGTTTTGTGCGCATGTGACAACAAATCGATAGAATCCCTTTATCATATCTTGTTTAATTGCCCCTTATACAATGTTCCCCGATCAAGGATCCTGAGTTCAATCATCCTGGAAATTGCTGCTAAACCACCTGAATTACATCTAGCTTATCTACTCCAGGACATTGACTCTTATAGAACTTTACAGGTTGCTAGATTCCTGATCTCAGTTCTGTCTTATAAAAGACTTCAGGGAATGCTGCATGACTATTAAAAATTCAGTAAACTCTATGCACCATCTTTATCTTCAAGGCCATAACACGGTACAGTTAGAGATTATGCGTTGAAATATTTTAGTTGATATTTTAGATTGTAAAATGCTATTGATTTTATCTATTGATTTTTATCTATTGATTTGTTTTACCTTGTGGGCTTATAGCCGAATAAAGTATTATCTATCTATCTATCTAATGCCTGGAAATGCCATATATGTCATCTTGAATTCCATGACAGAAGAAAGGCAGGATATAGATATACTAAGTGAGTGAAATGAAATGGAAGATTCTGTTCTTCAGTTTGCTTCATGCAATCACTTACAGACATGCAATGTTAATGCAAAAAATTACCACATCAGAATGGGTGTCATATAAGGATTTTGTACTATACTTCTTAAACTAGGGCAGTTCTATCCTGTCATGTTTCCCATTCAGTGGAAGATATAGTGTCAGGAGCTCCACAAGACTGTAATTCCCAAGATTCTTTGGGAGAAACCCAGACTGCCAGATGAACCCTGCTTCAGGATTGTTCAGATGTGTTGCATGGGACCTTCATTTTCTCTTACACTGTGTTTTTCCTCACGTTTGTTCATTAGCTATCATTCCCATATCTAGCCTGATCGTATTTCACTTGAAAACAAGTAGGACTTGTCCCTCTCACAACAAGGACGGCTTTTTGTATGGACGTCAGTAACCACAAAAGTGAAGGGAAATAAGTAACCACAGAAGACGGACACTTCCCGGTCACTTCCTCTAAGCAGGAAAGGGCATTCTACAGGTTATAATTTAAGGTGGAAAGATTTCAGCTGTCCTAGTTTTAAGATAGGAAGCAGAACTTTCAGCTATCTGACTTCAGTTGACAATATAGGAAGAGGACATTGAAATCCAGGGATTATGTGATTCTTGATGTTACTGTTTTATAGCTTTTAGCAGTGCAGCAGAATAATTGGAGGGCTTTGCATACATATTGAGACAAGCTCTTTTTGTTATTGAAAACAATATATTATTACGCTGTTCTCTTTCACAGTTTATGCAGTTTCTTCTCAAAAGTTAGTAATCTCTGAAACAGGACTCTTCCGTGTCAGAGGGATGTGGCAAAGCCAATTCGGTTGTTCTGCCGGTCAAATTCGGTGTAGTACTCTCCGATGAAACTAGCACCCAGAATCCAGAGAGGGCCCAGTGGAGGAGGAATATCGAAACCTGAGAATGCCACGGTGCAGAACTCTTGGCCATATTCAGAATGCTGCAGAGAGAATGGCGCAACCAAGCAGGGAAGTGAGTCAGTGAGACAGTTTTATTGCCTTAGATCAGGCTTCCTCAACCTCGGCCCTCCAGATGTTTTTGGCTTACAACTCCCATGATCCCTAGATAGCAGGACCAGTGGTGATGGGAATTGTAGTCTCAAAACACAAAAGAGTTGTGTCCGACTCTTCGTGACCCCATGGACCAGAGCACGCCAGGCACTCCTGTTTTCCACTGTGCCTATTATTGTTGCACCATTGCTCAAAGTATCAGACCTCAAAAATTTCCCCCTGGAATTTTTTTCTACCCCAACTCCTCTATTTCCTAGCTGCCCTCCACCTTTCCTGTTTATTGCAAATCTTGCCCAGCATCTTACCTGGAGGACGTAGGCGGAGCCACTAAGTATGTAGGCTCTCTCTCCAAAATGGAAGGAGATATCAGGCAGCAAATGAATTTTCTTGCATTCGATGATATACTGTGAGAGGAGAAAGGAGTGAATAAGAAAATGAAACTTTTAGGTCCTGTACTCAAGACTGTGGGGCAAAGTACTTCAGGCAAGAGTTGAAGACCAAGCCCATCTAATATCCATCGGAGTATCTCCCTCATGCGTAGATTTCAATCTAGGTTTCATGTAAGCAAAAGCAGCCTCCAAATCCATACTGTCTATATTCTTCACCTTTTGAGAAGACCAGCAAATTACTTACAAGGAGAAGGGGCAGTGCTAAGGTTCCTAGTTTCAGACTTGACAATTGCACCTCTAATCAAGTGTTTTTACTGTAATGGGAGTCTCAGGCATAGAGTACTGTCATGTCTTCTTTTGCTACCTATGGCAGCCATTTTGTGCTGGCATGCATGGCACTTTTACTAAGATATGAGACCCAGCGCTTCACTTTTTAACAAAACAAAACAAAACAGCATTCAAGGGCACCAAGGGAGTGTTTGCATGCATGAAAAGCAACCAGGCTTCAGGTTCCACTGCTGTTTTTCCTCATGACTTTTTTGACCTGTCATTTCTTTGTCTACCTACTGCAAGAGAGGATAAGCTTTTGGAGGAGACCTTTCAGTATGCTTACATCTTTCTCTTCAAACAAAGTAGCTCCTATGGCTTTCATCAGAATAGACACTGAACTAGCTGGGCCCGTGATATAGGAAGTCCCGGTATCTACAGATGCCGTGCAGCCTTCGTGACAGAACAGCAGCTCGCCCCCGACAGAAACCCTGTGGAGAAAGCAAAAGAGCCTTTCATGTTTCAGACAAACCCTTATGCCCTACCCACCCTCGCCCTTGCAGTGAAGCAGCCATTCTGACAGCTAGAGAAGATAAGTAACCTATAGGATGTATGTGCTAATATATGGAGTTATCTATGGCGCTGCAGATGTTGTTGGACTACCAACACCCATCAGCCAGCATGGCCAAAGACCAGTGATGATAGGAGTTGTAGTCTAGCAACATCTAGAGGGCAATGGGTTCCGCAGCCCTAGAGACCAAGCACGCCTGTGAAAGTTTATTTGACTGTTTTTTGTGATATTATGGCCATGAATGTGTTAATGTAGCGCTGAATACATAAAAAGACAAATAAATAAAATTATACATTCCAGGCAATGTACATTTTACAGCTGCATTATATATTGATTTAAGGAAAGGATAAACTGGTGTATGAAAATGCCTCCACATACCCTTTCCCTTCTCTTCCTTAATGCTTTTAAAGTCCTTGTTTTCATTTTGAAAGGATATTTGGGAGGGGGGATATGTTTTGTACAATTTTAAAGCTCAATAAGGATTGTTGTTGTTTTTGTTTTTAAAAAGGAACCCAAGTTTGATAAATGGAGTGTTTATTGGATTATCACACGACGATGGAGTTTAGAAGGGTTTGTGAATTACTTGGAGCAGTAAAAAGCAGCATCCCTCACCCTTTAAGATCAATGTGCCAATAGCCTTCCCGGCTGATGCTGAGATAGTGGAAGTCCCCCGTGTAGTAAGATGGGTCACTGCCTCCCAGGATGATTTCTCCCCCAGTGTTCAGCGCAGAATTCCTAGGACAGAAATCACAAGCAGTCACTTTCTCCTTCCTGCCCACTCTTGTACCTGATACACTTGGCATGATATACCTCAGGTTCTGTCGATTAGATTCTTGTTGGCAGGAGCAAAAAAACATGCATAGGTAGTAATGTGAGGAGAGTGTTCTTGTGCTTGAGAATGTGGCGAGGGGAGTGATACTCAGAGTGGTGCAGTGATGGGCCAATGTTGAACTCTGCGTGAATGGAAACTAAGCTTTCCAGGCAAAGAAGAGCAACCCCAATGTTTGTACATCAAGGCCCAGTAGCCTCTCTGTGTGTGGCCCTCAGGCCACACCCTCTGCCACAAAGAAATGGAGATAGGGCCTTCTTATGCCCCTGATTGAACATGGGAGGTCCTAGGAATTGAACCTGGAAAGCAGCATGTACTCTACCACTGAAAACATGCTTCAGCTAGATCAGGCATCCCCAACCTGCGGCCCTCCAGATGTTTTGGCCTACAACTCCCATGATCCCTGGCTAACAGGCCCGGTGGTCAGGGATGATGGGAATTGTAGTCCAAAACATCTGGAGGGCTGAAGGTTGGGCATGCCTGAACTAGATAATGAGTTTTTGGTTCCTTGTGAAGGATTTGTCCAGACCACCTATGCTCCCAGTTATTTGGCACATAGGCTCTTCCAAACAACCATCACCTGCTGTAGTAGACAGAGAACACTTCTGACGTCAGAATCTGTTCAGACATGATCTTGTCAAACACTGGGGTAACACCATCAATGGCTTGACTGGGATACCCCATACCAAGCACTCCGTCAAACTGGGCATAGTTGAAAGGTTTGTTAGTGAGTGCTGTGGCTTCTGCAAACACCTGGAAAACAGGAATGCCAGCAACCTGGATAGAAGAAACAAGGAAAAGAAAGGTTACCTTTGCTAAGGAGCAAAGCAGGCATGGGTTTTTCTTCCCCAATGTTCAACCTGCATATTTGTAAATAAAGATAAATTTTGCAAAACTTCACCAGCCTCCTGTGACTTCCTTCCAAATTATAATGAACTGTGCCCCTGGAGTTTCTCATCATTCAGATAACTTGGAGAGTGTGACAGTGCTGAATGCCAAATCTTTCAATATATTGTTGAACTCTGCTTCCCATCTGCTGCAGCCAGCAAGGCTCCTCGTCAGGGATGATGGGAGTGACAGTACAACAACACCTGGCAGGTCAGCTGCAGGTCCCCTATCCCTGATCTAGTGGTTGAAGTGACACATGGCAGTCTGGTCTAGCCTTTCCCAATCTGGTTCCCCCTGCCAGATGTTTCAGACTACAATCCCCATCATTCCTGATCGTTGTCCTTGCTGGCTGGGGCTGATGGGAGTTGTAGCCCAAAACATCTGAAGCGCATCAACCTGGGGAAGGCTGGTCCAGACTATGGGGATTCTCCTTGATTGAGTGCAAGAGGTCATAGCCTTCAACCAGTGATTTGGTATAGAAGAATCCAGGCCTGTGAATGGCCTTGTGTCTGCCAGGATAGAGGAAAGCTTTGCGCCAGTTCCCCTCCTTCAGAAGCAAGAAGGCATATGAGTGGAAAGAAAGGAGCCTTCTACCCTGTTGTAGTACTTACTGTCACAATGTCCTGGCTAAGGAAACCCTTGACGTGTCCTTTCCCATATTGGATTGCAATTTGAGTTCCATTTGGCCTGTATGTACTTGATTTGGAGGAGTCGTAGCGGGCGTGGGAAGCTAATAGGAAAGAAAGACACTAAGGTTATATTAATTGGTGCACCAGAAACAGATCATACTCCACGATGAACAAATGTTTTAATTACCATGCATTCGAATGGGGAAAAAACCATGAATCCAGGCATTTCCATACTATATTGTTGGCATGTGTTTCTCTGAGTATGCATGGTACTCACTATCACTTACCACAGGCGCTGTACAGTGGGGAGCACTGGTGGGATGGCACCCAAAGGTTGGCCGACCCTGTGTCAAAAATGACTTTGAAGATCTGGGCTGGCGTGCCAATGCTGATTTCACCAAAATACTGCGTCTGAAAGACATATTGCAATACAAATAAATAGTGGGTGCTGCTGATTCCTAAATCTTAGCGCCCATCCAGACTGCATTTGGCAACATATCATTGATGCTATAATAAAGTATGAGTGGTAGACTGATGCTGCACCAACTACACATTGTTCTGCTTTCTTAGTTGTATTGTGATGTGTTCCAAATGCTATTCTAGCATCTGGAGGGGAACACTCTCATTTTATTTATTTATAACATTTAAAAGCTGCTCAGTAACTTATAACAAATCTGTAAGCAATGTTCTACAACACCACAAAAGTGCAACACACAAACAATCCTGAAAGATTTGTACTATAAAAACTACAGCATTTTTGCAGAAAGTTACAGGACCTGCACTGATGGGAGATGAAGCAGTGCATCCACACACACACCCCCCAAAAAACCACCTTTGCAGGTGTACGCAGTGAGGAATGCAGGATCGTGCAAAACCACCCTGTTGCCATCATAAGCACAAATCATAATGGATGCATGGTTTAAAAGGACAGGTGGAAAGGCCCTCCATCGTATCACGTTCCATAAATATCTCTACAAAGATTCTTGGGCTCCCCTGATCTGCTGACTCGCTTGCTCAAGGGGCATCATCAAACACTCACATCTCTGTAGTTTGTGAGGGTGGTAGGTGCTGTCACATTATGAAGCGCTTCGCCAAGATGGTATTGACTGTGCTCCATGGAAGGGAAGCCATCAGACACTTCCATCCCCATCTTCTGCAGGGTCTCCCTGATTGAGGGCATTTTCTTAAGCGGAATCCTGAAAGGTGTTAAGAAAGGAATTATAAAACTTGGGTGGCCACTGTGAGAATGCAATGTTGGATTAGAAGGCTCTTTAGTCTGAACCAGCTCTTCTAATGCTGTTGTGTTTTCTCTGGGATATCCAGAATGCCTCTCCCACTTCCACCCCACAGTGAGCTGAATAAACTGCTGCAAGAACTAAAGTCATGCTGGTGAGGAAATACAGTTTGTTTGAGGCCACTTTCAGACTTTGCTGCAAGGGGGAAGCAGCCTTGATTCACAGATGACAGCTGCCTTGGCTTGGAAGATACCTCTCACTTGCTCTAGATGGCAGTAAATGCTTGCAATGGACTGTCAGCAAGTAATTTTCCTCTAGTTTTAATCTATCTTTAAAGAGAGAGAGAATAGAATCACACGATTTTATTTAAAAGTCATTTAGCAGTTTTTGAAGCATGTTCTTTAGTCTTGCATATTGTTGTCCACAGCTTCAAACCTGCATAAATTTGTGGTCCTTACATTTTGGATGTTTTAAAAATTATTATTTTTCCAATATTAAGGGAAGGATGCTTCATGTTTGTTACATAAGCATAATTCTTTATTGCCACCCACCGACACAATGCTTCCCCATCACTATTTGCATTTGTTGCTCTACAACTTGTTTTTCTATTCCTGAGGACCAACCACTCCTTCCTTTTATATCACAGTGACTCCCATACCTGCTTGGCGGCACCCTCTCTCACAATCCCACTACTGTCTACAATGGTTAACCAGACTTGGCAGATTGCTGAATATGCTTCATTTCATTTACAAATGCAGTTTAAATCCATGGTCCCCCCCCCCAATACACAGTACAGTGTAATATGACCAAATAGATGCCGTAAGAACCTGCTCCTGCAAATGATTGACTTTGCTTAACCAACTTTAATACAATGACAAAATCAGCTAAGTTTACAGTAGCTAAATTAGCCATCCAGGTAATTTCCAAAAGTACAATTATCAAATGCAGTCGCTTCTTCCCTTAGAATCTTCTTTGTAACATTTAAAGTACAGCAGTGATGCTGTACTACAATGGCAAATTAAAAAATACAATTAAAATTTACCCTTTCTGGGGATAAGTGTTATCAGTAGCATTTTTTCAGCTATTTTTACTCTGCGAGTGCAAGGATTTTGTGACCAAATATTCCACTGTGTTACATAATCAGTCCTGTGTGAACAAAGATGGGCGCTTCCTTGTTCTTTCTATGATCCGCTTGCCTTCATCTTCATCTCTAGCTTTCTGCAGTGCTGCTGTGGCATAGCTATTGGGAAAGTGTATTGTTATGTAGAAGCAGGGACCTAGGATATGTCATTATTAGCACCTTTCCAGAAATGGGGAGGAAAAAGCAGTTGTTCTCTTATGAGACCCTTTCCTTGATTAGGGGGGAAATGGCATAGCTCAGGGATAGAGAACATGCTTTGCATTTGAAAGGTCACAGTTTCAATCTCAAAAGTATGGGGGGGGGACCTGTGTTCCTCTACCTTCCGCCCCTCCAAAACAGCTTTGCTGACGCTTGTTTAAATTTAGTCCACATTAGGCAACAAAGCCTAATCACAATTTTCTGGAGACCTGCCTTGATTTCTCAGTGGAACTGAGACATCTCTCAATATGCAGCACTGAATTTTAAGTAGCAGCTTAAAGGAAAGGATGTGCTTATTGCAGGCTTGTCTCCCAAATTCAGCTGTTCACTTCTCTGCTGAGGTGATTTATGCCAATCTGTATGTCCAAAGTTGTACTGCCTCCGCCCTCTTCTTCTTTCTTTATCTTCTCTGGTAAAAACATCACCATACAATCTGTCCCCTCACCACAGTCTAGACTTTGTTTTTTGCAACCTTTCCACCGGACAGTTTGTTACCAGTTCTTACTATTTCTGTGTCCACTTTTTTTATTCCTTTTACATATAACCCACTCATCAAATCAAAGGGCGTTTCCATAGTATTGGGATTAAAGGAGTTAAAGGAGTTTATACCTCAAAGAGTTACAATTCCCAGCAACCCTTAACAAGTGCCCAGAATTCTTTGAGGGAAAGAAGGGGCTTCAAATGTACAGTGGTACCTCAGGTTAGAGATGCTTCAAGTTACAGACGCTTCAGGTTACAGACTCTGCTAACCCAGAATAGTACCTTGGGTTAAGAACTTTGCTTCAGGATGAGAACAGAAATCGTGTGGCGGTAGCAGGAGGCCCCATTAGCTAAAGTGGTACCTCAGGTTAAGAACAGTTTCAGGTTAAGAACAGACCTCCAGAACGAATTAAGTTCTTAACCCGAGGTAGCACTGTACAATAAAGGTACCGTATTTTTTCCTCTATAAGACTCACTTTTTCCCTCCTAAAAAGTAAGGGGAAATGTGTGTGCATCTTATGGAGCGAATGCAGGCTGCGCAGCTATCCCAGAAGCCAGAACAGCAAGAGGGATTGCTGCTTTCACTGCTCAGCGATCCCTCTTGCTGTTCTGGCTTCTGAGATTCAGAATAATTTTTTTCTTGTTTTTCTTCTCCAAAAACTAGGTGCATCTTGTGGTCTGATGCGTCTTATAAAGCGAAAAACAAGGTATATAGTGTTTACACAGCCTTAACAGGCTTTATCCATACTCTTGCTCCCCAACTCTGCCTTTTGACTCGTTTCTTATTATATCTTCACCCATGCCTTCAACTTCTTCAATTCTACCTTCCCCCAATTTGAAGTACACCATGGTGGTCTATTCTCTCCTACGTAAGTACAACTTCCCACCTGCCACCAGTCACATATAATACAAAATGGGCTGGAGGAAAAACATGTGAATGCTAACATCAATCCCAGCACAGTAGCTACATACACCTCATCAGGGAATTCTGATTTGTCCTTGACCCTGCTGCATCAGGTACTTAGCCTATGCATTCATCGTGCGCTGGGAAGCAGGCAGTTCTCCCAAGACTAGGCCTTGACTTGACTTGAAAAGAGAAGGCACATTACCTTTGGAAGGCATCACCGGAAAAGCACAAGAAGCAGCAAACCACTGCAAAGACCCAGGACCACGGCATCCTACTGCTGCTTTGGATAGCAGAGCCTTCACTCTGGTGTTGTATACAAAGAGAACCCACGTCCATTGGGCTTTTATAGAAAAAGTTGCTGTGCCGAACTTGAGTTTCTGCTCAGTACTGATTGGTAGGGAAGGAGTAATAAATTTTGCTGATTGGGGGGGGGGGGAGTGCCTTTGGGATGCTAAGCTTGACCTCACTTCCTGGCAAAGGGCAGCTTGGCCAGAGCCCATGAAGGCGTGCGTATGAGGACTCACTCTCTTCCATGATTAGCACAGCGTACGTAGCTCAATGAGGAAATCAAGATCCCGCTTATTATTGTGGAACAAATTTAAACATACCCCTAAGTAGGTCAGTCTTGCTCTTTTTATTTAATAGCATTTCTTAGAAAATATTTTATGTTCCTGATCCTTAGCAGGTGGACTCCAGTGAACACTTGCAATTACTAAAGCAATAGTGAAAATTGAAATTAACAGGCCTGTACTATTTCTCAGAGGGACGCGGGTGGCGCTGTGGGTTAAACCACAAAGCCTAGGACTTGCCAATCAGAAGGTCGGCAGTTCGAATCCCCGCGATGGGGTGAGCTCCCGTTGCTCAGTCCCTGCTCCTGCCAACCTAGCAGTTCAAAAGCACGTCAAAGTGCAAGTAGATAAATAGGTAACGCTCCAGCGGGAAGGTAAACAGCATTTCCATGCGCTGCTCTGGTTTGCCAGAAGCAGCTTAGTCATGCTGGCCTCATGACCTGGAAGCTGTACGCCAGCTCCCTCGGCCAATAAAGCAAGATGAGTGCCGCAACCCCAGAGTCGGCCACGACTGGACCTAATGGTCAGGGGTCCCTTTACCTTTACTATTTCACAGAATATGGAGTATCTATTTTTGTGGTGGTGGTAGGGAGTACTCTGAGCTGTATTAAGCAGGGGGGAAGGTAGATAACTGTATAGATCTCTTGCTATCCTCTCTTACTCGATGATACAGAGGTAGCTGATGAAGCCACTTTGCCCCTTGCTAAAGTTGAGAACATCTGAGTCAGATCAGTGCCCTGTGTATGCTACCTTGAGTCCTATGGTGGGTGGGATATAAGTGAAATAAATAAATAAATATGGGCCTGGCCCAGCATTTCTGCCTCAAAAAAATTCTTAGAAGTGCTTTGCAGCAGTGATGGCCCTATCATTAGGCAGAGTGAGGCAGCTGCTTCAGGTGCCAAATGCTATGGGGTGGGCAGAAGCATACAAGTTTGTATGTGAACTAAAAGGAACTGGTCATGCACTCAGACCTTAACAATATAGTATAATCCTAACCATGTCTACTCAGAAATAATTTCTATGGAATTCAGTGGGACTTGTTCCCAGTTTGGTTTGCCGCTTTAGACTGCCTTTTGAAAAAGGGGTAATGAATTGCCCTCTTTTTGGTCAAGGCAACCTTCTACCTCTGTGGGCAGTTACCAGGGTAAATAAATAAACTCTGTTTTCCCACACACTGTGTCAGGCATCATGCTTGTGACCAGGGATTTTCCCAAGCTCATCCCCCGCCCCCGAACAGGTTAAAGGCCAGGTTAAAGGGGCTGGCAACAAGGTCTTTCAATGAAATAATATTACAGGCACTTGGGATTTGGTGGGAGGAGGAGGGCACATATGGCAGCATAATAGCGAGCTCCTCCAAGTGTCAGCCAAGTTACTTCTGTTGTGATGGCCTCAGTAACCTTTGGGTGAGACTTTTTATATGACGGAGAGAGGCATGGGAAGCGTTTGATGGATTTTCACAAGCACACAGCTTACGCCAGCTTGAATAATCTGCCTGCTCTGCAAATGTAAAACCTATCTTGGCAAAAAATATACATTTGCATTAACTTGTGGTACAACTGGCATATTGGGGCCAAACAGAACATATGGGAAGAGTGCATACTGGGAATGCACACATTTTGCATGCGGCCGAGTGGATCCCTGGCATCTCCAGATGCGAGTGCGAAAGACGCCTTGGAGGGCCACTTTAAAGAGCCACGGAAATGTGTGGGTAAGGGGAGCTAAACTCCCCCTCTTGGAGTTTGATAAATGTATCGCAGCACTGTGCAAAAGGCAATAGTCTGGTGAGACTGCTACTTGAAGAGATGAAGAAAAGGTAAAGTTTATTGTCCATGGCAAAAAAGCCATTCTGAGCACAGGTTTTACATGTGACTGAGTTGGAGCCAAGAAGCTGACACTAGCACACATTAGCTCAGTGGTTCCCAACCTTTTTTTGGCCATGCCCCACCTAAGCATCTCTAAAATACTGATGCCTCCCCCTTTGACATATAATTCTTATTATTCAAAAAGTGAACTCCTATTCATGTGGAGGAAATCTAAAAGGCCATTAACTGTTAATAACTCATTCTTGAATTGCCCCCCCTTAAAAATCAAATTGTCCCCCTGTGGGACGTGTGCCCCATGTTGGGAACCACAGTATTAGCTCATACTGATACTGACTGAGAAGAAGCAGGAAGGAAGTACAGCCTAAAAGGAAGTCGTTTGCTCTTAGTAGTTACTAAAAGAGAAGGAATTAGCAGGGGAACACGTTGCATTTCTGTCCTCACACCAGACCGCACTGGTCCCCCAACGTCTCCCAACCCCACACAGGCTGGTGCAGCCTTCCATTGATGCCAATGGATTCAGGTTAGAAGAAAGGAGATTCTGACTAAACAACAGGAAGAACTTACTGGCGGTAGAAGCTGTTTAACAGCAGAACAGACTCAAGAGAGGCGGTGGACTCTCCTTCTTTGGAGGTTTTTAAGCAGTGGTCAAATCGCTATCTGTTGTGTATGATCTAGTTGAGATCCCTGCATTGCAGGGGGTTGGACTAGATGACCCTCAGGGTCTCTTCCAACTTTACAATTCTATGAAGACCCTCTTGGGGTGTTGATGCTGAGAACCCCTCCATTGTAGGCTCATGCTGTATATATGTGATATATAAATCATATATCATAAAGTCACCACAGTCTCTGCTCTGTGTCATTTCCAAAGGAAACACAAACTCTGGGCAAGCACCTGGAACCCCTGGGATCTTGCACCGCTCAGAGATTGGGATGGTGTGCAACAATACTTAGAGCATACATGACATATGCAGATCCTGAACAAAGCTATTGAAACTGGATTGTACAGTAGCATACTAACGGCAGACCAAGTTGCTGGTTGCTAAAGAAAATCACATGATGCAGTTAAACTGTTCTTGGATCCACACAACTCTTGCTTATGTGAATCACAGCAGTCGGGATAGAGCAGAGTTTTCTGCATGCAATTTCCCCATCTGATTTTCACTACTTAGATCTTCACTCTATGCCTATGCCAGTGTAGACTTTAACGCCTTTTGCCTTGCTTTTAATCCCTTTCCTTTTCCTTTACGGATTGCCCATTCTTGGTCAGCCTGGCTCCACAAGGTCATTGTTGAGCCTTCTTCTTTGCAGGAACCAGAGGCCTTTTCCCACGCAGGGACTGCAAGACTCCCACCCTTTAAGGCTCCAGCAACTGCGTCACACTGCCCAGCCTGCAAGCCCTTAGGCAAACCCTTCCGGCCAGAGGGTCAAAAAATCACCAACCCCTGTTTGCATTTGCTTGCTAGCTGGGACAGAGATATGAGAAAGATGCAGGAGAGGAGATGGCAGAAATAAATGCACTTCCAGGTCACCCAGTAGGCCTTGTTTACATTCAGAGCACAATCCCATCAGGGCAGTATCTTTCACATAACTTCAGGATACAGGAGTTGTTTTAAATTAAGAGGAAAGAAGTTGTTAGGACTGATATCCCCAGTTCTGCTACAATTGTCCATTTTTAGTGTAAGTTCATTATGATTTCTGCTCATGATGATATCAGGGTCCCCACTTTCAATACCGTTTTCACATGCTAATGTTTTGGGGCAGGCATACATACTATACTGCTTCATTTCCAGTTGGTGCATGTCCCATAGCTTCCTGCCGAAATCCTGCAACTTTTCATGCCACAAACACTTGGGATGGGTGTTAGTTCTGCTTCTGTTACATGTTTGCACAAGAGTGGCCCTCCAGATGGCAATAATGCAGTGAAACTGGGGAAGCATTGCACAACAACTAATAGAAAAAATGATACTTGAGCAGTCCAGTATAAATCCACTACTATTGCGTCAGCACACACAAGCACACACAAACAAAATCCCCCGTCTTGAGGGATCCATAGACCACAATTTAATCACATAAAGTCATAATGTGGTTCACTCCCATGGAAACTTCACATGGACACTGATCCTGCCTCTCATTTTATTTCTTTGCATTCATCTGTCAGTTTACTGCGTATGCCCGACATGTATCAAACTGTGTCAGATAGGGAAATGATTGAGTTGGATAATCAGGACTCATCCACACTTTTATGAGAGTATAGCATCTATTCAAATCTCAGTAACTTTTTTGTTGTATCATATTATGTGCCAATTATTTCTCCTGGGTCTGAGAGCTCTTTTCATTGTTCTGCTGCTGTGTCCTGTTAAATCTGATGTTAACCTCTCATTGGGCACTTCAGTTGAAAGCCCTGGGCTGCCACAGGCACATTACACTTGTACCTGCCAGTATTTCATATTGCGTGGCGAGTTCCCGCCCCCCACCAGGATAAATAAAGACACAAAACACCATAATTAAGGTTAAATGAGCGAATTAGGCCACAACTTTATTGAATTCAGGAATGAGAGGCATTGGCTTAGGCATTGGTCCTATCGACTATCTGGCTCCAGCCCATTTGCTGGAGTCACGGGAAGGGTTAACACCATAGAGGGGGAGTCTCCTGCTGAGGCACGTCAACTAGTAGCTCTCCCGGGGGGGCGTGCCTTTGGCCCACACCTCCATAGGCTTCGGACAGGGCCACGCCCTCCGGAGTCCTTTATCAGACCACCCTTCGTTCACTGGGGGGAGGTGATGGCGTTGCTCCCCCCCCACATCCTCTTAACCCCTTCTTACCAATGCCTAACCGCCAATGCCGAGGAGTTGTGACGAGTTGCTGCAAGGTAGGCGAAAAACCAAATGGCTGTAAATTGCCAATTGGGAAAAATTCCTACCATGCCCCTTGCGGTGACAGACCGAAGTCCATAGCAAAGTCAGAGACCTACCTAAAGCCTACCTAAAGGGAGGGAGGGTGGGAAAACGTGGGGGCTAGCCGGCGAAAAGAGGGCGAGCCCCCTCTGCGCCGGCCCTAAATAGGGCAGGCCATGCCCCCCAGCCAGCCGATTGGCTGGCTGGGGGGGAAGACGCAGCCGGGACTCCCCTGCTCTCGTGGGGGCTGAAACCAGCCCCCGCTCACGTGGGGGTGGGCGTGAAGCCCACAACCCCACCTCCTGGGCAGGCCGGAAGTGGCTTTCCCGAGGGGATAGGCTCCTTTACCTGTACAGGAAAGTTCTCTCCAATGTCATCCTTGCAGTCTCCTCAAGACCCATGCTAGAGACTGCTAACTTAAGTTAGAGAAGTTTTTATTCTTGAGATTCTCTTTGCATTCCTCTGATCTCCTGTTTCCCCCTCTAATATTTCTCATCGACTGAGTGCTAACCGAAAGAAGCACTAAACGAGGAGACAGGGTTCTCTTGAGTAGATCAAAGTAGTAGGAGGAGACAGATCAGAGCTGGTGAGAATCCAGGAACAGAATTTGAAATGCAGCAGCTCGGCCTAAGAAATGAAATTAATCCCTGGTGAAGGGTGAGTAGGAAATCTTATATATAAATTAAATAAATCAAGGATCTAAAGGTGCCAATGAACGTTGATGGGCTTTTTGTAGTGTTTCTTCACACAAACAAATGCCCAACATTGCAGGAGTTGTTTGGGCTCAGAACATAAGATCAATGGATCTGACCAGTGGCTCTTCTAGTTCAGCATCCTGTTTCCCATAGTGGCCAGCCAGATGTACATGAGAAGCTCACTAGCAGGATACAAAGTTAATCACTCTCCTTTTGTTGAGCCCACTGGGAGACTGCATATAGCCATGACTAGTAGCTGTTGACAGATTGATCCTCCAGGAATGTGTCTAATCCCCTGTTAAGGCCATCTAAGCTAGTAGCCATCATCACCACATCTTACAGAGGCAAGTTCCATCAATGGTTTATGCCCTGTGTAAAAGGAAAAGAGAGCACTTGCCCGAATCCTCCCGAATCCTCTTCTCATCAGTTTTATTGGATGACCCTGAATTTTAGATTTATGAGGAATGGAGAGGGAAAAGCTTTCCCTCATCCACTTTCTCCACCCCATGATTGTGTTTTCTCTGCCCCATTACTGTTGTTGTGGATGTTTGCTCTGCTTATTCTGAAGTGATTTACGTGCTGATTGTACTTTTGTGGACAGGACTTTCTGCAACTTCTGTAAATCCAGGACTGTCCCTGGAAAATGGGGACACATGGAGGGTCTTTGGTTTTCCATGAACTGCTGTTTGCTCCGATTCAGCAATAAAGAGTAGGTTTGCATGCGGAAAGAGCTGATGGGGAGGGGGAAATTGCTTGGACACGGAGCTGTAATGCGCAGAAGCTGTGTCTAGAAACATGGCACAAAAGGGAGTCTTCTTCCCCTAATCCTGGGGCCGTTTGTTCCTAAATCTCCCCTCTTGCCATCCTGGCACACAGAGAAGCAGCCATTGGTCTCTCAGCTGCCCAAGTCCCTGCAAATAATTTTTCAATTACTTCCTCCAGTGGCCCAACCTCTCTGTAAAAATTAGCAGCTGAGATCTAAAGTGAAATTGAAAGGATCCAAAGGGTTTTGTGCATTGTTTGTGCAGCTAGGCAAACACAGTAGTGTTCATGAGCTTATTAATGAGCAAGGAAATGATGCTTTGCAATGGGGCCAGGGCTCACACTGCTAAGAAAGAGGACAAAAAACAAGAAGGGCAAGAAAAAGACTCAGAAATAGTCACTAGAACAGTGGGCAGTAGCAGTCTTTAGTTATTATCTGCTTCTGGAAAAGCCTTATTTGTGCTTCTTGGGTTCTGGGAATGAATTATAGGTTTGAGCAGGGCATGTCACATCTAAGTTTTATGGGAGTTCAGAACATTCTAATGGCAAAATCTGAGGTCTAATCTAATTTGAGACTTGTGTTGTTGTTTTTGCTAACTACGCAAACCTTTACCCAACAACTGCTGTTAGGGGCTGTGTGTGTCCCTTACAACTAATTTCAGCCCTGTTGCTGTTTCTATACATCGTGAGAATGAAGACTAGGAAATGAAGACTATACATCATGGGAATGTAGACCATATGCCCCCAGCCCTAGAGTTCCTTTGCCAAAGTTCCTTTGGTTGCATCACCGCTAAAAGGATATTGTAGAGCTGCATAAGGTTCAGAAAATGGCAGTCAAAATGATCAAGGGGGTGGAGCAACTCCCCAACAAGAAAGCAGGGGTGGCGCACCCTGTTTTGCTGCTTGTGATGAATCGGGAAGTGGCATGCTGCTCTGCCACTGCTGCTGCCACTGCTGCCATATTTTACCTGCCACCACCTGCATCACACAATCTGCCACATCCACCGCTGGCAGAGAAACAGTGCTGCCATCAGCACTGATTTGGGGCAAGATTGCACCAATTTGGGGTGAGATCTTGCCCAAAATGGGTGCCAGTGTTGGTGCCACTTCTCCATCACTGATGGAGGCAGCAGGGCAGGTGGGGCTTCTGCTGCCTGAGGCAGTGCCCTCGCCTCGCCTAATGGTTGCGCCGGGCCTGTGAGGAAGAGTTTTTAGCATTTGGGAGTTTCAGTTTAGAGAAAAGACAAGTAAGAGGTGACATAATAGAAGTTTATACAATTATGCATGCGATATAGACAAGTAGACAGAAAAGTTTAACACAACAACTTGTGGACATCCAAACGCTTTGCCCCTTCCCTGTTTTTTTATGCCATTGTAATACTATATAGTATACACCACTTAGTGAAAACAGAATGAACATGGTCATTATTATAATATCCAGTTAGAACTGGTGAAAGAAATAAGCAATGACCTGCTTGCTACTTCAAAAACAAACATATGTTTCCATCCTTGCTCTGCTGAAATGCCAGCATCTTACTGTGAACTTCAGAGAACTGAGAACCATAAACTGTTTTCCATTCCTTCAGAAGAGCAAAGAAAGAAACCACCACAATACAGAGCTTTCCCTGTTCCTCTCCCCTGAGGTCTCCCCCCGGACCACCATACTTGGCTATGGCAGCCCCACACTTTCATAATTTCTCCTTTGCTGGCAACGCTTGTCTCTTGCCATATCTTAAACCGAAGGAGTTCCAGTTGTAGGTGGAGAGATCATTCTCCCGTTCCACCAGCAAGGCCCCCTGTGGGACGGAGACAACTCTGCTCTTCCCTGGAGGCATCCTTTGCCGTAGCTGCTGCTGCTGCTCCTGACGCTTGCCCATAAAAGGTGGTGTGGACTTCCTTTGTGGACATGGGATGGCATCAGCCCAGTGGCTTGGGTTGGCAATGTTTTTGGAAAGTTCCCCTAGGGAGAATGAGGAAGAGAGGGGGGGGATTTGAGGCTCACTGTTGGGGTGGGGTGAGAAACCTGTTGAAAAGTAAATTTTGCATTATCCCCTCCCCACCATTAACTTTCACAAATGGTGAGGCATGTGGAAAGCACCCTGGTGGAAAAGCATAAGAAGGTAGAAAGCTGCCTTATGTCATCCCATTCGCCTACTTAGCTCAATATTTTCTATACCAGGGGAACTCGTTGCTCTCTCTATGTTGTTGAATTACAAATCCCATTATCCATGGCCACTGGCCATGCTGGCTGGGGCTGATGGGAGTTGGAGTTCAGCATTTGAGGGCAAGAGTTCCTCATCCATGGTCTACATCGACTGACAGTGGCTCTCAAGGGTTTCAGTTAGAATTCATTCTCAGTCCTACACATGCAGTGGGCCTGAAGCTGGGACCTTTTGCATTGAGCCACAGTTCTCTCCCAAAGGGAGGCAGGTAGGAGGTAAGTACATCTGCGATACCCACACCTTCCTAAGAATTAGCCACATGGACTATAGAGTCCACAGTGGTCCCCTGAAGATCGGCATAGTGGGGTCCAGCATGAATTAATACAGCCCATGTTTGAAAATCAAAATACTAAAATGACACTCCTGATCTTGGAATCAAGAGTGCAGGTTAAATGTAGGAACGGGTCACAACTGATACCACTTGCTACCTGCATGCCAGGAGTCCTTAAGAGGGAAATAGCTGCCAGCTGGTTCTCCAAAGGGAGCGCTGAAGAGTAATAGGAGCACCAGCGAGGAATGGAACAGGCTCATCCTGGGATGTAGCGGATCTGAAAGGAAAGATAAAGGAAAGGAGAGCAGGTGGGGAAATGCTGGAAGAAAACACAGCAGAAAAACAGTGCTGGCAGAGTGAAAAGGGCAGTTGCATGACTTTCTTGCCACTAATCTCCAAATCACAAGGACATATACAAGAGAAGGAAAGAGGAGGAGATGGCAAGGGGATGAGAGGGAGGCTGCTGATGGGGTGACAAGGCTTGAAATCTTGCAGTTAGACTTTTCTGGTTCAGTTCCTCTCAGCCTCAGTTACCCTGGGACACCATTGAGACAGCAGCCCCCTGAAATTAGAGACAGGTTGGCCATCAAGCATTTCAATCAAGATGTTGTTGGGCTCCAGCAATGGGCAGGGATGATGGGAGTTGTAGTCCAGCAATAGCTGAAGGCCATAGGTCCCCCAATCATGGTCTAAATTAACCAAGTAATTTATAAAGACAATGGCATTGTAGGAAGAGTCCTCTCCACCACAGGGTTCCAATCAAAGCTGACTCTGTCATCAGAAAAACTACTTTTGATGTCCTTTCCTATTGCTAAATAATTATAATTACTTTTAGGTCTCTATTGACCTGTCAATATTTTGTTTTAATAGAAAAGGTAATGTGATACCGTTGCAGGAAAATATTTTTTTTATTATATTTCCTTTTCCATTCAAGCCAGCAAATGCTTGTTGTGAGAACAAGCAGAGCTGGGGAAAAGGTCTAGGGAAATGACACCAGTTACTAAAGAAGGAAATACAGTGGCCGACTCAGGAGGACTGAGTCAAAATCTGAATGCAAAATAAAGCCTTGGAATCTTACAAGTTGAAGGATGTCAAACAATGTCCAGTTAAGCCAATTGCTCCTTCAGCCCTTTGAATTTCAGTGTCCTGTGCAATTAGAAGAAACCCTGAGAAGTATGTGTTAGGGGGCTTATGATACTGAGACGAAATAGCTGTGGAAATTTAAAACAAAGGGAAAATCTTGTTTAGCTATATTAGAAATACATGCAGATCATCTTTCCTGTTTAGCTAAATTTGATCAGCATGCATTGTGTATGATTTGAATCATCTATGTGAGTAGAAGCACACCAGTAGTGGATGTTGCCTGCACAGGGCACATTGACCAGTGGATTATACTAATGTGCCTGTTATGGGCTCCTGATTGATATGGTGAACAATGAAAAGTCACGTATCTTTGCAAGGAGTTTTCAGCTTTTAGAAAAGTTCTTTCCAGGGCAAATGTTTCCCCACTGTTGCTTTAGAAGAGAGGGACAGAGGAAGCCTGATCCCCTTTTCCTGTTGCAATGTCCTACCTTTTTAAGAACCTTACTTCTGTGCTTGAGCACATATTTATTTCTTTATTATCATTATTACTCTACTGTGTTCTTCAAACATGCGGTATTATGCATCTTCTCTCTGTAATAATTGCAGTCAGGAAACTGAGTCTGACAAGAGAGGGAGACTTGCCCAATGCACCCCCCCCGCCCCCCCATGACTTCCAAAGCTGGGGTGAAATTTCATAGAACCATAGAATTGTAAAGTTGGAAGGGACCCCAAGGGTCAAAGGGATGTCCAACCAGTAGATTGTGATCTACCAGTAGATTCCCAGCAGATCCTGGTAGTTCACGGGATCCTTATCATGTACAAAAAGTTATGGGGGGAAAGCTAAAAAACTCTGTGCAATCCTCCCCAAAAAAGCTCAACAACTCTGGGCAATCTACCCACCCCACGCACGCTCCTTCTCCCTCCAATGACAATGGGTAGATCACTGCCAGTTTTTTTATACTGGGAGTAGAACACAGTCTCTTGGGAGTTGGATATGCTTATAGTCCAATCCCCCAAAATGCAAGAAACTTAGCTAAAGCATCCATGACAGATGGCCATCCAAACTCTGCTTAAAAACATCCTCTGTTTAAAAACCTTAAAACACCAGCTATCAATAATGATAATAATAAAAACCCTCATTAGTCTGTGTTGAAGCCTGTGAGTTCTCATGGACGACAGACACAAAAGCAACAATCATGTTCTTCAGTACTCACTGATCATGCAACAAGTTGGCTAGGTCAGGAATTTTGACAGACTCCACAGCCCTGGCACTTACATGTCTATGGGTCACAGAAGAAAACAGGGTATACTGAATGGGAAAACCCAGTCCCTCCACCTTTGGGAGTCAGGGGGTGAGGGTTTTGTTCAGAAGGTACCTCTTCCAGTTCAGATTTCCTCCTTATGCATTTTGCTATACTCTTTGATTCTCAAGTACAGTACTCTGCGAACCCAAGTGAGGTTAAACACAAAACAACCCGGAGAGCAGAGAAGATAGATCCTGTTGAAGTTTTAAATGTTCCAATCCAAAGAGGATAATTAAATTAAAGAGAGAATAGTTTTGTTATCCCCCCACAAAAAAGTTAAAGGTTGTTTGAAAATGGGATTGCTATTCATGGTATGAACCCTCATCCCACGTTTGGAAAACAGGTATGTCAGGTTTTTGTATTGTTTCAAATCCTGCCAAACCTGTTTGACCAGAAACAAGAGTGGGACAAAAAAAAAAAGTATGTGGATACCAATTGATTCCTGTCCCAAGCTTCTTTCCTTCCTCTCTTTAAAAAACCTATCATTTGTATGCAGCTTTAAACAGTAGTCATATGGGGGGGGGAGTGTTAAAATTCATGCAGGCAACATGCAGAGGAGGGGGGGGGATACATTTCATTCGTTTAAAAAGCAATCTACCTCTTCCAAAATGAAAAAGACCTATGAATCGCTTGCCCTGGAGCAAGTCACACTCATTTAATGATGCTTACTCCCATGTATACATCTGCATACATTTTAGCCCCACAGTGCAATCCTATTCATGTTTATTCAGAAGTGAGCCCCATTCAGTTCAGCAGGACTTTCTCTCAGGTTAGTGTGCAAGTGCAGCCTGAGGCTTAAAGTTCCTCCCTCTCTACTAACCTCAGTTCTCTTTTAGATGTTCGTGCCAAGACTCCTCTGCTGCTTCTGTTTGATCTCTTGAAAGGAGGAGAGCGCAGCTGCTCTTTGGAGTCCAGGTCCCTCTCAAGTGCAGTATAACCCACCAACCCCCCTTTGCTGCATGACCTGGCAGTTGACATCAGCAGAGATGGATCCACCTCTACCTTTTGTCTTCTACTCTCCCTCCTTAATGGATTCTGCTTCAGAAACAGTTGCCATGTCTATTCCTCTTGCTTGCAGCATGGGGCAGCTTTACATTATTATTGTTTCCGCCTTCTTCACAATGGAGCCAGAGCTGTTGGTATAAATTGGTAATTCCAGAGAATGAAATGCCTTCTCTTTCTTGCTCTGATTTAAACATGTTTTCCCCCCCTCAAGCCTTCCTTTTAAAACATTTTTCTAAGTACCGTATTTTTTGCACCATAACACTCACTTTTTTCCTCCTAGAAAGTAAAGGGAAATGTCTGTGCGTGTTATGGAGCGAATGCCTATGGATGGCGGGGGGATCTGCTGCAGTCGTGAGCAGAGGATCCATGGTTCCCCTTCCTTCCCTCCGTGGCTTGCTTTGAAATAGCAAAGCGGGAGAAGACCCGCTGAGTGGGGAGGAGAGAGGGACAGAGAGCCTGCTTGCTTTAAAGGAGCAAAGCGGGAGAGGAGAGGAGCCTTCTCCTCTTATACCCCTCTTCTGCATTATTAACAGCATCCTTCTCCACCCACCCCACGCGTGTTCCTTGTCCCTTGAGTGCTTTTCCTTCCCTCCCCACTTAAAACATGGTTACAAAGCATGGATCCACATGGATCCTCAGGATTTTTGCACTGGGTCACCCCAAATTCACCATCAGATCACATAGCATGTCCATGGCTACAGCTTACACCAAAAAAATCACGCACCCACTGTTGCCTGGGGCCGCAGTGGTGCAAAAACGTGGTTACAAAGCATGGATCCACATGGATCCTCAGGATTTTTGCATTGGGCTACCCCAAACTCACCGTCAGATCACATGTCTGTGGCCACAGCATGAACCACAAAAATCATACATCCGCTGTTTCGTTTAGAATATTTTTTTCTTGTTTTCCTCCTCTAAAAACTATGTGCGTGTTATGGTCAGGTGCGTGCTATAGAGCAAAAAATATGGTATCTCTTCCTCTACACATGCCCAGCACTGGGTGTTGAAATTTTGCACCCCTAACAATTTTGTGCCTGGGGCAACTTAATCTGTGCCCCCCATGCCATGCTACTGTACAAGGCGGGGGGGGGGGCAGCAGCTGTACATATTATTTGGAGGGTACGTATCCGACATACAGAGGCCCTGTGCACAAGGTGGAGGTTGGGAAGAAAGATCACATAGCTCTCTGCTGAATAACCATCTCCATAGCTTTAGCCAAACTAAATACAGTGGCACCTCTGGTTACGTACTTAACCTGAAACTGTTCTTAACCTGAAGACCACTTTACCTGATGGGGGCCTCCCACAGCTGCTGCGCTGCCACCGCACAATTTCTGTTCTCATCCTGAAGCAAAGCTCTTAACTCGAGGTACTATTTCTGGGTTAGCGGAGTCTGTAACCTGAAGCATATGTAACCTGAAGCGTAAGTAACCCGAGGTACCACTGTAAGATGGTTTGAGGTCCATGGTTGGCTCTCCCATGTTCTTTTTAAATGACAAAATGCAGCCACTGTTCCCTCACCAGTGGTTTTAACTCCCCACCCTTGCTGTCTTTCCCAAATCAAGTAGTCTCCCTGTAGCTCCTATTTTCCCATCTGAGCAAAACAGACATGCACACCCGTGACATCTTGAGAAACATGATTTATTTGATATCATTAAAACATGTTTTATGTTTTGTTAAATAAAAAAATAGAAAATATGCACATGGTGGAATCAAACAGCGTTCACGTTCTGTTAAATAGACATTGCTCCAAAGTACAGGCTGTGTGTGTGTCTTTTTGAACTGCAAGTTATTTTGCGAACATATCCCCTCCCCCAACCATTTTCTTTACTGGGATTTTGAAATTGACAGAAAACTCAGAACAACACTTCTCACCCTTATATTCATTTTCCTCCTTCCTATTGTTGAAATTTGGCTAGTGAGATAACACAAATTGTTCTAGTGTCATAGTGTTCAAATTATGCCTTTCAACTTATGTGCTTTTAATCCCTTCAATTTCAAATTTCTGATCCATTAGGGCAGGCATCCCCAAACTCGGCCCTCCAGCTGTTTTGGGACTATAACTCCCATCATCCCTGACCACTGGTCCTGTTAGCTAGGGATGATGGAAGTTGTAGTCCCAAAACACCTGGAGGGCCGAGTTTGGAGATGCCTGCATTATGGCTTCTCACAAGGGATGAAAAATATCAGTGGGTACAGCATGTCAACAAAACAAAAGAAACTGGGTACTTTGCTTACTCACTCTACTGCAGCTGTTTGGAAGGTGAAGACCCCAAGGGATGTGTCTTCCTTGGAGCAAACTGACAAGTCCTAAATGTTGGTTTGTTGCTAAGAAATCTTGTGAACATGGATGTGCCCAGGTACCAATGCTCACTCAGCCATTGTCCATAGCCATTGTCTAGCTCCAGCATGATCATGTCTATGAACCAGCAGTTCAGTTGTAATTGCTCTTGCAAACAGCACCTCCAGGCAATTCCTGCTGGGATATGAACCTGCTAATAACCTTGCACACTCCTGCAGGTGATCACACAGGGGTCTTCAAAGGTATGAACTGGGCAGGAGGTCTCAATGGCACATCGCTGTGAAAACAACACAGTAGTCTATTTGCTTGTAGGAGGGGAAGTTGTCTGTGGTAGGAAGCCACTTCTCCAGGCTATACCATAGAGGTGGTGTCTCCAAGTTTCTGGAACAGCTGCAACAAGAAGTCATTTGTAACCAATCACATTTCTCTGAAGGATTATATAACTCTACAATTCTATGATTCTATTATTTCCAGGCATGGGTTGTTGTTGTTGTTTTGGTCCCACCTCTTTCCCTGCGAAAACTCACTGTTTACCACTGAATCAGAACAAACATCAGCCTTCAGAGGACTTATCATAGAATCATAGAATCATAGAGTTGGAAGAGACCACAAGGGCCATCGAGTCCAACCCCCTGCCAAGCAGGAAACACCATCAGAGCACTCCTGACATATGGTTGTCAAGCCTCTGCTTAAAGACCTCCAAAGAAGGAGACTCCACCACACTCCTTGGCAGCAAGTTCCACTGTCGAACAGCTCTTACTGTCAGGAAGTTCTTCCTAATGTTTAGGTGGAATCTTCTTTCTTGTAGTTTGGATCCATTGCTCCGTGTCCGCTTCTCTGGAGCAGCAGAAAACAACCTTTCTCCCTCCTCTATGTGACATCCTTTTATATATTTGAACATGGCTATCATATCACCCCTTAACCTCCTCTTCTCCAGGCTAAACATGCCCAGCTCCCTTAGCCGTTCCTCGTAAGGCATCGTTTCTAGGCCTTTGACCATTTTGCTTGCCCTCCTCTGGACACGTTCCAGTTTGTCAGTGTCCTTCTTGAACTGTGGTGCCCAGAACTGGACACAGTACTCCAGGTGAGGTCTGACCAGAGCAGAATACAGTGGCACTATTATTTCCCTTGATCTAGATGCTATACTCCTATTGATGCAGCCCAGAATTGCATTGGCTTTTTTAGCTGCCGCGTCACACTGTTGGCTCATGTCAAGTTTGTGGTCAACCAAGACTCCTAGATCCTTTTCACATGTACTGCTCTCAAGCCAGGTGTCACCCATCTTGTATTTGTGCCTCTCATTTTGACTGATGTTTGTTCCAGTTCAACAGTATACAGTGACTTTTTTGGGTTTTTTAAAATCACAGACCTGTGCCTACAGATCATGGCACAAATGGAAGTGTAGATGAGTCCTATTGTTGGACTCCAGTTCCCATCAGCCCCAGCCACTCAGGGGACAATGGGAGTTGTATGTTGTACCTGGAAGCCTGCAGGTTCCCCAACCATGTTGTAAAGCTTAAGGGAACCAAACCAGCCAGATAGAATCATGCTCCCCTGAGAGCGCATGACACACGAAATTTTTTCTTACCTTGCTCAAAAATGGGATGTTCACCAATGATCCCAGAAACCCAAAGGCAATTGGGAAAAAACTCCTGAGGACAAATAAGTCATTGTTAATAATGGCTGAAAATCAGCAGCCGGAACGAAACCCGAGAGTTAAACTAGATGTGACAGCAGCAATTCTCTGTGTTGAAAGCAAAGTAGAAAGATGGCTAAAGAGTGCTGACCCCCTCCTTTGTTCATAGCTTCTCTAGCCATGGCTCCTTCCTCTGCGCATCTTTCTCCCAGCTGAGGCTCCAATACCAGAAGTGATCCTGGCCGAGAGAAAAGTAGCTGGAGAGAGGTAATCTGTGGATGAAGGAACAATCTGGTCTGGAGGGTCTCCAACCCTCTAGAGCAGTTTTTGAGGATCATAAAGGATTGTACAGGAGAGGAGAGGGGAAGATCCATTGTGCAAGTGGAAATCCATTGTGTGAATGGAATGGCAGCACAGAATAAACAATGCAAAGAGGGAGATACAGTCCAAAAAAGGAGGTGGTAAGGGAACCCATGGCTACTTTAAATTAATTCAGATCTCCACGAGGTGATGAGCTGTACCCAAGGGTACTAAAGGAGCTTGTGGACATAATCTCAGAACCTCCGTATATAATATTTGAGAATTACTGAAAAACAGATGAGGTCCCTGCAAACTGGAGGAGGGCAAATGTTGTCCCCATCTTCTTCTTGTTAGAACTGGTAAGGTTGTAGCCCATGAGGCTCCAACTTAGAGCACCAATTTCAGAAACTGTAAACTTGTAGAGTTCAGGTCTGGCATCACGTGCAGCTATCAGCAACCCTGGACTTACCCAGACTTGCCTACATACAGTAGTTTCCCTAGAAAGCTTTGTGGCTTTGGTATGAATAATCACCTGAAGAGGTTAACGAAGCCATAGGTCTCCAGAAGCATGCCTAGGACAGGCCACCGAAGCAGGACGATAATTATGCCCCCCAAAAAGAAACTGGTTCCCTTAAGCTTCTGCCTCTGGAAGAAGAAACCAAAGGTTCTTCTTAGTCCAATGATAATGGCCAGGCCAGACAGGAACAGGATCTAAAGAGAAGAAGATCAAAACCCAGGGATTATTGGAGTGTATTATAGCTAGTAGACACTTTATCAGGGATGGGGAGCGTGCGGCCTTTCAGATGCTGTTGGACTCCCACCATCCCTGACTGTTTGTCATTGTCAGCCCTAGCTTTGGCTGATGGGAGTTGTAGTCCAACAATATCTAGAGGGCTCCTGATTTCTTGCCCCTGATTTTCATGTTTATGTATATACTGCTTTTCTTTTTTTTAATCACAAAACACTTTATATAGTGATCATTTATAATTCAGGTGTAGGCAACACAATACCCTCTGGATTTTTTGGACCAAGCCCCACCCCATCCCTGACCACTGGGCATGCTGGTTGGGGCTGATGGGGACAGCAGTGCACAACATCAGGAGTAACCACATTGGCTATCCCTGGTATTCTCTCTTAAGGGTGCTGGGCGTAAAGGCTGAATCTTTCCTACAGGCTTGATGAACTTTTTATCCTCTTCAGTAATTCTGTCTGTTTTGTCTTTGGAAGGAAAGGGGAACATTGGTCCTGTTGCCTCTCTTTTCTTTGTCTTGCAGGGATCTTTTAGCCAGTGGCAGTGTAGGGGTCCCCCCAAGGGGTGGTTGCCCCAGGTGCAAAATTGTTAGGGGGCACAGAATTTCGACACCCAGTGCTGCCTGAATACAGCTGCATGCTTCCGTTGCTGGGCTCCGTTGAAAACAGCTTATCCCTGCAAACGAGGACAGCACAATAACTCTTGACTGTGCATGCACAGGTGGAATTAATAGCCCCCCAACCATCTTGTGAGGGAAAGAGGGATTGACAGCCAACAGGCCAGCATAAGGTTGCCCTTCTAACCTGGAATGTGGTCAGATGGGCAGCATGTATCAGGAACACCTGTTTCACTGATTTTCTATCACAACATCAAATCTTACTGATACAGGAAACCTGGACCAGGGATGACATATCATTAAATGGATACTACTTGCTCAGACTACATAAATTCCCAGGTCACACAGAACAATTTCATACCTCCCTGCTACTTCAAGATGAAAGCCCAGATGTTACATACAGTACTCAGTTCCTAGATACTGCACTGCCATGATGGATATTCATTGAAGGATGGTTTGCGCCACAAACTAGGCCCAAAATGCAAGACCTGTGCTCCTTCACACTCCCTCCCACATAGTCGCTTTTAACTGTTTGTCCCTGTTTCTATATTTTAAGTAGGTATGATATATAATCACCTTTTAATTACCAGTTTTTACTCATTACCTGTTTTCAGTCTTATGTGCTCAGTTTCGGTATGTTTTATCTTATGCTGGTCTGTGACCGAAATAAAGTTTGATACTGATACTGAATGTGCATGTGTACTCTGCCTGTTTTGCTCCCTCCTACCTACCCCCTCCGCACTGCCCCGGGCACTGGCAACCCATGCTACACCATTGCCTTCAGCCACTTCATTGTTGACACAGGAAGCTGCTGACCAAGGGTATTGTGTTGCTGGAGGAACATCACCTTCCTCAGTTCATGAAGTATCACTTACACCCATACCCTTGCAGCATGTGCTGTGTATAGTGGTTGGTACACAACACAAAAGTTTCAATTCTGTAATGGGCTGCCAGTCCTGATCAGGCCAAAGGCCCATGCAGTCCGGCATCCTGTTGTTACTTTGAACAATCATTTGCCTATAGGAAGCATGAAAGAAGGATTTGAGCACAACAGCACTCTCACCTCCTGTGGCTTCCAGTGACTGATACATACGTCTTCTGACAGAGGAGGTAGAACACAGCCATCGTGGCTGGTAGTCATTCCTTAAAACCTTAGACTAGACAACTCTGCTTGGAAGCAAGTCTCCCAGTTGATGTCAATGGAACTACCTTCCACAACAGTGCCAGTAAACTGGGCGTAGTGATCCTTATGATTCATCAAAGCTTTGAAGGCAAACTGGCTGATATATGTGATGACAAAAGCAACATCTGGAAGGAAACATCTGGAGCTTGAGAAAGAAACTTACATTTCCGAAGGCCAGAAGCACCGAATCCATGTACAATAGCATACCGAAAAGGAGGAAAAACACCCCAAAGCCCACAAGTCCCACACCAATCCCTGTAACAGATGAAATGAATGTAATCAAACACACAGCATTCTGAAGATCAGGGGGAGGAAGGCTCACTTATAACTCAATAGTGGGAAAATACGTTTCTGGTGTCTGCAATTTGGGCTCAGAATACCTGTTCTTGCATGGTCCTGCTTTTCTTTTGAGATCTGTATGGGTTAGGGTGTCTATCATAGTCAAATGTCAGTGTTGGACAGCTGTGTTAATTCTCCTGCTCTTCATTACCATGTGCTGTGTTCCTTTGCAGGATGATAGTTGGCAGTCTTGGAAAGATCCCTCTGGGTGATACATTGGCAGACAGCAAACAGGTCCCTGACACAAACTCTGCTGGTGATCTGCAACTCACTGTCCCATCACAGTCTAGCTGAGAGATGGCAAACCTTCTTCAGTCCAAGGGCTGCATTCCCTTCTGGGAGCTGCGTGTCAATGGTGAATGGGGCCAAAGGCAAAAGTGAGCAGAGCAATAAATGTAAAATTTGTGGGAAATTGCAGCCTGGATAGCTCTGTTGGCTAGAGTATGGTGATGATAATGCAAAGGTTGCAGGTTTAATTCCCGTATGCGGCAGCTGCATATTCCTGCATTGCAGGAGATTGGACCAGATGATTCTTAGGGACCCTTCCAACTCTAAGATTCTAAAATTCTATGATTCTATGATAATTATGCATGAATTCTAGTTTGTGCATGAAAAGGGCTAGAACCAGAGAGGTCTGTTCCTAAACTCAGCTAAGTCATACCCCCTTACCTCTGTAAAAGGAGGAATTGAAGCTGCATGTGTCCCTCCGTCCCATCCCGTCCTGTCCCCGTTGCTGCTTGGATATGATAGCACAGTCAGTAGAGCATGCAACTCTTACTCTCAGGGCCGTGGGTTTGAGCCCCACATTAGGTGAAAGGTTCCTGCATTGCAGGGGGTTGGACTAGATGACCCTTGTGGTCCATTGCAACTCTATGATTCTGTGAAATGCATGAATCTGACCTTTGGAACGTTTTGTAAGTAAAGAATTTTAAACTTCCTTAACAGTGTGTGGCCTGTTCAGCACAAGAGGGGTTGGAAAGAAAAGAGTGCTGTTTGCAAGCAGACTAAATGGGTCCAACAACCTATACAGTGGTACCTCTACTTATGGACACGATACATTCCAGGGTGCCGTTTGCACCCCGAAAAGTCCATAAGTAGAGCGCTGCTTCTGCACGTGCGCGTGATGTGATAGATTGCTCCTGCACATGCGTGAAGCGTGCAGATCACTCCTGCACATGTGCGAAGCGGTGAACCCAGAAGTAAACACTTACGGGTTTGTCGCGTTCGTAACCAGAAAAAAACACAACGTGAAGCAAATGCAACTCGAGGTATGACTGTATTCCTAAAGCTATACTTCTGCTTGACTTTTGTGAGTTTAAACTCTGCTACTGGGGCCTCTCTCTTGCTGGAGAGAGTTTAGCCTTGCATTTTAAATCTATTTGAGTCGATTCTTTTGTTATTTACTCCATACACGTGGGTCACAGGGCTTCTATTTTCCTCCCACAGATTGTACTTTTGTTAAAGATTATACTGAAACTCTTGTGCCCTGGGAACAGAGGCAAAGATATTAATTTACTTCCTTTTCCAACAGCGCGTTCTCTGATCTTTTTCAAACCAAAAAAGTGCCTGTGAAACAGTCAACAGTGGTGCAGTGGTTAGAGCACTGGACCATAAGACTAGGGAGGTGCAGGTTCAAATCCCCACTCGGTCACAAAGCTTGCTGGGCCACTCAGTCACAGTCCACCTGATCTACCTCACAGGTTTGTTATTAAAATGAGGGGAGGGAGAGCATTATGTTTGCTGCCTTGAACTTGCTAGTGAAAAGGCAAGTATTAAAGTAAAGAAGTAAAGAAGAGAGGTCAGGGTGACATTCTCTAAAAGCTGAGCTGGCAAAAGGAAGCCTTGATTAGACCCAATCATTCTTTCTTAGCTAACCTGATTACACTGGTATACGAAGAAGTAACTTCTTCCTTTCAGGCTGTAAGATATGGTCATACTTACTCTGGATTTCTGTGATCTCTATCATCTTCGCTGCTGTAGGCCTAGAACAGCTCTGGATGTTCAGGTGCAGATGCAAATGTCACGGAAGGGGGGGGTGAGGTGCAGGATGCTGCGGTCACTTCCACATATTCCGCAGCCAGTGAACCTTGGAAAGGCCTTTAGCCCTTCCTGCGTCACCTTGCAAATCATTAACCTCCCAGCAGTGAAGACACCTCTTAAAGTTCACTGGGCTGTCACTCTGGAGTTTGCAAGCGGGTGGGGCGGGGAAGCGCCATCACAAATGCTCAGCTTGTGCTTCCTGTTCTCCTGGGTTTGCGAGGGGAAGCTAATAGCAGGTCTCTCTGAGGCTTGAATTATGGGGGAAACTGCTGGCAAAAATGAATGAAAAGAAGAAAGCCACACAAATTACAGTGGTACCTCAGGTTACAGATGCTTCAAGTTACAGATGCTTCAGGTTACAGACTCCGCTAACCCAGAAATAGTACCTCAGGTTAAGAACTTTGCTTCAGGATGAGAAGAGAAATCGTGCAGTGGCAGTGGGAGTCCCCATTAGCTAAAGTGGTACCTCGGGTTAAGAACAGTTTCAGCTTAAGAACAGACCTCCAGAACGAATTAAGTTCTTAACCCGAGGTACCACTGTATGACATTATTCATGTGTGTGTTTGGTCTCAAATGCCATACATAGCTAATCTTAAAATACCAAAACAACGAAGGGCTTTCACCTTGACTCGTTGTCAGGCCCTCCCTTCAGCAGTTCAGGAAAGCCATTATAGGAAGATAGCACATGAGGAGAGAAAATGCTCATGTGGCTCTGGGCAGCAGGAAACAACGGAGCATGCCCTTCTTTATTGCCAGTATTACATAGACATTCAAGCTAGGGTTATCCAGCCCATCCTATGTAAGTTCCCTGGGTGTTCAGAACAACACTACATCCCCCTATTACTACAGGACGAAAGCCCAGAAGTCACAGATTTAGTCGCCAGATTTTGCGCTGCCATGATAGCTATTCGTCGAAGGATGGTCTATGCTACAAATCAGTCGTAAATAGAAGGCCCATATTGTTAGATCTGCACTTCTGAAGCCCCACCCCATACAGCTGTTCTTTTTTAACTGGTCTCCTTTAAATTTTCCTTATCGGTTTTATTCATCCATTACCTATGCTTAATCAAGTATTCTATGTATATGTTTTAATCTACGTTTGGTTCTTGTTCCCAATTAATTTAATAATTATCCACTTAGAGATATTGTTATGCTATTTATTTAGATGTTTTGCTTATGCTGGTCTGTGACCGTATTAAAGTAAATTCATTCATGTGTTTGTTTGGCTTCTAGAAGTTAATGCACAGTAGCCTTGAGGGCTGTTTTCCTTTCTACATTCCCTATTTGCAATCGCGAAGTACATGTCGAGGAGGGGGCACCTGCTTTCACATGAACCTGCCCATCAATTACAGTCATCATGGGCAGACGCTCCTCTCTGCTAACAAGGGAGATTAGTTTGCTGGCTGTTTTTCCCATGATCACTTGAAAAATCCTGAGCATCTTAACAGACCACTTAATGGTTTTTCTGCCAGTTGTAGCCATTGCAACTCCATAGAATACAATAACATCCAATGTTAGAATTAAAAGAAGCAACAAAAATACAATTAATAATCAACATGAATATTTTATGCAATAGATGTGCTGTCTCCCATCTTCAACCACAAATCCACAGATTGAGAGACTCTTAATCTCAGGGTTGTGGGTTCAAGCCCCATGTTGGGCAAAAGATTCTTGCATTGCAGGGTTGGACTAGATGATCCTAGTGGTCTCTTCCAACTCTACAGTTCTGTGATTCCAAGATGATGTGGACCACCTGAATGAATCTTATGGGCTACTGGTGGCCCACGGGCCAGTTTGGGAATCCCTAGCTTAGAGGGCAGGGTGGAAAGATGTGAAGGCCAAAAAAGAATCTGGAAGGTTTATCAGCTAGATATAGGGTCCAGCCATTGGACCATTAGTATATTGCATAGCATCTTGCCAACTATTTTGTTTCTCGCAAACATCTTCTATTAGCCTCAAGAAATAATAATAATAATAAAAATCCCTCTGACGCAGTCTTGGAGCATTTCCTTTTCTATTGCATAGAAAATAGAATACATGTCCCATTCTCATGCAAGCAGCGAGCAAAGAAATACCATAATAAAAAGCTAATTAACTGGCCAGGGACAGCTGTATTTTCTAGATCTGCGTCACTAAGGCACAAGATCTATATGTCCTCTTTTGGTGCTTGACAAATAACTAAGGACACAAGAAGAGAATCTATTTCCAATAAGTGAATCATTCAGCACATTTTGAAATGTATTTTCATGCTCATGATATAACCCAACTATCCTTGCTGCTTCTATTGAAATTCTTGCAATCATTTTATAAGTTGATCTCTCAAAGGTTTGGCAAAAATGGAACCGCCGTACAAATAACTATTGTGATGCACTACCTTGCCCATTAACATAACATCTAAGTCTCCTTTCTCTGAGTGCAATCCTCTCCCCCCTTACCTGGAATGAACGGCTACTGAATTCGGTGGAATTTAGTTCTGAGAAGATCTGTACAGAGTTGTGCTGAACCTCTGTAATCCTGTACAGACTTACATGGGAATAAATCTCATTGTACTTGGTGGGATTCTCTTCCTAACAGACATGCACAGAATTGCAGGGCCATCAACTGGTCTGATGCACAAGGCTGGTGGTGAAGAGCATTTAGTATTGAGATACTATTATTATTATTATTATTATTATTATTATTATTATTATTAGGGTTTGGATTTGATATCCTGTTTTATCACTACCTGAAGGAGTCTCAAAGCGGCTAACATTCTCCTTTCCCTTCCTCCCCCACAACAAACACTCTGTGAGGTGAGTGGGGCTGAGAGACTTCAGAGAAGTGTGACTAACCCAAGGTCACCCAGCAGCTGCATGTGGAGAAGCGGAGACCCGAACCCTGTTCACCAGATTACGAGTCTACCGCTCTTAACCACTACACCACACTGGCTGGCTGTATTGAGATACTTATTGTCAGGAACTAATCTTACCAGCAGGCCACTGCTTTGTCATTCCTTCTTTCATTTCCCAACTCTTTGACATACACACTGAGAAGAATGGGAGAAGCACACCGTCCATTTACAAACCATCAATTTTTATTTATTTGCTTTATACAAACTTGCAAGGTACAAATGCATTTATTTGTTTTGTTTTGTTTTGTTTTGTTTTCCTTGTGTGAGATTTTGACCTTTTTAAGTAGCTACATCTAGAACAAATGCTGCTGGGAGGGGAATATTAAGCAAGCTGCTGCAGATTTAATTACTGGAAAGATTATTCCATGGTTTGGTGTGAAGAACCCCAAGCCACTGACATACTGTTTTTTAAAATCACAGACTGCTAATTTTTAAAATTGTCATCATCTAAGGTCACTTTTATACAAAAGAAAGACATCAACATCACATTGCTTTTTTGATAGTTTTTTTTAAACCTAACACAAGCAAATAAAAATAAAAATTGCTCCAAATAATGTGCATAAATAATGTAGTTCCTCTTGGTTACAGGTGCTGCTGGCATATGAAAGTGTTATTAGAAGTGAAGGGAAAACACTTAAAATAAAACCATTTAAAAACATGTTCCACAATACTGTAAAACTGTGATGCGAAACGCATTCTGTTGAGAGCTCACAGCTTGTAACCTCAAAACACTTAAAGTGACATGAGCAATAATTGGTCACAGACTCTACCTAGCTATTAACTGAGCAGAGGGCTGGTGAGGGGTGATGGAGAACATTCCTTGACATCCTTTGTGCCATTTTTAAAGCCTTTCTCAATTGCAAGAAAAGAAGAGGGAAGGGTAATTGGACCTAGGATCCAAAACTTCCTTGACAGAAAAATAGGCAAGAGGCTGCAAAAAGTGGCAGAGTCCTTGATTCATTCCTTTCTTATGAACACTGGTTGAATGGTTTCACTGACACCTGTACCCTTTCGAGGTGACCTCCACATCTCTCAAACAGATGCACAGGTAGAACCACTACCTCAAGAGGTGGAATAAGGAGGCCTACTCTGATGTCAAGGGAAGGCCAATCCCAAGCCGACAAGCTTTCAAGAGGCTAATTTAGGCCTCTCTTCGACTCTTGCTTATCTAATGAGCTGCCACCATTTAGAAAATGTCAAGGATGCCTTCACAACAAGGGAAAATGCAGGTCACATCTGAAGGATGTGTCTCTCCCCAACAATATTAAGGGGAATGGTAGTAGGGAAGGGTAGTAGCTGGGAGAGTGATCATGATGGAGAGACACAGGATGAAATCCAGCTGCTTTGCCACACAAAAACACATTCACGTGAACAAAAAGTATAAAAGAAGTAGCATTGACACGAAGTAGGGGGAAAGCCACCTATATTGCAAGAATCCCCATGGGATAGCTGCGTACCAGCAAGACAATCTTTGCGGTCCCTGATATGCTACAGTCCTACTCATCTTCCTATAATGTACCTCCTGGGCCAGAGCCTCAATGGGCTTAAGTCAACAAATGAGCCATTGCCAAACAGCATCAGCTGAAGACTGGTCCCTGACATACAAAAGCAACTGCCGTACCCAACAAACAAGGAAATAAATGCATCATTCCTCTAAATTGACAGCTTACATTTATTTTTAAATAAATTTGCTTTCAATAAAAGCAGAAAATATATATATTTATTTAAATATGTCTTCTTTTATTTTTTATTTTCTTAATTATTCTGATAAAACTGCCCAAAGTGACTCCATTTCAATAACTCAGTGGCAGGGCTGGCTTCAGTGGCCCTGTGCACTGAGAGAGAACATAAGCTTGAAACAAAAACAGTCTAATGAGAAGAGGAAAAAAACAAAGATATAGATATTTAGCACACATCACTGTATAATTTCCATAAAACATATATTAAGGCATGTAGAGGATAATGAAGGGACAGTTTTTAATGAGCTAACATGGGTGCTCCTGCAGGAGCAGAACCAATAATTTTTAACATCATCATCCTGGAATGTTGAAGGAGAAAGAAAGGAACAAAAACTCTGATTCCCTGGAGTGTTCTACATATTGCCAAAAGGATCATTTAAATAACAAAACAGACTTCATCATTTCATTGGACAGGGAGGTGGAAAACATTTCTGATTTAGGGATAGCCTGCCAAGAGTTTTCCATTGCGTTATATGACAAAGATCTTGTTACTTGCCAAAAACTTATCATTCTGGTCAATATCAGTTGAGGTGGATTCTCAGAAGCATCAAGGAGGAAGCTAACCCCAAGATGGGAGATTATGAGGTGGAAGCTTGTAAAAATGAACGTGGGAAATGGACTCTAATAAAATTCACAGTGCAATTCTATCTATGTATACTCAGAAGCAATCCCCCACTGGGGTAGGGGGACACTTTCTGTACCTGTCCCTTTTCATTTCATCTCCTGGATCTGTGGTCCTTCAGTGTTGTTGGACTACAACTTCCAACTTCCCTGACCATTGGCTATGCTGTCTGGGGTCAAAAGGAGTTGGGAGTCTAACAGCACCTAGAACCGCCCCCCCAATCCCTGCCTCAGGGCCAAACTGGACTTGATGGTGGTAGGCCTGTTTCTTGAAATTTAGGACTGCCCAATCGTGTATACAGATTCCAATTTAGTGCACTAAATAGTGCACGTGGTGTGGAAAACCAAATACTCTGCTCCACTTCAGTTTATCTTCCCTGCAGTCTGCCTCCCAGCATCATTTTTCTTCTCACTAGAAATAAGTCAGCCCAGTAGAGGGAAAAGGGCTATGGGGAAGGTCTGGGAAGAGCTCTCAGCTCCTCTCACCTGTGCAAGACTTTTAAAACTGGGACTTCTCACTCAGACAGGTTTTATATGAGATTAAGGCAGACCCACATTATAAGAGATGGGTCTGTCGCTTTCACATTTAGTTTAGTTCTGTACACTGACCTGTCATCTGCTGATTTAACCACATACATTGGATACTGAACTTACTCCTAAGTGACCCAAGGTAAGGAAAGAACGAAACTGCAAAGTAGAGTTTCTTAGCATCTAGAGCATTGTACTGGGAAGAAAGTTCAAAACCATTCTTTTCTGTCAAGCCAACCTTTTCATAGAACTACAACACTGCAAAGAGCCTCACTTAAATAAGATTATTTGACACAGTATTCAGATTATGGTGGATAACACAGGCAGGGCTTGGTAAAATTCAGAGACTCTACTTCTACCTCTCTCTCTCTCTCTCTCTCTCTCTCTCTCTCTCTCTCTGGTCAAATCATCCTCTCTGCCCCCAAACCTTCTAGAAACAATATCTAAGAGCACCATGACCTAAGGGGTGGGAGATCAGCCCACTAACTCATGTTCAGTCTCCATCAGCCTTGATTATATGGTTTTAGAATGGCAGATTTTAGAAGCCACAGCAGTATTGCTCCAATAAATACGGAAAAAAGATCCCCCAGTTTTGATGCATGTTTCACTAAAACTCATAAATACATTTATGGACATGCTTATGATAAAGCCAGGTCCAGAATGAAGTTGCTAACTTTTTTGGTGAATGTACAAGCATTTCAAATCAACCAAATTGCCACCTAGAAGTTGAATCTCAATCTAAAGTGTCAACCCTTCAAGGAAACAATCAAACAAAACATTGAATGAATGGGAATCCAGCTTTTTAAAAACAAAAACAAAATAACCAAGACCCCATCTGAAAATCCAGCTCAAGGGAATTAAAAAAAGAAAAGCCAGCTGCATTTTTGTGTTCTAAGCTAGAGTTAGAACAATCTGAGTTTCTTTCAGAAAGATTTGAGACAGAATGAAGGAACCAGTTTGGGAAGACTTTGTCCAGCTTGACCTTATTTTTGGTATGAAGCAATTTCATGTGCCTCATGATGGCCCAACAATATTTTGAGTGTAAAAACTTTGGCCCACAGGGTCCAAGTAGAAGTAAAATTCTTTCCAAAAGGTGTGGTGTGAGGCAGCCCATGCTTTAATGTTACATCTCTCTGGGTTTGCTGTGCAATGCCCTATCCACGCCTGAGTGCTATGCTGCAGAACTGCAAAGCCCTTATTGCAAGTTGGTGCCAGCTTTAATGCAGAGCTTGACTACTGTTAAAAAGGTCTAGGTTGTGTGGTGAAATATATGTCCAGCCCATGGATCACTAGAGAAGAAAGCATCCTCCGAGAGCACAGAAGTTGACTACCTCGGCCCTAAATGATATTCAGACCTTACCAGGTCTAAGTCCCCTTTCAGAAGACAACTGCAGGGTGAAAGAAGGTCCAATTTAGACCCTCATTCCTGGCTAGGTATGAATCAGCACTGTTTGAATACGTTTCAAGAGAGGTTTGGTTGGTATTTCTTGAGGTCTGCCAAGTCCTCTCTCTTTGCCTGCACCTCTGGCCAATCTCTATTCTGAGCTGGTTCTGCTCTCAAACTATTGAGAAACTAATGAGGGCTCATTTGAGGTGGTCTGAGCTTGGAGCAGGTGCATCACTAGTCCTATGCTCTTAATATACGAGCTCAATTGCTCTGAAAGGTCACGGCAATGATTACTGCACCCTTCAGAGAGGTGATTGATGAAGGCTGCAGGCGTCTGTGTTTGAGAGAGAACTCTACTTCCAAATCACCTACAAGCAGTGCTTTTCTTCTGGGGGGATGCAGGGGGACAGATACCCCTAAACAGTTTGTGAATCTAAGTTTGGCCTCGTTGAGGGGCAGCATTTCAATATGAGTAGGAAAATGAGAGTACTCCTAAACATTTTTTTTAGAAAAAAAAGCACTGCCTACAAGCTGTTGTGGTGGGGAATAAAGCAAGAGGATACATGATGAACATCAGGGGTCTTGCTTCAGTCCCCCCTCCTCCCCTCCTCCAGTAGCCAGGAGAGTTTTGCTTCACACATTCCATGGAGGCTGATTCATGGCCCATCCAGTCTAGTTCAGATCTATATTCCATCTAGTCCCCTATCCAGTTTTCATCAGCAGTACCTGATGGTGCAAGCGACAAGTGCTTGGTGAACACAGTGATCTATCCAGCACACAGTTTTGATCCTATTACTTGAAGCCCTGGAGAAGCCAGGAGGAAAATGCTCAGTAGCACTCTCCCGAGTTGGCTGTGATGTGAGAAGAAATGTCACCCATCCAGTCCCAGTTTTGTTTTTTCTTCCCCTACAGATAAAAGACAACCTCTCTGGGTTGCAGAAAGCATTAAAGCTTCACCTAGTGGCGAATCACAGCCAACTAAGCTTTTCTAACATCTTCCCTCCCCCATTATATCATCCGCCCGCACCCCTAAAACACGTCCACATACATTGCCCGCACCTTCCATTCCATCCACCCAACCCCTAAGCTTGGGAAAGAAGAAAACGCTGGCCCATCCCAGCCACAGCAACATCCTCACAACCCTAGCAAGATTCCAAAGCCGCTTTGGGTCCCCACACGGTCAACCTTCTGTCTTCTGCCACATCCACAAAGTTCTGTCCGTCCACTTGTGCTTCCTTGCTGTCTTTCCTTTTCCTGTGAAAGGCTGTGAGCATAAGCAGGGAAGCGTGGCCGTGCACGGGTTGCTTAGCTCCACAGGCGAAAGATGCTAAAAGCCATTCTGGTTGGCAGAGGAGAGACCAAAGGGCTGTGTGTGTGTGTGTGTGTGTGTGTAAGGGGGGAGAAGGAGGAGGAGAAGAAACATCTAGTGCTCACTTCAGTAGAGGGTTATGAATTCTCTGGCTGCAGATACAAAGTCATTCTTCACACAACCTTCCTTCCCTGCTGCCGGCACTTGCAGGCTATACAGCTCCAGGAGATGAGCTACATCACCTCCCAGTCTTGTTGCCAGCATCCCTTTTCTGGCTTAGTGCTGCCTCTTTGCCGAGACACAGCTGTTCTTTTGCTGCCGGTCCTTAGCCTTGGGAGTCTGCTGCACCTGATACAGAGGACCTGTCTGGCAAGAATGGAAACGGCTCCTGCTGAACTGTGGGCAGTTGGTACAGGCCATATCAGCAGCAGCAGTGGGGCAGGAGGAAATGGGACAAAGGCAAATGCCATCCCTGCTCTCCCTTGATGGCAGCTATTCTTTCCCGAAAAGTTTCCGCAGCTTGACTGAAGGAGATGGGTGTGCCGAGAGAACCCTAACAATGACCACGCGCGTTGTTCAGCAGTTGGGGTGCAGACGCCGTGGGTTAAAACGTGGCTCCGTGGAACTTCACAGCATTCACAGCAGCCAGGGCCTGTGCTGGAAGAAGAGGAGAGAAGAGGAGAAGAGAGTCAGTGACAGTTGTTGGAACCTAAAGTTGTGGGCCTGTTGCACAGGCCTTTGACATTTCCCTCACAATAGGCTTGAGGGATTTGCAGAGGCTGTGAATTTGCTAGACGTGCCTTGAAGGAATGTCATAGAGAGAGGTTTCAATGACATTAACAGCTTTATCTTTCTGCTCTGGGAGCTCTCTCAAAGCCTTAAAGGTCTTCACCAAGAAAGGTTGTGTCAAACACACGTCAGGCAGAGTTCTAGCCCACAGTGCAGCAGGATACTCTAAAGTAACCTTTCCCAACCTGGTGTCCTCAAGATGTTTTGGACTACAGCGCCCATCAGCCTCAGTCAGCACAGCCAACCTGGAGAGCATCAGGTTGAGGAATACCACTGTAAGAATTTTTGGTCGGTCATTTTGGTCTGTCAACCACAGATGATGACTAGACTAACACCACAATCTTATATTTGTATAGTGGGAAGAAAGTCCTACTTTATCAAATGGGGCCAATGCCCAGGCCATTGTCCAGCCTAAAGGATGGAGTTGTGGCTTACCATAGATGCCCATCTCCATCTTTCGGTTCAGTTCACAGAAGCAACCTAATGTGTTATAGCCACAGAACCTGTGGCCCTCCAGATGCTGATGGACAACAACTCCTGTCTTTTTTAAAAAAAAATGATATTAATTGAAAGTTTTAAGATTACAAAGACAAACAAGGAAGAAAAGAAGAAAAAAGAGAACAGATAACAATTAAACAATACAAATCGATAAAAGTCAAAATCAAAAAAACAAAAGCAAAACACATAATACATCAAAATCCAAAAACAGAATTAAACAAAAAAAAAATAAAAACAAATCCAGTATTCTCAAATCCTTAACTGTCATTACCTTATTTCATCGACCTCCTCACACCTCCCTTTTTTGTGTTCTAGTTGTTAATTGTCTCAGCAAATCCTTCCCATTTTTCATAATATTCTGTCATTAAATTACCTTAATCTATTTTAACCTTATCTTACCATAAAAAACCCTAGAACTTAAAACTTAAATCTTATTTATACCAATTTCTCATAGCCATAGCATATTCTTACATAGTTCTTTTTAACATTTCTGCTAAAGACAAATAATTTCGTTCCAACATTTTTCTAATACTCATTAATTTTACAAGACATTCCTAAATAAAATTTTTAAAACTTTCTTCCAATCTTCATCCAGCGTCTCTTCCTCCTGGTCTCGGGTTTTGTCAGTCCTTTCTATCCCATCCATCTAGTTCATTAACCTGGTAACCTTATGTCCGAGGCCCTTAAGTCTCTTCCATGTCCCTTCCGCAGATCTTCTTCATATTTATACCTATACTTTACTTTGTCTTCTGCTCCTTTCACTCGTGGAGACTCCAGCTTGACAATATTTTTGTCCCTTCTCGACAGATCAGCCCCTTTTCTATAGTCCACACTGAGCTCCATGTGGTATTTAAAAGCATGTTTCAAAGTCCCTCCAAGGTTGAGGACCCCCACAAGTCCAAACTCCTTCCGGCCCAACGCCAGATTTGAAAATTCAAAACATCCCTGCATAGGGGGGTCTATCCAGCCCCCCATCTCCAAGCCGAACAAGACTCTATCTCTCCAAATCTGGCTTTTTCCAGGTTCATTCATCAGATCCAACAACTCATGTTCCTGCTGGGCCACAGTTCCCTCCATCTCTGCCTCCCGAGGTCCAGCCACAACCTCCTCCCTCATCTGATCTGTCAGAGCACACTCCTGAATTAATTCCTGAGTGGGTTCTATATAGATACCCACTACCTGTCCAAAATTTCTGATCGCATCAGTCATCAAATCCGTCTTCTCATGTAACTGTTCCAATAAAGCACTTGTTTTGCAGAAAGCACGCACCAGAGCCTCCGAGTACATTGTTGTGCAAGGTCAAAGTCTAATCCCACGATCTTAATCTATTGCAGCTGCAAAACTCCCCAGTTCAAATTAATAACAGTTTTCACAAGCTCCCTCTAGGGGAAGAACTTCTATTTGTATCCATCTCTCTCTCTCTCTCTCTCTTTTTTTTTTTTTTGCAGATCTAACAACAAAGTTTCCTTTTTCAGATATTTTGTCAATATTTTGTTCCTTTTAACTGCGAAGGAGAACAATGGAATCACTACGTTTCTCTTCTTTTAACTATCTGTCAAAAACGTTCGTCTATAGTCAATGAACTTCCCAAAAGCGTCTGTCCTGACACCCCGCTCCCAGGTTCAAGACGGTGGAAAATTACTTTTCTTTAAACTCTCTTCTGCAGGTTTAAATGGTCCAAAAAAAAAAAAAAAACCCTCTCCTCCTGCTTCCAAAAGGGGTTCAGTAATTTTAAATGATGAAAGTTGATCCTTTACAAACGATTTTCTAAACTCTAGCTTGCCATGTCTTTGCTTTGATCTTTCTACAAAAAGCGGAAGGCTGACTTCCTGTTTAGACCTTCCCGCTTCAGTGCCAAATTAAAAGGAATTTCTTAGTCCAATTTTCCGTTCTACTCACGGGTCGTTGTTTAGAGTCCAATTGTCCAAATTTAACCTACTCACGGGTAGTTGTTTTTGCCAGATTGTCACAGGAAAAAGGTAGCGCTCTCCGGTAACGGCTGTGCGGCTTCGCTCCACGGAAGAAGCAGTTGACTCTCAGCACCGCGCCGCTTGCCCCGCTTCGCTCCGGAGCCCGTAATTGGGTTCCTTTACAAATTGGGGGGGCGCTAAAGGTGCCCGCCGAGTCCCACGGTCACAGGCTTCATCCGCCTGTGATTGTTTAAAGGGTCCCCGCTTCGCCGTAGCGGAACAGACCCGATTTCCGTAGAGCTAGTCCCTCCGGATCAGAGGGAGTCCGCCATTACCGATGGCGCCACCCCGGAAGTCCAACAACTCCTGTCATCTCCAACCTTTCACCATGCTGGCTGGAGCTGATGGAAGACTAAATCCAACAAAAAATAATATTTCCATAGCTTTGTCCAAATTTTGGTGTTCTGTACCAGTTGGTTTGTGAAAGGAGCAGCTATGGTGTCCCTAATGGTGGCACATAGCAGTTCAGCTTAACATCAACCATTCCCTTAGTTATGAAGTGGCTCATTGGGTGGGTGGGTGGGAAAACTGTTATGCTAGCTTCCTTTTTTTTTATATAAGATATTTATTGAAGTTTTCAAGATATTACAAAGCACACACACACAAAAAGAAAATACAAAGTAAAAATATTTAAAAACAATTCCTTCCTTCCATTACTTAACCTTCATTTGCTTAGTTCCCGGACCTCCTCACACCTCCCTTTTTTGTATTCCAGTTCAATTATTTCGTTCAGCAAATCCCTCCCCTCTTTATGTATCCTAATCATTAATCATAAAGTATTGTAATTTTAGATTTTTACATATTAATAATCCATTTTTTCATATTCCTTGTAACCTTTCAGCTAAAGTTCACTTAGTTTCTATCCAACATCATTCTAGCATTCGTTAATTTTGCAATATTTCTGTAGATAGTCTTTAAACTTTTTCCAATCTTCCTCCATCGACTCTTCTCCCTGGTCTCGGATTCTGCCAGTCATTTCCGCCAATTCCATATAGTCCATCACCTTCATCTGCCATTCTTCCAAGGTGGGTAGATCTTGTGTCTTCCAATACTTTGCAATGAGTATTCTTGCTGCTGTTGTGGCATACATAAAGAAAGTTCTGTCCCTCTTTGGCACCAATTGGCTGACTATGCCCAGGAGAAAGGCCTCTGGTTTCTTCAAGAAGGTATATTTAAATACCTTTTTCAATTCATTATATATCATCTCCCAGAAAGCCTTAATCTTTGGGCACGTCCACCAAAGGTGAAAGAAAGTACCTTCATTTTCTTTACATTTCCAACATTTATTATCGGGCGCATGGTAAATTTTTGCAAGCTTGACTGGTGTCATGTACCACCTGTATATCATTTTCATAATATTCTCTCTTAGAGCATTACATGCCGTAAATTTCATGCCTGTGGTCCACAACTGTTCCCAGTCAGCAAACATAATGTTATATCCTAGATCTTGTGCCCATTTAATCATAGCAGATTTCACGGTTTCATCCTGAGTATTCCATTTCAACAACAAGTTATACATTTTTGACAAAATCTTAGTATTGGGTTCTAACAATTCTGTTTCCAATTTTGATTTTTCCACCTGGAAGCCAATTTTCTTATCCAAATTATATGCCTCCATTATCTGATAATAATGAAGCCAGTCTCGCACTTTATCTTTTAATTTTTCAAAACTCTGCAATTTCAATTTGTCTCCTTCTTGTTCCAAAATTTCCCAATATTTCGGCCATTTGGCCTCCATATTGAGCCTTTTCTGAGCCTTTGCTTCCATCGGTGACAGCCACCTAGGGGTTTTATTTTCCAATAAGTCCTTATATCTTATCCAGACATTTAACAATGCTTTCCTGACAATATGGTTTTTAAATGCTTTATGTGCTTTAACCTTGTCATACCACAAATATGTGTGCCACCCAAAAACATTGTTGAAACCTTCTAAATCTAAAATGCCTGTGTTCTCAAGAAGCAGCCATTCTTTCAACCAGCAGAATGCTGCTGATTCATAATAAAGTTTGAGGTCTGGCAGGGCAAATCCACCTCTATCCTTTGCATCGGTTAATATTTTAAATTTTATTCTGGGCTTTTGCCCTGCCAGACAAATTTAGAAATGTCTCTCTGCCACTTCTTGAAACAGTCCATTTTGTCCACAATTTGCAATGATTGAAACAAGAATAACATTCTTGGCAATACATTCATCTTTATAACAGCAATTCGACCTAGCAAGGAAAGCTTCAAGTTTGACCATATCTCTAAATCCTTTTTCACTTCTGACCAACATTTCTCATAATTGTCTTTAAATAGGTTTAAGTTCTTAGCAGTCATGTTAACCCCCAAGTATTTTACTTTCTTAACCAATGTTAAACCTGTCTCCTTCTGAAACCTCTCTTTCTCAATCGGTGTTAAATTTTTCTCAAGCACCTTAGTTTTTAACTTGTTCAGCTTAAATCCTGCCACATGACCAAATTCCTGAATCAATTCTAAAACTCTTTTAGTACTAGATTCTGGCTCCTGTAACGTCAATACTAAATCATCTGCAAAAGCTTTCAGTTTGTACTGTTTAGCTCCGACCTGTATACCTTTAATCAAGCGGTCCCTTCTAATCATATTTAGCAAAACCTCCAGGACCGAAATAAAAAGCAATGGGGAAATTGGGCAGCCTTGTCGTGTCCCTTTCTCTATCTTAAATTCCTCTGTTACCACATTATTAACTATTAGCTTAGCTTTTTGTTCTGAATATATTGCACTTATACCATTTTCAAACCCTTGACCGACCCCCATCCCCTGAAGATTTTTCTTCATGAAACTCCAAGAAATATTGGAGTTTCATGAAATATGCTAGCTTCCCAACAGGTTGGTTGCTGTTGCTTTCTGGGAGGGAGAAGGATGAAGTGGTGGGGTGGTCAGTGTGGTGCAAAAGCACTGGCAGAATCAATCCAGTGCTCCTGATTCATTTGTATCCTGCTAACCTCCCCACGGCATTGTCCTTCCTCTCCCAGTAAGCAACAGCAACCTACCTGCCAGGAAACCAGCAGCCCTGACCTTGCTGCTGACTTGCCCCACAGAAACACCACCCTAGTAAGCTGTAGTGACACTGGCGTTGGGATGGTGGCTCTGCCGCTACTGCTTTTGATTTCCCTGATTAAGCTTATGGCCTCCTAAGAATACCAGTTGCTGGGAACTGCAAGTGGGCAGAGAGCTGATGTGTCCATGCCCAGCTTGCAGGCTTCCCACAGGTCAGCCACTGTGAGAATGGAATGTTGGACTAGATGGGCCATTGCTCTGACCCAGCAGGTTCTGCTTATGTTCTTAGTATGTTTTTTGATTTCAATACACCCAGTGTATTGAGAAAATACACCCAGTGGCATGTTTGGGCCCAGGCTATCTACTGTGTTCATGACATGACAAAGCAGGGTCTCCTGGGTCCATACTCTGAGCTACAACAATGTGCTCATTCAAGAATATTCTCCTGGTTTAATTGGCACGGGGAATCGTTGCTCATTGAAATAAGATCACTTTGCCCCAGGGACTCCAGAACAAAGCATGGCACCTTGATTCACTATGGAAGCATCTTGCACTTAACTCTGAGGAAGGAGACTGAGCTTACACAGCACAGAAGAAAGGGTTACCTTAGTGGATCTCAGTGAATGGATGGGTTGGTGAGGAGAGGAGATGAAACTCTTGGAAAAGAAGCTTACCACTTCTTTTCTCCAAGAGACCAAGGCATATAGAGATATGAAATGAATATAGTAAAAAAAAGAAAAAGAAAGAAAAGCAAAAGTAAAAGTAAAAAAAAAGAAGTGCTTACTTTATGGCTCAGACACGCATAAAATGGCTGTCGCCGCCCTGGGATGAATCAGACGAGAGGGACTTGGTCGGTGGAGTCGGGGAGGCTGGGGAGGTGGGAGGGCTCGGGGTGGCACACTGAGCTGGAAACAAGAAATGGAGACAGGGTCTGAAGAGCATACAGAAATGGGAAGCAAAGGCAAGGAAACACATTTCATAGAGCAGCCTTTGACAACCTGGTGCCTTTCAGAAGTTGCAAAACTACATCTCCCATCAGCCCCAGCTAGTGCTGGCTGTGGCTGGTGGAGGTTGCAGTCCAACAACATCTGGAGGGCACCAGGTTGGTGAAAGCTGCCATACAGCAAACAGGGGTTAGAGGAAAGGGAATAGGAAGCATGATCAGAAATCACAGAGTGGCACAAAATAGCTCCCTCCTTGTGTTATGCCTGTGTGATTTCCACTAGCACTGCACAGAGACAACCGCAAAGGCAATGATGGGAACAGCACACCATTCATCCTGTAGGGAGGTAGACACACCACCTTGTAGGAAGATGAGCACCCTACCCTGCCATGTGATTAAAGGAAGACTAAATTATAATTTTTTGCTTGGTGTCTCATCAGAAAATAGCGCTAAGCATTAATATTCATGTGAATGGGATGACTTCATAGCAGCCCCGGAAGGTGCAGCTATTCATGACAGATTCTTTAGACCAGACGTGGCTTGAATAATAATAATCTCCCTCCAGCCTCCTGCACAAGCCTGGCCACAAAACAAATAAGTCAGCATTACACAGCAGCTTCTTCAGCAGCCAGAGGTAGCTGGGTAGTAGACTGCAGGTGGTGGGAAATCCATCATGGATAATGCAATGATAAACACACAGCTAGCATGTCCCCAAGCCTTTTTCAGGCCATGAACCCCATTGCCAGCTGCCGTGTTTGCTGTTCCCACAGCAAAATGGCATTCCTGCATTTGAACAGGGAGGTCTCATGGGTTGGTGCTGCACTGTATGAAGAAACACTGTGTTTTGTTTGTCATGAATCTCCCACCATTTGGCATGACCCCGGTCTCTTACTCTTTTCCCAGGGTTGAACTGATAGAAATCGAAAACACTCAGAAAGGGAAGCAGCGTCACACATGGTATCTTGGACTCCTCTGGTATTCCCCTAATGGAAATCAGTGGGAACTACCCCCTGCCATGCATGCACTAGCCTAGGACAGCAAACACATTGCTCTCCAGATGTTGTTGGGCTCCAGTTTCCATCAGCACCAGCCAGCATAGCCAATGGCCAGGAGTAATGGGACTCATAATCCAACATCTAGAAGACACCATGTTGGCTGTCCCTGCACTGAACAGTGACACTACACTTCCAGGGAAAATATTCCATGCATCCTCTTGTGTGGGAAAAAGCCCCCAGGTCTTTTTTCTTGCTTAGGCAGCTACTGCAGCAGCAGCAGCAGAGGAAGAAAATGTGCAGGCCAAGGAGAACCTTATTTTCTCCTCTTGTTAGCAATCTGGTTGCCCCTGCAGCCAAGCACAAGCTCATCTAATGCCATCATTATAGGGAAAATTGGAAGCTGTGTCCATCAGCTGCAACAGCAGCTGGTAATAGCAGGAAGGGCTAACTACTTCATCTTACTCAAGACCTAGGTTTAGGAAGAGAACTGGACCTCTTTGCACTTGGCTCACTGGGCAGGTATGTGGTCTTCTTGCCCAAGCTTTAAGCTAAGGCCTCCTCCATTCGAGATATGCTGAATTATTCCCGAGTCCCTCTAAATGGATGGCGACCTCTCAGTACTTTGGGCCACGGAAACTGGGCTGCCTTTGTTGGAGGGCCCTGCGTTGCATTAGCTAGTTACCTGAGGTTTTTGAAAAAAGGGGATGCAACTGGTTATTTAAGACCAGCTAAAAGAATGGGCCAGCTTTTACATAATTTATATATATATATATGCATGGTATATATTTAATTTGCTAGAACTGATGTTTCCCACACATCAGGACCCGTAAGTTTATGCCAATTGCCAGGCATTGCTCCTTAAGGGCTGCAAATTAAAGGAGTAAAAAAAGAGGACAGCAAAGTTCAATGTAATGCATGTCACTGCACAAGCAACTTGACAGCCGAGACCAATTAATATATGTTTGACATTATGTGGCACTTGGCAGCAATGATGCAAATATGCCCCTTTTGACACATCACCACTAGTATAAAAGCAAAGCACTGCAGCAGCTCGTCTGGCGTTGCAAGACAATTCTCTGGCCTTTATAAATCACTATAACTAATTTAAAGCAGTGGTTCTAATTTACACCGGCTAGCATGCCAGCTGTCAAATCCATCTTATTTTGAAAGCCTTGCCTGCACAAGGGAATTACGTAGTCATCTGTAATTCATTTCTACCATGACTTATATATCCCACACTTAAATGCAGAACTTGCAGAGGGAGGAAAAGCCTTTTGTTTCTTTGCGGCTGCATTGCTCCACTGCCTAATCTTCCTTACCTGAGAGCATGCGGCCCCGTCGGGAGGCTTCTGCAGCCAAGGCGCAGGAGATCTCTATTCGCTTCTCCTGTTCCTGCAACTGGGTTTCTGGGTCCTGGGTCACGTCCACTTCTCCCTCATTGAGGGGGACCACATTCTGCATGCTGCAAGAGAGGGAACTTGTGGTTATTACCTGCAGCTGGCTGCCCCAGGACATGTTTTGGCTACAGGGGAGTTAGCACTCGAAGAGGCAGATCAGTGGGATAGGAGAAGCATTGATAGATGGTACACACATACAAACATCACTATTCCCTGGGGAGGGGCCACTGCAAAAACAGCCCCATGAGAATGAAGCATGTTCAATAGCCACAGAATAGTGACCGGTTAATTGAGAGGGGAGGAATGGAAAATAGGTGGAAATGGAATGGAGTATCCTCAAAAACCAACAGCTGAGTGATAGGGAGGAATTCTGACAAATATGGAAAAGGAAACAAAAATTGCAGCAGGCGAGTGCTCATCTGTACTCAGGAATGAAAATCAGTCAAGCAAATTCAATCAGTATTTGTTCACATAGTTCCACAAATGATACATGTTTTATTATTTTGTTTTACATTGTTTTGACATTTCCTTTACAATGACATGAATGTATCTTATGTAAATAGCTAGGTGATTTATGGAAATTGCCAGCTTCTTACATCCCTTGTCGTAGGTTATCTACAACTGGCTAAGCTGCACAGCTTTTCTATTGTATTCAAAAAATCTGGGCTTGTGGGTGGGGGAGAAACAGAAGCTAAGCAGGGAAAGCATGGGAGCCGGATGTTTTGTTTACAATGTCATACAGATGCCCTGTTAAAAGTGAGTGAACAGAGCATGGCTATTCCTCAGTAAATGTCCATGGATAAGCAGGCATGGATTGATGATCAGTGATTGGATGGCATAATGAGAAAGCAAAAACATGTGATGTGGGCGAAAGAAGTTTCTGGTCTGCAATGCACCTGGATTTGGCAATCAGCGTCTTTATCCTCTCCACTTTCTTTTGCTTCTCCTTCATCTCCTCTGGGCTCAGTGGAGTATCAGGTTCCAGCTCAATGTACCTTTCTGGGATGAGGACTTTGTCTGGGGTGGAAAGCTGAAGAGCAGAACGAGACAGACTGTGAGCTGAAAAGGTGGCAATGAAGATTAACTGACATAATAACCTTTCTCGAGCATCCAACCCTTGGCCATGATACTACCCACATCTATTTCTAATATAAGTTCTAGATCAGATCTCACACAAAGCACCCTAACTCTGAATTGGGCTACATAATTCTCTCCAGATTGCAGATTGTCCCCTTGTCTGTCTTGGCATCTTGACATGAAGAAGAAGAAGAAGAAGAAGAGTAGTTTGGATTTGATATCCCACTTTATCACTACCCGAAGGAGTCTCAAAGTGGCTAACATTCTCCTTTCCCTTCCTCCCCCACAACAAACACTCTGTGAGGTGAGTGAGGCTGAGAGACTTCAGAGAAGTGTGACTAGCCCAAGGTCACACAGCAGCTGCATGTGGAGGAGCGGGGACACGAACCCGGTTCACCAGATTACGAGTCTACCGCTCTTAACCACTACACCACACTGGCTCTTAATGAAGACAGCATTCTTCATCCGCTCCACCCCTGCAAACATACAGCGTAATCATTTAGCCAGGGCGCACACCCCATACAAAGTGGTAACCCCCAGGGACCATCTTTTTTATCTTCCTTATTTAGTACACTAATATTCTGCCTTTCCCCCATTATGGAACCCAAGGTAGTCTCACACCCAGGCACCAGTCAGACCCAAATCTACCTAGCTTCAGCAAGGTGGCTGCATCGTGTGCCACAATGACAGCTGGTAGGACAGAAGGCAGAGAGGCCAACAGCAGGTGGAGTCGGAGCCAATGACAGGCAGAGCCAACTTAATTCTGCTTTTGTCCCCATCCTTCTGCCTGCTGAGTTCTGTAAGTGAAATACTGAGACTAAGGAGGAGGAAGCTGACAAGGCAGCACCCCCTGCCTGGACTGGTTGTAAGCAGGAAGACAGGTGGAGGCTGGCTGAGGTCAGACTAAGATGGATGGAGCAATGCCCCATTCGTCCTAAGGGGAAAGACTCCACTGCCCTCGGACCATGCCCTGAGATCTTGCTCCTTCTTTACATGTACTTCTGTGAATTTCAAACCAGGCACCTAAACCACACTGTAAATTCATGTGAAGTAGGAGGATCCTATTTTTGGTGGTGGCTGGGGAAACCCAGCCAGATGGACAGGGTATAAATAATAAATTTATGATGATGATGATTTGTAGGCCAAGGCACAGAGGAAGCATGGACTTCACCTCCTTGCTGATGTCCACATTATAATGCTCTGGCTCCAGCTCCATTTTGCGCAGACGTGCAATCTCCTCCCGAGGAGTCTCATACATCCTTCCAGAGTCCTCAGAGCGTAACGCTGCTTCCAGATCAGATATGTCCACCTCATGGATGCTGCGATGTCTGCGCACCTAGAACATATCATGCCCCCACCAGCACACACATTAGAGTCGGGATGTGATAGAAATGTAGATCACTCTCCATAAGCACTTGCTGGTATTTTATATTTCATTCCTTGCACGTTGCCTCCACCGTTTTCTCACCTGCCACACTCTAAGGCAGCCTTCCTTTGGTCATGCTGCCTGGGTCCAATGGGAATTGTCACCCAAAAGGTCAGTAAGAAGGCCTCCATGCTGGGAAAGCCATTTCCGCCCTACGGAGGAGGTGGGGTTGTGGGCCCTCCCACCCTATAAGGTTTACGTTCTTTGACCTTGCTATGGACCTTCACTGTTGAGGGGCCTGGTAGGAATTTTTTCCACTTGGCAAATTGGCACCAGCCACTTGGTTTTTCACCTACCTCATAGCAAATCGTCACAATTTTCTGGGTATTGGCGGTTAGGCATTGGTATTGTTCTGCAGATGGAAGAGGAGAGGTAGCGCCATCACCTGCCCCACATATTGAAGGGTAGTCCGATAAAGGATTCCGGGGGGTGTGGCCCTGTCCAAAGCCTGGGGAGGTGAGGGCCTAAGGCACACTCCCCTGGTGGTTAACCCTTCCCGGACTTCAAGCGGACGGGCTGAAGTTGGATATAGTCTGTTAGGACCAATGCCTAAGCCAATACCGCTCATCACCTGTAACCAATAAAGTTGTGGCCTTATTTAGCCCATTAACCTTAATAATTGTGTCATGTGTCATTATATCCACTGGTGGGGGCGGGAACTTGCCACGCAAAGGGCAGCTCTGTAGTCTTGCTCTCAAAGGTGGCAACTTTGTGTTGTGGGCTGCCTTATACCAGGTGGACAGACTCACATGGCTGAATCATCTCTACCATTGTTGTGCAATTTTAGGTGCTGAGCCAAAACATTTTCATTTACCTGGGTCTTGGGAGAGTAGTTCATTATGTCAGTGGGCTTTCGGGGGGGGGGGTAAGTGGGGGTAGGATTTGTTCTCTGATATACATTTTCAGATGAGTATTTTGTTTATTGCTGCATATCTGGTTTTAATGTCTTTGTAATTTATACAGTACTTTTATTCTGCAAGTCACTTTGAGACACCTTAGTGCAAAAATGTAACTAATAAACAACAACAGGGATACATTACCACTTTGTAAGAGGCAGGTGCTTTAGAGAGAAGGCTGTCTGCCTGTTGCTGATTGGCTGGAAGCTGCAAGCTCCGCCTCTTCTCCTTCATAGAACCACTTTGGTGGCGCTTCATGCGATCAATCTGCTCCTCTACGCTCATCTTTGCCTTCATTTCATTCGAAAATACTGCACTCTTTGGCCTGTCCTGGGGAGACACACACACAGCAGCCTCGTGGTTATATATAGCGATGGGAAGAAGCTGGTTTATCTTGAGTAGGAAAATGCCCTGCTCAAAAAGCTCCCCTGAATTTCCCAATGTTACTATTCATAGAGCTATACATAACCTTTTTGGTTTCTGTTGTGAGGAGAAGAAGGGGCTCACTTGAGACATCAGGAGAGAAATACGCAAACATAGAAAGCTGCCTTATGCAGAGTCAAGCCATTGGTCCATGCCTGCATACACACCATAAGCTTGCAGAACATGACTTCCCACAAAGGATCCTGGGAACTGTAGTATCTTATGGGTGCTGGGAATAGTGGCGCTGTGAGGGGTCTACAACACCCAGAGTTGTTTGGAGGAAGCAATGTGATTTAAATGTATGGTGCATATTCAACCCTAGCTGAATATTATCTATACATTAATTGGCAGTGACTCTCCAGGATTTCATACAGGGATCTCTCTCCATCCTACCTGGAGATGCTGGGGATTGAATCAGCAATGCTGTACCACCCAGCTATTATGGCCCTTCAAGATGGAGAGCCAAGGGATGGACGGCCACTAGGCAAAACAGTTTGGGGGAGACAGGACGGGCAAAGTGAGTCTGAGAGATGGTGATTCTGAAAGGGGTGACAGATTTGGGAGGAGAAAAGAGGAAGCAATTTAACAATCCATTGGCTGCGCTCTGCAGCTGCGAGTTTACTGCTGCTTGTGCATTCTTTGGGAACAGAACGGCAGTTACTGAGTGAAAAGAAAGGAAAAAAGACAGATGCTGACCAACTTCAGCACCCTAGGGGAGAGTTTCCAGAGCACTGCAAGAGAAAGTTAAATGCTGGGTAGAGAGGGAACCTTCTTCTCTGAAGCCAAAATGACATGGACAGGAATTGACCAAATATGGGTAACTAGAGGAATGGCACCAAAGACAAGAAAAGTGGAAATTTGTCCAAAAACCTGCTCCGACCATAATGCCGTGAAGATGGAGATGAAACTAACACCAACTGGCTCTTTCAGATGGAGGATGAATGACACCTTATTTAGAGACGAAGAAGTGACTAAGAAGGCCCAAAAAACCTTGAGAGACTATTTCGAGACAAACATGAACACTAATGTTGAAAAAGAGTAATCTGGGACGCAAGCAAAGCAGTTATGAGAGGGTTCTTGATACAACAGAATGCAATAAAGAAGAGAATCCAAAATGAGAAGAAAGATAAAATTTTGGAGAAAATAAAGGAAAGTGAGAAGAAATTGAGAGCAAAACCAAAGTCGCAAGAGTTCTTGAGAGAAATAAAGTTATATCAAGTACAATATATGAAAATGATGAATCAGGAAATAGAATGGAAAATTAAACAAATGAGACAAAAGACATTTGAGTCGGCTAATAAATGTGGAAAATTGTTGGCCTGGCAAATGAAAAAAAGACAAAAACTAAACACTATTATAAATCTAGAAGTGGAAGGAAAGAACATACAGAACCCAGTCGAGATTAGAAACTGTTTCCAGAGGTACTTTAAACAATTATATACACAAGGGCCACAGAAAGAAATTGATATAGATCGATTTTTGAAAATAAATGGATTACAAAAAATCTCTCAAGAAAATAAATTAATGTTGAATTATAAAATAACTGAACAGGAGGTAGAAGGTGCCATTCAGAATATGCAATTAGGTAAATCTCCAGGACCGGATGGATTGACTTCTAGATACTCCAGATCTTTAAAAGAATGGTTGGTACAACCTTTAAAGGAAGTCTGTAATGAAATATTGGATGGGAAAAGGGCACCAGAGTCGTGGAAGGAAGCGTATATCACACTTATACCGAAAACAGAGACTGAAAAGACGCAACTCAAGAACTACCGCCCCATATCACTGCTCAATGTGGATTATAAAATCTTTGCAGATATTTTGGCTAAAAGACTAAAAAAAGTGCTAGTGGAAGAGATTCATAAAGACCAAGCATGCTTTCTCCCGGGTAGACACTTGTCTGATAATATGAGAAATATAATTAATATTTTAGAAAAATTACAAGTGAATATTAATACCAAGGCAGTTTTGATATTTGTGGACGCGGAGAAAGCTTTTGACAACATTTCTTGGAGTTTTATGAAGAAGAACCTACAGGGGATGGGGGTAGGTCAAGGCTTTGGAAATGGTATAAGTGCAATTTATTCAGAACAAAAGACTAAATTAATTGTCAATAACGTGGTGACGGAGGAATTCAAGATAGAAAAAGGGACACGACAAGGTTGCCCAATCTCCCCATTGCTTTTTATATTGGTCCTGGAGGTCCTGTTGAATATGATTAGAAGGGACCAATTGGTTAAAGGTATACAAGTCAGAGCTAAAGAGTACAAATTGAGAGCATTTGCAGATGACTTAGTATTGACATTACAGGAGCCAGAATCTAGTACTAAAAGAGTTTTGGAACTGATTCAAGAATTTGGTCAGGTTGCAGGATTTAAACTGAATAAGTTAAAAACAAAGGTCTTAGAGAAAAATTTAAGAGAGGTTTCAGAATGAGACAGGTTTAACAGTGGTTAAGAAAGTGAAATACCTGGGGATTAACATGACAACTAAAAATGGGAATTTATTTAAAGACAATTATGAAAAATGCTGGACTGAAGTGAAAAAAGATTTAGAAATTTGGTCAAATTTGAAACTTTCACTGCTAGGCCGTATTGCTGCGATAAAAATGAATGTATTGCCTAGAATGTTGTTTTTGTTTCAAACATTGCAAATTTTGGACAAAATGGATTGCTTCAAGAAGTGGCAGAGAGATATTTCTAGATTTGTCTGGCAGGGCAAGAAGCCAAGAATAAAATTTAAAATACTAACGGACGCAAAGGAAAGAGGTGGATTTGCCCTGCCAGACCTTAAACTTTATTATGAATCAGCAGCTTTTTGCTGGCTGAAAGAGTGGCTACTTCTTGAAAACACAGACATTTTGGATTTAGAAGGTTTTAATAATGTATTTGGATGGCATGCATATCTGTGGTATGATAAGGTCAAAGCACATAAAGCATTTAAAAATCATATTGTCAGGAAAGCATTGTTTAATGTCTGGATAAGATACAAGGACCTACTTGAAAATAAAACCCCAAGGTGGTTGTCACCAATGGAAGCGAAGGCTCTGTAAAAGCTCAATATGGAGGCCAAATGGCCGAAATATTGGGAAATTTTGGAACAAGAGGGAGATAAATTGAAACTGCAGAGTTTTGAAAAACTAAAAAATAAAGTGCGAGATTGGCTTCATTATTATCAGATAATGGAGGCATATAATTTGGATAAGAAAATTGGCTTCCAGGTGGAAAAATCAAAATTGGAAACAGAACTGTTAGATTCCAAAACCAAGATTTTGTCAAAGATGTATAACTTGCTGTTGAAATGGAACACTCAGGATGAAACGGTTAAATCTGCTATGATTAAATGGGCACAAGATGTTGGACATAACATAATGATGGCTGACTGGGAACAGTTATGGACCACAGGTATGAAGTTCAAGGCAATGCCTTAAGAGAGAATATTATGAAAATGATTTACAGGTGGTACATGACACCAGTCAAGCTTGCAAAAATCTATCATTTGCCAGATAATAAATGTTGGAAATGTAAAGAAACTGAAGGTACATTCTTTCACCTTTGGTGGACGTGCCCAAGGATTAAGGCTTTCTGGGAGATGATCTATAATGAAATGAAAAAGGTATTTAAATATACCTTCCTGAAGAAACCAGAGGCCTTTCTCCTGGGCATAGTCGGCCAATTGGTGCCAAAGAGGGACAGAACTTTCTTTATGTATGCCACAACAGCAGCAAGAATTCTTATTGCAAAGTACTGGAAGACACAAGATTTACACACTCTGGAAGAATGGCAGATGAAGGTGATGGACTATATGGAACTGGCGGAAATGACGGGCAGAATCCGACACCAGGGAGAAGAGTTGGTGGAAGAAGATTGGAAGAAATTTAAAGACTATCTACAGAAATACTGCAAAATTAATGAATGTTAGAATGATGTTGGATTGAAGTTAAATGGTTTCTAGCAGAATGTTATAAAGGAATATGTAAAAATGGATTGTTAACAGGTGATAATCTAAAGTTACAATATATTAAGATAAAAGATTAAGATAGAATCAAAGAGGGAAAGGATTTGCTGAATTAACTAATTTGAACTGGAATACAAAAAAGGGAGGTGTGAGGAGGTCGGGGAAACAAGCAAATGAAAGATAAGATATGGAAAGACTAATCTGTTTTTTAACTGTTTTTATTTTGTATTTTGTATTTTCATTTTCTATTTTCTTTCTTTCTTTTTTCGCTTATTTTTGTAATATGTTGAAACTTTAATAAATATCTTATAAAAAAAAAAAGAGAAAGTTAAATGCTAATCTAGTTAAGCCCCAGTGCTCTTTCCTGGCAACACTATCTTCGGAATAAAAGAGGAGAGTTGGTGTAATTCAGTGGCCAAGGGCAGAAGGGCTGTGGCTCAGTGGTGCAGAATCTGCTTTCTCTCTGCCCTCTAGCCCTTATTTGCAATAAGGGGGATCATAGCAACACTGACCTACCTCATAGGGTTGTCGTAAAGATGGTAGGAATTGTGTATACAAACTCCTTTCAATGTTCAAAAAGCAATACCGTAGAACTTTGATTGTCAAACGCTTCGGAAGTCAAACGTTTCAGCTTTTGAATGCCAACAACCTGGAAGCGAATGCTTCCGTTTTCAAACATGCCTCGGAAGTCGAATGGCTTCTGAGGCATGTTTCTCCATTTTTTCAATGGATTTTGCTAATCAGCAATTGTGCCTCAGTTGTCGAATGTTTTGGAAGTCTAACGGTCTTCCGGAACTGATTACGTTCAACAACCAAGGTTCCACTGTATATCCTTGACTGGTATTCCTCCCCTCTGAATATTAAAGTTCTCTTGCCATCTATGCAGAGGAGGGGTGCCTTGCTTTGTGGGCTCGGTGCCCAATGCTGCATGCCCACTGGCTCTGCTTCTGCCCTCTTTGCATTAGGCAAGCTTCTGAGGTAGACGCCAGCTGTGCTTGCAAAGTCTCCTCCTCACAATCAGAAGACCTGTGTGATCATACAGAGGAACGGACACAATGACATCTAGCTTACCTTTAGAGCTTTGCTCATAGTGCAGAGGTGGGGCAGGTAGATCTTTTCCAGCCTCTGGGGTCCATTTTGTGTTGGTTTTTAAAAAACATATGCTTGGTTGTTCTTGTGCTGCTTTTTAAAATTATTCTAGCTGCTTTTAAGGATATGTCAGTAAATTGTCTTGGGACATATATGTGGAAGGCGATTCACAAGTGAATAGATAATACCAATCTTTTTATGAGCTTTTTGCTGCCATTCCCAAACTTTTGCAACTTTTCCAAAACATGAGCAGAGGTGAAAGAGCTGTGATTAGGATCTCCTCTCCAGCTACTAACAGGAACAGCACCAGGACTTGTCTAGTACGTGTCTCTTCCCCCAGGGTGTGTCTATGCGTGTGTGAGTGTTCGAGATTTACATCAAGGAAAAGGCATGGGGTGTGTGGAGAGAAAGGCTAAACACCCTCTCTCAAAATTGCCATGCCCCTTCGAAGCAGCCCCAAGGTGTTCTAACTAGTAAAATGAAACAAAAAAGGAAGGAGACTATAACCTGAGATCTTCTTAAATTCCCCTCCCACCCTCCTGCTCCTTTCCCATCTTAGCAAGCTGCATAACCCTCTCTGTATCGCCTCAATCCCTCTGATGGTAATTATAATTAGGAAAAGATGACAGAATTTGATCTTACCCGGGCATTCAGCCCATTGGCTAAGTTGCTGGCACCCCTCCGCACCACACCTGACATGGGGATGGTGTCGTCATCCATGGGTGATTTGGTCCTTGGGGGAACAATGCCAACTGGGAGAATGCAGAGGAGGGAGAAAGGTGTTTCATCAGCAAGAAGCAAAAAGTCAAGTTTCCGGCAATGGCAATAGGTATGGACAGACATAACCATGTTTTCTTTATTTGGGACACCATAGCCCTTTGATTGCAAGGAGAGATGGCTTCCCACACCCACCCAAAGATTAAAAAACCTACATTATTTTCAGATACCAAGTGGCTGGAACAGCAGGATTTGACAACCACAACTGTCACTGAAAATGCTGCTTCTAAGTATTTTTTATGCCACTTTTCAGTTGCATACAGCTACACACAAGGCAGTTTACAATCAGAACACTGTACACAACAACTAGTTTTATTGAAATTAAACAGAAGTGTAAGAGACTTGTATCTAGAGATCAAGCAAGCCCATAGGCCCATTACATCTTTAATAGTTTTGTAGATATGGAAGTTTGGACAGGTGCAGCTTGTCATATCATAGGACCAGTGGGGTGAGCCAAGCTGCACCTGTCGAAATTCCTTCTTCCAAACAACCGAAGATGCAGGAGCCTTGTCCCACACTGCATCTGGTCATCTCCATGGGAAAGAGCAGAAGAGTGCTAATGGTGTTGACCAGACATCTGTGTCCTTCCAGATTTCAACAGCAGCCTGCACTAGAAATGTACTGCTGTAGTGAAGCTGCTTTTGCATCTATTAACACTAAATTGCCATCATTCCTAAGCCCATCTTAATGGACCATAATGGAAATGGAAGCTTTATTTTTTGAATATACTTCCTCCTTGAGTCCCATTAAAAACAAAAGAGGAGTCTTGCTGGATCAGACCAAAAGTCCACCCACTCTGGCATTCTGCTTGCCACAGTTGACAACCAGATGCCCACAAGGAAGTCCACAAGCAGGCCATAAGGGCAACAATATGGAGCAGATCTATCCATACAATCCATCTGCAAGTCAGGAGAACTACTAAATAAACAGGTTGTCTGGGGGAGTCCTAAACAGTAAGCCAAATCAGATCCCCTCCTAGGATGCACATTGTTTACCAGTACCTTTGTTGAGAGCAACTTGCTTATCAGCATCCGGGTCTTGCCTTGTCTGCAAGAGACCAGCCTCCACAGCAGAATTTGAGGCTGACGTCCGGTGATGGTCCTTCTTGATCTGCTCAAAGCTGGACTTGGACTGTGGGGGCAAATACAATTCCCTGTGAGGAACTGCAAGGGAAGCTGAAGAGAGGTCCTGTCTCCAAACAGCTGCCACTTTCCTTAACTACACAGGATTTCAGACACAGACAAACACACATGCCAAAAATGAACAGAAATGCCCACACAGAAACAGTGAAAGGAAGCAGTAATCAGAAGAAGCACCTTTGCCCCCTGCCCATCATCCAAAAATGACCCCGAGGAGTGTCCAATGCCCAAGAACCAATCAGCTGGAGAAAATGGGGCAAATTCATGCTCAACTCAAATTTGAAGAACCAAAAGCAAATCAAAGGTGTGGTGGTTCAGAGCACACTGTATCCAAAGCACAGACATTTGGGAGCAAAGCTCAGTGGATTTTTTGTACTTCTATCTCAAAATAGTGGTGCTTAACACAGTCCCAGCCTTCCAGAGTCTTTCTTATCTGTGGATAAGATTTCCACTGTTGTTGCTGTTTTGTTCAATTGAAAGGCAAGCCTGTATGAGCCAACAGTCCAAGTAGAAATGGTACCAACAGCTTAGGTACAAGGTTTGTCTCCATCCCATCTACTCCTGTTGCTAGCAGGATGCAGACATTTCGGATATAAGTACTGGTGAATGAAGCCAATTACATAAGCTGCCGTCACCACTCCACTGAATTGGAGACTCAAAACCATACAAGAGCAACAGAGCTTTGGAAAATAATTGTCCCCTTGATCAGAAAATATGCAACAGCTTGAAGAGGTGTTTCCCCACCCCCACCCCTTCCTCTGGGAAAGATGGGCATTTTAATATTGGCAACGAAACCTCCCCAAGTCCCTCTCCTTCTGCTTCATCTCAAGAGCATCTCTGTGGGCAATCTCTGCTATTAACACAGATGACTATCACAGGGGATGAATGCAGGGAAGGGAAAGGACAACAGAAGTAAAACCACAGCGAGGAATGGCAGAATGAGCCAGAGCAGTTGCAACCATTATATTGGTCCCTTCCATCAAACAGCCTTTCTGTCAGCCTGGGCATTTTATGTACATCATAATGAACTCTGTATGTGGGCCTCTGCTACAACATAAACACCCAGAATAAAAGGTATGAGTCTCTGTGCATCTTGTGCTGAACTTCTAGGCAGTAAAATGTTTGAGGGTTCTATTTCAATCTGGTCCAGAGTGAACATTTGACTCACTTCTCTCTTGTATCACAATAGCATCCAATTCTTGATAAGTTCATAGGAATGACTTAATCCTATAATGGCAACTTTATCCATGGTCACCAGTAAGGCATGTTTTAAAACTTAACTTTTGAGGTTAGTTTTATTACTATGAATGGGAGGGAAATGCTTTGGGTTTGGAAAAAAAAAAGTGCCAGACTTTTAGAAAATAAAACAACCACCTTAATTCCTCACTTTAATTCCTTAATTCTTTATATGGCCTTGCCCTAAACTTTGCTGCCGCTATCTGACTTTTGGGACGTGCAAAACCTGTGAAATTCCACTTGGGGAAAAGCAAAGGCAGCTTTGAAGCGAGAGCAGCAGAAGGCTTGGAGGTTTTCTTCCCCCACCTACTTTGCAACTGACCTATAATGGTTGCTTCCCCCCAACCAGCTCTTATGAGATCCCAATGGCATGATATCCCCTCTCAACATGGGAGATGAAAAACCAGCTCAGCAGCTTTAAAACATTTCCACTACCTTCATGGGGTTTAACACGGATCAGATTCTGCTTGGTGGAGATGTGAAACCTTTGCAGATATTAATCCAAGTTTACCTTACAAACTAAGTAGAGAGTTACTCTCTGAGGAACGTGTCATTGTTCATGATATTCTTGTGGACTGATGTGTTTTGTATATCACTTTCCCACTGGGCAAAGAGGCCCACAAGCCACAGGATACTTGGCTATCAGTATAAATATAGGCCACAATAGATTGCAGCCACAGAATTGCAATCTAAGGCTGGAGGCAGACAGTCATTTTTGAGAGAGATGAAGGGAGTCTGACAAAGGCATTGCTTTGCATGTACATTTAATAGTTCTTTTGTCTCATTATTGCCACTGGTCAAAAAGGTTTCACAGGTTTTTGAGTTGTTTCAAAAACCCACAAAACCACTTCACCAAAAGCAAACACCAGTTAAGGAAGCACACCAAGCAGCAATTTCTCTTTCAAGATGGCTTCAGCTCTCTGAAGAAAAGAAAAGAAAAAATATTGTGTGTCTCCAGCCTAAGTCTCTGATTTGAAATCTGTGTCCCACTCTTGCCTTCTGTTCTCATCCATGATTAGGGTATATCACAACCTGCCATTGAGAGGATGTAGCTTCGGACATTCTCAAAAAGGCAAATTGCCCCAAAGGCTGTTTGGCAGATGACATTTTTCATACCTAGGCAAAATCTACACGTAGGAAAAATATCATGTAATGGGCTTCAGGGAGCATAGGTTGCTTGAGAAAGATGACTGGCTCACCATCCGGCTAGGAGCAGCTGGTGGGGAGAGGTGGTAGTGCTGTGGTCCTGGTCTCTGGGCACCAGTCCCATTACCATGTACCAGGATGGTGAAAGGGTTGGGCAGTGTGGGTTCACCAGCACTGCACTGCCTAACCCTAGCCCTGCACTGTTGCAGGACACAACAATGACACAGCATGGCTCCTCCCCACAAGCTGCTCCCGCACCTGGCTCCACATCCCTCCCCAGTTCCAGGTGAGTGTGGCAAAGGATAGAGCATGCCTCCAGCTCTCAAACTCCATTTTGATACCTGTCCCCTCTTCGCCTCGCTGCTTTGCTGCCAGGAAGGGGAGTTAGGATACGGCCAGAGGCGGCTTTCGGTAGGGAGCGGAGGGACAGTCGGAGGAGATTCCAAGGGCACATATGATTTGGGGAGGGGAGGTCGAGGTGGACCGGGCTCCTGAAGTGGAGAGGAAGCCGAGAAGTGTTAGGAGTAAGAGCAGAGAAACTGTGAAAAGGGGAAGGAAAAGAGAATTAGTGAGACAAAGACTCCAACAGAGACAGGTGTTACACCCAGGACAGGGCACAGCTGCAACCGAGCACCCAGGAGCCCCGACGCCAAATGGCCGGCCTCTCTCTTCATGCTGGGCAACCCAACATCAAGCCACGCAAGCCTGGGATGAGCCTGGTGTTACTGGACCAAAGGCGCAAACTGCGAGGGGATTTTCAGCCGCTTCCAAAATATCTGTCATTTCAAAAAATCAGAATGCATCTCTTTCAAGGCACATTGTCCAAAATGCAGATATTTTATGATCCTTGCAGTCTGCTGCTTGCCCCACAATGTGAACTTATATCTATAGACACAACTGCTGTAGGTTTGAATGACCCAATGGTGATTGCATACGTGCTGAAATCCCAAGGTTTCGGGAACACAGAAAATGATACCCCCCAAAACATGCATGGGGGTGGAACATGAGTGGGTCTGGGGTTGATGGTTGATTTGGGGCAGAAATTTAGGTTCAATGACAGATGGAGCCAGAGTGACCAAAAAATAAAGATGCCCATCCATCGGCCATTTCCCTCATTGCATTTGGTCATTTGTACAAGTTGGAATACGATATGCCAGTATCTGCAATGCCTTTTATAGGCATGGAAGTAGCATAGGAAGTACCATATATAATTGTCCAATGCCTTTTGGCCCAATCTATTGGATCAGACTTCTATTTAGGCAGAGGTAGCAGTAAAAGAAGTTGCTAATCTCCCACCAACTCATAACTACTGAAACTGAATCATTCCAAAGTTTTAGGGTGCTTGAAGTATCCCAGCCTAAGGTGCATGTCAGCTGCTGTCATATCTGAGCACCTTGCCATTTTTCTGTGCATCACGTGTAGACCAATTCACATTGCATCCTAAGGCAGCTATCTCTACATGGAGAGCTGCTTGTGTAGCAGCTTTTCTCTATGCTATCAATCTTTAAAATAGTTGCTGATGTGGCATTGAGATGAATGGCTCACAAAGGCTGTGCCCACATTATTTCCCCCCACCCAAAAACACACACACAATAGGAGCAATTTCACCAGGAAAATATAATGCTGCTCTATACCGAATCAGACCGTCGGTCATTCTAGCTCAATATTGGTAGCAGCTTTCGAGGGTTTCAGACAGGAGTTCTTGCCAGCCCTTCCTGGTGACGCCAGGGCTTGAACCTGGGACTTTGTGAATGCCAAGCAGATTCTCTATCAATGAGCTATAGCCCTTGCCTAATGCTCTGCAATGATACCAGCAATGATTCAGGATTAGTAACTCGATAAGTGAGCAGACATAATGGAAGAAGGGAGGGAGTCTTGTTGCAGAGTAAAAAGCCTTCAAATAATTATCCTAATTACTCATTGCCGCAGTTTCCCAAATAAAAGCCAGCGGAGCAGTGAAAGTGGCTATATCATCTATCACATAATTCAGTCTACTTGAGGGGTTGTCTTACCCCTATGTGTCCACCTGACTGCTTTGATCTGCATAAAGGCCACTTTTATAAGTGTCACATAACAGGTATTTTGCTCTTGCAAAGAACTGGTCCTTTAGAGCGGCAGTGCCTACTTTCTGCAGTGGGCAAGAATGCCTGTGGTACTGTATTCAGCACCAGCTTAAACCTTTTTTTGTTTAGGCAAGTCTGCCTCGACGTGTGCACACTGCATTGTGCACATTTGTTTCAACACTACTGATTTTATCTATATTTTGATCTATTTTACGTCAGTTAGTTTTACAGTTTGGTTTTAGTAGTATTTTCTTATGTATATTTTAAATTGTGTTATGTAAACAGCTTAGAGATTTTTGTTGATTAAGCAATATACAAATCCTGTTAAATAAATAAGTATAGTGATCAGCTTTGGGTCTTTTGATTCTAAAGGATTTTTTTAAAAAAAGGTGAGCACAAGCACAAATTGTGTTAAATTTTAATGGGTGCTGCAGGTGATTGGCCTGCTGTATCAGAGTGCCAGTTACCTGGAATCTATACTTCAAGTTGCCAATCCCTTTGCTGAATACTTATAGTATTGAAACTAGAAGGATCAACACAGCTACAGGAATATCAAATGAGTAAGGTTAGCGCTACCCTGCTCTACCAACCTTTTCTTTATCTCCCCTCCTATTGCATATCTTGGTTTAGAACTACTATTCCAACTGGGAGCAGGGGGACTGGAAGTCTGGAAGCACCCAGAGTTTCAAGGTGTTTAAGCCAATATTACGATCTTTAAATGGTTGGGCCGATTGCCAGGGCCCCTTCGATTTTCCTCTGAAAAAAATGTATTGCAGCCCCCATCACCCATGCCAGAGCAAGGCCTGGGTTGCCACCTACTGGTGGAACGATAATCCTGAAAACAGAAGTGTTACGAGAGCATCTTGGCCACGACTGGGAACACTTCCCCCTCTCCCATTTTGCTGCATCTTCATTCAGGCTGCCCTGGGCAATGATAAATTTGCTCACCTCGTTGCTGCCTTGCTTAGTAGGGGAGCTCTGGGATCCCGACACAAGAGAGAAAGGGCTCAGGGGACTGGTGAGGCTGGCTGAGCTCAAAGGGCTGGCTGGGCTGTTGGAGCTGTAGGTTCCTGATGGGCCAAGGGATACTGCGGAAAAATAAGACGGAAAAGGTAAGCCATTCATGCAAACCAACTGATGGATGGATCAGCAGGAAAGGGACCACCTAGAGAGGCCAACGGAAAGTGTGTGTGGGGTGGAGGGAGGAACTGAACCTTCCTTGACAGATCTGAAAACAAAGGAAAGTACCCTTTAAAAAGTTATGATGGTATTGGTCCTGATATAGGTCTTGTGCCAACTCCAGACTGATGCAGAGACTGTTCTGCCCTCCTGCACCTATGTCCTGGTTGTCATGCTGTGGGCAAATGGACTGGTGTGGTTTATGGCACAGGGAGCTGTAGGGTCCCTTCCAACTTTATGATTCTACAAAACTCTTCCTGATGCACAGCCAATTACACAGCAATCTACCATTAGTTCCTGATCTATCTTCTGCTTACCCCTGGTCTAAACGACAGTGCCACTCTTCAAATAGATTGCGATAAATGACACTCCTATCCTGGTAGCAAAACATTTCCAGGTGGCATATAGCAAATTTTGGGTGTACGCATTGTGGAAGGAGGGACAGATATTGAGATAACAAGCCAATACTTCTGCCTGCGACACCAAAGAGCCTGCAAATGAAAGGCGTTGCACTTACCCCTATGCTTTGCTGTGTCTGTGCCCCGAGATGGGTTGTTCTTCCTCAGCCCCTCCATCACATCCTGGATCCGCCAGATCTCCTTCTGGATTTGCCGGTTGAGCATTTCATTCTGAAAGGGCCAAAGCACCCAAAATAATAGTAAGTAAACTAGCACTGCTTCCTGAACTTGATCCCGGGGGGGGGGGGGGGGGGGTAGCTTATCAGTAGAGCATCTGCTTTGCATGCAAGAAGGTCCCAAATTCAATCCTTGCAGTCTTCAGGTTGGGCTGGGGACTACCCCTGTCTGAAAACCTGGATTGCTGCTTCCAGTCACTGCAAGCAACTCCGAGGTAGCTGGAGCCATGATCTGTCTTAGTACAAGGCAGTTTCCTATGTTTCTATTTCTTTTAGGTAAAAACTGTGCGTTCCCCTTTATATAAGAGGTGGCTAACCTTATGTTGTTGGACTAGAACTCCCATCATCCCTAACCACTGGCTATGCTGTCTGGGGCTGATGAGTCCTGGAGTCCAACAACCAGGGGCAAATCTACTATGAGACGAATGAAACTTAGGCTTCAGGGCCCCTAATCCCAGAAGGGCCCCAGAAGCAATTTAATCCACATTGCTTAAAATTTGTGAGCCACATTGATCTGAGTCAAATTGATTACTTTTTTGTTGTATATATTTCCCCCCAGATTTAGGTCCACCACTGCCAACGACAGGAGGAGGGCCACAGATTAGCTATCCCTGATTGACACTTCTCCGTATACAGCTAGAACTCTGCAATGGGAAAAGCAGCTGGAGGAAGGGGGATTTAAGTACCCACTCAATTTCTCTTGGCAAAAATTGCCACTTTTACAAGCTTCCGTAATCCCAAAGAGATCTTTTTCTCCAAGCTTAGCCTAGCTTCTGCAGAAGGCACACTTTGCTATGGCAACCCTGGGCAACTGCTCCTCTTATCAAGGAAGCCGATGAGCAGCCTATAATCAGAAGTTTGTACAGTTTCAAACAAGAGTGCAAATTGAAAAATCACTGTGAAGAAACAAGCTATCAGAACACTGATATAATCATCCAGGCAGTTGTGAATGTTTATATCTGAGTTCGAAGAGCGCTCCAAGACCTGGCCCCCTAATTGTCCCTGATTGCAGAACTGCATAGAGAACTATAACATGTGAAGCAGCAATAATGCACTACATATATTCTGCTCTGGGTTCTACAAGTGCAGCAACACTTTTTGGAACAGCTGCAATCACAGCAGAGTGTATCCATGTAGCTCCAGTTCACTGCCTGCTCACACATTACATTTCCCCAGGCCCAGGGACAACTGAGATGCAGAAAAAGAAAGCAGCCAGCTGGCATGCAAGGATCAGCCCAGAGTGCTTTAGAAATCAGTTGTGAGGTTTATGAAAACAATGCAACTGGCCCAGAATCCCTATTTCCCACCCCTTAAAAAATTGGGATGTTGCTTAGCATCCCAGGGACAGAAGTTACATACTGAAGACTCTTGTCTTAGTGATTCTGTGAGTGCAAAAACCGGTTCAAAATGTTGATTGTTGGAAACTGCTGCTTTCTTTTTTCCTTCTTAAAGCAAACAAGTTTCAAGCTCAGGATATGGAAATGGCTCAGACCTATGCATTTGCATGTACAACCAGCATCAGTGCTGAGAGTGCATGTCTCGCAAGAATACCTTGCCACTCCACCATGTGTTTCTAGTCTCATATATTCACCTGCCTATATCTGTTTTCCTGCCATATCGCAATTTCTGCCCCAGTACGACAAATTTTCCATAAACTCACAGACTCAAGTAGTAAAGTTTGAGCAAACTACACTAAAGTGCTACGATTGTGCAAGTAGTTTTAAAAACAGTGTTTGCGGTCCTTCCCCTTTTTAGCACAGCACAGTCCATAACACAGAGGATACACACAGGCATTTTTTTGCTTTCCTGTTCCACTTTTCATGAGAATCTGTGCAGATGTAGCTTTTGCACACACCTGGGAGATGTCCTGCTCACCCAACTCTCAGCCATAAATATTCTGATCTTATTATTCCATTGAAGCACAGAGATTACAGTTCAAATCAGGATGATGAATCGGATCAGATTGGAAATGTGTGCGCGGATAAACCAGAAACGAAATGGTTACCGCAGGAGTTTAAAACCCATTGTAATTACGCAGTGAACAAGGCTGCATACAAGCACAGGCTTATCACTTAAAACATGAGAACAGGCAGAGCACATCATCCTTCCAGCTAAAGCACAGACATCGCCTGCTCTTTCTACCATTACAATCAATTAGTTCCATCAGGAGCTAGCAGAGCTCCTGCTTTCCCTTTGAAAGAACCACTCACAAACATCCTGGCCTGGATATTTATGCCACTTTGGAACAGATGCTGGATGTTCTCCAGCTGTGGAGGGCTGCAGACTCCAGGACTGCAAGCAGGGCATACTGCGAGAGCCACCCCCTGCTCTATCAGAACATCTCTCCCTCCCTCTGGAGCTGTTCCAGAATTAATTACTCTCAGGCAGGACACAAACAGCAATAAATTGCTAGGCACACAACAGACCCTCTTCAATGAAGAGTGATCTGTTTTATAACACTCTGGGATGCGAACTTCTGGAATAAATGAAGTGAAAGAAGTGATTTCATGCTATGATTACGTTTTAGTGTTTTAATATGGTTAGTTGTAACTTACTTGTTCAAACCTGCTTTGAGTTCTTTTTTCGTGGGTGGGGGGGGAAGGATGCAGGATATAATTTAGGGGAGGATGGAAGGAGTGTGTGTGGGTGGCGGAACAGTCACAGGCGATCCAGTAATGGATTCCTCCACCATCTTGTCTAGTTTGCCCTTAACCTTGCAATCGCAAGCATTTTTTAGAAGTCTCACTAAACTAAATGGGACTTACTTCAGAGTATATGGGATCCTTAAAAGTGGGTCATCCGCCAAAGGAAATGGTGAACAGTCCTTACCTGCCTGTTGTACTTCAGATACGCATGTGGCTAGCTGCAGATCATGGAGAAGACTTCTAGCCTAGCTGTCTGCTCTAGTGGAATTACTAATTTTGCACGTGGAAGGAAATTTTGATGCATACATAAGTTTCAAACAAGCCATTTCCTCTGCGCATACCTGTGTGCAGCCTGTACCACATGCTCAACTCAGTGTTTGAATTCACCCTGATGGTGGCATCTTCCACACATGATTCTGTGGTGATGCTTCCTAGGGTCAAGGCAAGCATCCTCTTCCCCAAAGTACTCCTGCAATTAAGTGAACTCTGGCCACATCTGCCAGAGCAGGAACACTGAACCCTTTGCTTTTTAGACAAGGACCAATAGAAGGCCTGTCGACTCAACTCCCACATTCCTCACACCATTTGAGTGTGTGCTGGGGGATGACAACAGAGGGTTAAGAGCTGTTTGTTTCCACTTCCGCACCTTTGCAAATAAATACTAAGAACAGAAGGTTTTCTATTTGCACTGAACGCGCGTACACAGAGAGACAGAGTTTCACAGAAATCTGGTAGGTGCTTAAATGTGTGGAGTCTGGAGACTAAGCGGACCTCAGAGCAAGGAAGGAAAACAATGCCTTCATTCAGTGTGGCAGCGAGAAGGTCAAGTGTCGTTTACATCGGAAGGGAAGCAAGGATTAGACATCATTACTCTATCTGGTGTCAATGACACGGACAACATCAGCAAGCCAACCTCTGTGCCTGCTTTCTGCTTCAGCGTCTCCCATATCTCACCATCTGCCTTTTCAGAATGACAGCAGAGGGACTTGCATAGCAAGAGGGGTGGGAAGCTGGATTGGGCAACATTGGCCCCCTGTTTACAAGGCTTCTAAGGATAATTAAGCACTACTGTGAAGCTGCTTCTGGCAGGTCATCAGTGAGATGCATCCCAGCACCAGCAATTTTCTTTCCAGCTAATTCCAAACAAAGAGGTAATGGAGCCCATGGAACTGAAGAACAGACTACAACCCCATCATATGTCTATGTAATTTCTTGGCTGCTTTAAAATGCGGAATTACAGAAGAAAGGGTCAGAGATGCCTAGCAGAAGTTGCATAAATCCAGAGTTGGTAGGGTATAGTTAAGAAGATGGACCCTAGTTTGGGGAAATATAAGGCTCTACGTTAGGAAAACCCAATCAAAAATCTCCCAAAGCAAACACTGGGAGCAATGACAACTAAATACAAATGTGGGGCTTCTGTATTAACAAGAGATCGAAATTGTCTGCACTGGAGTCTCTCTTAACATATTTCCACATAGGACTTGCACACCAGTAGTTATATGAAAGTTTGCACATGGGTCCATTAAATACCACATGCCAGCTCTTCACATAATTGTTTTGTGCATGCATAATAGGTGTGACTGGTCATGGCAGTAGTGCACAGTATTTTAGGTGCACATACATGCATAACGCTTAAAATCTGGCTCTGATGTTTTTACTTGCATCTAGGAATAGCAGCCCAGTCCAATAGTCCAATAGTATTTCTTAAGGATGGATGTGTGAGAATGATGGCTTAATTATATGAAATGATAACTGTACAGTGGTACCTCGGTTTACGAACTTAATCCGTTCCGGAAGTCCGTTCTTAAACCGAAACCATTCTTAAACCGAGGCACGCTTTCCCTAATGAGGCCTCCCGCCGCCGGTGCTCTTCCACCATTTGGATTCCGTTCTCAGACCGAGGTAAAGTTTGCAAACTGGGACATTACTTCCATGTTTAACAGAGTTTGTAAACCAAATCATTCTTAAACAGGACTGTTCTTAAACTGAGGTACCACTGAACTGAATATTCCACTGAACCACTGAACAAAAGAATATTTTATTCTTTTGTTTACAACTTTATAAGAAGAGAACCATGATCAAATCTGTCTATCAACAAATGCTTAGACATCCCCACAGGTCTGTGCTCAGTTTTGCTCTGGATTCTCTAGCATTTTCCTTAAACGCAGGTGGTCTGGAGTTTTCGTTCTCTCACCTGGATGTCCAAGTTCAGTTGTTCCCACAGGTCATCATGCAAGGCTGACACCTCACCCTCCAGGTTCTCATATTCTATGGTGCTGTTGGCCAAAGCCTGTGGGGATTTGCAAACAGTCCCATCAAGATACCAACACACTCACTTGCAATCTCCTCTCCATGTCCCTGGAGTGCAGAGGTACTAAGTAATATTAAAAACGCTAACTAACTACCGAGCCATCCATTTGGATGCCAGCCCAGCCTGGCTGTGCACCACAGTACAGAGTAAATCTTCACCTAGGAGGCGATAGCTGCATTGGTAGAAACTGTTGTCTTCCAAATAGCTTCTTTGGAGGACAAAGATCACCCTTGTATGCTTCCCATGCTAGCATTTAATTGCTGCATTCTGGAAGACACAAACTGGCATGATATTTGTGCGCTGGGGGAAGCTAATGGACGTACAATGAGAACAGAAAAGAGGATTTCACTCAAAGTGAAATGAACAGGAGGTTTTCCCCAGTTCTCCCCATGTGTTTTGCACAGAGCAAACTCACAGCATGCACTCATGAACCAGAGGGGTTCAATTTGGGTGCTATTGCACCTTCTCATTGGGCTGAAAGAAGCTTTCTTCTCTCTCACTCTCTCTTCCTTTTTTTTTAAATAAGAGAAAAAGGAAATGAAACAGAGAGACAAAAGAAAGATTTATTGTGCAATGCCAAGCCCACAAAGCATTCCTCTCTTCATCCCCAGGTTTCCCCTGACACATGCAGCACCAGCGTTGGCAATGCAACAAGAGCAGGCAGCCCATGCAGGCTCAGCTCAGCTGGAGACACAGGCTCCACTGATGCAGCTCGTGCTGCTGCAGAAGCATTAAATACTGTAGGGCAAAGCCCATGTAGAGCCAGAAGAGAGGGCAGCCTTTGCACTATTCTGCCATGCAGGCTGCACACAAACCATAGGCTGGGCTGTGCTCTCTGCTCCATTTAACAGCAAGCTTATTGGGCACAGCTGAGCATGGTAGTGGCAGTGCATGTTTGGATGGGTCAAATATACTTGATCAACAGGGACCAAGTATGTATTTTCCCTCCACCACCTCCACCACCATTGTTCTTGATCCCTGAAGGCTCCTGAGTGTCTGGGATTTCTGCAAAAATAAACAGGGCATTTTCTTTATTACCGTGCTGGCTTGGGACAGCTCCACCCGAATATTGATCAACTGGTTCTGGAGGGATTCCTTCTTGTGCAGCAGTTTTTCGGGGTAGGCTGGTTGGCTCCCAAACATCTCTAGCTCCTGGTGTGTCCCCATCAATGCACTCTCCAGACTTTCCTAAGTGAAGAGAAGAGTAAGGAATTTTTTTTTTTAAGCTGATGGTTAGGAAGCAATCTGGAACTCAGCAGACTAGGGTATAGTTAAAATTCTTTTTCTGGCCTGGGGCATTCAGCCTTTCTGGGTCTTATTTCTAAAACCATCACTTGTTCTGTAGGACAAAGCATTATTGCAACTGAACTGGGTTGAAGGCTATAAAGTTCAGGTGCAGGCTGAGTTGGACTTGCTCATCTGCCTGAATATCTAGACATGCCTTCTTCCACAGCATTCAGAGATGTAGGTCACTTGGTCACTCCCCCCCCCCCAATAACCTCCACCACACATACATACTGGTGTTGCATGAAGACATTTTCCTGAAATTTCTTTCTGCCTGTGCAATAGGACTTCCTCTCCCACTTCTCTCCTCATGTGCCTGCCCCCAGACCTGCTCTGCAGGGTTGGGGGGAAAGCAGATTTGGGGAGGCACACAGGAAGAAGAGAGGTACAGCAGAAGTCCTTGTACCAACGGGATGACTTTGTTGGATACAGCCCTCTATGAGCAATACTCCTGCTACAAAGGCCACTTTTAGCATCTCTGCCTCCTATTTTGGGGAAACTGGAAACATTTGCCACAAAAATAACAACCTCTTGATGATGCCCACAGCCTAGCAAATGCAATAAGGTTCCAGCCTCAAAAAGCCTCTGGAAAGTTGGCCAAAAATCAGAAAGCAGCTTGCCTATGGCATTAAGTGTGCTATGATACACGCCCCTTACCTTCTCTGCACGAAGTTGCTGCACCAGCCTCTCCTGTTCCCTCATCACCTTGTTTTGCTCACAGAGCTTTCCCAGGAGCTTCTTTCATGGAGGACACAGAGAAAAGAAAGGCGAAATATAAGATTCATAGCAGAGTCTGGGGTGGGGAAGTGAATGTAGCCCTCTAAGTCTCTCTTGGACTCTTCCCAGGTCACATCCCCTCCTCAGCCACATCCCTTCTGGCCCTGCCTTGCACTCTTCTTGGGTGTCCACCCCCCCCCCCCAATAATGTGTCATTGCACACTGATAAAGATTATTGCAAGTGGAAAAAGATGCAAGTGTGTAGGAACTAGCCTGCTGTCCAAATATGTGGATTCATTGCTCCACCCACCCTTTGCCTTTGTTCTCACCCAGCACTGGCATGTGTCCCCCATAAGGTTGCTCAGGAGCAAAAGTGGCCCTCCAGCTGGATAAAGGTCCTCCACCCTGGTTCACATGGTAGAAGGCATTCATCTGCTTTGAACAGATCTCAACCTGGCCTCCGGGTATTAGAGCCTCGGTTGCTGGGGCTACACAATCCGAGCAGGGCAGACTCACAAACAATGATGCCAGCATGAAAACACAAACCCAGAGTACAATGGATGAGGATGGGGCAGGAAAAGCGACAGCCCAGGATTGGTGAACGATGGCGGCCACAAGTGCTTGGGACCTTGCAGCTCCACTAGCAGAATAGATGCCTGTTTAATGATGTCAAGAAAAATGGAGAGGGAAGGCACAGCCTGCAAGGGGTGGAGAATGGAGAGGTGGCAGCGTAAGGAGGGATGGAAGAGGCAGACAGGCAAGAGGGAGGGAGGGAGGGAGGAGGTGCTCTTACATCTGTATCTTGCTCGCTTATCTTGTAGGTGTGCAGCGACTCTCTATAGGCTTCAGGGAAATGAGACACCTGCAAAAACAGGAACAAATCATTCCTGCTCTCTCCGCCTTTGAAGTTGACATGTCATGACAAGCCCCTGGGGAAATCCAAGGCTGCTTCTGCTTAGTGCGTAGGGGTGGGAAGCCCTCCATGTTTTCAGGTCCTGCAGCTCAAGCCCCAACCTTCTTTCACCAAGTCTTTTTTAATTAAGCAACATTTACTGGGTAGAATAACCGAAGGGAAAGGCACACACTGTCTAGCATTTCCATCACTGTGGTCTGGGGGTTTCTGCTTCTCAGTTCTCACGGATCTATCCAGCTTAGACTGCAGACTCCTCACTATCTTTCAAAATCAGCTGTCTTTCATCTCATCAAGGGAGGCAGCTCTTGCATACTATGCAGTGAGAGAATTGCTCTTTTCCTAACTGCATAGACTTGCTCCTTCTCCTATCCCCACAGATGTCAAGTTTATAACAATTATATATATAATGGCAGTTGCTCAGATTATGAGCAAATCAGCTATTCTACTATGCATGCATGTTAGACATGCAACCTCCATTACGTTACAGATCACCAAGCAATTACACATGGCCAGTCATACCATAAACAGCAGCTCACCTTCACAATCGCAGCAACTGCAATTGTGAATAGATTTTAAAATGTGACCTCTCCTCCCCCCGGCCTGCCCGGCACTCATAGAATTCAGGCTGATGATGGGGGAGTTCCCCTAAATGTGATAATTGCTATGGTCCAAAAGTTAGCTGCTCCATGTTATCTACTAACACAAACTTAGTTAATAGATATATGCAGAGCTAGTGTATAGCACACAAGGAAGACCAGAAAGAATTTTTGCTGGGGTTTGTAGGCCTAAAAGCAGTGTTGGCTATCCATGTGCAGTGCAGATCTTTACATGCCACACAGGGGCCAATGTCTAGTATGTTGCTATAACAGGGTGGCTGATGAACAGGTAACCAGAGTCCTGTCCTCAGGAAACAGAGAGGCCAGGATAAGTGGGAGGCTGGATTAAAGAGAAACTTCAAGAAGAGCACGGAAGGATCCTGTATTGTTTTCAACTTGAGACTTTGCATTGATCCAGAATTATAGTCAGACACCACCACCCTCTGGTTTTATTCCCAGTTTATTTCCTGCTTCAAATTTCAAAGCTGCACAAGCCCAGGGTAATAGATTTCACAAGATTAAGCCCTGCAGTGTTGAGATTTGAGGTTCTTCACACAATGTCCAGCTCCCCTGCTTATGAGCAACCACTATTTTACAGACGGGACAACTAATGCAGAGAGAAAGCCAGGTCAAAGGTGGCCATTTTAGAGCATTGGCCTTTGGTGTGAATTCATAAAACCAAAACTCAGCTTTGCATCATTTCCCTCTGGAACAGTGATATATCCAGCAGTACTTACCCAGAAGGGGTGTACGAGTATCACAGGAGGGCACTGGTTAGAATTGATGCAATCCAGCACAGAAGAAAAGCATCACATCAGAACCAGAGTTTTATTATTATCAAGCAAGCTACCATGTTACAATAATACATCAAGAGAAAATAAGTTCTTAACTGCTAGTTGGCAGAACCTGTTCAACAGGAACTCCTCTAACACAGAGAGTGGTGATATGAGAAAAGTCTCTGACGTGAGCATGATGTACCATGCTACAGATGTCACTCTCCATTTAAGTAGCACCTGTAACACTGTTATCACCTTCATTGTCAGGCAAAAGAGCTGTAGCTCAGTGGCAAGGCATGTGCTTCTATATTTTGCCTGCAGAAGGTCCCAGGTTCATATGTGGTATCTCATATAGGACCGGGAAAGATCTTTGTCTGAGGCCCCTTGTGAATCTTGTTGATTCCAGCTGGGATCAAATCTAAATGCTGACTCAAATCCTGCCCTATTTGAAATGTAATGGACAATGTTTTGGATTGCATCGTTTTCCTCAAAAATAATAATTGAGCAATAACTGCTGAGTTCATTAAATCACTAGCCATACCTTTTCCCCTATAAAGTAGGAAGTGGTTGCTGTTTTCTGTGTGTGTGTGTGTAGCTAAAAGCAATGGAAAGATGCCTGTTCAGAATCTAATTTGCCATATGTCACGTGACCATATGGGTGTGTGTGTGTGTGTGTGTGTGAGAGAGAGAGAGAGAGAGAGAGAGAGAGAGAGCGAGAGAGACCTGTGAGAGAGGGAGGGGCTTGGTTTTGCTTTGGCTACACAGCCTGCAAGAAAGTAGAATGGTAATTGTATCTGAGTATCTTCAGTGCCTGATTTTATAATTTTAAGAACATTGTTTTGCCCTTGGTGGTGCTAAAGCTCTGCCCAGTAAGTGACTGCTTTATATTACTTGGCACAATGCTGTAGGGACACAATTTTCCTGAGGAGAGGAATGATAAGACTGAACAGATCCTATGAAACAACAAAGGAAAGCATAGATTTCATGTCAGTTCCAGCTATCCCTTATCTGTGCTAATCACATATTTATATGTACCCTGATAATCAATATGTAAAGACAGCAGAGCTAACTTGAATAAAATATTGGGAGCAGAGGTGGGTAAGCCCCGCCACACTTAATTGATCACCAGGTTTGGCACTCGCACACCACTTGAATGGCAATGCCCATCAACTTGGAGGGGTAGGCAGACCCCTCAAATATTTTATTGGGTAAAAAAATATATTATTGGGTGAGGGGCTGAAGGGACCTTGGTCCCTTGGAGTTGGCTCCTATGTGTAAGAAGTGCAGGCCACTACTCTTCACGAGGCACCGATGTGAAACTGTGTTAGAACGTTCTCTCAGGAGGTGAAAACCACCCCCAGGTGGAGCTGGAGTTAGACAAATTCTAGCTATGTGGCACTTTTCTGTCAGAATATCCTTACTCTCTGGGGCAATTTGGCACAGTGCTGTGAACAAAGCAGGAGATAGGAGGTACAATGTCTCATCAAACATGCCATTCTGTTTTCAAATTCAGGTAATGCAGTGCTGAACCCATCCCCAAACTTAGTCAAAGATCTCATCTAACCAGTGATCATTAGCCTGTTCTGCTACAGTCTGCCTGGACAATACAAAGAGTAGCAAATGCATCAGAAAGTACATTTTGGTGATAAAGGTGACCAAATGATGACTGAAGCTTTAGAGATATAAATGGATGGTGGTTGGCTTGTTGCAACGGCAATGAGATGCAGCTTCTATGATGATATCACCGACTGTATTGCTTAATGGGACAAATGAAGAATCCCAATCCTGCCAGGAAGACAAAGTTTCTGAACACTGATAATCCTGACAATTGAACTGGTCCCAGTGGCGCTCACCACATGGCTCAGAGGCATTATCTTCTCTTGCCAACATGGAGATCCTACAAAAATAGACATGCCTAGCACTTGCTATGGAAGGCTTTGACTGTTATTATTATCATCATCTATTTTATACCCCACCTTTATCCCTGACAGGACTCAAGGTGGCTTACAGGAAAAAAACAAGAATTGCTAAAAGTTAGAGGGGGGGAAACAATCATTAAAAAAACAATTAGATAATTAATAGAATTAAAACTATATACATATATAAACTCTGTTTAAAACATACAAATAATTACAACAAGTGGGTTCCGAAGCTCAACACTGATTTCTGAATTACGGTAAATTCCAAGGCTCGGTACTGATGACCCTTTAATAAAATTAAGCACAGAAGCTGATCATTTTGCTTACCAGTGGACGTTCCCACTGTGGAGGGAGCATCTCCCTAGATCTGATGCACGGATATGTTCCTTGGGTAGGAGCCTAGATAGATCCTATTCTATATCCTAGCATATCCACATAGATTGTTATAGTAAACTATTTTGGGGCAAGGGTGTGGGAAAAGGTAGAGGACTCTCTACCCTTAGCAAGAGATACCAATGCAAACTTAAGTGTCCCACTTCACAAATTCCAATGCACTAAAAACAGGGTTTGCTTCAGCGTCTTGGCTCACATATGCTAATATTAATACCTAACCATTTTCCAGGGGTGCACTAAATTTTGCAAAAGGAATACCAGAAAGGAAAGAGGAAATTTTGTCTTCCCCCACCCCCACAAACCATTGATAGGCTTTTTTCTCCAGCCCCAAAAGCCATGACAAGCAGTTCATAACTGAAAGTTTTAGGTTTTAACCTAAGCCATATATGCATTTATTATCTTATCTACAGAGAACAGAGAGAGAGAAAGGTTGGCATAAGGTGGCACAGAGCTGTTGATGCAGCTGAGATTAAGATCCACAAATGTTGAGGGTCCCATCTGCCTCCAACCTGTGGTTAAGATGTGGATTTTGAGTGACTTAAAATTCGTCAGAGAATTAGGATCACTGTCAGGCAGGGGCACAGGTGCCTTATTGGACTCCATGTATAAATGTCGTTTGTAGAATGAGATGTTGAATGGGCATCTCACAAATGGATGCGGATGTGAGGTGCAGAAGGGTGACACTAGGGAATGGTTCTGCCATGCAAAAGCAGCTGGAATGGCATGGTTGATGGCAGAGCTGCTGTGATGTCTTACTTGCATGTACAGTTGAGCCCTAGGGGAAGAGCTCTCCACCATTCTGTTCACCATACTGATCAAAGTCTCGCTCTCGCTCATCTGCGGCAGACAAGGAAGGAAAAACGTCAAGATGCTAGCGGAGGCACAGCCACTGCAGCTCAGCCTTGAACACGTGTGACCGCTAACATATAAATCTGAAAAGACCTAAGACCTAGACCGGTGCCTCAGAACAGATGTCACACACCCAAAGGAAGTCCATGGGACTGAAAAGCACATCCATGTTCAGAGTGATTACTGGGCTAAACAAGATGTGATGCTAGTTGCATGGCTGCATTTAATGTGCACTTGGTGGATCATGAAGAAACGAAGCCTGAGTACCACTACAGAGGTGCAAGGAGGAAGAATTGAGTCCTCCTCCTCCTTCCCTCATAGTTCCAAACAAAACATGGTTTTGATACACTCTCACAAACACTCATCTAACTACCATTTGCATCTGGAGGAAATCCTCCATGTACTTTTCTGGAGTTGCTCCTTTCCCATGCAAAAGGGCTTGCCAATGAAACGATTTTAAAAAGAAATGATTGGGGCAAAACATCACCCTACAGTTCCCAAAGAGGCATATCACACGGGTGTATCATATATAACACCCTCTGCTTAGCCCATTCACATTACAGGGGAGTAGCAGTGCTGGGGAAATAATGTTTCATCCCAACCCCCCAACCCCTAGGCAATTTCCCTAATCACACACCCATCCAAAGCTGTATTTTGGGACATAATAATAACAGCTTGGCGGGGGGGAGGGATTTAGATCAAAAGTTTAAACACCCCCTCCCTCAGTACTACTGCTCCTACCAAACAGCCACCCACAGATGATTTAAAGGGAGATATTTTATATATAGATCAGGAAATCTGATCATGGATCTCCCATGTCGTATCAGTTTCAGCCTTTAACAATAGGATGATGGATGGGGTGGAGCTGTACTTACAAGATTTACCTTGTTGATACAAAAGGCAGACTTTGAGTGAAGATATGTTTGGGCCTCCCTCTGCCTGCTTTGAAATCCCAGTGAGGCTTAGTCCCGCCAGACATACATACTGCACATTCACGATGATTTGTGCTCCTAAGAGCACAAATGAGAGCCAGTGTGGCATGGTGGTTAAGGTGTTGGACCAGGACCTGGGAGAACAGGGTTCAAATCCCCACCTGGCTATGAAGCTCACTAGGAGACCTTGGGCCAGTTACTGATTCTCAGCCTCATCTACCTTGCAGGGTTGTTGTGAGGATAAAACAAGGAGGAGGAGTACTATATACACCACCTTGAGTTTCTTGGAGGAAAGGTGGGATGCAAATGTAATGAATAAGCAAAATCATAATGATACCAGGGCTGTCCCACTTTCAACACTGTTTGTGCCTGCGGAAGTGTTGTGGCAGTCCACCTGCATCATTTCTGATCAGCGCATATGCTGTAATTTCCCACTGAAATCCTGCGACTTGTTATACAACAAACACCCTGGTTCATTTTCCTCCTGCTTTTGTTGCCCTATAGCTCTTCCAGATAGCAATTAAGTGGTAACAAGGGGCAGCATCAAAGAACAAATGAAAGCAGAATAAATTCATTGCTAATGCACTAGGGACGTGGGTGGCACTGTGGGTTAAACCACAGAGCCTAGGACTTGCCGATCAGAAGGTTGGCGGTTCAAATTCCCACGGCGGGGGTGAGCTCCTGTTGCTCGGTCCCAGCTCCTGCCAACCTAGCAGTTCGAAAGCACGTCAAACTGCAAGTAGATAAATAGGTACCGCTCTGGCGGGAAGGTAAACAACGTTTCTGTGTGCTGCTCTGGTTAGCCAGAAGCGGCTTAGTCATGCTGGCCACATGACCCGGAAGCTGTACGCTGGCTCCCTCGGCCAACAAAGCGAGATGAGCACCACAACCCCAGAGTTGGTCACGACTGGACCTAATGATCAGGGATCCCTTTACCTTTTCATGCACTATTATTGTGTTGAGAACGCTTTGCAGAATGCACCTACGAAAAGACCACCAGCTGGGAGGGGGGCTTACTCAGCAAACAGCTACTTCTGCTTATTAAACAGGAGCACTTTCTTTGATGACCAGAGGCCCCTCCTCTTCTCTCTTCCCCAGACATGCAGGGCTAGTTGAGCCAGTCTCTATAAGCCCCTCTAGCTCCTGGTGGGAATCTGCTTTGCTCCCTTTTTCAGGATTTTAGGACTGGCAGAGGAGGATTCATAGTTTCCTTATTAGGATACACTTGAAGTGGAGGGGTGGGTTTTATCCAATGGAGGCTGGTGCCCATTAGGACTAGACAAGGAGACCAACAGTAGGTGCAGCCAGAGCAACCAGCAGGCAGAGCCAGCTAATTGGTGATGCTCAAGCTAAGGAGGAGGCAGCTGATCCAATGGACCGGCCTTTGCCTGAGATTTTGTCCATGCACAAAATCTCACTGGTTGTCGTATCTGGGCTTGATAATAAATCCCTCCCTCCAGGGCTACTACACATTAGCTAATGATCCAGGGTTTGTTTGGTTTTCGTGCCTTTGTTTGCTTGAATCATCTGGAGCTGTTTGATTTGAAGAGTTCCTTCCACTGTGCATCCCCTTCATGCTCAGAGCACACTGTAGCCTAGGTTACACAGATTGATTCTGGAAGAAGGGGGGAAGAAGCAATGTGTGCCTGGAACTACTGTGTGTGTGTGTGTGTGTGTGTGTGTTCTTGTAATTCCTTCCAACTCCATAAGGTTTTATGGAATGGAGTAATAATAATAAAACAGTTGCTTAAAGAAAAATCCCAAGAGTCAGATGATATTTGGCTGACATACTTCTCCATTAGTCAAGTGAAGCTGATGGTGCTATATCTCTCTCTAAACACACGCACACAAAATGCACTTTCAAACAGAAGGCACCAGGGCATAACAAACAAATAGGGCTCTGATGTTGCATTTCATTGTGCTGTTTTAAATCAGTCTTTCTCTGTGGGTCAGAAGGGGAACAGAAAGAAATGGAAAGCCTTGAAGAACCCTTTTTTATAGGGAGAAAAGCCTACTATCAACAACGGCTGCCCAACCCAGAGCACTTTTAAGTGCCGCCTCCTCCTCAGTGGCTTCAGTCCAACACAGACACAAGCACATCTTCATGATTACTCTACTGATGGGGGATTTACTGACTCCAAAGATGTAATGAGATTGTCTCTGGAGCAGGCTTGCTTATTGAAATGCAGACTTTTTCAGGCCAGCATCAGACATCCATCAGCACTTGCAATGAGATTTCATATATATATATATATATATATATATATATATATATATATATATATCTCCAGCTTAATCTCGTCTACTGATGTTCTCCCAAAAGGGGTTTCTTTCCCTGTTTCTCTAAGGGTAGGTCAGCAAGTGTCCCTTAACATGACAAAATGTGCATGAAAGATTGTTTCAGCTCAAGGCAAAGCTTGTGGGGAAGGCTGTTTGGGTTAGTTGCTTGGTATTTGAATTATCACAGTATACTGAGCTGCTTTATATTCATGGGTTTGTTGCTTTTTAACAAAACCATTATGGTAAAAATGGTTTTATATTATTGATTTCTGCCCCCGCCGCACACATTTCATATGCACACTGAACCATTCTCTCTGGTTAGCACACCTTTACATTCTTAAACATTCTTACACACAAAATACATATATGTTGGATATCTGATGCTTAGTTATTCAATACCTCAGATTAACCATCTGTTTTGTCCCTGTTTTTTAAACATGAAGTACCTGACCTGAATGATTTTATTTTTATTTTTTTTAAAAAACACCCTGGTCTGTTCTTTCCCAAACTGTAACCCAATTTTGACTATCCAAAAGTTGGATAAGGTTAAATGAGTCAGATAGCTGAGTATGTACGCAATGTCATATACCAGATTTCCCCAACCTGCTGCTCTTCAGCTGGTTTGGACTACAACTCCCATTCAGCCCCAGCCAAAACATCTGCAGAGCACAAGGTTGGGAAGGCTCCATATGCAAACTTGATATATTCACAGACCCATACAAATGATCTCATATTCCAACAAGTGAAATTTCACATAAACTCATGGGCTCACTTCCACTCATGGACAAACTATTATCAGTCTCCCAAACTGTTTCATAGGCAAAAGGTAATTATTATATTATTAATTATTTATACCCCGCCCACTCTGGGCGGCTTCCAATCGAATATTAGCATCAGACATTTAAAATTTTCCTAAACAGGGCCACCTTCAGTTGTCTTTTAAAAGTAAAATAGTTGTTTATTGCCTTGACATCTGTTGGGAGGGCGTTCCACAGGGCAGGCGCCACTATCGAGAAGGCCCTCTGCCTGGTTCCCTGTAACCTCAATTCTTGCAGCGAAGGAATCAGCAGAAGGCCCTTGGCACTGGACCTCAGTGTCCAGGCTGGAAGATGGGGGTGGAGACGCTCCCTCAGGTATACAGGACCAAGGCTGTTTAGGGCTTCAAAGGTCATCACCTTTAAAGGTTTCATGTGGACCTTCACTTGCCTTACTCCCAAGGAACCCATGGAATCTGAAAGCACCAGGGTCACATCCTCCCCCCCCCCCCGTCTGTGCCATCTGCACCTTTTCACCTGATCAGCCAGACTCTTGTTGGGAACAGACATGAAGAAAAGATCAGATAGTTTGCCTCCCTCCCCTTCTACCTTCTTTATCTAATCCTATGATCCTGCAACAAGTATGCAGGTAGAAAGCCAGCAGGGATGTTCAGAATGTCATACATGCAACTATGTGCATGTTGGACAGAGATCATGGGTGTGCGCTCAGTGCAAGGACTTCCTGGTCCTCAGGGAACAAGTATGTTCCCTTTAGGTCCCAGTATCTGACCTGAGAGAGCCAGAGTGGTTGGTAGACGTAATAATGGCATTCCACTCACACAGTGCCATCTCTTCCATTATAATGGAGAATCATGGTCTTGGGGAAGAAAAGCTTCAATCTGAGGAAGAGGCAAATGATCGTTGAAGAGGGACACATTCTTTGTGGGACTAACAGTCATCCTATCATATGGAGGACACTTTTCTGGGGGTCTCTTGTTAGTGGCAGTTTTTATCACTGGCCTCATAGGCAGTTGAGTTTGTGATGGGAATGTGGACCACACAGTAACTTGTCTGCCTGTCACACGTAATCTGGATGCTGCATATACACTAAGGAGAAATGTTATTATGTGATCCTGGAAGAGAAATTTGGGTTGCTAGGTGAGAGGCCAGGACTTACAAGGAAGCTTTCTCTGAAATGCTGCCCATTCCATTTTGGTGCTGGAAAAAACTCTCCTATGAGGAAAAGTTACATAATTGGAGGATTTTTTAGTTTAGAAAAAAAAATGAGTAACAGGAAACATGACAGAGGAGTATAAAACTTAATAGTGTGGATAGAGAGAAGGCTTTTTTTGCTGCCTCTCTCATCATTCTTGAACCTGGGGAAGGTCAATGAAGCAGAACGCTAGAAGATCCAGGACACACCAAAGTACTTCTTCACACAGCTCACAGTTAAACTATGGGGTTTACTGCCACAATATGTTGTAATGGACTGACTTAGATGGCTTAGGCAAAGTCTAAGGCCCCATATGCACTATACACTTAAAGCCACATCAATCACTTTAAACAGTCATGGCTTCCCCCATAGGAGACTCCAATTTCCCTCGTGGATCTACAGTTCTCAGAGTGGCTTCACAGTCATCCAGTGGCACACCTTGACAATGCACACTTAACAATGACCAATGAACCAAATACAAAAAGGAATATCTACTGCTCAACAGTAATGCAGGCATTTTTCAAAGTTTCTGTCATTATCAATTTCTTTGTATTGATACTCATCTTCCCATATCCACATTTATAAAAATCATACCTGATAGTAATAATAATAATAATAATAATAATAATTTATTATTTATACCCCGCCCATCTGGCTGGGCTTCCCCGGCCACTCTGGGCGGCTTCCAAAAGAATAGTAAAATACTATAATACATCAAACATTAAAAGCTTCCCGAAACAGGGCTGCCTTCAGATGTCTTCTAAAAGCCTGGTAGTTGTTGTTCTCTTTGACATCTGGTGGGAGGGTGTTCCACAGGGAAGGCGCCACTACCGAGAAGGCCTTCTGCCTGGTTCCCTGTAACTTGGCTTCTCGCAGTGAGGGAACCGCCAGAAGGCCCTCAGTGCTGGACCTCAGTGTCCGGGTAGAACGATGGGGGTGGAGACGCTCCTTCAGATATACTGGACCAAGGCCGTTTAGGGCTTTAAAGGTCAGCACCAACACTTTGAATTGTGCTCGGAAACGTACTGGGAGCCAATGTAGGTCTTTCAAGACCGGTGTTATGTGGTCTCTGCGGCCGCTCCCAGTCACCAGTCTAGCTGCCGCGTTCTGGATTAGTTGTAGTTTCCGGGTCAAGAAAAATATTCTGTATTGTCTCGGCTTCTCATTACTTTCAAAGGGTGAATTTAATATTCTGTAGATGCCACAAAGCATAATTTTCAATACCATTTTTCTAAGGTTACTCCTTCAGTATTTATCCAATACTAAGAAATATTTAGTCTTCTGCCACCAACATGAAATGCATTAGCTCTTTGGATACAAGATCCATATTTGAATGAAAGCCACCTGCTGCTTTTATTTCCCATGAAGCCCTAGGGCCATACGCTACATCAGGCACTCCATGTCACTGTAGGAAATTTGCACACACACACACACACACACACACACAGGCAACTTCCCAGATCAAGCCACTGTCACCAGATAAGCCAGCAGCTGGGGGAACGTGAAGGCAAGATGGCCAGAGTGAGAGGGAACAAAGCAGGCATTGGTGCCAACGGGTCTTGCCAGCAACTGCACGAGAGCATTGGGTGCTGATGTGACAGCGCTGAGTGTTGTATTTAAAATAACCCTGCTTGGGATGGAATGAATCAGTGGGCAGAGTGCAAACTAAATTTAAAATACAGTTCACATTAAAGAAAACCAAACCCACACATAGGTTGCCACCCAGAGTTCTAGAGTCATGATTACTCTCTTATCAACAGAGTTTATTCCTGCCCTAAATCCTGCTTACATCCTGCAGACTAGTATGGAACATTGCACAGAAATCCAACAACAATCACCAAATACGGCAGTAATAACAGCTGCAATTGCAGCGCAGCAGAATCCATAGATGTCCAAGCAAGTAAAGCAGCTGTCCCTCCCCAATTCATCCCTACACACACACACACACACACACACACACACACACACGAACAAGTGTGTCACTGTCCACAAGAAAGATGTAGGGAACAAACCACATCGACCCGCTAGTGCTGCCGCAATGCCAAGAGAAGGAGAGGGACAGATGTTGGGGAGGAGGAAGGGTAAAGGGGAGAGGAAAAGGCAACACTGACCTGACAGCACGGCTGGGGAGGGGGCAGCGGGGGTTGCAGGACAAGAGGCAAAAATGTGGTGGGAGCAGTGAGAGGGAGACAGCCAGCTTGGCCTACCTGCTGATCCAAATACTCTAGGTTTCTTTGCAACTGAAGGTCTAAAAGTTCATCCTATCAGGAGCCATTAGGCATGCGGCAAAATGGAAACACAAAAACAAACAAAAACAAAGAAGAAGCAAAAGCAGTTAGGTGCGACTTAGCTCGAGAGAGGCACAGAGCTCCCCAGACAGGAAAGGGAACAGTCAGCCTCACAAGCGTTTTTTTTCCAGGTAGGTGGGTGGGGTGAGTGATGGCTGCTCAGCGGTCCTTTTAGCCCAGGACATATTCCCTAGAGGAGCTTTCCCCAGTCAGGTGCCCTCCAGATGTTTCAGACTGCAACAACAGGGAGTTGTAATCCACAACATCTGCAAGGGAACCCAGTTGGGGAAGGCTGCCTTAGAGGGACTCTCAATGGGAGATCCTGGCAGTTTCTCATATAGACAGTGCTCTGTCCCCATACCATGTGTCGCCTTCTGCTGGACAGGTGTGGATTAACAAGAGGGCCATGCTACCTTCCTCCAGGCCACTGGAGTAGGCCACCAAGCTGGTAAAATATATTACTGCTCTCCCCCAACAGTAAGGAATGCAATCTTTTGACTCTGTAGCCCTTTGAGGGTATCTGGGTTGAACGCTTGTGGGCTAAAGGTGGGGTGGGGTATGCACACACACACAAGCCTCACTCCAACAGTCCCACGTGTGCCGGCTTCACTGCAGACCTTCCCACATGCAGCGTGAAGGAGGATCCTCAGCATGTTCAACTGAACGCACTCAGAGTTCCTCTTCAGACCTTCCAGATGAGGAAGCCACCTTCTGCTGAGTTAGGCTGCAGGTCCATCTAGCACAGGGCTTATACACACCTTTCCTCCGCTCTTTCCAGGCACAGTCCACGATTTAAAGCTCTGTGTCCCAGTGCCTTCTCATTCCTGCTCCAGAACTTTCCCTGCAAAAACCTGCTCTTTGAAAAGCTCAGTCAGAGAAAACGTCGATCCGCAGAAAACCCGAATTGGTGTTTGCTCTGATTCAGTTTTAAGGAGCAGGGTTTTGAGGGGAAAGTTTGAGACAGAAATAATAACAAAATGCTGGGCCCTGGAGTGCTAAAGTGAGCACCTGTGCCTGGCAAAAGGTAAGTGTGGATAAGCCCTCTGTTCTATCTGCACAGCTCTGCAGGGTTTCAGACAGTCCTACCTGAAAAGGCTGGGGACTGAACCTGAGACCTTCCACATGCAAAGCAGATGCTTTGTCACTGAGCTATAGTCCTCCTGCCAACATGGGAAGGTCTGAAATGAAGGGTGCACAAGCCCCCTCTGACTTGAAGCCCACACACATTTGCTCCAAATAGGGCTCACTTTTCATTGCAATGTAGCACCTGTAATACCCATTAAGCCATTATTATAATCTGTTTTATTGGTGGCATAGGCCTCTAAGAATTGTTAATTCACTCCTGCTGCAGAGGCAAAGTTTGCTACCAAGAAGTTTGTCCCCGCAGTTAGCACTCCCACATTTTTCTCAGCAAGGCACCTGGCTTTGAAAGCCTAGGATTAGGTGGAAATTCTCTCGTCCACAGTGACTGCTCTACAGTCTTTATGCCAAGGCTGGCATGTTGAGAACGTGGGCTCAGCACATCCATTCAGAGTTCTGCAGGGGAAGAAGGGATTGTGCTATTGGCTCCACGCATATGGCCTCTTCCAAAAGCTCAGCATCCCTTTCAATGGCTTTGCAACTGTGCAGTAAAAACTGGCTGAGCTGAAAGCTGGAAGAGCGCTGAAACAAACAGCGGATTCTGCACACGTCAAACTCTGCACAGATTTACTCAGTCTACATTCCTGGGGCATCACTTTGGGTCATGCAAATTGGCTTTTACTCAATCTCTATCCAGCCTCTATGTGGATGTCCGTCGGGAAAACAGGATGGTCTACCTATTCTAGATACAGGCATACAGGAAGCTGCCGTATACCAAGCCAGACCATTAGTCCATCTATGCTAACTGGAAATGGCTCTCCAGGATTTCAGACATGGTCCCTCACAGACCAACCTGGAGATGTCAGGGATTGAACCTAGGACCTTCTGCATGCAAAGCAGATGCTCTATGACTGAGCTATCACCCAAGACAGCAAGCATAGCTACAGCTTCTCCCTACAGCTTCTTCACCTGGCAAGAAAGTTAGGAGCAGCATACAAAGGGACCCTTACAAAAATGGTGCTCCTGTGCATTATTCTCTGCAAGCATGACACCAACAGTGTGCTTTTGACCCAGGTAAACTACTTCTCAGATATAGACAAAAATTATTTTGATCTGTTTTGGAAACAATTTGTCTCTTTCTAAACACACAGAAGCTTTACTATCAGGCCTGGGCAGCCTGAGCTCTGTGTCTGTAATTAACAGATATGTGTCCAGATTGCTGGAATGCTCCAATTGGAGAACAGCCTTTACCAAAGGCATCGTGGACTTTGAAAAAGCATGGACTCAGGACAAAGGGAAGAAACGAGCTAAGAGGAAGGCACATTTGGCAAATCCTCACCATGATCAACTCCCACCCAGAAACCTATGTCCCCACTGTGGAAGGATGTGTGGATCCAGAACTGGCCTTCACAATCACCTATGAACACACCGCTAAGACCATGTTCATGGTAGACAATCTTGCTCAGGAATGAGCGATCGCCAAAGAGTCCAGACTGCTAGCGCTGCTTTTTCAAAGGAGCTATCCTGCGCCGACATCCACATCTTTTCCTGCCACCAGACATTCGCCCCACCCCCCAAAACAGCTGGAGATGGGGACAGAGCACCTGCTATAAGAGAGACTGTCCATGATGTGCTCGGTGATACCAGGATCATCTCAGTGCACTCCTGGTTCAGCCACATGCATCTGCTTTGTGTGCATAGCTGGTGAGAAGGCAGGGGGAGTGAGGGGAGAAGCTGCGTGCAACAGTCCGTGCAACTAGAATCTGTTCCGCAGGGCACCTTAATCCAGTCCAGGAATTACTGGTTGCTCTCATAGGTGAAAGGTGTCAGGCAGGGTCAAGAACCTTGGCATGGAGCAAATGGAAGTTGGCAGTTTCACTTGGCAGAGTCCCACTCACAGTGGTTTCTGCCCCCACCACATGGATCCGCCCCCGCAGTGAAATAACCAAACAAAAGAGAGAAGCAAGAAGGAGTGAGGAAAATACAGCATTGAAAGAAACGACAGCCAGCAACAGGGAACAGGGCTTTCTGCATGTCCTTTTCAAGCTCACCCAATTTTGCACTGTCCCAGAAACTACACTGGAGGATTGCAAGCTCTGGCAGTGCTTGCCAGTATTGCTGCCCCGGCTTTTGCTCTCTTCATTTCTTCTTTATGGGCTGCCAAAGCAATACATCCTTGGAATAGGGGAGGAATCCCAGAGGAAAAATGTGCTCTTCCAACAAGCCCTTTTCTGCATTATGGTTGCCACTGTAGCAATGGGCAAGGTGCTGCTCATTTAAGGACAGGGATTGGGAACCTGTGGTCCTCCAGAAGTTGTTTGGACTCAAGCTCCCATCAACCCTGGACTATTGGCTACAATGGCCGAGGTTCATGTGAGTCTCACAACATTGGGAAGGCCACAGGTTCCCCACCCCTGATTTAGGGGAGCAAAATGGTATCGAGTTCAAATCACATGCCAGGTCAAAACTCTGAACAGCAGCTCATGATCACTAAAGGGAAATGTTTGAGTTAAGCTTGCAGCAGCAATGAGCACTGTGCCTCAGTTTATATTCCACAGTGGCCTGGTGAGCAAGCCAGGATGGAGGCTTCCCTTCTGCCATGCAGATGTAGCTTGTAATGTGAAATGAAGCCCCTGCTTTAACTCCTGATTGCACCTTTTTATTTATTAATTGTGGAAAAAGGAGAATCACGTGGATGATGCTTCTGGACAACTGTGGGTGGACCCATTTTACATTACATGCTACTCCTCTTGCAGGATGCTAATGAAGCACCAAATGTAAAAACTGGGGGCTGAATGTGTGAACAGGAGCTGTTTCACTATCTCTATAAATCACATGCCTATTTCCCTCCTTGCTCTGCCAAAAAAGGGCAGCCCTGTCTTCAACAGAATTATCTGTCAGTTTGCATAGTCACGGTGTATTACATATCCAGACTGGTCTCACACTGCTGGTCTCACACAGCTAACATATCCCTGTAGACTGAAACACTAGAGAATATGACTGTTACAGGACAGTGGTTTCATGTCCAGGAAGAAATTGCCCATTGCATAATAACATCCTTCACCCCACCTCTGAATTAGATCCCAACCTTGGGAAGGAAACCCAGCATCCCTAGTGGAATGCTGGGATGCCAATGGGACATACCATTTTGTCGTGGACCGTAGGGGATGCTGGATAGTTGAAGGGGAACATTCCTGCAGGGACAGGCCTCCTGTCACCCAGATAATCATACTGAGGAAAGAGAAGAAACCACACACATGCATGAAGAAGGCTCATATCACTGTAGGGTGACCATAGTCCACGCTACCTTTCCCCACAATATGGAACAGTTGGCACAGCTCACAATGGAGACAACAGGCAAGGCAAAGGAATTGCCCAGGGTTATTCAGTCAGGGTGAGGGACAGGTCAATGGTAGGAGGGCCAAGGTGTTGTGGCCTAGACATAAGAACAACTAAGATGCTCTTGGAAAAGAGGAGTTGGTTCTACAAGCTGGGAGTACAGTTCTGTTAGGAGAAGAGGAAAAGAAGGGGCAGGTTTTTCCCCAGGCTCCTACCCTTGGAACCTCCAATGCCACTCAGTTCCTGGGCTGCTCTCACCCTCAGTTCTGCCTGATATTCACTAATATTTGTCTGCACAATGAAAAATGTTCTAAAGTTTCACCAGCAACCTTTTCAACATGTCTCCTGGCACAGTTAACGTGCCAGTTCTGTTTAGCCTGAACATGCGACTCCAGTACCTCAATTCAGTTGGGAGTTCTGAATCCCCTATACCTCATGTTTCAACTGAGTCTCGCCCAGACCCTTATTTTTTTATTTCTGGGACAAGTGAAATAAAAACAGACTGTGACTGAGCATTTACGGACTGCTGAGTGGCCAGAAGAAGCCCTGACATGTCAGAGATTAAGAATAAAGGTTTTATTCTAGCTCACAGGTGAGCAACCTGTGGCCTTAGGAAAACATGCAACCTGTGACTTCCTATTATGTGCCCCTCTGTTGACTCCTGAAGCTGCCCCATTCTTCCATCCATGCTTTTTATCCATTTTTCCCCTTTTTCAGGCATTTGTGTTTTGCTCTCTTTCTGTGTTGTTTCAGAACACAGAACTGGAAGATGTAGTACTTTCTTTCATATGTGTATGTTTTAAAAACTTCTCCTCTGGTTGTATGGCTTGGGGGAGAGACTTTTCTCCTCCCTAAACCGTCGAATAATATATCGGTAAGAATTACTCTTACTTCCTTTCCGGAGCAGTGGCTGCATTGGTCTTTGGTACTAAAAAAAGTTCTCTGTTTATTTGAAAGTAACCCCATCACTGCAAACCTAGCAGTTCAAAAGCACATCAAAGTGCAAGTAGATAAATAGGTACCACTCCAGCAGGAAGGTAAACGGCGTTTCCGTGTGCTGCTCTGGTTCGCCAGAGGCAGCTTAGTCATGCTGGCCACATGACCCGGAAGCTGTACGCCGGCTCCCTCGGCCAATAAAGTGAGATGAGCGCCACAACCCCAGAGTCGGCCACGACTGGACCAAATGGTCAGGGGTCCCTTTACCTTTACCTTTGCCTAACCCCATCACACGCAGTGGGGCTTGCTTCTAACTAGATATACATTGAACTGGGAATTCTAAACCATGAGGAAGCAGGGTGGTCTCCATTCCAGATCAGTTAATCCAGAATAGTTTTGTCTCTGGCTCCAGCCATCATCAGTTCTGGCTCTGCCCAACACTGGCACGTGAGCCACAACAAGTAATCCATTGAGGAAATGCAGCCCTCAACAGAAAAAAACGATGTTGCCCATGACTGCCTCTCCTCACCTTCATCAAAGCTAGTGTGCCTTCCCACTCCTGCCGTGGTAATTTCCCCTCACCCTTCCTAATACTCCTCAGTCTCAGTACACAGCATATACAAACACAGGTAACAATTAGGTTACTAAGACTGTGCTAATGTTCCCTCAGTGCACAGCTTCAGTACTCCCCCAAAGAGTGGCGAGAAGCCCCGAGGGTAGGAGCGGAGACCGCGAGGGAGGGTTACCTTTGGTGAACTGACCGATCGCCTCATCATGTATGTCGTCGGCTCCGCATAAATCTCCTCACTCCGGGGAGGCACTCTTTCAAAGCGGGCGCTCGGAGACCTGACAGGGGAGTACACTCTGGCTCGGGTGTAGGAGCCTTGGCTCGGTGAGCGGGGGACCGACCGGGAGCGAGGCTGGAGGGACATCCTGCGCAAGGAGCCTGAGGCGGCATCCATTTCATCATAGTACACGGGTGGCCGGGTCGGGCCTGACATCCAGATGGGAACGTCCTGCCTGCCGTAGCCTGGCTGCTCTTTCCAGTCCCGCAGCTGGTAGGAGCCGCTGTTGCGGAAGGAGTGGCGCTTGTCGTCGACAGTCCACTGAGGGCTCACACGCTCAAAGGCAGGCATAGAGCAGATGCTGTCAGGACGCACCCCAGGAGGGTAGTATTGGTAATCTTCAGAGTACTGAGGTGAGTAGGGGGGATAGTAGTCAGGGACTCTTCGGGACATCGGGTAGAACCTGGTGGGGCTAGACGGCCAGAAGGAAAGAATGAGGACGACGAATGCAAACCCTGAGTTTGCAAAGCAATTTCAGCATCATCTGCCCTACCTTACCCATCTGTCTATCTCTGTACCAAAATCCACAGAGGATATAAATCTAGTGCAGATCTTATTTTTCTCTCTTTTCTCTTTTTTTCTATTGGTTTTCACATATTGCATCACAATACAGATGTGCCAAAGCCAACACCATTTCCTCCCCATCCCCCCATACCTTTACATTTCAATTTCCTCAATCCATCATATTATTCTTTTCTCCTTCCTCCCACTTCCCTCCGCCCCCACTCAATTTCCTCCACATTATACAATTTACAATAATCTTTGCATTCTACAATCTTCTCAAATCATCTATATTTTATTATTATCTTTCCTTACTAATTTTTCTTCCATCCAGTACTTCACATTTTAATCAAGGCATATTAGCGTATGTTTTTTTGAGCAATATTTTGCCATATATTCATCAAAACATTTCCACTCCTTTTTTAATTTTTGATTCGACTGATTTCTTATTATAGCAGTGGATATAAATCTAGTGCAGATCTTATTTTTCATACTTACATCCTAGTGGTTCCCTCTTACCCTCCAACTATACTGCAGTTTAAACAGCAGAGATGGCACAATATCTTCTCACTATTAATGCTGTTTGCTGGTGTGTCACGAATTATTATCCTTATTAATCATTAAGGCTGCACATATTTTCTTTGCAAATGAGCTGCCTGCTTGAGTAACATAGTATTAAGTGTGTATCTTTTTCTTTTCAAAAAAGAAATCAAAGGCATACTGAGGATTAAGGGGTTCAATTCTGATGAAAGCCATGATGCCTGCTGTGTTAAAACTCTGGTTCTTTGTCAGGGGAGATTCAAATGTTGCAGCCTCCATGTGGAGGTCATAAGAAACACTTCCCAATGGAAGCAGTTATACAAGAGGGCTCTGTAACTGTGTATCATGTGAGCCACCCATGCTAGCGCAGCAGATTCGTAGCGCTGTGATGAACAGCCTCCTCCACACAACTGGGCCAATCCGTTTCACAAATATTACAACTCTCATGTGGAATTGCCACATGGTTTGGGACAGTTAAAAACGAAATGTCCTCAGCACTTACAGTCCTCCTAGGACTCTCTGGTTGGGAGAAGAGGGGAGAATCACAATAACTATATTGATTTAAACCTGAAGTGTACACATCACTTTCTCACCTTCTCTCAGATTATATCCACACCATACATTTAAAACCACCTCTTTCCCCACAAAAGCCCGTGCTTTACTGCTGAATCAGAGCAAATAGTAGTCTGTGGAAAACTGAAATTGCCATTTGTTCTGATTCAGTGTTAAAGAATGGGATTTCATAGGGAAAGCGATGTGGCAAAAAAAGGGGGCGGAAGTGTTTGGACATGGAGCTTTAAAGCGCAGACCTGCACCTAGAAAACAAGGGGCAAAAGGTATAAGTGTGGATGATCCCTCAGAGTCATGGGTTCCCCTAAAGTATCCTGGGAAATGTAGTCCTTAACAAGCTACAGTACCAGGACCCTTGGGGGAGGGTGGGAAGCCATAGCTCTTAAGACTCCTATAAGTGCGTAATGCAGATGTGATGCCTTGTGTTTAGTGGGATTCCTCCCTTATTTAATTCTCAGAAAAGCTATATCCACGCCTAGCTTGAATCACCTCACCTATGGAGATCCTCAGGAGGTGGAGCCCCACGGCGCAAGTTCACCCACTGCTGCAGCTGTGTCATGGAGCTCTTCCTCTGGGCAATCTTCTCAGGATTGGTGCGTGGAGCAAAACTCCGACGAGGCATAGCACTCTCACCATCGTGCTGTGGGAAGGCCATGCTGCCTGGCCGGCTAGGAGATGAGTACTGCCAGCCATTTGGCTGAGTGGGCCTCTCCACTCCAGCAGGCAGACGGGAAGCGTCAGGATAAGGGCTTCCGGGTTCAGAGGGCATTTCTTGGCTGCCAATGCCGTTGGCTTTCACCAGAGGCTCCTTCTTGCTCTCGGCTCGCTCTGTTTTCCTGTCAATCTTCTCAGAGCCACGCCCGTCTCCTTCGCCTCTGGTCTTGGCTTCTGGCTCAGCTTTGGCAGCCTCTCTGGTCGGGACACTGCGGTGGTGGTGGTGCTGGTGGTTCCTGCTGGGAGGGATGTTCTCAGAATCAGTCTTCTCGTGCCTGATAAGCATGGGAAAGTAGAAATGGCCACAAACGGTCATGGCTCTCATACCGAGCAACATAGAAAATACGCTCTAGCCTATGAATGATTCTAGTTCGCCTCCTGAAAGCACATTGCTGCTAACTTTGCAGCTCTGATATGGCCCCTGCAGGGGGGGGGGGAGAGAAACCAGACATTGTACTCTCCCAATAAGCTTTCTTTTTCAAGTTGCTTAAAGACCTCCAAAGCTATGTTTCCTGTCATCCCATTCAAAGAGCCTCAATGCCTTTTAAATGTTACCTATTTTAGAGAGTTTCCATACTTTTCTGCAGGATCTGTGAACCTTATTTATAACGATGACTTGGTCTCACAAATTTAAAGGACCAGAGGAAACATCTTAATGGAGAGGCAGAGAAACTATGTGACTTGAACGCAATAGAACAACCCGGGCTGGACTAAGACCTTCAGTTGTCCCAAGCACTAAAAGATTATGGTACCTCCCGAATTCAAAATGAAAACAATACTAACCCATAAAATAAAATTTCACAGTAATAAAAAAGTAAAGCATAATTTATTGCAACAGATGACGGTATCTGCTTTCCTTGCATTATTTTGATCAAAAGTTAGTAGGGTGCCCTCCTGGTTTAGGTGGGGATAATAAAAAGATAACATAAAAATGGGAGATTATACAGTGGACTGTAAGGAAATCTAGCCTAGTTCTGATTTTTGCCATGACGACTACTTTGATGCTTTAAGGGGGGGGGGAATCAAAAAAATTTGGGTGCTCTTACTTTACTGGTTTTCCAAAGACATAGCTAATGCCAACTGAGATCTCTCAGAACAGATGCTATTGGACTGCAACTCCCATCAGCCTCAGCCATCATGACCAATGGTCCAGGATGTTGACTATTATAGTCCAACAACATCTAGAGAGCGCCATTTGGTTTTGGACCACATGCTACATAGATTCCCCCCAACAACAACAACTGACCTCTGAGCAGGTGGGATTTGCACCCGGGCAGCTTCGCCCATGGCTTGAATCCAGGATTCCTGCTCCTCGTTGTTCTCCGCACTGAAGAAGTAAGTCCGGATGCCTGCGTGCTCAGCCTGGGGAGAGAGGGACTTCTTGTTATTCCCTGGTGTCTCTTCCATCCAGCACACAGTCACCTGTGGAGCAGGTAGAAATGGAGAAAGGGGAGAGAGAAGAGAAGAGAAGAGAAGAGAAGAGAAGAGAAGAGAAGAGAAGAGAAGAGAAGAAGTCACCAATTAGTCTCTGCAGCATTAGCTTGAGGTCACCAAGGATTATAGGAGAAATTGGCATAATCTTTCATTTGGCATAATTTCCAGCATATACTGGACTGGCTACTATAGTTTCAACAAACTTTTATTTTCTAGTTTTCAGCTGGGGAAAATTGAAGTGAAAAAGCATGTTTTTAGGCCATAATGGCTATAGGTTAGCTTTATATGCATTTGTCCTTGGTGGTGGTGGGTGGCTTTAAAAGAGGATTAGGCAAATTCATGGAGGAGAGGGCTATCAATGGCTATTCCTTAGAGGCAACAATGCTTCTTAATACCAGTTGCTGGAAACCTCAGGAGGGAGATTGCTTTTGTGTTTGAATCCTGCTGGGGAGGGGTTTCCCCCAGACATCTGACTGGCCACTGTGAGAACAGGATGCTGGAAAATTTGCCTTTTAATATATTGATAAATCCCAGTTTCAGAGCAGCTTAATCACAGGAGTGACACCAAAGGTCAAAATTCCTATCCAGAGACACCTTCACTAAACCCACCCAGCAACATGCAACCCCACCCCCCAGCCCCACTGATGGAAAAAGCCCCTCCCACCTGCCTACCAACACCCCCCCCCTTCCCAACACCAACACACTTGTTTCCATGCATGGGTCCACATGCAGCAGAGGAATAGCATGCAAAAATCTACTTCAACATAGAACCCATCACCCCAGATCAGTGTACACCTGTGCATGCATGCAAGGAATTGAAACTGTTCTTTTTTCCATCAGGTTTCTGGAGAGGTAGTAAACTAGAACTGGTGAGGAATGCTGTTGCAACTTTGAATTGCTGTAATATAGCTGCTTTAATGTTTTCTGATGGTTTTAATGTATTTATTGTTGTAAGGCCACCCCGAGATTACTTGATGGTGACATGTGGGATAGAAGTTTTACAAATAAATTAAAGTGAATGCATCATTACTGAATAAAAGGTATGATGCCTAATATTATCTGGAGTACTTGTTAAACTAATGGCAATGGTTTTAACTGTGGCCAGAAACAAGGGGAGGTGTGTATCCCTTTACATTTTAATGATTTGGCTGTCTCACCCATTGCAAAAATGGGAGGACACTGTCTCCCCTCCTCTATAAAAAGTCACTGAGGCTGGAGACTAACTGAACAATATGGGGAGTCAGGGTCAACTATAGCTCCCTATGTTGAGTCAAAACAAGAGTGAGATTTCCTATGGATCTACTGATCCAACCACCTTGGTATTTAAATCTGCCTTCCTGATGAAACATAGGAAAAGAAAATACTTTTGTATTCCTTTCCAAATGCTTATCTCACAGGAGGCAGTGACAGCCACCAACTTGGACGGCTTGAAAAGAGGATTAGACATGGAGGAGGTGAATCTGGAGGCAATAACACTTCTGAATACCAGTTGCTGGTAACCCCAGGAGGGCAGCGATCATGTCCTCCTTGCAGATTTCCAACAGGCAACGGCTTGGCCACTGTGAAAACAGGATGCTGGACTAGATAGGCCAATAGTTCAACTGCAGACTGGCCATATTTATTTGACTATAGGAAGAAGCCCTTCAAGAGGCAGGAATTATCAGGGCACCATTCCAAGGATATATGTGCCACTTGTACATGGAAACATGCTGCACTCCTTTGCGTGATCCCCATGATATTATGCTTTCACCACAATAATGCCTCTAATTTCAGGGCTTCCAACAGTGAAGTCAAAGACACCATGGGGGTGAGTAATAAATCTGACTCCCACACCATGGATTACCCGAGTGTCTGATGTGAAGGACAAGATCCCCCACTTCTCTGTTATGTCATCAAACATCTTCTCCAGTTCAATGTTATATGCAGTCGATCTTTGCTCCACAGAAATCACTGAGAGCCGCTTAGGGTTGATCCCTCTTTATTAGCAGAGGCCATTTTCCCGTCTTGCTAGAGTGCAGCAAAGCCTAGGAAATGGTTTTTATATATCATGCTGCTTTGATTCTTAGTCTCAGAGGTGTATATAGGAGCTGAAGACTTGCAGAAAACAAAGACATGTCTTGTACAGCATTGAGATATTGGCACCCAACATCTTCAAAGAATACCATGCTAGGCTGGACCTTAATCTGGCTCCAGGCCCAGATAAAAAATATTTCCAATCCAAACTCTTAACCCAAATTGGACCAGCTTATTGTTGACGCTTCTATCATTTGCAACATATCCATTCAATTGACACTGAAATCTTTCCAGATCTTTTCCTTTTCCTTTTATCATGAACACCTTATTTTGTATTATAGTATGAAATAGTTTTTCTTGCAGTTTTCTGGTTTTGTGTCTTTCACATTTGTTTGGTTTTCATTATGTAAGAAAACTCCCCTCTTTGTGATTTTTATTATTATTTTATTTCAGTTGAATGTATTTCAGAAGAAACGTACAGCACAATTTATTCATTTATTTAGTTTTGCCCATCAGCTTTGGTTAATGATCAGTGGCCACTCATCAACCTAGTGAAATCTGAGGGTTCTTGCAAATCTGCCTTCTTGACTGCCATTTTGCTGAGCCAGATCAATATCTTCAGTACATATACTCTACACCAAAAGCCAAGGATTAGGTCTGAAAGCTTGGCTATTATGAAGACATCTAACACAAGGCAGACATATTCAGATATTGTGCATTGTCATTAGGTTACATACCTCTGTACTTTCACCAGTCTCCATTGTTTACGAATTTCTAGGTGTTTGATGAGCCTAATGAAGAAATCTAGGATTTCCTCACTGCAGTTTTATCTGGGAAATGATTGGAGGTGAATAAAGCATGCGGGGCAATTTGCACTCATCCAAGCTTCATCTTTCCTTTCTGGCATGCATGCGTTTGGAAAAGGAAGGAAAATACTACCTATTTGGTGCCTGGGTGATGGCACTGCAGACGGGTTATCAGAAGAGATCTCCTGTCCAGGGGCATCCTCACGCGGAAAAAGAGGGGAGACAGAGAACAGGTCAGCCACACCCAACAAGCAATCCAATGGGGAGAAGTCTCAAGCAGGCGAAGCGTAGCAGGAGCAGAGTTGACTGCCGTGGAAGGGAAGCTGAAGCAGAACTGGAAGGGCCATAGCTTAGCAGCAGAGCATCTGCTTTGCATGCAGAAGGTCCTGGGTTCAATCCCCAGCATCTGTGGTAGGGCTGGGAATGTTCCCTGCCAGAAACTCTGGGAGAGATGCTGCCGGTCAATGTAGACAATACCGAGATAGATGGGCAAATGGTCTGACTCAGTATACTACAGCGTCCTATGTAACTGGGCACATGCCAGATGCCTTATGAGTCTAAGGCTGAAGGATCACATTGGCCCTGTCTGAGCTTAAAATAATCTAATAGAAAATTGAGGGAGCCGATTCCTCTCCATCTCAGCCCATGGAACAGGCCTGAGCCAGTATCCTGCTAGGCAAGGGGAAATGCAGATATGCAAGGGTTGCAGCAGCAGGGCATGCCATAAACAATATTGCAGCATGAATGTGGGATGATGGAAATGAACAATACTATTTAGGTCTATCTATTCAGAACAATCTAAGTCTATCCATCCTACGAGAAACTTTATTGTGGGTTGGTTATCTAATCCCCCTTAATAATAAACAAAGGAACAAAACACAGAAGCAATCAGAGACTATTCTCTGCTACCTTACTAACCAACACATGTCTGGATCTGGGGGATGCTACAAGAATCAGCATCTAAGACTGAAAGCCATACTTACTTGGTAATCAGCCCCATAATATGCCATAAGGATGCCTATCACCCAACTATAAGGTTCCCTACCCTAAAGTGCTCAACAGATCATTAATAATGGTATCACCAGTCCTCGGCAGCATGGGTGCACATTGAGTTCTTAGAAGTATCTCCAGGCTGAGGGGAGCATGTAAGTGTGACCCAAATCCCTACTTCACTGGAGTGGTCGGACAACACCTTTTTATCAAACCTCGGTGTGGTAGGACCCAAATGAAGATGTTTGTGCCCTAAAACGGATCCTTGCTTTGTTAGTAATCTGGGATCTGACAGCCCATGCAACACCACTGGTGCCAATAAAGCTTTCCAGAGGGCAAGCTCAGGCTTCTTCTCAAGGTGACACTATAGAGAGAAAAGAGGGTCCCTGTGCGCACATCTGAGCCAGAGGCAGGCAAGATGCCCAGACAAGCATACTTCAAAGCTCATCTGTTTCTAATGGAGCCACAGCATCTCTAGCTAAACATTCTTCTTTTCTCTCCCCCCTCTATGGGGCAGGCAGGAATGTTAGTAAAAAACAACCCCACATATCAATAGTTTCTGGTTCTTAAAACATCCCTGTCCCACTTCAGTCCCATTTATTCTCATTAAGAGAACATAGATAGCATAGCACACCCCTGGGACATCTGAACTAGAGCTTTATGGTGCTATTTCAACAAGCAGTAAGTAGCTTGCATGCAGTATAATGGAAGAGCCCTCTAAAGGGATGCCTATAAACAAAATGATTTAGGAATGTAATGTATGGATTGGTTGGTTTGTGTTCATGAATCTTATTGGGTCTACTAAGATTTGTTTTGCATAGGTAGGAAGACCTCTCAAGCACCCTAATTTGAAGCTAGTGTTTCTAAACTCTCCCTCATTAATTTTCAATGTCCCTGATTTATTTATGCTTTTTAAAAAAACAGGAAACATGATGTGGTGTATTAGATCACATTGTTTAGAGACTTAGGATCTGTATCCCTCATTCAAAAGGGAAACTGGATGTGTGAGTCTGCACATGAAAAAAAGTTGGCATGTAAATATATTGACTCAGTCTTGGGCTGTTACAGCAAAAAGCAACTTGGTGGTCCAGGCAAGAGAGGCAAAGCTTCCCAGCTCTTCTTTGCTCATCCTTCAAAACTAACTCACAATAACCAATGTGTGACACCCTTCCAGCAATGCGGAGTTGTGCAGGTGCTCCTGGAACAGTGCCACATCCCTTAGGATGTGATGCCAGAGGTTGGGAACGACTTCTCCTCTTTCCTGCAATGTCCCTTGCACAGATGGCAAGTTTACATCACCTCTCGTCTCCCCACCTGCTCCCCCCCAGATCTAGTGCAGCAGGGCAGAGAGCTGCTGCTGTTGCTCTGGTGCGAGGAGGCATCACCCACCATCAGGACAGAAGGAAGGTTTCTGTGACTAAGGGGCAAATGCTCAGCCTTTCCTTCCAAAGTGGGGCTGGCTGAAGAGGCACGTGCATTTCAAATAATCAGCACCTGCTATACCTCCCCTGATAGTTGAATCATGCAGGAATTCAGACCTGTGGCAACTCTGAGGAGCATAGGCAGACCAAGTAGCTTTAGGCTGTGATATGAGCAAAATAGGATGTGCCACTCCTGCATATTGGAAAAATTCAGCCACTCACTGGATAATAGGCATGAAGCTGAGCCCCTGTGGTGTATTGGTTAGTGCAGCCATCCACAACCTGATGCCCTCCACATATTTCAGACTATAATGTCTGTGCTAGCTAGGAGGGATGGGAGTTGCAGTTCAAAGCATCTGGAGAGCACCAGGTTGGGAAAGGCTAGGTTAGACTGCAGCACTTGGGTCAGGGAGATCTGGGTCCAGTCATCATCCTCATATGGGGGGAAAAAACCATAATCTCTGAGGTTCATCAAGAATGCCACCCCAAACTCATTGGGAGAAAGAGAAATATACATATGTAATGGATAAATATATGAATAAGGCACATTTACGAACACCATTCCTTGCCCCTTGCAATGTTTTTTGTGGGGGTGGGTGAAACTAAGTTATTTAACAATCTAAAGCATTTTCCAAGGTCAGTGTTTCCCAAGAGTGTACAGCATGAGTACTTGTGTATTAAAAGGGAAGAAAATGATGTCCACTGGCAAAGCACCTCTCCTCCACCAACCGACAATGCCCTGTGCACAATCAACCATTTTAGAAATAAACAAGCAAATAAATATTAAAATCTTGTTTGGGAAAAAATGTATGGAAGAGGAGCAAAATAGTTTTCAACATTTCAAAATTAAGCAAAGTGTTCCTCCTCCCAGATGCCCAACGTGAGACTCCCACCCGCAGCCTTTGAGTTGAGCAACTATCCAACTACCATTGTGGGTTTGATAAATGAGAACAGCAAGGGCTCCTGCAGCTCTTCAGCATTTTTCCAGCTTGTACGCACAGCCTTCCTAGTAAATATGTCTGTCAACAAGACGTGCTTCCCTCTCAGATGCCAAGGCTCAGAAACAGCCTCAAAGTCCCTGCAAGCAAGCTTGAGGGACCACAGTCAAGCATCCGGAAATAATGTACTTTAGCTGCTGTGCTCTTCCCTTTTGGCCTGTCCTCCCTCTGCAACAACTCCTCAGTGCTATTAGTCAGAGGGCGTGAATATCTCTCTTAGGCAGCTTGGTGGGGACCACACGGAACTGCGTTTTTTAAAAAACAAAAAACCAGAAACTCCAACAACAGCTCAGTCTTGTGTCTAAAGACCACTGCAGATCAATCTTCCAGTATCACAGAAGACTTCTATGAAAGAACATCTTCCAAAGGAAAATGGGAAGTGGGTGATGGTATCCCTGAATGTGCTGCTCATTACTTCCTGTTGCAATACTTAGGGACAGACAGGAAACCTATGGCCTTTCAGGTGTTACTGGACTCCGATGCCCATCAGCCCCAACCAGCATGGCTCATGGTCAGGGTTGATGTGAGCTGTAGTCCAGCAACCTCAGGAGGGCTGCATTGTGTTTAAGGTCAATAACCTCCCCAGCCTCATGTCCCCCATCATCAGTATCGTGAGCATCATCATCAGCCATAGCTATCCAATGCATTTCACACATGTCAGCAGTGGTTACAATGGCCCTGAAAGGTAGTAGGTCCGTGTTATCATTCTCATATTGCATAGGTGTCAGGCTGAGGGTAATAGAAGAATGGCTTGCCTAAATTCAAACCTGTTGAGCTGCAGTGAGATTTGAAGTGGATACTTCTAGGTTCATGTCCCAGTCCCTTAGAGACTTCACAACAAAGGAAAGTTGCCAAAATTAAAATAACCAAGTGGTGAAAGGAACGCTAGGATATCATGCTCTTGGAAAATAAGGGAATAAAGTCTTACAAAAGAGGTGTTCATGTGTTACATTCAGCAAGTGTACAATCGGTGTATCTGTGCATTCAACAGTTGAGCTGTATACTCATCCAGTTATTTACATGTAATATTTGACAAGTATATGGTCTGTGTAACTTGCTCATACCTCTTCATTCAGTCGCCAGTCACCTGCCCACCTTTAAGGACCAAATTCACAGGGTCACAAGCGCCACAGCCTAAGAGGAGCCTAAGGACCACTTCTGATACCAACACACAGCTAGAGCAGAGCAGCTTCCAGCTTCCAACCACACTTCTAGCTGCGCATTCAAGAACATCCTGCCACCTCTGTGAGAACCTCAGCCATTTACTGACCTTAAAGGTGTATTTCCTGCTGATGTTATCCGATGGCTGAACAGCTGCAACCCGAAAACTGAGAAGTGGGATGCTGCCCAAGATGCTTTCCTCTTTCTCGTCTGCATGAAGGAAGGTGGGAGATCAAAGAATTAGACACATACGGAGGCATCCCCTTCTCTCAGCCAACAAGCTAGAAATGCTGTCGCTGTGGAAGGTCTCACACAAATGGGCTCCTTCACCGCCACCAGTGGGAAAGAAGAAGCCAAGGGTTCCCCTTACTGGCAAAATAAGAGCTGGAGCGTTAAGAACAACAATTGCCCCAAGTGGGCCTACACATCTACGTACCTGGGGAAAATGGCTCCTCTCCCTGTCACATCCGCGCCTGCTACTGTCTCTGTCTCAGGCCGGCAAGCACCCTCACACACATATCAGTTACGTTTACAGCTCACAATACTGTCTAGTTAATAATTCATCCCCACCTTCTAGATTCACTGCCAGAGAGGAGTTCAGGCAACAGGTTTCTGAGAACCAAAGGTTGTGAGGCAGATTTTATTTTTATATATAAATATAAAATCTATACACACACACACATACATACATACATACACACACACACCCTGTATATGTATGTATATATGAATGTACAGTAAGCCCACAACTTATGTACATTTAACTTGTGCACATTCAGCTTTGCACGCATGACCAAACAAAACAAAACAAAATGAGAAAGGGGACAGGGTTCTGGGGAAAATGACTTTGACAATCCCACCCACCATTGAAACCAGTGTGTTTTGACTATATGTGATTTTGGTTTAGGTATGATCACTGGAACGTAACCCCCACGTATGTAGTGGGTTTATGACAGATGGGAAGCATGTGGCCCTCCAGAATATGTTGGACTACAATTCCCATCATCTCTGGCCATTGGGTTTTGCTGGCTGGAGATGATGGGAGTTGGAGTCCAACAAGTAGGGCAACAAGTCCTCCATCCCTGAATACACACACACACACACACACACACACACACACACATACATACACATATTTGAAGATGAAAATGCACTGAAATTCTGAATTCTCATTGGGCATTTTTCAGTCATCCAAGGACTGAAATAAACCACACACCTCATGGACTGGAGGCCCTCATCTTAAAGGCACCTCACAAGCCTCTTTAGACTTTTTTGTACCATTACAAGTCCAGTTCACGAAACTTTGGCCTGAAGGACCAGTGCCAGCTCTTTTTCAGAGGAAAGCATGATTGACAAAAGGGTGTGTGTGTGAATGTTAATGTCAGCACATATCCTCTGTGTAAGAAAGAACCAATGATCCAGGTCATCTGCTCCAGAGAAATATGGCAATAGCTGTACCAAGTCTGGCCTTCAAAGACATAATGAAACGTACATTCCCTTCCACAGTTTATCATCACACAGCTTGCATTAGAAGTTACCATAATGCAGAGAGGAGGAAAGAGAGGCATGTTTACTAACAAACATTTTCTGCCTCATGTGTAATCTTCTCCTAAAGCTGCAAAATGCCATGCTGATGCCAGATATATGGAAGGCTATACAACCAGAGACGGGATTTCTCAGTGCATTATCAAATCAAGTCTGAGTTGCTGTACGCGTTAGCTTTAAGCCTCTACCAGAGATTTCCACCCATTTGTCCATCTCTTCCAACAGTAAAATAAAACACTGAGAAGGGGCAGTCAGCCCTCAGATACCACACAACATTGTCTCTCTCTGTTTGCTGAGATTCATTTTGCGCTGAAATTTTCTGAGCAAATTGGGCAACCGGAGAAGAGGCAGTCTGCTGGCAGTCTGCAGAACAGTCACAGGAGAAAAGGCAGAATGGACATAGATGTGGGTGGGAGGGAGAAAGAATCCTCCCCAAAGCTATGACTCACCCAGGGGGATTGTGCCACTGTCATTGCAGTGTTTTACATGCACTCAAATAATGAGTCCCACTTCCTGGTAAACTACACTTTTTGGCCCTGAAAGAATGAATCTTTTTTCATGTGGAAGGTGACTTTGCCAGTATCACAGACACCCATTGGTTATTACCCATGACATCACTGTGAGACTTGTTGAAATCTGCTTTTGTGTCTACTCATGCCAGTTTAAATGCCAGCATTTCTCCAGAGGCTGTATGCCATCTTCATCAGATGAACACATTGCTGATACAGGTCACTGGACTCCAATAGGAAAAGACCAGCCAAAGCATGGAGATGAATGTAAGCTCTTGACTAAATAAAGGCATAATTTATGGCTTTGCTTTCACACTGTTTTCAGCACTTGTGAGTTACTCAAAGTGCCTACACACCAGACCTTGGTTCTTCTACATACCTTTGTAGTAGAAAAGGCAGCGATCCACCAGTACAAACCAGCGCTTATTCCATTGCTTCACCCCAGAACTCGCCTGTAAAGAGATATTGAAAGCAAATCAAGGACACAGCATTACAGCACTGTATGCAATAAAGAGTTGTAGAAGTTTGAAAAGCTTCCCATGAAGAGATGGAACAGCTGGTGCTGAGCTCAGCAGAAGCAAGGGATCACTGAAATCCTTAGGGGATTTCCAGATAAACAACCCAGAAGACCTTTGAAGTCAAGTTGAGATCCTGGCAAGGTGGATGGCAGGATAGCAATGCCCAGTATTCTCAGTTACAAGTGCATGTGGTACTTTGGATAAGATTCCAAGTGGAGTGGATACCAAATAGTTGAGACTTAGGTTTTACATTGTGTCCTTGGCTGCGGAAAAGTTTGGGTTACATTAGGAACAGAGGAAGTTGTGGCGCTGGATATTTGATGGACTCCAACTCCCATCAGCCCCAGCTAGCATAGCCAATGTTCAGGGATGGTGAGAGTTGTGGTCCCCCAACTTCTGGAGGACCACTGATTCTCCATCTTAGAGTTACATGAATGGATAGATGATGGTTGGGTACCCAATAACCTCTGCAATGTACCTGCTTGAAGAGCCAGCCACTCTTGGTCACTGCAGCGTTGGGATTCCTCTTCATGGAATTGGAGCGCTTCCCAAAAGCAATCCCTTTCCGAGAGGAGCGTGAGGCCTTTGAGAAATGAGAGAGAGAGGTTTAGGAAGGAAGGCTACTGATGGAGTGCACAGATTCCTCTGTGGAAATCACTCACAAAACCACAACCAATTCCAGGAGGAATAGCACAGGATAACATAGCGTTTGTTAGGCTGAGGAATGCTGGGTGGAACACTGATTTCCTAACACATAGAAAAGGCCCATCATATAAGAAAGATGAAGCATTCAAACCATGGGAAACCTGTATTCCAGCCTCCAAAAGTTGTTGGACTACATATCCCTGACCACAGGCCAGGCTGGCTGAAACTGATAGGAGTTGGAATCCAACAATATCTGGAGGATATCAGATTCCTCATCCATGATTTAAACCAACCCACAGTGATGTTTCCATCCCAGATTGGGTAATATTTGTTGTTTATGCTGAGAAATTCCATTTCTCACAAGAGCTCCATGGATGATCATAAAGGCAGCCATGGTTTTTTAGGCTTCTTGTCACTTATAATCTGCTGTGCTTGCCAATTATCTTTCAGGATTTCACAATGCAAGGTCAGTAATGCTGTCCCCATTTTACAGATGAAGAAAATTAAGGCCCAAATAACTTGGGCATGTTGCTCAAGCAGAACATTGCCACAAAGGGTGGGGGGGAAGAACCAAGGTCTCCATGAGAGAACAAAGCATACCCTGCCATTTGGTCGTTCCTGAGGCAAGTCTGAAACCATGGTATGATTGGATGATTCACTGTTGACTGCTGCCGGCCGTTTGCTGCCTGATTTGCTTGACATGTCCAAGGCAGATCTGCAATAGAGAGACAAAAAGAGAAGCATAATATTTCAGCATATTTTGCTAGAAGGAAAGAATGATGCTGCATTTGTACTGGTTTGTGGGTGTGCTTTAATTTCTGCATTTTGCATTTTTAATATTCTATTTTTGCAGGTAAGCTGCCTAGGTAAAATTTGTTGATGCACGACTATATACAACAAGTAAATAAATATTTTCTAGTATCTTTAGCACATAATGTCATCTGGTTTATTTATATATAATGCTGTCATTTGCATACTCAAATAAAGTCACGGGTGCTGGTCTACAGTCACAATTCATTGAAATCAATGGAGCATCTTTACATCAGCTTCAACAATATCAGGAGCTACATTGTATTGTTCAGGGCTCTTCTACACTTCCACTTGCCCTGCTGCTTTTCTCCAGGGAAAACCCACTGTTGACTGCTGAATCAAAGCAAACATCAATTGAGCTTTCTCCAGATGGATATTTGCTCCAAATTAGTGCTAAAGCGAAGGTATTCTGGGGGAAAGTGGTGGAGCAAAGGCAACACCACTTGGACCCACATCTAGAAAACATGGGGCAAGCAGAAAAATGTCTGGATCAATGCTCTCTAGGCATGAGACAAGCAGAAGTGTGGACAAGCCCTCAGCCTTCTCCAACCTGGTGCTGTCCAGATGTTTTGGACTATAGCTGGCTAGGGCTCATGGAAGCAATATTCATAAACATCTGGAGGGCTGCAGGTTAGGGAAGACTGGCACAAATGCTTCTTCACATCCATCAGAAGTTGCCTTGCAGCAAATCCTTGCCATTCTTTCTTGAGCTGTATCTCTGGGGCAAGAAGAATGCCATTTGCTCTCAGGTGGCACACTTAAGCCTTCTCGGCTCCTTCATGAACCACCACTCTTGTGCTCAAAATGAGAGAGAGGACCTACCTTTGCAAGTCAAACTGGTTGTTCTCTTCTGGGATTTGGCCAGTCACTGGGTGAATAAAAGTGTTCCGTCTTTCATTATGGCTGGAAAAACACACAAGAGAGATGGGTTATGCATTAATTAGGTGGCTCAGGTTGAAGTACACTCCCCATGTTGGCTGAGGATTCGTTAGATACCACCGAATTAATAACCTGTCCAAACAATCCATCTTTCAGAATGATCACCCATTATCTATAACTATTCAGCGGCAGTGGATTTACATGACCAGCGGCATCAGTTAATTCAATAAACTCCCCTTTACGCAGTACTTCAATGCATGTGCCACTTGATTTATAATCATTAATCAATTAATAATTTCTTATTGGTTAATTATTTCTACTGAATTTTGAATTATTAAGACTGTTGAAGTGACTTAAAGGGAAAGAGCCGCCACACAAGGTTTTCAAAAAGAAAAAGAAAACAATTCAAGGTATACAACTACATTATTAGTAGTAGTAGTAGTAGTAATAGCAGCAAAATAATAACAATATATCAACAGTGAAATGAATTGGGTATACAAATAATTACAACTGAGACTCAACATTATATGGCCACAGGATTGAGTATATTCAATCCTGAGTTTGGGGGTGGGGTTGCCCCCTTAGATTTTATACTACCATCACATTTTCCAGTGGTACCAATTTGGCTCCATTTCTGTCGGCATGCACCACCTGATTTCACTATTAGAGGGAGTGCCAGTGTGCAAGGAGACCCTTTGCTTTTAAGTTCTGGCCTTTTTATTGCTACACCTGGCCCAGTGATCAATTGGGATACTATAAACGTCTCTACTTTCACTGCAGGTATAGAAATATGTTTATGTTTTCCCCTTGCTCATATCAGAGAAGGAAATTGCAGTCTGCCTTTGAGCCTAACTTACAGAATCTACAAAAGCTTTACCCCGTCATTGCTGTCTCAAATGTGCTTATAGCCTACAGAATGCTTCCAAGGAATCAACCATCAAGACGTAATAGCACATACAGTTCAATGTAAGTGCTCATTTTGGGGAGCTATGCTATCACAGCAGCCAGGCATCTTATTGTCAACTTCTGTGGAGGAATATCTCACCCTGCACGGAGTTTTTTCCATACAGATCTGACACCGCCTGGAATAAACAGCATCTGTATTGATGGCTTTAATGAAAAGGAAGCAGCATACATAATACACCAAGGAAAGACTTGCGCAGTCACCAGGAAACAAACTGTGAGCTCAGCAACCTGTGAATTTCACCCTGCCACTCAAAAGAAAGCCTTTCTCATGGTCCCAGCTCTCTCTGTCAGTTATTCAACCACACACACACAAATGCACACACCAACCACAATAATTAAAGTCTTCACAAACAGCAACTGTGATTCAGTTTGAAATATTATCATTGCACACCTGAGGCCCAAAGCATATTACAGTGGAGGGAGAATATTAATACAGTCCTTTTCATGACCCTCCTAAATGAGACATCAAGAGCTACATAGCCTGGTGTTTTTTTCTGTTCAAGGGCTAAAATGGCCACTGTCTGCTGGCAGAAATCTGGAAAGAGTGCTTTGTAGCCTTCCCCAAGCCTTTTGCCAGTGAAACATTTTGAGAATTCGACTGTTTGAACACTGCAAACTCTGGCCAAATGCCACTGATTTAAACCATATGCTAAAGAAGATAGGAACTCATTCTACAGGTTTGGGGCTAGTTGCTGCCAGATCAAGACTAGCCCTGTAGTGTAAACGTTGCTGCCGATAGGAATGAAAGAAATGACTCCGTCCATTTTTCATGTCTCCCAGTGAGCAACTGCAATGGTAAAATTCAAAAATGCCCCACCTCCACCATGATCTGCTGACAAACAAGTGCCTCAATATATATATTTTAAGTGGCACCTCTGTGTCATTTATGAAAGTGCCATGGACCTGCACTTCACAAATACATTGGTACAGAAAGCTGTCACTCCACTGGTGCTAAAGAATGAGAGAGAATTTAGCGAAAGGATGATGCCATTCAGAGGGCTAACTAGCTAAAGCTAAGAGATCATTTTCACATTGCGCAAAGCAGTGGTGGGACAATTTTGGACAAGACCAGTTTAGAATGCAGGTAGGAGGAAGTCTTATTTTTTAATGTTCCTCCAATGAACCCATTCCTGCCAACCTAGCAGTTCGAAAGCACATCAAAGTGCAAGTAGATAAATAGGTACCGCTCCAGCGGGAAGGTAAACGGCGTTTCCGTGCGCTGCTCTGGTTCGCCAGAAGCGGCTTAGTCATGCTGGCCACATGACCCGGAAGCTGTACACCGGCTCCCTCGGCCAATAAAGCGAGATGAGTGCCGCAACCCCAGAGTTGTCCGCAACTGGACCTTACGGTCAGGGGTTCCTTTACCTTTAATGAACCCATGTCTGTGCATCAGATTCACACCAGAAAGAAAGGCTGAGGATACCCTTATATACCCTAAGTTTACCACATTCAAGGAAGATACAGACAGACACACTGTATCTGGGAGTGGGTGAGAACAGAGACAGAGACCCCATACGGAACAACAGATCTATCCAGAAACAAGACCTACCCCATAAGCATTTAGTGCTTTTCCAAATAACACTGCAGTGTACCGGCTCAAACAAAAAAAATATTAAATTACAGAAGCCAAAACAAATCAAGGCAGCAGCACTCTGTGATGTGCTTTTCCAGACACAGATTTTAATTAGAACATATTCTATTATCTTGGCCTGCTGGGCATTGTTACTTCTCTGGGCCTGTTTGCAAAAACAAAACAAAAAACCAATGGTTTTCATTCCAGCCCACCCTAAGGAAGGTTGTCTAAGGCCTAGTGTGTGTGTTTATGCCCTGATCTCATGAACTGAGTGTGCACATGATGAACCTGTTGTGTGAACTGCATAAGAACAAATCACAAGTTTGGCTGCACATGAGGAATTCCACACAATTTGTCCCTTGCACAAAGGAAGCCTTTCCTCCTCACCCGCTGCATCTTCTTTCTGTGCATCCTCTGAGCTTTTAAATGGCCAGGCATCATCTTAGGGCAAAGAGTTGGCAACCCAAGTCCAGAAAAGAAGAGCACTGAAGAAAGTTTATTGCAAAGCAAGGAGCTAAACCACACAAGGACGGCAAAGAAATTCAGGGCCCCTTGACAATTTGGAGCCTAGACATGGTTATCAGTGAGGCATGAGTGAACATGAGTGTGGAGTGTGTGCATAAATAACAGAAGACTCAGTGACACAATGGCCAGCTTACTCAGGTTGGGCTGCCATTTTCTCTTTACTACCCCAGAATTACTCTGGAGTCTGACCTTTTCCCTAGGATGAAGAAACTTGGCAGGCTGAATATCACTTGGCCAGCAGCTGCCCCTCCCAATCACCTTCATGGCGGCACTTCATCACTAGTTTCTAAAACAAATCCTTCCTCGTGAGGTTATGAAGGCTTTACAATATATTCCAACTACAGAAGTCTAGTCCTTAAAATCAGGAAATGATTTTCACATTTTAAAGCCAAACTTGCCATTCCTGCTAAACCTGAATCTACTTTCACTGAATTGTTTTTCTTAATTTGATAACATCCTTTCTAGGAAATGTTTATGGAGTGGCAAGTTCAACCACTGCACCCTCCAGCCTTTCCCCAAAGCCAGTTGTGGGTAGGGTTATAAAACCCAAGATCAACATAAAACAGAGTAGGTTCTGCCAATCTCAGCAAAGCTTCTGAACCGCTTGCAACTTATGAAAGGGGTTAACTTCTGTGTGCTGAAGAAATGCTGAAGACTGTTGGTATTTCTCTAATAACTGGGTTGGTTTTTTTTAAAAAAAACTGAACATGGGGATGCATGCAAGCAGTGAAGCAGAGCAGGGCTAGTCTTTAAGCATTATCAGTTCCACCACCCCACCCCCCAGCAAACAACATACCCTTTGAGCTCCCTGCTCCTTAACTCATTTTCACAAGCCAGCTGCAAAACTCAGACTCTGGTTCATTATATCAGACATGCACAAGACCAGTTAGCTCATAGGAGAAAGATGCTTTGAGGGTGAAGCATCCATAAGCCGAAGGGGGGGGGCAGAGACCATGGCAATCAAGGCGATCCTGCTGGCTTCAAGGAGCTTTGGACTAAGACCACAGAAATTTCCTGGAGCAGATTAAAAGCAGGTGCTGGGTAACAAGCTGTAACTGGCACACCTTGCTTTGAGCCGAATGATACTATCTAGAGTATGAAATGAGACCATGAATAGCGTTACATAACAAAACAGCAGGAGTTGTAAGGAAAAGTGCATAGGAGGCCATTCCTTACTCAGATCCTGATACAGGAACTACCTAATAAAAGAAACAAGAGGAGACCAACATGGAATTGAGAGATGAGGCAGGAGGTAGATTCAAAAAGAAGACGGCCTTTTTCATGCCCCCTTCTGCTGACCCCAATTTCAGTGCCTGTCTCCTTCTCCCATTCTCACCTAATTTTTCTCCACAGTCCTCTGCCTCCCAATCACCCACCCTGAGAACGTAAGAAGAACCTGTGGATCAGGCCAACAACCAATCTAGCCCAGCATCCTGTTCTCATAGTGGCCAACCAGATGCCTGTGGAGAAAGCCACAAGCAGGGCTCAAGCACAAGAGCACTCTCCCCTCCGCATCTTCTTCCAAAGCACATCTTCTCCATCACCAAAATAGCAAACCTGTTTCCTCCCTACTCACCCCTCAAAACAGTTCCCTCCTCCCCTGACTTCCACTGGCAATTTGGGGTAGTGGATCTTGACTCTTTAAAGGCACTCTCTTCTACCCTTCCTTGGTCTTCCTCTCCTCTGCCAATTGGTATGCATGCCTCAGCATCCGCATGCAGACAACAAGGCTTGTAAATTGATAGAAAATTTAATGCGCTGGTTTAAAACAATGCAAAGTGATCAGCCATCTCAGGAAAACAGCTGCTGGGGAATATCCCACAGATGAACTGCCAGAGGCCATGCTTTCTCTGCTCGCCACCTTGGGATTATCTCCCTGCTGATGTCTTTGGTTACCCCACAACCCCTCCCAGAAGCTCCATAGTCTCCTGGCATTTTGTAGCCAATATAGTTCTTCATTACTGAAGTGAACACTTCAGAACCAAAGAGCTACAATTTTGACTAGTTGATTATGGTGGATTATACACCTCCTTGCAGCATTATTTCGGCCTTCAATTGGCTTCTGACCAGTGCTGGAACAACACTACCTGCCTGCTGACTCCAGCTCCACTGGCTTCTGTCCAGGGTCCTGACGACTTTCTTCCTATTCTCTCTTGCACTGTGTGTTCACTACGATTACTGTTGCCTCCTGCCTGCTGATCCATGATCTTGCCTATTTATTTATTTATTGCACATAAATACTCTCCCCAGGCTTATTCCACCTCTGTGGGATTTTTCCTCAAACAGGAGGCATCCTTCAGGAGAGCACATATATCTGAACTTTGTTCTATATAGTGTGTGTCCAGATTGCCCTCACCCCTTCCTGAAATCTGAAGCAGTGCCCCTGCACAACTGCACTACCATGCACAACTCAGTAATATTTAAGGTGCTCTTCCGCTATTAAAGTAATAGCCTGATGAACCATTAGCATAATCCAATATTGCACTAATTGTCTATGATTTGGAATTATCTTGGCATTTATTTGTGGTGGTATGAAACATAATGAAGGATCAAGACAGATAATGCTCTTGTAATTTTGTAGTGCACCTAGAATGCAAACCCCAAGAGGGACCGTGTTGTTGACCTCATCAGCTGAGGCTTATCCTTGGAAGCTAAAGTGACCCTGATGGCAAATATCAGATGTCCCCAAATGAGGGCACCTTCAAATGAAGTATTCATGACACAGAAGTAGCATGGCAAAATCTTCCGAGGGTAAATTTACCATGTCAAAACGCAGTAAGATAAGTTCGACTGCAAGGCACAGGACAATATGAAAATCCTAGGATGGGGTGAGGTGAAAGATACTTGTGAGCGTCTCCCTCCAGGAAGTGTGGAGAGCAGTCACAGATGAGGTTCAAGAGCTCAGAAAGGTGGAATTGTGGAGATCTGGGGCTCTTCTGCAGATTCTGCTAGAAGATTCATGTGGCCTATTTCAAATGTGGCAGGTGTGTGGTGGATGTTTTCAGCTTTGCATGTAGCAAAATTTCTAATTTTAACAAATGCCTTTTTGGGGGGGAGGGCAGAGCAATTGCCCTGGGCTGTATCCTCTGAAAAGGGCACATTAAGCATTGTTGAACAGTGAACTCCAGTTAGGAGGCAGCGTAACAATGACACAGGGTACAATGAGGAGGAAGAGGTAACTCAACTGAATACTCTGCTTCCTGGACTTCTCAGGGTTCTAATATGTGGCTGGTTTTACCTCTGGTATGCCACAAGAATATGCAATCCACCACCTGTTAACTCAAGATAAATTTCCGCCACAGTTGTCAGGATGCCCACATCTCCATTTTACTTTCAGGAATTGAAGCCCAAAGCAACATGAAGCAACTTTCTCCAAGGCTACTATGATGGTCTATTTTGAGGTCTTCCATTTCCCAGCCCAGCATCTAAACTAAAGGCTTGTGCTTTATCTATTTCTACAGGTATATGACCCCCCCCCCCACTTCCTGGTTCCTTTGCCTAGTAGAGATGGGTCTAGGCTAGGCTATCCAAATGGTTCATCGCCTTGCACAATGTCAACATGCAAGCCAAGAATATATTGCAACTGTGTTTTGAGTAGGATAAATAAGCCTTGTCACTAAACCCAAGTTCCGAAAGTACACAGAGTTTCAGTAGAAAGCATGAAATCACATCAACAAAGTTTTTTAAAATAAAAAATAGCCAGTACATAATTCCATTTCATGTTTTGTTCCCACCAATTCAATTGAGAAATTTTTATTAGTTCACATCCCAAATAAATAATGTTGCATTTAAATTGAGAAAGTAAAGGAACAAAAGTCCCCAAAACAGATTTTTTAAAAAATAATAATGGAGGTGGGGGGAGATGATACAGTTATGTTTATGCTAGTGCACTTGAAAAAAAATGAGTTACAGCATAGCTAGTGACCATGTAAGGATGGCAATGAGACATACAAGAGGCAGAGCCTCGCTTCCTAACTACAGAGACAAGCCAGAATGATGGGGGTGTTTCATATGAGAAGACAGGCATAAACTTTTGACTTGGACAACATCAATCCATACCCAGCACCAAATTCCGAGAACTAGTGTTTGTACCTGTTAGCACTGTGTTCTGCAACAATGTCAGATCAGAAACTCTTGCTTGAACCCATCACCATTCCCAGTTAACAACAGCTACAATTGTGTTTGCCCACATCCATTATTTGTTCCCCTTGCTTTTACCGTCCTGCATCTCCCTTGTGACTTTCCCCATTATTAAAACTTTAGAGTGTAAGGTCCTCGGGGCAGGGGCCTGTCTTTTCTATTCTCTTGTAAAGAGCCAGGTATCTTGAAGGTACTGTACTATATTACTACTACTGTTATTTATGAGGGCTATTACATGCATTATAATATTTCTTAGCTTGGTGTAAATTTACCTGATCGTTATCCTTTCTTGGCACTCTACCTTCAAGTACTGTTTCATTTCTAAACTGGAACACGGTAGCAAGAGACTCAGTTTGAGCACACATTACAAAGCCATGTGAAAACTAACTTTCCTGGAGCTGCCGAAACCACCCAGAGTGTTATTCATGGACAGGTATAGCCTGTGGGACTTTTTATAGCCATTGCACTGTTTTGCTTTCAGCCTTTATTCAGAAGGGTTCTTGAATCAGTTCAGCCAGAAGCAGGTTTGCCTTTTATTCTCGGGCTCCCTCCTCCTCTTCCTCCTCCCTTCAGAATCCTTTGTAGTTGTGTGTGGCTTCTGCACCTCCTGCTGGCACTCGGCCAACCACCTCCTTCTCCACCCCCCCCCCCCAGTTCCAGCTTTCAGGGTTCAGCACTAACGCCACCGAGCTAACTTCCCCAGAACCGCCTTAAATATTCCCTCCCCAGCAGCTGCCTCTCCTGGTCCTATTCCACAAACTCCTGAGTTAAGCATCTGCTACCCCAGCACTGCAATGCAGCAGTCACTGACCAAAATGAAGTTCCCAATGAGCCATTCTTTGAAACACATGAGCCCCCAGAGCAAGAATGACAAGGCCGTGACCCCGCTGCCTCCTCTCTACAGCCTTGCAGCATCACCTGGAAAATCCTACCTGACCCGACGGTCCGCTCGGAACTTGAGCATGGTGGCAAAGTCTCAGCTGCGATCCCTGCCTGCAACCATGTCCCTGGAAGGTGGGTGAAAGGTAAGTCTTCCCGGAGCACAGCCGGTTCCCCTGTGCCCTTAGGAAATGTGCCATAACGGAAAGTCCTGTGCCGGCAAGGATAGGGATGTGGTGGTCCAGTATGCTTCCCCCATCTTTAAACTTCTCTACTCTCCTTGAGTTCAGGGAAGACAGCAGCTGCTTTCTGTCTTTCTGTTCTGATTTCTGGGCAGGCAAGAGAGAGGGAGAGGGAGAGATCTGCTGCCTCTCCCTCTCTCAGGCACCAGGGTCTATCTAACCTAGTCCAGCCTCATCATTCAAACAATGCTCTCAGCCTCACATGCAGCAATAGCAGCAGCCAGCAGGCATTGCAAAGGAGTGCAAGGGGGGGGGGTGGAGAGAGAGAGAGAGAGATTTCAAGCTCAGTTTCCCCAAGGAGAGAAAGGTGAAGGGTATACGGACACCGGCATGTGTCCAAATACACACACACACACACACACACACACACACAGCAGGTGCAGCAGGAGACAGCTTGTGCTTTAACCTGATCAGAGTGTTTTAGGAAGAAGGGCTTTTTGTAAAGGCTGAAGGTGAAGAGCATAAAATGCTGGCATTTCCCTTAGCAAAAGATTCTTGGGGAGCTGAGCTCTATAGTCCTAGAAACTCTGTCTGACTGATCTCCTATCTTAAGTACGCTACAACGATGATGCCCATAAACAGATTGCGACTATCAAATGGATATTTGGTTCTGAAACATGCCTTTTCCATGCCGCCCTCTATCTAAGACTCAGTGTGAGCTGCAACACCTTCTTAAAATCAAGAAAGAAACACCATATGAAACAGCTCATTTAACAGACGCACAGATTTTATTTTATTTTTATTTTTTTGCTGCTCCCTTTGTTCAGGTTTGCCACCAAGATTTCCTCCTTGATCCTGTCTTGCTTCACTAATGCTCCTTTAATGTCAAGTGGTCCTAATGCCCTTAAATTGCTCTCCATGCTGGCTTATTAGGCCATATTGGTTTTGATTAGGCTAAGGCAATTTAATGCTGCATGAATCTGAAAAGTTCAGTAATTGTATTATTTGTACACTTTGTCAGTCTTTCTCCTGGACCCATAATCTAACTACTAATGCCCTTCCCTTCCCTTATTTGTTATATGACAACTCTGCACTGCTTTCTGACCCACAACGGTCCTCCAAGCCACTAATAACCCACAGAATAAAAATGTCTAAAAGAATAAACAGCAGGACCATCTCAAGATCAAAGCACATATCATAAATAACAAAGACCCATGGGCAGAGAGCAGCAAGCATTTGCGCTTCCAACCAGAAAAGTTTTACAATAGGAAGGTTATATTAACAAATCTTCAAAATGGAAAATGTGTTTTACAGTTGACTGCTGACAGAGGAAGCATATTCTAGACTGCCTGCTATCCAGGCATTATCATTCTAGATGTGCAGGCCCTGACTGTCAGGCTACAAGCCTATGCACATTTATTTGTGACTAAAACCCATTGCACTTAGTGGGATTTCTGAACAACAATGCAATAAATAATATGCTTTCTATGCCTGGCTGGGTAGAAAGTCTAGGTTTGCCAGCCCACTCACATTCTACTAACTCAAAGCTAAGAATTCCTGCAATATACTATATCCTGTTCTTCAAGTGACACCTTTAGTAACATTATGTGTATTGGTCTTGAGAGTAACCTCTGCAATGTTCATGATGTTGACGATGTATCTCATTTTTCTTTCAAACTCAAAGCAGCCAACAGGCAAGAAATATCAAAACACAAACAATGAACAAAACAGTAGCAATAAAATCAACCTGCAAACAGCATCAAGCAAGCAGAATCCAACCAACAGTAACAGGAGTGCACAAATATGAGAGAGAGAGAGAACTACCAACCAACAACTGAGACAACTGTGTTGAAAACTAGAAATGGAAGGCTAGCAAGTGATTGGAATGCATAGGAAGGCACACATAGGAGAAGGCAGAGATTAAGGTGCTCAGATTCCAAACATTTAGACCTACAAAGGTAAGAACCAGCATCTTAAAGGAGGTCCAGAGGCATTTAACCCCAATTTTACATGCAAACCTTTTGCTACTAGGGTGTTTATTGGGAATGGAAGGATGAAGCATATGACTCAAATTTTGCATCGTTACCTGTTCATTTTCTGGACCAGAATGTGGGGTGGGACCACTACACTAGCTCCTGGAAGGTGGGTCACTGTTGCAAGGCAGTGCTGTAAACTGGAAGTGTAAGCCAGTGTTCCTGCCTGTGCGTTTGCACCACACTGACTTCCCCGCAGCCTATCTCCTGTTCCTCCTGGCAATCAACAGTGAGCCATCTTCAGGGAAGCTGGCATGAATGCACATGATAAGGGCACAGTTGACTTACCAACTTAAGCAGGTGAAAGGCACCCCAGTCAGTGCTACCACCTTCCTAGCCTTCGTAAAACAGTGCCAGGTCAAGGAGCTTCCCCAAACTAAAAACCTGTATCTTGAGGAAGAGTGCAACCCCAGCCAAAGCAGACTATATACTTCTCCCAGGATTGACTGATCCCCTCACAACAGCACTTTGCCCTGTGCAGAATAAGGTACAGATTGTTCACCTCCAATCAGATATGAGACATCTGTCATACTATAAAAAAGATAAAACCTAGAAATCAGCTGCAGGGTCCCAGGGTGTGGTCTGAAGGCATTTAGGGCCAGCACCTTGCTGAAGCTAAGCAGGCCTGGGTCTGGTCAGGGCCTGGATGGGGGACCTCCTGGGAACCAGATGCACACTGCCTTGGGTTCAATGCCAAAAGGAGGGTGGAATGTAAATGCAAGACAATAAGTAAATACAAAGCCCTCAAATTGTATAAACCTCCCAATCATAAACATGTTTTCTCAGAAGCAGGTTGCCTAGTAGTAATTAACCAAAATGAGCTACCATGAAATCACTGGATTAAACCAATATCAAGAAGAAAATTGATTGGTCTCACTCTGCCTTCATAACAATCAAACCAGTCGGACTTAAGGAAGGCAAAGTAGGCATGAGGATTCTCCCTCAAGCCATTCAATGACATTTGAAATAGAAATTGATGAAGGCAGTAAATCTCAGAGCCATTTCAGATATTTTAAAATGCATACATTTAATCTTATTTTTTTTAAAAAGCTTGGTAGTATATATTGGCATTCTTCCTAAAGGAACCTTAGTGGCACATTATCCTCTCTCAACAGAATGGAGGGGAATAGATTCATACCCTCCAGCATGCTGAATCCCAAAACCGGGTTGTGTGTCTTTCACCCACGCAAGATCGCAGAGCCCAAAACACACACTTTTTTCTTTTATTTATTATGTTTTTCTTTTATTTATTTTATTTTATTATTTCATAAAATTGATATACCGCTTGATTGTAGGAAAACCTCAAAGCAGTTTACAAATAAAATTATCACTAAAAGCTTTCTGACTGTAATTAAAACCTACACTGCTATAAACACAGTTCTCCTGTACAGAGTATAATAAATGAATTGATCTAAAAAAATCATTTTTATTGATTGATTTTTTAATACAAGAAAGAAAAAGGGGGGAATATACTAGCCTACTGTACAAAGGTAAAAGTCACATTTGTCACTGTCCCCACTTTTGCCTCTGGCCCCACCAAGCCCTGGCCCCTAGAAGGCTGCATGGAAGAGTATGTGGCCCCTAGGCTGAAAAAGATTCCTGGCCCACGATTTAACAGCACAACACTCAAAGACCTAAACAGGCAACAAAAAAACCAGGTTTTTTTAATCAAGAGGTTCGTGAAATGCAAGATATTGCAGCAAGGGGGTGGTGGAAAGATCGCCTTGCTAATATTTCCTACTTTGAGAGAGAGAGATTGGCAAATGGTCCTACTGGTACAGTGTGGGTGGACTGCACTCAGCTTCAAAATAGGTAACTTACCGTATCTTTAAAGGTCAAAAATATCTATTAGTGAGCAGCATCACTCGACACTGAGGATGGCAGGCTTGCGGTACCAAATATCACAGGCCACTTGGAACTGCACTGCATGACTTAGCTAGGGGAAGAACTGTATTTTTCCCAACATCACAATGCAGACTGAATTCACAGGAAGTGGTACATTGTGGTCTATTATTACATGAACAAGCCTCAGGCTCATGTGCTCTCCCACTTTGTTTCTTCTCCCAGTGCGGCTGCAAGGAGGAGATGATTGATTGATTGATTGATTGATTGATTGAATTTTTATACCACCCTATAGCCAGAGGTCTCAGAGTGGGGAATGGGAAACATTCAGTTCTCTTTGTAACTAACTGCATTTAGTGTTATGTCTGAACCTCCATAAACTGTGGCTAATCTTTAACTATGGTTTACTGATATAAGTTGATTTCAAACATTGGTTTCAGAAGCAGACGTTATAATAAACCATAGCTGAGATTAACCTAAGGTTACCAGACATCCCCGTTTCCCGGGGACAGTTCCCAGATTTACAAATCAGTCCCCTCACAAAATCCATTTATTTAGTAGGAAGTTGAAAAGTGTCCTCGGATTAATTGAAAAAAATCTGGTAACCTTAGAATAACCACAGTTTAGGGTTTGGGCATAACATTAAACTGCAGTTAATCAACAACATAAGTGAAACTTTCCAATCATCTCGCAGAGGAGAATTGGGGTAAGCTGAAACAACCGGGATCATTCAGTTTGTAATTTAAGGGTTAATTTTGTTAATGTTAAAGTCAACTAGCCAAGCAGAGGGGCAGGTGGAGGTACTGCTGAGCAGCCAAGCACAGTGGTATGATCCTCACCAAGGGTAGCATGTGCTCTAACTGGCTGTGCAGTTCTGAGAAAGTTTTCCTCTGTATGCAGAGCCGTCTTTTCCATACAGCTTGGTGGTTCATTGCGCCAGGGCGCCGGCCTCTCAGGGGCGCCCCAGCGAGTGGGGGAGCTGCACGGCTTTGCTGGCAGCCTCCCCTTGCCCTGCATGCCCACCAGCT